TTTTACAAGGTTTTATATATGACTATATTATTATCCTTTTAGTATTTTATTTATTAAAAACTTATTTTATTAAGTAAAGTTTATTTTTATTAAGTTAAGGTATTATATATTTATTATATTATTCTTATAGCTAATATAATTAAGGTATAAGGGTATTTAGGCATTCTTATCCTTTTTAACTTTATACTTCTAGTACTAATAGTATCCTTCTTTTAATATATACTAATTAGTTAGTTTATAATACTTTTTAATATCTTTTTAACTTACTTTTTTTTTCTTATTTATTTATTATCCTCTTATATAGGTTTTAAAGTTATATCCTTACTGCTATAAGTTTTAAATTATAGCTACTAGTTCTTATTATTAGTCCTTATATTATTAGCATTAGTTAGAATTATATAAAGTAAATTTTTCTTATTTATAATTTAGTAGTTTCTGTATTTTATACTATATTATAACCTTATATTTTAAATATATTTTATAATAGTACTTATTATAATTTAATATATTAGTCTTTTTATAATTTTTAATAAATAGGTTAAGTTTAAGCTAAGTCTATTTTTATTTTAGAAATTATTATGCTATTATAAGTATATAGTATAGCCTTAGTATCTATATATTTTAAAGGTTAATTATAACCTTTATTAGTTCTTTTTTAAAATTTTTATATATATTAATATCTTTTTATATTATTTTATTAATATCCTTTTATATAAGAATCTTTTTTATAAATCCTCTTTTAGTTAATTTACTATATGCTAGGGATTTATTATATTCTGTAATTTTATTAATTAAAGGGTAAAGCAGAGTCTTAAAAGAGATCTTTAATTTAAAAGTATTAAATTAATATTTATAGTTATATTCTGTATTATTAAGATTTTATAATCTGTATTTTTTATAAGGTTCTTTTTTTATTTATTATTTAAATTATTTCTATTTAGTAAATTCTTTATATTTATAGTAAATATAAATATCCTTAGTTTTAATTATATTAAAGTTTAAAATTCTATTATTTTTAAATTTCTTATTTATTAGCTAAGTAGTAAAAGTGTTAATGCTTTTTTTATTTTTAGGTTTTTTTAAGAAATAACCTAATCCTTTTTTATTATTAAGGTAGATTTTATATATATTATTATAATATACTATTTAGCTAAAATATTTATAATTTATAGTAAGTGTTATTATATTAATATTTTTCTTATTTTATAGTTTTAAAATAAGTAACTATTTTTTACTATTATTCTTTTAAAAGCTATAGTAGTATTTCTTAATATATCCCTTTTTCTTATAGTTATAGCATTTAATATTCTATTTATTTTATTTTTTCTAGTTAATAGTATTAAGGTTTATTAGTCTAGGTTTTTTATTATTATATATTATAAAGTTATGCTTTTTTTTATAATTTATTATATTTCCTTATTAAAATGCTTTTTAATTATTATATTTTTCTGCGCTTTATTCCTTTTATTATTTATATAATTAATTATTAATTTAAATAGCTTTTTTAAAAAAGGCTTTAAATATTTTAAAGAGTTTATTTTATATAAGTTTATCCTTTACTTTAAATTTTAGCCCTTAATAGTAAAGGACTTTTTTTAATATATTATTTATATTTATTTTAGCACTAATTTAAATAAATTCTATAATAAACTTTAAGCATAACCCTTTCTGCTTAAAGTTAAAGAGCTAATTCTTAGCTTCTTTCTTTTTATTTATAGCTTTAAAAATATCCTTAACTTATTATTTAAAGTGCTTATAGCTATTATATATTACTATAGTATTTACTTTATATATATTAATATTATTAATAATAGCTTTAAAATCCTATTAATAAAGTTTAAACTAGTCTTTAATAGCTTTTTTTAATTAAAAAGCAGTAATTTATATCTTTATCTTATTTATTAAAATAGTTATAAGAAAGTACTTAAAGTATATTTTTATATTTATAAAAAATACTTTAGTCTTTTTTATATTTTTATTATATATAGCTAGTATTAATAGCTTAATAATTTCTCTAGGTTATTTTTTTTAATATAAAGCTAGTATATTAATAACTAGTAGTGCTTATTAATTTAGTTAAGCTTTTAAGGCTATAATTATATTCTGTTATTAAGCTTATTCTTAAGTTAATTATTAAACTAAGTTTTTAAGAGTTATAAGTTATTAAAATGCTATATTTTCTGCTATATTTTAAGTAGTGTTATTAAGTTTTATATTTCTTAAAGTTACTATATTAACTTATTATAGTTACTTATTTCTATTTTAAAGTAACACTTTTTTAATTAATATTGCCTTAAGAGTTTAAGGTAACTTCCTAAATAAAAGTTATTATTATATAATAAACTAGGTTTTTATAGTTAGTAAGAATACTATTTTTTAAGGAATAAACTATTTAAGTAAATAGCTTTAATATAAGGGCTATTTAAGTTTATACTAGTAAAGAGTTAAATTAGTACTTAAGGCATATATAGTTATATAGCTAGTTAATATACTTATATAGTAAATATTTAGGTTTTAATTTATTTATATTATAAATGCTATTAAGTAATAATAACTAGCTAATTAAATTATTTAAATAAATAATATAAATATAACTTATATATCTAGTTATTTTAATAAAATTATTTTAAGGCTTAAATAATCCTAAGATAGATTATTTATAAATCTAAATAATCCTATCTAGATTAATAAATTATCTTAATAATTTAATAATTTATTCTTAATTAGCCAGATAGTTTAATATTTATTTAGTTTTATTTACTAAGGGTAGCCTACTATTATAACTATAAGTGTTAGGTTATAATATTATAATAATTATTATTTTACTTTTAAAATAAAAATAATTATATAAAAGGACTTATATAATCCTTTATAATAAACCTTATATTAATTCTACCTGGTGCTGTACTTTAGGGTGTTTAAAACGCACTGCTAAGGCTGTTAAATATGCCTTAAGAGCCGCCCTTGTCTGTGTCTCTATGCCTTGGCTAGCAAGCGCCTGCATTACCTCCAGGCGGAACTCGAAATCAGGGAATGGCACATCTCCTTTACACACATTATAAACCACAGGAGGGTGGTTAATGTCTGCGCCAGCAGTAATAAGCGCCTTGATCGCTTCCACTTCTTTCTCGCCATATTGATCCTTCTTTGCATATGCACCTTTCACTACAGGCGCTGGAGTCCGGGAGCCGCAGATAAGAGAGAGGGCAGTGAAAACAATATCCTTCTCAATGTTCTTTATCTGGAAACGCCGATTGACGTTTGCTCCAGCAGCAGTGAGTATCTGTATCATTTCGGCAGATGTGGGCCTGAGTCGTCCTTGGTGGCAAGCGACCATCAGTGGCGAGGATGACCCCTCAACAAGACGTTCCTCTACTTGCTCTGCATTGTCTTCGGTCGGCAGTATGAGACGGTACCGCGTTGTTCTTTCCACTTCGACATCAGCTCCGTTTTCCACAAGCAGTTTCGTGGAAGCAACGTCTTCACGCGCAATTGCATGCAATAACGGAGTGAAACCTGTTGCATTCTTTCGACAGACGTCTGCGCCAAGACCAATCAGAGCCTTGGTGGCATTCCCCCTTGACAAGTACAGAGGAAGCATTTGAGCGCCGTACTCAACAGCGCGAGGATCGTTGACATCGGCGCCATATTCGACAAGCAATCGGATATGATCTGCCAGTCCGAGTGCAGACGCAATGTGAATTGGTGGACAGATGTCTGGCAACTCAGACTGCATGAGGCTCTTGTCGAGACACATCTCCGACTTGTATCCCAGACTAATGTCGGCTCCTTTCTCGAGAAGATGTCGCGCAATAGGTAGATTCTCACACACTATTGCCGTTCCAAGAGGGGTAAGCCCAGCCGCCGAGAACTGGTTTATTAGGTCCCCTGCTGTTATAGTTTCCTTCATCTCCTTCAAATTGTTGACCTTGATTAGATGGTGTAATTCTTCAGCCATGATGTTTTGTTTGATGGGCAAAGGCGTGGACAGGAAGCATGGCTGTAAGATGGCAAAGGAGGGGTGGTGAGGTAAAAATGCCTGCAGGAACATTACGTTTATATAGGAAAGAAACGGTCCCTCAGATTGTACCTCAGTTTGCATATAGCACTAAGCCTAATGCTACGCCAGAAACAATCTATCACTTACAAATATCACATAAGATTAAACTCTTAGGCGCTCTTTTTCTGACTTATATATAACACTTCTCCTTGCTACCTATATTAATATATGTCCGCTGGCCTCCTTCTTGCATCGACCGGCGCCTGTAAAGATTCAAACTGTTCCCTAGTAAACAACTCTTTGTGATGCCGTGATAAGACGTGATTATCAACCTGGCATTTACGAGATACATTAAAGTCCACGGCTGCCGTCTCAAATCCTTCCACCCAAAATGCTGTGTATAGATTTACACTCCATTTGCATCGTAGAGTTTGTAAAAGCATATGAAGACAGCGCAAAGTCTCAAGCTCTACTTCTGCAGTCTTATTCTCAAAGTAATAATCTGCATATGCAAACTTTCGTAACCGGTCCAGACAGTAAACATCATGCTGGCCTTGGCCAATAGCGAGGTATTTGTTACTTCCCATGCCTGGAGACAAGTATGTTATAATTAGTCCAGAAGATGACTGCCCATGTTAAACGTACCCCATTGCTCAGGTGCCTTGACGGCAAATTCTGGGTCTTTGCCCATGCGACGAACTTCATGCTCCTCGATAAGGAAAAATCGAACACCTTCATATAGAGCTTCCCATGCCTGGTCAACTGAGGGAGATGGTGGCTCTACAAATACTGAAGGACCTCCGGGATTATGCTGGTTCAACAACGCTGCCTTCATCCACCGAGTCTCGAGATTGACTGTGGTACGATCGAGGAGTGGCGCTGCATGCGCAATTTGTAAGCGACAGACTCTGAAACGGAGATAGGTGAGAAATTACAGTAGGCATTTGTAGCCACGACAAGCTCGTGGTCGTCCAGTTTTTTGACAGCCGAAAGTGAATAGACAAAGGCGACGAGAGCGAGAACAAGTAAGCAAGCGTCAACTGCAACACCGAGTCGAAGCCACTGGACAAAAGAAGACTGAGGCCTCGATGAAATTATGGGGTTTTCTTCGAAATCATCTTGAACGAGCTGGTAGCGACCTTTGATGGCCATATTGAGCGTAGACAATTGTTGAAGTGCAAATGACATCAAAACATGGCAGTAGCTGAAGGGTATTGAGAGTACTCGGTGATGCAAGTCAATGCAAACACAGCAGTGGCATATCGAGATGCAACAGGCGTAGCTTGGTCATCCTGCGCAATTGCCTTGCTGAATCCATCTGTGCAAAACCTCTTTGCTTATACGAACTACAAGGGTCTTGATCCAAGGCACAAAAGGCTCACTCCGTATATCCGAAAGACGTGCCAGGTGTGCAGGGGTACCTTTCAGTACACAGGTATCGCTCGTGACAGGTTTATTAGTGAAAGTGACAGGTTTGCTGGGGGTTAGAAGCCGAGATCCCGGATCAAACACAGCGATGGATCTTGGGGTTACAATCATGGACGTATTAGGTGCGAACTTTTTACTAGCCTCGTATATCGCGAGGACAAGGATTCGATCTTCGACTTACGACCGGGATGGCTTAACTGGCCCAGAGAGATGATTGCAGCAAGGCATGCTTACTGGAGTATGCTATGTATGTGTTGCTACTGAGCAGCCCTCAGAGAATGCCATGGAATGACTGCAGCGTGGGAAGTTTTGTTGCCTGGAACGAAGCGGAACGGTCTGAGCCGAACTACAAAGGATCAATGCATAATTAGCCTGAGTGTACAGGCAAGGATTGCTAATATGAGTTTGAGAAGGAGGAAGAAGCTTTCATCACTAGTAACGCGAGTATTCAGCGGCGTGCGAAGAGGCGGTGGTAATTCGATCTCGAACTCACCAACACATGGGATTGTTGCAAAGGCAAACGCTCATCATCACCTTGGGCCTGCTTCAGCTCGAGGCCATCAGAATTCCTTCAGGGTAAGACAAATCCATTGGCTGTTCGTCTTGAAGGCTTTCTTGCATTGCTTCTTGCAAGATTAATATGGCGATGGCAAAGGATACGCGCTTCTACCGTGCATACTCATTGTTGGAATCATGGCCTCTCTTACAGGGAGTGAAGGTGTCCAAAGGTCGGCTTTACTTCCTTGCTGTTGCTGAGGGCCTGGTCTTCTTGTTATCCATAGTAGTGTTGTGGCTCTCATGGTACCGTCTTACACATTCACCTTCTGATCACGAGCTTATTTCTCGGTCCAACACATATTGTAAGGGCACAATAGTCTCAACCCCGAGGGCACAAGCTGACATACTCATCTAGCACCACTACTCGACCGTTTGACAGTCCATATGCGCGACGTACAGCTGACGAGCGCCTTGCTCAATGAGCACAACACACCACCCTCTATCCATCGACAGAAACCTTCGTTAGATGTTGATGCCGCGTGGACGTATCTGACTCACGGGGGACGTAACTTTCTCATCACGGCCGACGAGGTCCGGAAGCTTGGAAAGGACCCTGAGAGAGCAGCTTATATAGTTGACGCGAAAGGTTTGTTCAGCCAAGGTTTGTCTACAAAAAGAAATGTATAGACTGCTAATCTTGTTAGCGAACGGAGATGAGAGATATTTTGCCTGGATCCAGGGCTCCCACGATATCCATTGTCTGGACAACATCCGCAGATTCATGTTCCGTGATCATTATTACGGCGAAGAATTGCAGAATCCTATAGTAGAGGCGCACTTCCTCCATTGTTTGCAAACCCTTCTGCTGTCGCTGCAATGCAAGTATAGCACAGATGTGTATCTTGCCGCCTGGGTGGAGGATCAAGATGCGCCTGTGATAGATTTCAACGTCACTCGCCGTTGTGTAAACTACGATGACTACTTGCACTGGGAGCCGAGCTCACAAAGGTCACACGTTGACTTTGCCACGACGACTGTGCCGCCGGATGCACTTCGAGTGAGTCAGGACATAATATGAGTACGTGTATTGATAGATTGCAAAACTGCCCTCTATTACTATAAGGATAGAGAAGCATACGTCTGTTGCTCTCGCAGTGACAACCCTAAAATTATGCTCTTAAGGCGAACGGTAATCTCATATACATGAAGTGGCGTCGAACAGCCACTGGGAATAGAAATCGCATATATAATGTAATATTGAGTCTTTTAATATGTTCTTTTTGTAGGAAAACAAGAGAGTGGTATCTACCTAGTAGCTTGAATTGTATATAACAATGCTTTCGCTTTCCTTGCATATTCCACGTCTGTCAGCATTAGGCCTTTAACCAATACTCGAATCTGCCGTTGGTTGTTCATAGGCGATGCTCTCCAACTCCTCCTCAGAATACACTAGCAGGCTGAAAAATTGCCCCTGGAGGAGCACGCAACTTGTAAAATTCTTCCTCTGAATGTTCTGTTCTTGGTGTCCATTCGTTCATGTATTCATCATAACTGAGACACTGGCGGCTGATATTGAAGTCGACAACAGCAAACTCCTGGCCCTCAACCCATGCGGACAGATATATGTCAGTACTGTATCTGCACTGAAGTGACTGCAATAGTGAGTGAAGACAATGCATGAGATGCTGCTCCAGGGCCCAGCTTATTGTGCCGTTGAAATAGTAATCTTTGAACATTCCTCGTCGTATCATATTCAGGCAATGCAGGTCATGTGAGGACTGAGTGATGGCGATATACTTCTCCTCGCCGTTGTCTGGGAGAGTGATTGTAAGCATACAGATTAGGGGGGCACGGTGAGGCAGGATGCTTCGCGCTGGTACTTACGCCATGCCTCAGGAGCTATCACGGCAGTCTTTGGATTCTTGCCTAGGCGTCTAACCTCTTCTGCTGTGATCAGGAAGACACGTCCATTTCTGTGCAGATATTCCCAAGCTGCATCAACATCTTTGGACGGCTCCTGGCGAAGAACAGATGGCGGGGTGTTATGACTGTTTACAAATGCGCTTTTGAGCCACCTCTGCTCGAGATGCAACTGACGTCGGTCTAAGATTGGTGCTGAAGAGTAAATCATCAGCAATCCGTAAACCATTGAACATCTTTGCTTGACTTACACCACCCATTAATTGATGCAATCAGCTCATGATCGGTTGGCCGATACAAGATCTTGCTGCAAGACGCCCAGATCAGGCTGGATGAAAGCAGAACAATAGAGAGGTGAATGAAGAATGTCAGTCTCCAGTATCGAGTAAGCCATGATTGACGAGGAATAGCCTATTATGCATTGCAGTAACACCAGTCAGTAAGAGAAGAAGGCAAATATCCCTGGGCTCATAAGGTTGTTGATAGTAGATCAATACTCACTGTCGCTCCCCTTTCCTTTGCAAGCTCATCATTTTCCATAGAATCCATTACTTCTTCACACTCTTCATTCAATTCCATGAGCCCTTGATTGGAAGCAAAAAACTGTACAGCGAGGGACGCCCGTACAACCCAGTTGACTGATGATCATGTCCTTGCCTCTTTTCTCATCGTGCTCCATACAAGGTTCTGCAGTCTCGGCAGTAAAAGCGTATCAATCGGACTTCCGTGCGGGTATCCATCTTTCACCCACGCCGACCAACATCTGAATCCTTCAATGCAGCCAGTTCCATGTTACATCGCGTATGACCGATCTTAGGGCGTGCATGACTACCTATTTTACATACAGGCGGGAGGGGTAAGAGCGGACAAGACGAGGGGCGTGTATGAATGAACTTTTGACGTAGTCGTGACTGAGTTCAAGGAAATACTAGCATTTATCATCTTCAGAGCGCTAGGAAGCCATCACTATACCCTCAACATTAACAATATGGGCTCAAGAGTGAAGTACGCGCCTCTCGAAAAGGATGAGAATGAGGTTGAGCGCCTCGTTACCGATGAGAGCCGACCAAGCAGCTCTGTCTCAGTAAGAACTCAATGGAACGCGACTGAGGGACTTTCCATTAACAAGACATGATGTGACATTCAGACGTTGTTTGAAGTCCAAGATGCAACTCCCCAAAAGTCTGCATGGCTCTTCACATCCTCGCGAATCTCCTGTCCGCCGACTCTGTGGCTAGTTGTGATTGATTGTCTGTTTCTTATAACTGCTCTGTCACTTTGCAGCTACGCATGGATCTTCAAGCCGCAAATGACGGATCATGAGCTGGTTGTCCAGGTTAATGGATACTGTGAGTCGCCTTGGTGTTTATAGTTTGCCATATTGGCGACTTGCTAAAGCACCCGACAGCCCCTCTACTGACGCGGACCAAAATCGAGTTACTGGAGCAACAGATACAGACGCCTTTAATTAACAGGCATAATGTCAACGGTTCATCCATCTACCGTGAGCCACCCTCGCCAGATGTGGATGACGCGTGGGAGCGATTGCATAAAGGAGATCGTCTGTTTCTCGTAGGAGAAGACGAAGTTCGCCGCATTGGAAAAGACCCAGATGTCCTGATCAAAGCACCTCTGGAATGGGGTGAGTGACCGACTTACAATGCTCGAATGTGTAGTATGAGATTAACACGGATGACTAGGCTACGGCGACGGCCAGTATCTCGCAGCGAACCAAGGACAGCATGACATCCATTGCCTGAATAAACTTCGGATGTGGATTTATGCGGAACATTACTATGGAGGCCGAGAGGCTGTACGCGAGATTCACGCCTTGCACTGTCTTCATACTCTTGTTCAGACACTGAAATGCCGATATAGCACGGATGTGTATACCGCAATGTGGGTTGAGGGATTCGACGCGCCAGTCATAGATTTTAACGTGACGCGCAAATGCATGAAGTATGAAAACATCTTGCATTGGAACCCAGAGAGGCCGTATACCGAGGACCAGTTTCTGTCCGTCAAGCCACCAAGCGGCCAGAAGAGAATTCCGTCAGACGTCTATTAGCAACCGCCGTAGCGGGTTTAAATACATACCAAGCACCATATAATATGCGGTCCCAGTGATGTTTCTATGAGCCTCTATGCGAAATATAATATTGCTTTGCCATTGATTTAGAGATCGAAGGGATCCGCCTTACAAATGTCGACACCGAATGACAAGGCATAACCTGGGCGGTTCTACTTGCTATCAGAGAATCATGCATCATGTTTTTGGGATAAGCTGTCTATTGTGCAGTACCCGTGCTTGTGGTTTGCTTTTGAATAAGGTAGGTACCTATTCGGGTAGCGTTTCGAAGGCGGCAGCGTGGTCATGCAACAAAAGCAGAATCATATTATAATTTTGGTAGGAGCGCAAGGCAGGAGATATGCATATGCAAATTCCCTACCAATTCTTAATGTCCATCATTGATCCAAAAGAACAAGTACAGAGTCAATGGTCATGCGGCTCGACAAATTCAGGGAGATCCTCATGCTTCTGTGCTTGATCGATGTGCCACTGATGCCAGAAGGCGCGTCCTTCGTCAGTCTCGTTCCATCCAGTCTGCCATTGTTTAAAGTATGTATTGCCAGGAAAAGCTGCCCAGAACTCAGACAGATCTTCCCACGCAGTCTGATCAAAGGGCGGGTTGTCAATAATCTCCTGTCTCTCTTCCTGCGTGACCTCTTGCCGTAGGTCTGTTGCCTCGTGCATTCGAGCCCACTCGACAATCTTGCTAAAGTTACGGCAGGTGTGTGTTGTTTCTAGATTAGGGGCCAGCACCGCGCCGACGGGCAGATTGAGACGCCAAGTGATGGGAGAAACATCAGCGTTGCACATAAGTGTGCTCCTGAGAATATCAATGCAGTGGTCTAAGAAGCTGTTAGAAACGGAACTTGTGATGACAGTAACATTGTCTCATACCCCAATGGCGAAACTGCATCGTATTCCGGTTAACGGTCCCGTCTTCATTGTATTCCCATTTTTTAGGCCATCGTTCCGGATAGAATGCTTTCCGGAGATCGTTGAGGCAGTGAAGCTGATGAAAGACCTCTAGTTGTATGAGATATCTATCGGTACCTCTCTCATTGATTGTCGGGAGCGCCAGCCGGTCTGCCTCCTCTTTTGTTATGGCACTGTCACCGTCTATAACACGATGCCTCGAGTCAGCTCAACTAACCCGCTGGTTTAGAGATGGAATATCTGTCGCTTACACTGATAGAGATCTTCCCACATTCCATCAATCTCGTCATTTGGAAATCCCATATATGGGGTCTTGGTCATGAATCCGGTAGAAATGTTCGTTACATGATACTCAATCAGGTGGTTCACAGGAGCTTCCGAACGCGTCAGCTCGTGGCCCGGAAGAGTCATCGATGTGCACACTTACAATATATCTGAAGCGCAGGGTCGCTTTGTTTTCGCAATACCAAAAGTGTAAGTCCAAACCCCAGTATAAGATTTACGGCCACGGAGATGGCCAGAGGCCAGTTTCGTCTTTGAGAGTCTCGGCGCCGAATGTTCTCTCCCGAAAGCAAGCTGTAGGTCGAGTCTTCATCTTTTGATGAGGCAGCTGAATCGTATTTGCTCCAAGGCTTATTCCATGATTTGGCAAAGCCATTCAAGGATGCCTTTTGGCTTGCCATGTCTTCGCAGGAGCAGCTATAGAGTCAAGCTTAACAGACTATGTTGGATTGGACGGCGCCCAGACGCTGAGAAGCTGTCGGCTGAGAGAAGTTTTCGTATATTTCTCACAAGGAGACGTGATGCAATAGCGGCCCCAGGGGTGTGTGTCTAGAATCATGCCACGCGCAAAGGAGGGGCCGCTCTGCTTAAGCGCAAAGAACCATGAAACAAAAGATCCAGCGATGATACGGCGGAAATAGACACCAGATGCTGTTTCAGCCGAGAGAAATGCAAATTCTCGCTGGATCTGGCAGTACTTACTCCAGATATTTCGATGTCGTTCTTCGCTACCAGGCACCAACAACATTGTCAGAAGCTCCGAGATAGCCGCAAAGAAGAACCTGGTACTTTGCCTTGCCGACTTGATGCTCATACCTAAGGTACCTACCCTTACTACCTCCGAGCGAGCTTAGCCCGCCTAGGTACCCGAGTGCCGCAGGTCTCGTATCAGAAGAAATGATACCTACCGCATCCGCTTACACTGCACGATTCCCGGCATAACCGGGGCCGCTGTCAAATTACGATCCCGTGTATATCCTGTACTTGATCGTACATCAAGGTCTTGGCTTCCAGAGTAGCAGTGCCTTAATACAACTTCTGAGATCTTGCGCACATAAAGAGCAATAGAGCTGATAATAATCGCACTGAGAAAGATCAGGCCTATCTGTGGGGAGTTCGGCGCTTGGTGCTGGTGAGGAATTACAGATTCATACGCCTAGGGGCCATTGTTTCGGGTATTCACCATTACTCCCCCAACTTATCACTGCGGCTTCAACTCTTCGATGAATCCTCCAGGAGCGACTGGGTCAAATCTCGATGCTTCATGCCGGTATGGTGTACATAAAAACTCACAGGCTAACGCTAAAGGGCAGACGTTCTCTGCGTTTCCGCAATCTTCGTCTTCGCATATGCTGTGGGAAGGAAGTGAAGAAGTCGGCTAGCTATTGTTGCATTGCGCCATGCTCAATTGATCTGGTATGATCGTAGGATCCTGCGATGGTCATGGTATCACTGCTCATGTGATGGATCGAGCTAAGCACGCCATTTCGATGTGATTACTCAAAATGGAAATCGTTCTGGATACGAAGTTGCAACGCTGACCAACGGCCCTTATGTATGATGACAACTGAAGTTGAACTATCGTCAACCGGACAGGATGTTGCCGCTGAACTCGGCGTTGCCGACTACGTCTTCTCATCAGAACTTCTGTTTAGCTCCGATTCTCAAATATTACTGAGGATCGAGACAGGGCCATCGGATCGAAGCCAGCTACTGGCGGAATAAACAGTTGACTTCTTGCAGAATCCCTTCACATCACACCACGTTCACAATCACAACCCTTAGAAGGTAGTTGCAGTCTATCGTAGCTCGTTGGGGCCATATCATAACAGGAAGTCTGAAAAGTGAGGTATGAGTTTGACGAGGTAGATATGTTGCAATGTTAAAACCTTGGTTGGAACTTCCCGTCACGAAGCCGGGTTTATCATCAGCGACATCTACCTGCAGGGGTATTCCTGAATTAGCTTTGAATCCTTTAGAAACCGTAGGGAGAAGTAGTTGATCCTTCATGATGCATGGATTATTGAAGAAACCAGGAGAAAGAGGATGCAGCCATTCACTAGCTTCAAGGAACTGCACACTTTCCATTCTGCCGAGAGCTTCTTCGAAGGATGAATGAGGACATCGGCAACTTGACTCCTCTTGACAAGGACCGTCACGTAGCATGGAAATACTCTGTCAATTTTGAGTTAAGCTCCAGCCTTTGGCAACAAGGCTATGTGGTAAGTGATTCGTCAAAGGTCCCAAACGGCTTATAAGGGCAGCTGGCAAAGCCACTTGCCGTTCATCTCTACTCTTTTCTTGACAGATACTCCTATTACAGCTGAAATCCTGCAATCACCTCGAGCCGCTCATTCGAGCCGTTATCAAAATGAAGCTGTTCATCACCATCGTCGCCACGGCTGCTCTCGTGTTGGCTGCTCCCACCAAGTACGACATTTCGCCGCAGCCTATCACAGCAGTCAATCTTGAGACTAACTGAGACTCTGTACAGGCATATGGAGCGCAACATTGACTCTTCTGAAGTCGCGGCTTATCAGACTGACACCTCTGTTGCTGGCTGGGCCGAAAACAAGAGGCGCAACATCGACTCTTCCGAGGTTGCAGCTTATCAAACGGATACATCTGTCGCTGGGTGGGCTGAGAACAAGAAGCGCAATATCGATTCATCGGAAGTCGCGGCTTATCAGACTGACACGTCTGTTGCTGGATGGGCTGAGAACAAGAGGCGCAATATTGATTCCACTGAGGTAGCAGCCTATGGCGGCGCTAATGTTGCGGGTTGGGTTGAGGACAAGAAGCGTAGTATCGATTCTTCCGAGGTGGCCGCCTATCAAACAGACGCCTCCGTTGCAGGATGGGCTGAGAACTGATCGCGTCGTCAGAACAAGGAGCTGTCTAACCTGTCTAACCCTTCCATAGCCGAGAGCATAATTGACACGTCTTGCTGGCGGGCTTACTTTCACTATCTGCAGTTGCAACTCAGAAGCGCATGTCGTAGTGAAGGGGATTTCTTTTTTTTCCCAACCTCTGTGAGATCATGAAGCAATCTGAAATCAATGTATATGTTATAATGCAGTTGCAGAGTTGTTCGTTTGATCCTGGCGTAAAGACTGCCTTCTCCCAAAGGACAGGGGCGGATGCTGACCTAGGATTCGTTAATGGCAGAAGAGCGGATATGCACACCCTGCCATAGCAGTACCCTCAAATCGAGCCCTTGTATCGGGCGGTTTGATTTGCCGCCACACAGCAGTGTCTAGTACCTACATACATAAGTGATCTTCGCCAACAAACGGTTCGTCGGGTTATTTGACTTCTGTGCCAAACGTTCAGCCCTCTCGTGGCTGCGTTAAATTGCGTCCAGATTCAGTGGGATCAGGGTTGGCAAGATGGGTTCGCTCTATGTTTGCCTCGTCTCATGGGTATTCATCGCCCAGCTCATCAGTTCCGAAACAACCAGGTCAACTGATGTGGCCTCCGCGACTGCGCCGTGCGCCCGCGTCTCCGCCCTTTGGGCGGCGCAAAAGTCGACATCTCCTCATGGTTCGCTCTTTGAACTCGACGTGATGCTGCAGAGCCATCCTAATCCAGAGTACAGCGACTCCTACGGTGGCTGCCGAGATCGCGCACGAATGCCTGAAGTCGGTACCGCTGGGCAAAGATGCCGCCGTCGAGTTGGTTGATGCTATGGCGCCTTATTTGAGCTGGCAGAGTGATGCGGCGTATAAGGCAAACCCTCCTGCGAGCTACCCATTCCCAGGTGAGAGCTCCAGGTCATATTTGAGTTAGACGATTGTATTGCTGAGGTCGTTTGCAACAGGCTACGACATTTTTGCCAACCTTGCCAAGATCAAGGCCGACCTGCAAGCGGACAAATATGACGGCGAGTACAGTTTTCAGCTCGATTTGTACCTCAACATCATTGCAAAGGGCCACGACGGCCATCTTCTCTTCTACCCAGATGCTCTCAGCAGGGTGTTTTCTTTTGAACGTCCAAAATCTCTTGTGTCAATCAGTGAAGACGGCGTAAGCCTTCCTGTCGTGAAATTTTATGGTAGGCTGCGCCTCGTGGATTGCGCACACACGATTGACTTACCAGTTCTAACTGTGAGATTATTAGAGGACGTTGTCGCCAACGCGGACGCAGCCAGCAGCATCACCCACATAAACGGCATTGACGCAGCTACTTATGTCGATGAATTCGGTTCCCAGGCTGTGGGCTATCAAGACAAGGATGCCATCTTTAATTCGATGTTTTTCTCCCTCGCAGCTCATGCTGTCCATCACCGGACCGGTTATTTTGCGAAAGGCGGCCGCACTCGTTACCTCTATCCAGGTCCCAGCACTGTGTTTACTTTGGCAAACAAGAGCCAAATAGTCATTCAGAACCTCGCTTCCATTACAGCCGACATGACGGGCGTTGTCGATGGCGAGTCATTCTATGCTAAGTTCTGCAATCCGAACGGCGCCATGAAGGATAACGCTCGCATCACCCCCCGGTCAATGACTACCAAAAGTACAGCGTCAAGCCGTTCCGACCCAACTATGTTAGGATACCCTCCTGCGCTGGCAAGCACGAGAGACAAAGTTGCCTCGTGCTATTTCCTTGAAGGCGAGGGTTTTGATGATGTCGTCGTCATTTCCTTGCTCGACATGATCACAGTCTCCATGTCCGATTACCAAGCTGTGATTCAGAGGTGCATCAAGGATGCTGTTGGCGCGGGCAAGTCTAAACTCGTCGTCGATCTCCAAGCCAATGATGGTGGGTATGTGGTTTTGGGATATGACTTCTTCCGTCAGCTTTTTCCTGATATAATCGGAAATGCGCTATCTCGCTGGAAAGAGAGCGACGGATTCTTGGCTGCGGTAGAGGTTGTAGATGACCAACTATCTGGCTTCAACCCTTCTTCCAGTAACGATTCGACCCTACTAAGAGAGTGGGAATCGCCTTTCAACTATCAAGCAGACTACAACATGAGCGGAAAACCATTCGCCAGCTTTGAAGACAAATTTCGACCGCATGTATACCAAAACACAAACTACACGAACCTCATGAGGTGGAATTTCGATGAGAATGTACGCACAGGAAACAACAGCCTTGGCGCCAATATCGAAGTTACTGGGTATGGGTCTCGATTTAATAGCACGCAACCTTTTCTCGCCGAGAATATTATCCTCCTCTACGATGGCGTGTGCGCCTCCATCTGCAGCATCTTGTCAGAGATGCTTCGTACTCAGGCAGGTGTTAAGTCGGTCGTGATGGGCGGACGCCCCATTCCAGGCCCTATCCAAGGGGTAGGCGGTATCAAGGGCGCGCAGAGCCTTCGTTGGCAAGAAAGTAAGTGACTTGTACAAGCCGCCGCCATTTGCATGGCCATTCCCAACGGTCTTTTGTTATCTGTAACAACATCCAACACGGCTGACTCGGTGTCTACAATAGTACACAGCTACATGGCGCGTTACCTGCGCCTTGCCAAGAATGATCACCAGGCAGCTATCTTCTCCAAATACTCGACATTGCCACTTAACAGATCCACTGCTGCTATGATCAACGTGCGAGATGCGATTACGTGGGACCATGTCGATGACGGCCTGCCGGCACAATACGTTGTTCATCACGCTGACTGCCGGCTGTATTGGACGGCTCCCATGATCACCGACGTGACGACAGTGTGGAAAGCAGCCGCTGATGTGGCCTTCAACACCGCTGCATGTGTAGCTGGCAATCTGAGTCCAACACTCCCTGACAGTCCAGAGCCAACTAGAAACGCTTTTCTCAATCTGCTGTTACAGATATCGTTATTCTTCACGTCGTACATTATATAGTGAATCGGACGGAACGGTCACTTTAAATAGACATCTCATAGTGTTACTCGCGTGTGAAAGAGTCTTCTTAGCACACGGCTATTTTCGTCTAGAAATCGTACGTTTTGCATGCAGATGAAGCAAGAGGTAACATATTTACTTGTGGTAGCTTGGCGGAGTCACCTTAACATTCAGCCGCCCCTTTTTCTCGACATCGCCCCGAGGAAGTGTAGGTAGAGTTTGAAAAGGGACCTTCATACTTCTGCCTATTACATCGAAGGGCAGATGAGTCGACTTTGGCGTGAAGAGTAGCTTCACTGACCCGAGGTACCTGTTGAGGTGGGTATACTGTTGCGGATTTGCTTCTCACTCCATTGGTCCAATTCCATAGACTGAAACGTCCTCAGGTACTTTCTCGACAGTTGTTTTCTCTGTCTAATTACAATGATGCTCTCATACGACAACTTATGCACTCGACGAACGAAGATCCTAGGGTAACCTCTGCGATCTGTGCTGATTGGCTGAGCGGTTGTGACAACATCGCCGAATGGTTGCATAATGCAGTGACTCTCGCCCCAGTCGCGGGCTGGATGATAATTTTGAGATTTGGCTGAAAAGTAGCGCCTGGTGATAGATGGTTTATTAGCCTTCCAAATATACGCCTTGTTAATGTTGATGCTGTCAAAGAAGGTTCAGATTACGCCACAACTCACGACTGGTGGCACAGGATGGGGAGCGTTTGCAATGTTCAGCGCTGCGCTTTGCTTCGCTGCCCATGGGAATCAATGTGCTCTTTGGAAATGCTGTCAGACAGAGATGCGCCTTGGATGATGCGATATCTGCCGTGGAGCGTTCAGGCTTATGCCCTTTCCTAGCATTTCTCTCTTCGATAGCCATTCAATCGCGGGTAACATCAAACCAAATTGACCGATGATCACATTATCCTTCGCGTTTTGATGCTAAGCGAGTCCGGAGGCTCCTCTACTGTCAACAAGTCACAGTGATTTCTTTGACTGAAGTTTGGATCTCGGTATCCCATTCGCTAAAGTACAGCTAGAGGCTACGATTGTAAATGCGTAGCCTCGGCCATGTCCAAAAAGAGCATCCTTGACAAGCTGGATCTCTTTTGATCTCCTTCACAAGGTGGCTCTGCACTATGCTCGCTAAAATACTTTACTAAAACTGCTCACAAAACTCACCGAATTGGCGGATACTTTTTTGAATAATGATAAGCAGACTCTATGTAAGTTCGCGGTGACCAAAGCTGAATGCCTTGGCCTGAGATACTTACTACAAGTGTTGGGTAGAGGCTCTTATTTGTTTGTTAACGTCGTCGGGACAGCAACGTAGTGGAGGTGCCTCGTGAAGTATTAATGCTGAGTTTTTAGAGAAAAGAACTGTAATGTCCAAATGTGCAAATCATATGTACACAGTCTGCCGGCAATATCCGTGCAAAGAGCAAATGAGACGACAATAGAACCATCTCATCCAAGCCCCGTTAACCGCTGTCTCGAATCATTCATTATAGCCCACTCTCTCTCTACGAGCCTGACAAAATGCGGTACACAACAAGGAGTAGTGATCAATAGCTCCATCTACAGGGGTGGGGAAATCCAATATGGTCACATCATGTACACAGCAGGAAAAGAGCGAGCGTATTATCGCAAATGATATAGCGAAGACGAGGGATACCAATCGAGTCCTAGGCTGTCCGTTTTGCCCGTCGTTGTAGGAATGCTCGTGTAGCATCTTTTTTGCATCCCTTAAGGTGGGCCGTGGTTGGCCCTCCATGCAAGTGTTACGTAATCGAATGCATCCCCAGAAATCCATCGACTCTTCCCCACACTGTCTCGATTGTTACCTATAGGGCTGGCTGGGACATTGTTAAACGCTGGTGACACTACTACTGTTTGAGCAGTTCGTTCAGACGGAGTCTTTGCACTGGGTATAGGAGACTCTAACCGAAATATAAATAGTGCGAAATATAGACAATATGCGAGCAATGGTCAATGTCGGCGAAAGTTCGATGTACCTTGGTCCAGACCACCAACAGGTACCAGAAGCTGAATACGAAGCACAGTCATAAGCACTCTGACTTGTGTACGTACCTAGAAAGCCAATCCACCAGCACCACCTCTGCACCTCCTTATCCGTTGCCATACTGCATGCTCTCACAAAGGCTTTGATTGCATGCTGTTTGTTGTCCAAGACGGCAGCCCTGGTTTTGATCACCCCTCCTACTTCCTTTCGAAGGAGGTATGATCCGTAGTCGTAGCGAATGCTACGAGGCCTTTGTTCCATGCTCCCTCATGTGGCAAGGCTGCAGCCATTTGTCAAGGATTGATTGCAACCCAAATATCTCCTTTGTTCGAGTCGCGCGCTACTTGGCGAGTGCTATTGTTTATTGAAATGAGATGAAGAACTAGAATCAACCCCTACCTGTGAGACGGAACTGGTCTCTCGCCTTCGAAACATCTCGGCGACGGATGGTACCCCCACATACATGTACTTTAGCTCGCCAATTGTTCGGTACGGAACCGCGGAATGCGAGTAACAAGTGGCACTGAGTACCCACAATCTTCACTCGCTAAGAGGATTGAGGGACCTGGATCGCTGGAGTAGCGCTGATGAATTTATGGGTTTGCGAAGCTGATATGCTCCGTTCCGGGCTCGTTTATGGCCTGCCAAGTCTGCTACTCAGTTGTAACGATCGCTCTGTGGGTACTTGGAGACACTTGCATGAGTAGGTGTTTTCAATAGTTGGTGATTGCTGTTAATGGGCAAACTTTGACTAAAAGCTGCGTATCATAGTTACCTATACAAGTCTGGAAGTCATCTCCTGATTATCCCGACGAGTCTGAAGGGAGCCGTGGTCTGTTACGTCTGTTATTTCCGTGTGTAACCCGCTCAACTGTTTGGAGTGCAATCAGCCTGTATACCTTTTTGTTTTGCGAGGCTGATCCTGCAATCACAGCAGTTCATTCCAAAGAAAATAGTGTCCAGGGGGGGGGGGGGGGGGGGGGGGTAGAAGGCTGTCTGTTTGGTCAAGATGGGAAACGGGCATAAAAGGAACAGATCAGAATAATCATTCGATGAGCGATAAACTTTACTGAAACAGGACGTGGCTGCTGCAGGGGAAATGGCTCGATTCCGAAGCCGGCAACTCGTGGGCGAACCTCTAGCTTGGCCTCATGCTTCCAATCGATTGGATTGGCCATGTTCGACGGCGTTCATCAGCCGCACTCCCGCCCCGCTCCGAATCCAGGAGTATGCCCGGAGCTAAGAGCCACAGCCATCAACTATATTCTAGAATGCGCGTCTTCATCCCCAGAGAGCACAAGCCAAAAGGTGAGTCGGCTGGGGCTCTCCCGCGTGCGCGTCGTGCCTCGGCCCTTAATCTCGCCCTTATCTGGGTGGTGGGTTGGTTGATGGCGTTATTTCGTTGCAAAGGTTCCCATCAGGGGATGCAGAACTGACGGCCGCTCCCGCATGTCTTCAGCTCATGGCTTGGTATCAGCGTCATTTCGCCAGCAGACCAACGACTGTACGTCTGCCCCTACGTAGATCGACGTTGATGTGCCTGGCCACCGCTGAAGAAAAAAAAATTTCCATCAAGGGTTTCTGTTCCACCAATGGTTGATCTGGGCGACGCCTCGCTGCTGAGATTCTTCGGGTCGATGACGCCCTAAACTGATAGTTAGCACCTCAGGTCGTCTGGTAGTTCCTCCGCCCTGAGTCAAGATGCGGGTGCTCACGGTCCAGGACCTTGCGCTAATATCGACCGTCGCGTGCCTGAGTAACCGATCTGCTGTGTAGACAGGGATCAAGCATGGGATGCCACGATAAGGCCGTTCGGAAACTGAACAGGGGAGGCAATTGAGACATCAAAAGGGAAATGTCGCGCGCTGGCATCGTTCTGATATCTTCCTCTATAATTCCACGTGGTGATTGCATATTTTGTGTTATGCCTCGTCACTGCTGCTGATCCCTTCTTTTTTCCACCTTGCACTTCTACCTCAACCTTGTCAGTGATATTCTCCGACTGGTCGTAACAAGCCGACTAAGAAGAGGCAAGCACGAATCTGCTGAAGAGTTAGGCCTGTGTTGGAGACCATTGGCTTGGAAGCAGCAACGTCGACGGACGCCAAAGATACGCCAAGATGGATGCGGAATTCATGGATCAGCTCTGGAGTGAGCGCCACTACGGAACACCGCTTGCCATCATCTTCATGATACTGCCCACGATCGCCGTCGGCCTGCGGTTGTACGCAAAGACGACAGCTCAACAGCCGATTGAGCTCAGCGACTACTTCTCCATTGCGGCATGGCTGAATACAGCGGGCTTCTTCATAACATTACTGGTGGGAGTATATCTGCCACCATCGTATCTCGATAACCCCGAAGGCATCGATGTGCCGGTATCCAAAATCACATTTTCCCTCAACCTCCTGTGGGCAGCTGCCTGCTACTCTTGCAAGCTCTCTATCCTCTGCCTCTACTATCGCCTTCTCAGCACGCCGTCAAGCACCTTTCGATTGGCTGTCAAGATCATGTTTGTCTTGACAGCTTGCATTGGCATTGCGAGTGTCTTGGGATTCCTCTTGGTCTTTAAAGATTTGTCGTGGTGGTGGTCAAACGGCATGAAGACTCACCCCGACGCGCAAGCGAACCTCATCAGGATGAACGAGGCTATCGACATCATGTCACTCCTCACAGACGCCATCCTCTTCATCATGCCTCTTCCGGTGATCAGAAGACTGAGCCTCAGCAAAAGCAAGAGGCGCCTCCTTATCGGTCTCTTTTCTCTTGGGTTCCTGTAAGTGTTCACAGACTGGGATTTCCTGGTTACTCAGCAATGACGCCATTGGGTCCTGACAAGCGATGCGAATTCTTCTAGGACCTGCATCGAGGTGGTTGTTCGAATCATCACTACCTACGGCTTCAACGGCGCCTTGGACGCCATTCAGGTGCAAGTTTTATTGATGGGGATCGAACCAGCTATGGGCATTACGCTCTGTTCTCTGCCCGTCTTTCTGAGGCTGGTGAGTCCAAGTCCAGAATTTTGCCTGAAGTTGCCCCTGATTACACGTGTTAACCTTGTTCGCGTTGGCACAGTTCCGCAAAGGCAAGAACCCTTCCAGCGGCCGCAGTTACGCCTCCGGAGACCGGGGCAACTTCTACTCTCTCGGACCAGTCAGCGCCAAGCGAACAACGAGGGATCCAGATGGAGCGTTGCTAGACTCAACTGTTGGAAAGCCAAAGCCCGTTCTCGTGCAGACGGAAATTACGATACATTCTTCCCGTAGCGGATACAATGACTCGATCGAGTCTCAAGAGTACTGGAAGTGAGGAAGGCATACCTATGTTCATTTGTTTAATTTTCCTTGCTAGATGTCTTGAGCAATCACCGTTTATGAAGCCATTGCCGTTTACGAAATGCAACCTGATAACGAACTGTATACCTGTTGATTTGCATGTGTCATGGGGCTAGGACATCATTTTACGAACCGGGCGTTCCAATGCCTAAGCGGGCTCTTGCGATCAATACTGATATGGGAGTAACCCGCATCATGTAGTAACGAAAATTTTTGCCTGAAATTCGATACTGGAAAACCCTGGTTTTAGCTGCATCAAGGCAGCAGTATCTGATGGCTGTGTTGAGAGATGTTTACCCAGCACCATGAGAAGTACTTTGCGAAGCTTGGCCTACCCTACCAATACGGCTTTGCACTTGCTCAAATTGGTGTGCAAGGCATGTATATGAGAAAAGTCTTTGAATGCCTTTATCATCAAATGAGAAAACACTTATAGACTTCAGAGAGAGAGAGAGAGCTGTAGCACCTTCCGTCGGGATTCCTGCAACATGAGAGCTCAAGCTGTCGGCCATGGCATCTCGCGCGTCAAGCCGTAGAATAAGACAGCGCCAGCTGACACACAGTCTTCATTCTCCAATTTGAGGTGCATCCAAGCTTGCCTTCTTACCAGCCTTGGAGAAAAATGGTCGCCCATTGTCACCTTCATCTTTGGTACCCTCTCGCTAAACATTCCCAATCAGCAAATTTGTAAGATTGACGCCTCCCTGCCGCTCGGTCCCCGCCTCGGAGCCGCCTCTTCGGATCCAACAGGACGCCTCGGGCCGGCGCCGGAAACTCGGCGACGCCGGCGCCGTGTCGCGCAAAATCGATCTCTCAGCGTGCGAGTTACAGCAGTCCCTGTAATGGCTTGTCTACCTATGATCGACTTTGTAGAGCCTTCTGTTCGCATCACCCTGTATAACAGAGGAACCGCTGTATTCAAGCGCACTGCCTCTGTAATGCTGTTATTGTTTGTCAAACGATTTGGACCTTCGCGAGATAAGCTCTTGACCTTGAGAGGACAGTGCGGATCTGTGCTTTGTTCTTTGTCTTGCTTGGACCTCTCTCGCCGACAGGGTGCGTGTCTTGTGCTTAATGCTTCGTCGTCGGGTCAAACTTGTCCCACCTGTGACTTGTGAGCCCTTTGTCAATTATTCTATGTTCAACAACTAAATAAGATTCTGCCAATATTAATTACCTGAGAAAGCATACCTATTCTAAGGGAATGTCTGGATTATTTTGCGGATATCGGCATCGTTTTCGATGTGTAGGACTCATGTAAGCTCGAAATGGCAACGATGGATACTACCGAGAAAGGTAAGGTACTGACAGTGTCGATCTTCCTACCTCGAGATAAGGCAATTACGGTACCTTACCATCCATGCCAGCTTACCTAGGTACCTAGGTACGGGTGCTTCCTAGCTACCTGTATGTCGTGCCATTGTTACTGAATATGAGGGGAACGATGACGATATCTGTCCCAGCAATGACTTATGTTGTGCGACCGTCCACTTAGGCTTGGGCATCACAGCCAAATACGGGTTGTTATCCATAAGCATGCAAATGCGTTCATCGCCCCATCACGGTATCGAAATCACATATGTACAGTTTTTGACTTCCATTTCTACTAGCTGTCAGATGTCAAACTGTGGTCAGGTCAGGCGCGGGGTCTAATAAGCGCTAATCTTCCAAAGCGTGCCAGTGATCTTTCTGTGGCGGGTGACATTGGCTGCTATCAACAAGGGATTGTAATTGTGAGAGGCTTAACCGCCCAATCATCCCACGTACCTTAGGTATATATAGAGCTTGAATCCTTGCCTGTCACTCGCACCCCGCCCGAGTGATTCACCATCACACAGGCTAAACGCATCTCATTCAAAAGCTCCGTGGGTCGGAACTATATGCCCCATCATCTGCTTGTACATTTGCTGACAATCACGATACACTCCAAAGTAGCCGATAGCGAGAATGCCTGTTATTGCGAGCAAGCCTGACTTCATTATTCAGTCGGCGTCCTCCCTGAATCAAGTGAAAGACCTCTGGTGGAGTCGCATGCGAGATTTAGGATGGGTATATCGTCTTCTTGCTGTCCTTTGACAGTTTACAGCTAACAAATGCCAGAATCGCGATGAACTGGATGCGAATACTCACTTCACAGTCGCCCGGCACGGCGAGGACTGGCTTTTACTGGTCCCAACAGGTTCAATCGAGCCTTCAGGAATGGTCATTGGTTTCACGTATCCAAACCAGACTGGATGGGTCGGCTTCTTCATCCTGAATGAAGGGTATCGGGGAAGAGGCTGGGGTGCGGCTTTATTCAAAGCAATGCTTGACACATACCAAAAGAATGGCATCCATACGGTCGGCTTAGACGCGGTACAGGAGCAGGTCAACACATATGCAAGGCGAGGATTCGTTGAGGCGGCCAGAATCAAGCTCATGACGCGCGTCTCGGCACATGAGGTTCCGATCAGCTATGCAGACAAACAGCCAAAGCAGGGTCATAGAGTGACTGATATAAGGGAAGTTGATGCGCGCGCCATGGCGAGTCTGGATCACGCGCACACGGGACTCTATCGCCCAGCCCTGTGGACGGAAGAGGCCTTATTCTCCCGCCCCGATGCATTTGGCTTTGCCATACTCTCGGAAGCTTCAGACGATCTTCAGGGACTCATACTAATTCGTCGGTGTGAGCATGGGCATCGAGTTGGTCCCTTGATAGCGGATTGCACGGAACATGCTTCTCTGCTACTTCAACTGGCCATGTCACATCAGAGCATATTGACGTCAACTGGAAGCCTCATTGCAGAAACGTTTGGGCCGAACGAGCACGCTGCACGGGTGTTCTCGGACTTGGGTTGGCAATGGGCTGGTCTAGATTACCATAGAATGTGGCTCCAAGGTCGAGTGCCTATCGAGCAGCAGGAGGGTGGAAAGGGCCCGAGGGGTATGTTTGCAGTCTTCGATGCCGGTCAAGGTTAATCGAAGTCATGTAGTCCGGCAGAAGGATGAAACACCGGCTCATCACAGAAACTGTTACGCAAAGGTCTCCGCTGAGGCTATACATTTGGAGTAAAACCTTAGCCAAGCGGCAATACAACAATACAAGAGGAGAAAAGGCATCAGAAAGGGTGATACGAGAAAGTGATCGAGGCATACTAAGCGCCACTCTAACAGAAGGTAAATACATATCACGCGCTGGCTCCATCTTCTTAAAATGGGAAGAACACGCCCACAACAGAGGAGACAACCTCAGTACAAAACATCAATATGACATCCCGAGCGTAAAAAGGTCCAATATTCCCCTCCTTTCGGTGCGTGCGTTATTAATCGCTTCCCATATAAGGGAAAATCATCTTTGCCCCGTTGGCCTGAATAGCCTCCAGGTACGCCGTAATCAAGGGATCGATCCCCGCCCTGGCCGCACGGCGCAGCCACTCATCCAGCTCAACCTCATCAAAAGTGATGCCATATACCTTTCCCAGATGGGACCAAAGTTCACTCGCCGGAACCTTGATCCCACCGGAATGGTGCTTAAAAAGAATATTCGTAGATTCCTGTTTGCCCTGGCCCGAGCCAAGCTGGATCACCGACTGGCGCAACTCCGCAATAACGGTATCCAGCTGGGCCAGGTCAAGATAGCCCACAACATTGTCCATTCGGGGCGATGACTGCATCAAAATAGAGTACCGAAGGATCGCATTCAGGGCATCAGAATTGGGAGCGTGTTCGCTGACAATGACCGAAGGGCGATGCACTGAGACAGTCCAAGGGTTCTGTTGATGTCGGGGTGATGAGGCCAGTAGGTGTCCGACAAGGTTCTCCAAGAATACCTCGCTTGTCCACTTGCTCATCATATGGCCTTCCCGCCCATCTGTTGCCGGAGGGAAACCGCTGACGGAAGCCGCCGGGGGCGAAGTGTTTCCAGTCAGAAGAACGACCCGGCTGGATGAGAGGAACAGCAGTGGAATAGAGCGCGGCAGCGCCATTGAGGCTAGAAAATGGGTAGAGATAACATTGGGGATGCGCAATGTTGCGTATGTATTGAGGCAGTGACCGCTACCTCCTGCGTGAACGATGATATCTGCCGTGCTCTCTAATCGCACTCGCTCAGTTGCATCGAGCCCCAGAGTGGGTGAAAGCAGACTTCCATTGAAGGATTCAATCTTTTCGTTTTCAGGGAGTAGATGCTGATCGTCGGCGAGAACGGCGATGCAGTAAATCTTGCTCACCTTGTCCGACTCAAGGAGAGACTTCAACAGGTGACCTCCCAGGAATGTTGTTGCACCGGTCATCAACACGCTGATCTTCTCCACTGGTGACTTTGCGCCCACGACCTGCTTTGACTGAGATTGTTCGTGAATCTGGTTCAAGAGCCACTTAGGAATAGCTGTCTCTGCTGCCCAGTCAATCTCTCTTTGGTCATCATGTTCAGCTTGCGACCGCCGCTGCTTGTCGACCGCCCGAGCCATCTCCCGTAACGTGCTCGCCTGGTATAGCTTTCGGGTTGACATCATGACATTCATCGAGTCCTTCATCGCCGCCTGAAGCTTCATGAGTAAAAGTGAATTGCCTCCCAAGAGGAAAAAGTCCGACGACGGCGCGATGCGTGTCAAGGGGGCGACCTGGGGAAGAACACGTTCCCACAAAAGGCGCAACTCGCCTTCTTCGATCGTCATCTTCTCTTCTTCTGAACCTGAATCAGCCCTTGATTGACATGATGGAAGCGGAAGGGCTGCGATTGCTTTGCGATCCAACTTCCCGTTCGCATTAGTGGGCAGGGATGACAAGATGACGATACGAGCTGGAATAAAGTATTGGGGAAGATCCAGTCGCCTCAGCACGCGATTCAGATCATCTTCAGTGATCAATGTGGCTTCAGGTTCGCCTGGAGGGACTGTGGCATGGGCAATGAGCACATCTCCCCGCTGAGAGACAACCACATTAGACAGGAGGCCGTCTGCAGCCTCAAGTACGGCCAATTCTACTTCCTGCAAATCGACCCGGATGCCCCGAAGTTTGATCTGAGAATCTCCCTCAATGCGGCCAAATAGCAGCAATGTCCCGTCAGACAAGAGGCGCCCACGATCTCCAGTACGATACATCCTTTGTCCCTGCGCAGTCACGATGAACTTGCTGGCGGCGTCATCGGATGCGCTGATGTAACCCAAGGCCACTCCCGCCCCTCCGATACAGACTTCTCCCGTATGGTTGACCGGCTGAGGGCTGCCCCTTGCATCCAGGATGGACACAGTGTAGTTGGGGAGCACCTTGCCAACCTTGTACTTGACCATGTCTGGATGAGCATCTTCTTGACCCCCGAGGTCGATGGGTTGGAATGAAGCTGCGGCCGTGATCTCCGTTGGTCCGTAACAATTTGTGACTCTCAAATTTGGAAGGCCAAGACGACGAAGCTCCAAGACCAGCTGACGAGTGACTGACTCACCACCCATACAAATATGTCGCCACGCCGTGTTCTCCTTCAACGAGGAAATCCCATAGCGGGTCCAGGCGAGATATTCGGATGGCGTAGCGATAGAGAGGGATATATGCTCGCTGCACACAAGTGACACCATTTCGATTGGATCGCGCCTGATGTCAAAGGGGGCGATTACCAAGCGACCACCGTTCGCGAGAGCGCAGAACATCTGGACAATGGACATGTCAAAGCCCGTGGAGCTCTGTTGCAAAACGGTCTCTTTGCCCAATCCGAGCAAGTGCGTCTTGAGAGCTAGATGGTTGGCGAAGTTGGCCTGCGAGAGCATTATGCCCTTTGGCGTGCCCGTCGAGCCGCTGGTGAAGAGGACGATGCTGCAAGCATCCGGTGACGCCAAACAGGGCACCGTCACTCTAATCTCTTCCTCTATAACGTCATCAAGGACGACTCGCCGGATGGGGAATTCGATCTTGCCGATGCATTCCCGCGCCTGACCGTCTGTAGAAGCGTGGTTCACAACGAACGATGGCTTGGAGGACTGTATCATAGCAACATGACGCGCCGTCGGCAAGCTAACATCCAGAGGAACGTAAACGGCACCAATGTGTAAGATGGCGAGCATGGCCACGATGGTGTCGATGGATGGTTCGCAAAGCACGGCGATACGGGTGCCTGACTTGCATCCATGGCGGATCAGTGTGTCGGACACACCGTTGACTCTTTCTAGAAGCTCGGAGTACGTCAAGGTGCCCGTCTTATCGGTCACAGCTGGGTCACCATGGTGGAGGCGGACCATATCCAGGAAGCGTTGTGAAAGTGTTGCCGGCCACTCAAAGTGTATGACGGGGCCCTGTCCAATGCTCAATGAGCTGTCAATCTCAGGTTTGCCATAGATGTTACAGTCATTGATTTGAAGATCCGGGGTGTTGGAGAAATCATCCAGAAGACGCATGTACGCATCCATGATGGTAGCGCAAGCCTCGGCACCATAAGCAGAGGACGAGACATAAACCTCTACCATGCATCCAGTGCGTGTCTCTGCGATGCCCAAGCTCAGATCATATGGATTGTTGGCGTCTTTAACATCTGCCATGGTCATTTTGGCCCGTCCCAGGGGCAATTCCCAGATGGAGCCGGTGCGATAGTTCAGTGCCGCTTGAAACAGTGGGGTGCTTCTAGAGGATCTTGGAGCCTTGATCTTGTCTAGTATCATGTCGAAAGGCACTGCCGAATGCTCAAGAGCCTGGAGGGCGCTCCTGCGTGTTTGCTGAGCGACGTCGGCGAATGAAGCCTTGCCGGGGGGCACATGCAGGCGAACCGGGACCATGTTGACGAAGCAACCCACAGTACCAGCGTATCGGTGATCGTTGCGATTGGCGTCAACAATCCCAATGCAGAGATCATCAGTGTTGGTATAACGAGAAAGCAAGACTTGGAGAAGAGAAAGGTGGAAGTGGAACGGGCTGATACGAAGCTTTTGGCAGGTCGCCTTCAGCGATGCAAACTGCGTATCGTTCAGTTCGCGGTATTGATGATACGTATCAGGCACTGACTCGGCGACGCCGCTGGGGCTGCCGATGCGAGCAAATGGCAGACGCGGAAGCCTCTGAGGTATTGTCCTGAACTCCGCCTCCCAGAAAGATAGCTGCTTGTCAAAATCGCCTCGGGCTTGCTGCTCCAGCTGCTTCACGGAGAATTCTATATATGATCCGGCACTCTTGTTCACAGGCTTCATATTGTAAGCATTGTTCAAGTCGTCCAGAACAACGCCCAGCCCAATGACATCCATGACAATGTGATGGTATGCGATAATCAGGTCGTGGTCCTCGGAGTCGCGGCTAAGCAGTGACACTTCCATCGTATGCCCGTACTGCAGGTTCCATTGACAGGTGGAAAGCCGCGACATTTCCCGAGCAACATCGTCTTCGGATGCATGGACAGTGTGCTTGAAGTTGCAGAGAGAGGAGGCCATGAGACCTTGCATAGGATGGCCGTCTTCAAGGTGCGAATAGAAGCACATCCTCAGACATTCATGCTTATGCGTCGTAAACGACAGTGCGTGCTTCAGTCTCGCAGTTCCAATAGGTCCCTTGACCTTGTAACGGAAAGCCATGTTGTACGCCGCAGAATTTTCGAGATGTTGAGACATGAACCAGAGGCGGGCCTGGGCGGGTGACATTCGCTCTTCACGGATTATTCCTGGCCGAACTCTCATCTCATCCGCCTCCTCTGCCGCGACGCCGACAGAGCTTTCGTATTCATCTTCGAGCTCGGGCGTATCGTCCTTTGTGTAGGAGCTGTTGCTCGAGATGGATTCCTCCTGTTTGCTGGTGGCTGCTGTTAACACACTCACACTGTCAATATCCACGGCAGCCGGAGTTGTGAGAAAGGAAGACCGATCACTCTCGGGTGTCAGTATGGGGCCCCTTTGATCAGTTGAACCTGGAGTTGGATCACCAGACGCAATATGAGACGATTCAATAGCTATGTGTGGCGAAGTAGCAAGAGGCGTTGGGGCTGGGATACGAACCGGGGCTGTAGCTTCGGCAGGCTTCTCAATTGTCGACTTCTTCTCAGCCCCGGCTTCCATATTCTTGGCCAGTAGCTTCTTCGTTGCGATTGTAGACAGTTGCTGGACAGTATCACCTCCAAGAATTTTAACGACGGGCACGTCGGCACCGAGTTCTTTGAGGAACCATGTTCGGATTTCCACGGCAACTAGCGAGTCGATTCCCAAATCAGTAATCGGGCGTTGCACATTGATACAACCGGCCGTGAGCTGCAAGATGGATTCCAATTTCGCACAGAAAGCTGCCATGACTGCGTCTATGGCTTCTTCTTCCTTCTCGGCCTTCTCCACCAAGGCTCGGACGTTATCAATAGATCCCGTCGAGCCACGTTCGTGCTGGGCGTGGATTGCGTGCTGGTCAAAGTGGGCAAAGCGTGGGTTCTTCATCCACAGAGGCTGCTGGTCCAGTGGAATCTGCTCCCTGAGCGGCTCAATGCCCATGATTATATCATGGTAGCCCGAGGTGCTCCCCGGCTTTCCACCCTTCACAGCCTCAGCAAAGGCGTGGTGAACGTCGGTCTCGGAAGTGGGCATGAGCCTGACCTTGCGAAAGTGGGAGTCAAGCTGACGGTCGCGCTCCTCGCGGGTAACATAGCCAACGTCCGTTACATAGGCAATGTGAACAATGGACGCTGCAAGGCCACGCGCACGCCGTTGGTGAACAAGGCTATCCATGAACAAGTTGGCGGCATGGTAGTTGGACTGTCCAACGTTTCCGATGACGGAGGCAACCGAGCCCAGTAAGATGAAAAAGTCGAGTGGAGTGCTGCTGAAGACAGAATCGAGGTTTTCGGACCCGATGACCTTGGCGGCGAGGGTATTGTTAAACTGATCAACATCCATGTCCACAAAAAAGCCGTCCTTCAAAACCATGGCGGCGTTGCAAACACCTGCGATGGGAGGCATAGTCTCGCGAATTTGCTGCACGACCTTTTCGACGGACTCTCTGTTGGTCAGGTCCATGGCGAGGACCTTGACCGTGGCTCCGACGCGCTCAGCTTCCTCTAGGGTGGCCGTGTTCACCTGTGGATTACGACTGGTAATGACCATGTGCTTGGCTCCGTTGCGTATCATCCACTGACAGATCGATAGGCCTAGTCCTCCTGCCATGCCCGCCATGAAGTACGTCTTGTCAGGCCTGAACAGACCCTCAAGGCTGAGCGGCGGGACAGTGGTCGAGATCACCTGCGTGGTCCAATCGGTGACATAGGCTTGAGCTTTGAGAGACATGAAGCTGCGTCCGGCTAGCGTCTGTGCAGGGACGACGGGAACAGCAGGCGATTCGACGCCCGGGAATGCGAAAGCCTCCTTGAGCAGCTCTACCGACTCCCTGTGGGCACTACGAAGAGCTTCTTGGACAAGTTGTACGTCGAGCTGCCGGCTGATGCAATTACTTGGCATGCTCTGCGTAAGAGTAGCCGCAGCTGGGGAAGAATCCAGCGAGCAGTCAATGAAGAGCTGGACATCATGTGGCACAACTCTCTGAATGGAGCGCTTAGACGCCAGAGCATGGATCTTGATGCCGTTAGCCGGAGTTCCATGCGTCCGCGTGGAAGCAAAGAAAGCCTTGCCACCTGCTGCCGCAAGCTGAGCTTTGACTGATGCAGCTAGGGAATCATGAGCCTCGAAGAGAAGTACCGAGGCGTGGGGGCCGGCCACTGTCGAGATGGACCATGACAAGATGTAATTTGCAATAGCAGAGAGCCTCTCCGGGCTGCAATCTTGCTCATCAATGGGGATGACGTGTGTGCCATGAACTCTAGCGATAGAGGTGTTGGCATTGGTGACAGCAGCTACCCATGATGACCCGGAACGTCCGGCCATGATGAAAAGCTCATCTCCGCTCATGCTGGGAATGCGCAGAGAGTAATGAACCTTGAGCAACTCAACTCGGCCGGTATTACTGGCGGCCACAGCCACTTGCAGAGACAGCCTGCCATCTTTCTGTACCACATCCACAGGAGTCTTGCTTGCATCGACGGTCTTGGTGATGGCGCGCTTGGAAGCATTGTATAGCTCGTTGAGTTCATTGTCGGGCACCACACGAGGGATGATGATGCGGTCACGAACAATGTCGAGCTCCGGCTCCATGGACCACAGCATCTCACGATGACTGTTGCCTCCATCTGTGCCTGTCTCCCGGAGCCGTAAGAACATCTCTACCGAGGTCCTTGCGAGAGCTACGGGAGTCGCAGTGGCTTCAAGTCCCAGCACCTGAACGTTCAGCTGCGGGAGCTCAGAGGGCACAACTCGCATAATGCCGTGGATGAGATTGGCTCTCGGACTCTGACATTCACGGGCACCCGTAACCCAAAGAATGTTCTTAGCATTCATTAGTAGGGTTTGGAGAATGGTCATGCAACGAGCCGTTATGGTGTGTGAAAATGGAGACTCATCAAGGTCCTGTAAGGAAAGAACGTCGAGACCGGGAGTAATTCCTGACACGTTGACTTCGTCGATGCTCTTGTAAACTCGCACGTGTCGAGCCCATTTCCTTGGAAATAGCTTCTGAATCTCTCTGATCACCTTGGACGTTGACAATCGCTTGCCTCCAATGACAAGGATGGGGTCATCTGGGGGAGGAAGCTCAGCGACAGTGCTCAGCGGAGATCTTAGGCGCTGAAAGTCGTCGTCAACAGCCTGACCCATGATGAGGGCAGTGCAGTGCTTCTCTTCGTCGGCCAAGTCGTGAATGACGGCATCAGCACCAGAGAAGCCGGTATTCTGCAATAGCCTGTCCCATTCGATGGCTGTGACGAGAGGGCTAAGCCGTCGGCCATCATTCTCACCCAGCCACCATCCTGGAAGACCTCCCATAACCAAAGTGGCGCGGACACTCATGGTACCTGTAAGCTCTACCATGACAAGGAAACCACCGGGCTTGAGTAATGATCGGGCATGGCGCATTGTTCTTTCCAAGTCGTGGGTTGCGTGGAGGACAAGGGCAGCAATGATGATGTCGTAGGATTGCTCTTTGAAACCCTGCTCCTTGGGCTCCTGCTCAATGTCTAGCACCTTAAAGATTATCTTGTGGGCAAAGTCGGAGAATTTCTCCTCGGCCAGATGAAAGAACCCAGATGAGACATCGGTGTAAGTGTACGACTCGTACGCATCGTTGATACTCTTCAACACACTCCAAGATGTTCCACCAGTACCGGCTCCGATTTCTAGAATCTTGGCTCGAGGAAACTTGAAAGAAAGTTGCCGCATTACATCTCCCACCGCCTTGTTCGTCGGAACAGAGGCATAGCCTTCCATGTAGAAGCGGTTCAGCATGTCGTTCTTGGTCATAACCTCGAGCATCTGCTTGTTACCTCGAACGACATGGGCCAAGTCCTTGCCCACGGCGTGGAGAAGCTTAAAGTCAATCGTATCGCCGTGTTTAGAGTCGAGTTCGTCAAGAATGGACTCCTCGTCATCCAACCATTCAGGCAAGATGATGGGATGCTCACCGTTCTTGACGATACTGATGTGGTTCTCGAAGGCCTCAAACATGCGCTGGTGGTACCACTGAAAGTCGGCTCTCTCCTCCTTCTTGACCTCTTTGAGGATATTCTTGACGTAGAATACTGCAACGCGTTCGACAGCATGGGCCATCTGCAACCCTTCGGCATCCTTAACAGGATCTCTAACTGGATCAGGAAGGCCGAGAGTGACATCTTGACCCCAGAGAGTTCTAGAAAACATTGAATTGTCGGAAGAGGCGTCCTGCTCACCCACGGAGTTTACGGCAAGTCCTTCCACTTGCAGAAAGGTTTTGCCAGTCGCGGCATCGTAGATGTTGAGATCGCCAACCAACGAGTTAGCCGTTTGCTTGACAGCCCACGTCTCGAACTCGGCAGCAGTCTCAGCCACCTCATTAGGCTGTGTGAACTGCACTGACGGGTTGATGCGGACACGATCGATGTGGGATGGCAAGAGAGCAGAGTTGATCTGACGACTGGCCGGATGAGCCTTTGCAATGAACATGGTCTGGAAAGCGACATCGAGCATGGCGGGATGGACAACGTAAGCGCTATCCAGACCATCCACCCAGGTGCTCCTAGTGCTGGCATAGTCAAGCTTTCTTTCAATGGTAGAAATGCCGCGGAAAAGGCCAGAGTAGTTGAGGCCAATATCTTTAAACAAAGAGTAGACCCTTTCCGTGTCAATCTTGGTGAGGTTCAAAGGCATGGCATCTTTAGCGGGCAGCGTATCTGGGGATGCGATATCCGTCTGTGTCTCGAGATAGACCATGACTTCGCCATTGCAAGTCCGGAGCATAGTACCGAGAGATTCATCGGGACATACGTAGTACATGAACTCTGCTTTGATATGGTCTCTGGTCGTCTCCACAATGCGAGTCGTAAAGAGAGTCTCGACGCCATCGGTGCCTTCAGGAACGACAACCGGACGCAGGATATCGACGTTGGAAATCTCAATCAGCCGAACATTCTTTCCCATTGTCATGGCAATGTTATGGCCAGCCTGCACAGCGACCGACACGTAAGACGCTCCAGGAAGTAGTACTTCACCAAGAACCTCGTGTCCGCGAAGCCATGGCATTTCACCCAGCTTGAGGACATTGCGCCAGCGTAGCTCGGTATCATTGTCGTCGAGCGTGCGACGTCCCAGAAGTTCGTGGCCTTGGTCATTCCCGAGACGGAATCGGCGAGATAGACGTCCCTCGCGCCAGAACACCTTGTCGTGGTCCCACGAGTATAAAGGCAATCCCTTGGGGATTTTGAATACAGGCGTCTCAGCCTCGTAGAACAGGTTGCGATAACCAGCAAAGTCCACAAATGCCGGCCCAAGCTGAGCCCAAGTAGTACCGACGGCCGCGGAGAAAGCTTCGACGTTGTTTTCGCCTCGTTTCAGAACGCCAGTATACACAGGGAGAATTCCGTACGAGGCTTTGAGCGTCTGTTCGGTTGGGCCCTTCAGTGCCGGGTGGGGGCCGACTTCAATGGCCAGATCGAACGGGCCTCCATGCCAGATGGAAGACTCAATAGCTTGAGTAAACAGAACCGTGCGAACCATATTGTCAACCCAGTATTGTCCTTTGAGAGAACTTAGATCACCCCTGAGGAGCTGTGTGTCGCCTCGTACGCTGGAAATCCAAGTACACTTGCCCGTAGGCTGCATGACTTTGATGTTGCAAGCCAGCAGCGAGTTTAGATAGGGCTGGCAGCAGGGCAACATGTGATGCGAGTGGTATGCAGTGTCCACTTGTAAGCGGCGCGCAAAGATGTTGTCTGCCTGAAGGATCTCGTGCGCCTGAACAATAGCGTCGACATCGCCGGAGATCGTCACAGACTTTGGGGCGTTACTAGCTGCGACTTTGATCTTACCGTCGAATTCCGGGCGTGAGCAGAATTGCTTAGCTTCCGCGAACGACAACCCAACGGCCATCATGGCGCCCTTGGCATGATTGGCGCCACCAGCAGACTTCGCATGTAAACCGCGGTAATAGGCAATCTGCATGGCGCCCTGGAGCGTGATGATACCGGCCGCAAAAGTGGCGGCAATCTCACCAGATGAGTGGCCGACAACTGCGTCAAATGCGATGCCAGCCGCCTGGAGTAGCTTGACCAATGCAAGCTGGACGGCTGAGCAGAGCGGTTGAGACAGGGCCGCCTCGGAAATACGGGAAGATATAGCGTCCTTCATGAGCTCTTCCGTGAGAGACCAATCGGGGCGGTCTTGCTGCGGAAGCGCATCAAGAACTGCTTCGCACTCCTCAATGGTCTTGCGAAAGAGTGCTGACTTGCAGTACAGCTCACGACCCATGGCGGGCCACTGAGCGCCCTGCCCCGTGAATACACCGAGGACGCCGGGAACCTCCTTCGGGTTGATAAGCTGAGGCTGGTGGCCGATCTGATCACTGGCCGACTGGGCATGAGTTGTAATGAAGTTGGTCATGTTCTCAAGAACTGCATCTCTAGATGACCCGGTAAAGTGAGCACGCACACGGTGTGTGGTACGCCTTGACTGCAAAAAAGCGCTCAAGTCGCGGAGGTCAAGCGATGCGTCCTTTTGCAGATACTCCAAATTGTCCCTGACAGACCGCAGCAATGAAGCTCCAGACTTCGCGGAGAACAACAAAGGACCAACCACGCCTTCATCAGCAGAGCTAGCTCGGGGTCCGAAGCTCTCATCGAAACTCTCGATGACGGCGTGAGCATTGGTTCCCCCGAATCCAAAGCTGTTCACGCTTGCGCGAGCAGGAGTACCAGGTGGCAGTTCTGGCCAGGGCACGGCCGTCGTTGGGATTTGAAGGGGCCCATAGTAGGGGGCGATATCCGGATTTAGGTCCTTGAAGAGGAGGTTGGGGGGGATAACGCGGTACTTGATGCTGAGCAGGACTTTTATGACGCCAGCAATGCCAGCGCCACCCTCCAAGTGTCCGATAACGGTTTTGATTGATCCGACGAGGATCGGGTTTTCGGTCGACTTGTCAACATGGCCGATGAAGGCATTGCTAAGTGCTCGTGCTTCCACAGGGTCGCCTGCGGGGGTACCTGTACCGTGGCATTCGATGTACTGCGGTCGGTCTTTGATGGGATCCAGCCCAGCTCGCGCGTACGTCTGTTGAATAAGAGCAGTCTGTGTCGGAGAATACGGCATTGTGATCCCTGGGCTCTGGCCGTCCGAGTTGACTCCAGTGGCCCTTACGAGACCCTCGATATGGTCTCCGTCTTTCAGAGCTTGGCTCAGCGTCTTGAGCAGCAATGCACCAGCACCTTCACCACGCGCATAGCCATTCGCATCTTTGTCCCACATGCGTGATCTGGCATCGGGAGACAGCATGTGTAGCTTAGACTCGTTGATGAATGGGGCGGGATCCAGGATCAAGTTCACACCAGCAACGACAGCGGCGTTGCAGTCACCGTTGAGAAGACCCCGCGCAGCATTGTGCAAAGCCACCAGGGAGCTCGAGCAGGCCGTGTCTATCGTCTCAGACGGGCCCTTGAGGTCGAAGATGTACGAAATCCGGTTTGACAAGATGCTGTTGGCTGAGCCAGTAGCATTGTACTTGGGCACCGTCTCGGTATCGCGGGCCTGGATGTTTGCCCAATCCGACGTCATGCATCCCACATGAACGGATGTGAAGGAGCCTCTCAGTTCATCAAGAGTCACTCCGGCGGACTCGAATGTCTCATAAACAGCCTCTAACAATATTCTCTGCTGTGGATCCATGCCTGCAGCCTCGATTGGGCTGATGCCAAAGAAGGCAGCATCGAAAAGGCGAGTGTCCTCTTCAAGAAGGTAGGATTTGTTTCCGACGTCTGTAGCGCCATGGGTATCACCACTCTTGTGGTGGAAGCGGGATAGATTGAGTCGTTCGGGGTGAAATTCTTTCAGAACATCACGGGGCTGTTGGAGGAGATCCCATAGCTTTGATGGGGAGCTACACGCTCCTGGGAATCTACAGGCGGATCCAATCACCGCTATTGGTTCGCGAAACCGCCCATCCTGCTGTCTTTGTTGATCCATGGTTGATTTTGGAAGAGGTGGTCTATTCCATGCAATGGGGTGTTGGAAAGTAGAAAGAGTGACCTGTTTGATCTGAACAACAGTGAAGAACAACCAAGCGCAAGATGAAGAGCTACGGGAGCTTGACCTCCAAATTCAACCTCAATGGAAGTATCTTGAGTATTTGAACTACTATTCATCCAATAACTAGACTTTTGCCAACACGGTTGAACCCATGTGAGTGTGTGTGTGTCAATACGAAAATAACTACCGCGTCAGACAATCCGCCTTGACGTACGACTGTTCAAGAGGCAGCGTTCCGTCTCCTCTTTTCATCGACCAAAGGGAAATGCGCATCTTACGCGAGACTACTTGCATACCTCTGAGTCCGTCGCAAACATGTTTGCGGAGAATTGAGGATCAAGCATGCTGCACGAGTTGGACCCGCGCGCAATGCCCTTCGCTGTCATGATACGCCTCACATGAACTCACATAGCGCTCAAAGTACGAATCTAGTATTCCGACGGACTAAGCTGTGTGGGCTAGCAACATCATGGCTAGCGTTCCAGAAGAGAGAGGGTGAATGAATCGGGGCTATGCTTCAGGCCAATGCTGCACCGCTGCACCTTAAAAAGTCGCCGATAATCCTTTGACCATGGCCGTCATATCCAGCCTCAGTCGGAATATCGCCAACAGTGCTGACTGATGGCGCGTTCTGCAACTTGATGTGCGGCACAAGCGGCTCTCGTTAGCCGGGAGGGCGTGGGACACTGCTCCATTGTCTCCCCATATTTTGGCACATGCAGTCGGGTGTGAGACACAGGACGCATACATGTATGCATGCTGATATTAACCTGCCTCCAACCCCGGGCTGCCACTCTCCAATATTCCGCTGAGCCCTTGTTAGCCCCGGAAAATCCTCCATTCCCGTGACGCGCTCGCTGCTGCCCGCTCAACCGCTCAAACCCTGGCAGTGCAGTTGTACTTGTATTGACGACGTCTTCCCTAGAATAGAATTTGCCGTAGTGCCTTAGTATAAGCTTATTCTCCAGCTACCTTAGGTGGGGCGATCTGGCATTGGATTGTTGTAGTACAACAGCAAAGTGATACAGTGCCGGATGCTACCTAGGTAGGTAAGCTCTACTATCACATTCCTTGTCAACTGCTTGTCGATATTGCAGAATCCTTCAGTTCGTTCCTGCATCCGTAGTGCCCGGGACAAGGACTTGTGTAACAATGAACTGGTAGGTCGTAGTCATACGCAGGTGTATCCAGTGTTATTCTTGTTTCACACGATTCTCCGCAGGAGATATCGGACCGTAGGTATGTCCAAATGCGGCTACCCTTGGCAGTTGTCAGTGACTCAGTGCCATGCGAGTCCATCTTGTGTGCACGTTGATCGCACGAGCATCGCCATATGGGAAACCCTCCAAAACAGAGCTACTTACGCGCTGGAAATGTCGCATAGATTGAGTGAGATTATGGTGCAGCTTATCATGCACGGAATTCGGGGTCTAGGGGTATACAACAACCAGCATCGAGAGGGCTTTGCAGCACCGCAGCGGTGATGTGAGACAATATTCCGTTGTCGCAAAACTCGCGATTCAGCATTGATACTTTCCTTGTAAATATTATTGTACTCAAGGGCGACATACGCAATTCGTATGCTTGCACATAGGCCAGCATACTTCTTCATCCAAGCCCACATCTCAAGCCAACCCTTACAGGTCTTGCCATCGCTCCTATCGGGCTCATACATTACTTGTTTGTCTACTTAGTTTACCCTGCCATATTCAGCGATATTTGACGCGGACGAGAGCCAAGGCTCTTGAAACTCTCCAATTACCCCGGGTCATACTCATACTCACAATGACTGTCATTGATGTGCTGCCACAGACACAGCGGGCATTGAAGATTGTCGGGCCCAATGCCGTCTCTGTGAACGCAGCCGCCCCTCTGCCAGACATCGAGCCAACAGACGTCCTTGTTCGGGTCGTTTGCGTCTCCATCAACCCGGTCGATGGCAAGGCAGCAGACATGTCACCACAACTTGGAGCTACGAGCGGCACTGACTTCTCTGGTGTTGTCGTGGCTCTTGGCGCGGATGTCGAGGCAGATAATTGGAGAGAAGCAAACACCATGAAGCCCGTCAGGATCGGAGACCGTGTGTTTGGAGGAATCTTCGGCAATGACCCACTGAGACCTCATAATGGCGCGTTCGCGGACTATGTTGCGGTGCCAGCACGCCTTGTCTGGCACATTCCGACAGGCACAGACTTTGCAACCGCCGCTACCATGGGCGCCGCAATTGCTACGGTTGGGTTGTCACTCTTCAACTACTTGGGACTTCCGCTACCATCTAAGTCCAGTAGCAATGGCGCTTCCAGCATCAAGTCAGCAGTTCTGGTGTATGGCGGGGGTACGGGAACTGGTTCGATGGCCATTCAGGTCTTGAGAGAGGCTGGGCTGCCAGTCGTCACGACATGCTCAGCTGCCTCTTCCACAAACGTTTTGCAGTTGGGAGCAGAAGCCTGGTTTGACTACAAGTCACCCACCTGCGGCGCAGACATCCGTGAGCACACCAATGACTCTCTCGCCTTCGCGTTGGACTGTATCACCGACACTGCATCTATGGGGATTTGCTATGAAGCACTCGGCTCTGCTGGCGGTCGTTATGTGGCGTTAGATGCCTTTCCGGTTCGTGGCCATACTCGCCGCAGCGTGGTACCTGAATGGGTGTGCACACCTACACAGTTCGGCAAAGCTATTCGCTGGACGCCCCCCTACGACCTCGAGCCACGCCCGTATGATCTCAAATGCGCTGAGCTCTGGTATGTGGTTGCGCAACGACTGATTGATGAGGGTCTCATTGCATCTCACCCTTTAGAGAAGAGAAACGGAGGACTGTCTGCGGTTCCTGAGGGTATGGAAGAGGTGCGAAGAGGTCAGATCAAGGGAAAGAAATTAGTCTATACCATTCTTGACAGCGAACCCATTGCTGTATCGGCTTGAGAAGGTACATGCCCTTCTGTCAATCGCGACATGGGGTTTCAAGGAATTTCGGCGGTATAAGTCGTTGACATAGATATAATGCAGTACTTATATGTAACAGTGTAGTGGTATGGACCACAACCAACGTCTGGCTAGTAGAGTGTTTCCGTCTAAGCGTAATCACGGTATCACGTATATCACTCCGACACCTGCTTCTTGGCGCGTTCTCGATGCCTGGACACGACATATGCCCAGTCCTCAATCCCCGCTCTTTTTACCAGATTTGTAGCGTTTTATTTTGAGGCTACAGCGCCACGAGTTCACAAAATGGTAAGTCAGGAACGTACAACTCTACGGAGAACACAAGTCTCGTTATATCAGATTTACTACCAAAGATAGGTACAGTCTTGCCTTCCGTACTCCCAGATGTTACAATGCCAGCGCCCGATTGTTCCGCTTCGACCGACAGGTAAGGTATATCTCCCTTCAATCCCAAACCTGAACCGCCAGGCTCCTAGAGTAACGTCTTCGACATATTTTTGAGGTGCCCTAGATACCACGCCTATAGGAAGGTTAGCAATGCCTCAGGCCTATAGCTTCCTAGAAGCTACTCACATTATCCATATGCACACTCAGGGCAGTAATGCCCATTTGCCGGATAAGCCAAGGGGCCTCGATTTTTGGTGAGTAGAGCGTTGCATCAGAGTCTTTCACTTCGTGATTGAACATAACAGTCTTGGGGAGCAGAGGATTCACGGCGGCTGGGCGAGCAATTCCTACCATTGAGCAGGCTCCATTTGTCACAGCTTTCTCAATGCTTTCGCGGCAACGAAATCCCCCAGTCAAGAGAAGTGGAACGTCTGGGAACTTTGATGCAACGACTTTCGCAAAATCGACAAAATAAGCTTCGCTGTGCTCCATATTTGCGCTGCTGCTAGGTTTTGGAGGCCCGAGAAACATCTATACAGCAAATACCGCTTCGTTAGCCAGCTACCTAAAGAGCAAAGGGCCTCAGGGGAGATACTGACAAGCGGATCTTCGAACGTCCCACCACTTATCTCGATGAAATCGACGCCGGCTGATGTAACGAGCTCTAGCTGACGGACCCTATCAACGAGAATTTCCGGGAACACGGAGTCGACAGAGTTGATCGTAACGCCGACGCAAAATGAGCTGGGCACTTCCGACCGAACCGCGCTGATGATGTCAATGAGGAACTTGGCTCTCCTCTCCGTCGAGCCTCCATAGGCATCCGAGCGTCGATTTGTCCTCTCTGTGAGAAACTCGTCAATTAGATAACCATGCGCAGCATGGATTTCGACGCCCGCAAAGCCGCTACGATACGCGAGGCGAGCTGCACGAGCAAATTGCTGAGTGATTGTCCGAATCTCTGCTATTTCCAGCTCTCGCGGCTTCCCAAAGGCGATAGCAGAGACAGCTTTAGGAATCAGGCCATCGCCCATATGGAGGCCAATCGAGGTCGGCGCGACATTCTTTGAAAGGTACCCATGCGTCCCAGCCCCTATCGGGCATTGTCGACCCGGATGGTTGAGCTGTACTAAGGTTGGTGTGCCGTGTTGCCTACAAACTTTCGCCCAGCGCGACCACGATGCTACAATCGTATCATCGCTGGCTCGCGAATCAACCGCGAGGTCGTTGGCCGTGCCAAGATACCTATCGTCAACCTGAACATTTCCTGTATCATGAGGGGATTAGCAAAGCTATCCTCCCCTGATTGCTGGGATTACTTTATCCGGCCAAGTGATGAGATACCGGTAATGACCATGCCCCAACCGCCCTTGGCCCAGCGCTGATAGATGTTGCGGATCTTCATGTCTGGTAGGGATCCGGCCGCTGATATTCCCTCTGACATGGAAGCTTTCACGAGTCGATTCGGCAATGTTAGACCACATCGCAGCGTTATGGGCAGAGAAGCATGCAATTCTGCCATTTCTGTCGGTTTGTTCATGTTCAAGGCGCGATGCAGCTTCTAAAACAGTCAGGACTATCTTCTTTGCTGCTCATTCGGGTAAATAAAACGCACATCCGAGGAAGCAAGGCCTGGCTTAACAAATGGACTTGGTTTAAGAACACCACCATCAGCCATGAGGACGTCATCTGCAGGGTGATTTTGCATGAGCAGCCGTGTTTGGTAGGAGACAGTACGCCATTAGCCACAGCTTGTTCGATATGGAAGCCCTCGTATGTATCAGGGACGTCGACCAAATTGCCCTCGTCAGCAGCCATCGCAGGCTTTGCTGCGCACCGTCCGTTGCGTCGGGCACCAGCCTGGGCCAGGGTGTCCCCCAGCACTCTAGCCTCGGATTTTGCCGCTGTTCAAATTTCGAAGGATCAAAGTCGCCATGCCTCTTCAAGACCGGGTAACTGCTCTGGTCCACGTCAGGGGCACTGAAAGATACGCCTAAATGTAATATTCCGTGCCATGCTTCGTACATTGGCGACGACCTCTGTTCAACAGCCCCGCTTGCATGACCTACATACCTAACACGTCCATCCTTCGAGCGCGGCAATTTTCTCCACTTACCTTGTGAATAGAGATACGAGTACATCAGCCAATGTGAGTCCGAATTATACGGACAGAATGCTAGGTTTGCGATGATGGCTGGATTGATAAACGATTATCGATAGACGCCCGGAATAACACAGGATTCTCCGGTGCTTATGGTAGAAGAAACAAAGGAGTAGCACATCCGATAGTGTCGGCTGGTTCAGTACGCAACCGAGACTTCACTACCTACCGAGGTACCCTGTATCAATCTGTGTAAGTGGTGTAGAGCAATAGTAGACACTGGCATTGCTTTCGGCACATCATCTGATGAAATTGACTTGCTCTGCTCTCTTTTCGAAATGCTCTTTTCAGCGAGTAACCCTTTTTTTTTTTTTCTCTTCTTCTCTTCTTCTCCTTCTTTTTCTTTGTATAAAAGATATAGAGTGTTCTCTAAAGAAGAGAAAGTGTAGTGTTAGACCAAAAGTTGCTTCAAAACTTTCGGTGCTTTCATTTCACAGAGCGACCGTATTACTCAGTATTAATAAAGCAAACTATGCAGCAGTCAGCAGCAGAGATACCGTTAATAGTTATAGCATTCGACTGAAGGCACTTGAAGATAGGACCACATTATGTCTTATCAGACAACTACATAGAATGAGAATTCAGAATGACTGGGATAGAAAGGGGTAAGTACCCATGAAAACCCCCCATAGACTAGAAAGGTCAAAGCTATATTGCACGATTGTAATGGCGATCTTAAGGCCTTCAGTCCTGATATTGTTTGAAACTACTTGCTTTTGTGGTCTTCGAGCTTTTCCCCGGCCTTTGTCGCAGTAATGGCAACAAACCTCCATCGTGATCTGCCAGCATATCCGCTTCTGGCACAGATCATGTTGATAAAGCTCTTTTCGTTCCCAAACAACCTAAAGAATAGATATGGAATCATAACTAGCGAGTAAAAGAGTCGCAAAATAGGCAGAATATTCGGCTGCCAGTCGCGTACTACAACGTCGACGAAACCGGCTTCTTCCAGCAGATTTTTGAAGTAGTCTTCGCTTGCGGCCTCATTTGTTGGCATGACAGTATAGTCATTGACCATTTTTAACTCCTGCGTGAGTCTGTCGTTGGGATCGTCATGCTTCGCAGCTGTCTTGCGCTCGACCTCGACCATGGCAATTCTGCCGCCCGGCCGTACGACTCTGAAAAACCCGGCCATCGCTTTCTGAGGATCGACAGCGTGGCCAAACGCCTGCATGGTGTATACCCCGTCGAAGGACTCACTCGCGAGACTGTCGAGATGATGGTAGTCCATCTTCTCCACCGACATCATCTCCTTTGACAAACCAGCATCTTTTGCCGCTTTCCGGGCGTCTTCAATCGCCCAGTCGATGATATCAATGCCAAAGACGCGCATGCCATGTTGAGCCATGTACCGCGCAACGTGGCCAACTCCACAACCCGCATCTAGCACACGGGAGCCCTTTGGGAGAGCCAGGATCTCCATCAACTTTTGCTCCATGCTATTTGCGATGGAATCAGTATGAGCTATTCGGAGCTTCTGCCCACAGAGGCTATTGAACTGGATGCATACCGACGAAGTTTCGACCCCAGCGGAAATGGCCAGTAGGTGTCTTTATCCCAGTAGCCGAAATGCTGTGTTCCGCCCATAATAATTTGATAAACGACGCGTGAATCCCACGATTCGTAGTAGGCTCGCAGGGCCACATTGTCGGTCATGATGGGCTCTGCCGCCGTTGTTTGAGTAGAAGACATGCTGCTGTGGGTGATTGACACCTCTTCTCCTATACCGGTGTTTCGTGATTTCGGATCTTTGCTCCTCCTTGGTACAGTGGCTCAATAGTATGTGCTACAGCTCCAATCTAGCATGCCGCTGGGGTGAGTGCGATTGCGCTGTGGTTCTAAGTTTTCCGAGAGCTTACCTAGGATGAGCAAGTATGCGATGGGATTTTCCGTGTCTAAACACCCTCAGTTCACCGTCAAAGGATTTGGACAGGGATGCCATGCTGACGTCTGCTGTATTGTTACGGAGTATGACTTACATACAGTACCTAGGTAGGTAGTTCGCGGAGGATGCGTACCGACGGCCAAGCTGCACTCCGGAATAGGCCCCACTGTGAGAGAGCTCCAGGTTGTATATCCCGAATGTGTTGTCCTTGTCCAATATCATGCCTTGTCTGTCTTCAAATCTGACCATCGTTAGGAAACCTTTCGATTATACCATTTGACACCGTTCTTCAAAGACTTGTGAAGAGCCCATGTTATGGTTGGGTAATCTTTGTTTGGAGTAAGGGACATTGCTTGCTCTTTCAAGCATCGCGCTAGTATTTTGGCCAAGTCAATTGAGCTAGACCAAAAGGTATAGAGCTGCCGTCCCTTAATACCCTCTCCGATCATATCTTTCCGAGACTCCAAGGTCCTCACATAAGAAGCAGGAGCATACTATTATTACTACGATGTTGTTGCCCGAGTACGTCAGCGACTTGGGCGGCTCACATGCGGTCACATTAGCGGCCTTAGGCGTGAGCGTCCTGGCTGTTCTGTTCACAAGGCTGTTCAACGAGAGCAGGAAGGGTCACGAAGCGGGCTGCAAGCCTGTGACCCGCGTCAGGCAATGGGAACCTTTCTTTGGGCTCGACATGGTGTATAGCCAGCTACAAGCTCTAAAGCGGAACTACTATCTGGATTGGCTGAGGAATCTGCACAAGGGCAAGCCAAAAACATTTGCCATTACCTTCATGGGAGTCAAGCAGATTTGTACCATTGAGGGCGAAAACCTCAAGGCAATTCAAGCAACCAACTTCAAAGACTTTGGGCTGGAGCCCATGCGCCGGAAGACGAAAGGTGCGATGCCCTTTGCCGACAAGGGCATCAGCACAACGGATGGAAAGAACTGGGAGTTTGCTCGATTTCTCGTGAAGCCTTTCTTCTACAGAGAAGTTTACGCTAGCATTGACCGAGTCGACCCTTACGTCCGTAAGCTATTCGGCCTCCTGCCAGAAGAAGATGGCGTGACATTTGACATCCAGCCTCTGATTCAGCGATGGGTAGGTCTCATTTCTGCTCGCCTCGCCCCCTGCCGTCGTCAGATGTGGCATTCCCGATGGCTGTCGGGGTGTTTGAATGAAAAGTGTCTAACCATGGCCTAGTTCCTTGATTTAACGAGCGAGTTTATCTTTGGCAAGACTATGGATTCTATGACTTATCCCGATCGTGCCAACATCACATGGACTATGCTAGACGTTCTACGAGGCGGTCGACTTCGCATCCAAATGTACAAGTTTCTGTGGGCATTCAACTGGAACTGGTGGCTGAAGGCCGTTTACGAAGTCCATGACTTTGTCAACGTACACATCCGCAGCACATATAAAGAACTCGCAGCGCGCGAACAGCGTATCAGGGACGGGCTGCCTGTGGGCCCAGAGCGTGTTGATCTCCTGTGGTATATGGCTACCCACGTCAGAGATGAGGAGGAACTGAGGTCTCAGCTGTGTCTGGTTTTTGTTCCAAACAACGACACCACGTCCATCTTCATTAGCAACTGCATATGGCACCTAGCTCGTGATCATGAAGCATGGCAGAAGCTGCGCAAGGAAGTTCTCGACTACGGCGATCAGCCCATCACATTCGAGTCCCTAAGAAGCATGCCCTATCTGAACGGCGTGCTCAATGAGAGTAAGATATCCCTTTTTATTTCTACCAAGGCGGAACGCCAAGTCCTGACCTCTCTCTTCTAGCACATCGGTTGACTCCCAACAACATCGTCCAAGTGCGTGCTTGCCTCAACGATTCCGTCCTGCCTCTGGGTGGGGGTCCTGATGGCAAGTCGCCCTTATACGTGAACAAAGGCGACCTCGTCTCAGTAACCAAGACCGTCATGTATCGCGACCCAGATATCTGGGGTCCCGACGTCGATGTATTCAGACCGGAGCGTTTTTTTGGTGTCCGCGGCAACTGGAACTTTCTGCCCTTTGGGGGCGGTCCTCGTCGGTGCCCTGCGCAGATGATGGTCCAGACAGAGTCGGCCTATATGCTGTTCCAACTGGCAAAGAGGTACTCGCGACTTGAGTGTCGTGACCCGGAGCCTTACACCGCCGTGATGCGGATCGGGCCGTCCAATATTAACGGCGTCAAGATAGCTTTCTACAAGTGATGGGAGGTCTGGGGTGGCAATGGATATACAAGACTCTTTGAAGATTTTACGGATTCCAATCTTTTAGAATAGCCTGTGTCACGTATTATGCAACAATCCATGCTGCGTTGAGACGGCCTTGCGGGAATGATATTTGTGACCTTCTTTCCTTCATCCTTGGATACGTCCGCCTGTTAGATAGCCAGCATAACTTTAGAAGCTCGCCAAGTAATGTTAGGTTAGCTTTCGGATTTTTTTTGGTTTACTCATCTCTAACATACTAGAGCTTCGACTTTAAGAATGGTGTCGTCCGGTTTCTCGAAGTGGCCCAGATCCTAGTATCGGAACGTGCCATTGTAAACGCCAAAGCACGAAAGGAAGAGAGACCTCCAAAGACTTGAGGATACGAGACTCGTTAGGTAGTCAGTTCATTAGGCTGAACGATTCTCTCGTGGGATATATTAGGGTAGAGCCGTGGGGTTGATGTAAGGTACGATGCCGAGCGAAGTCCAGTCTGCAACAGGCAGTCTGAACATGCGACAGCTGATGCGTGAAACCTTACAACTTCTATTAGAATTCTGCCTTGTGCTCACTTATATTGATTGAAATTGACCTTGAATTACAGGCCTGAATGGAATTATATGTACGAGATAAGTTGAGGACAATATTTGCTAGTATTGAACTCGAACCATGAGATAGTGCACTATATCTTGTGAGGTAGGCATATCTCACTTTGGCTGTGTTACCTACTAATATGCCTTCATAGGTCATTCCGCCTCCATAGGCCGTGAAGAAAGCATTGAGTGTCCTGTCCCGCCGATATATCGATCTGGTAGAACAGGGCAATTGATGGCTGAACAGAAACAGTAGTGCTGAAAGGCCGTGCCTACGGTCCATGTCTCGACCATCCCGGGGCACGATACACCCATGCGATGCATATGCACACCCGACACCAAAATGACGCCTACTCCCAAGAGTCACTGGCTTTGATTTCACGGCTAGGAGTAGTTCAACGAACAGTCGGCGACTTTTCAGTATACGGGACATGTTCTAGCCACGAATCCTGGAACCAACGTCAGGATCATTGCGGGGATGAGTCACTCCGTGTGTTCTTCAATCCCCGACCTTGAATCCGGAGACTCCTATTGTTAGCTGACTGGCGCTTGCCTAACCTTTCGTTCACTGCCACTGTTGAATCAGCTCCCATGCACTTTCAACACTGACTCAGTTAGCTTGGTGAGGATATCTCCTCACATTAACATACCTACTGCACTGCGTAAGCACGGTGGAGTTCAACTTCCATGTGTTCTGGGTGCTGCGGATATAGGTCATTTCTCACTTGTCAGCATCCCTAGGATGATGGCCAACGGTACCATGTCATGGAGGAACCGCTTAGATGTTGCTGTCCAACACTGATAGTAGGCCAGGATGTTGACTAAACTACTGGTTAATGATATCGAATACTTTATGTATATGGGACAAGTGCTAGAGACTTTACCGACATGAAATTATATACCACCACTGGGGTTCGCGGATCAGGTCACTTGTCCTTACGATTTTGTGACCCACCATCAAAGGTTTCAAAGGTGCCTGGATGTGATACCAAGCTACTCTCTATTATCAGCGTCTCAACTATATTGCCCGGGCACTCAAGAGTCTATCTCTGCCCTGGACATCTTTCTGTGATGGCCTTGTTGTAGATGTCTACCTCTGGTAGCTCCCTACTGCTTCTTCCTTGCTATTCTCTCTTCTATTCTGGCCTGATATCACGGATGCACGTTATGACACAGTCATCTGGTCCTTTCACGACCGAAACTTATCATCTGCCGTGGCCGATAGCCGCTGGAAATGAGTACTAGTCGAGGACTTCAAGTACATTGTAGCTAAACCATGCAGTAGTCCGTGGGCTGTGCGTCTCCTGTTCTTTGCCCGCAACTAAACAACCGTGCACCGCTGGTGTAACCCCTGCTCCATGATCTCACAACACAGCGTCAGCGCGGAATAGCCAGCCGATGCAATAACCTGGTCCACCTCCCTGTCCCCCCTCATCATCGCGCCAATGTATGCTTCTGCACAAGAGCAGAAAAGGAACTCGCGTGCCGATACGGCCCCTGCCGAGGTTCGCACCCGTTGCTCGAGGACTGTGACGTACGTCTGGATCGTCTCTTGGAGCTGCCGCCAGCTTGCACCGTTGATGGCAGGGAAAAAGCTATCCTCGAGCTCGCTGATCATGTCGAGACAGAGGGCTAAAATAGCATGCCACTGCAACGTTGCTAGATGTCCTTGGCAGTGTATCCGAAGAGCCGTTAACGCATCTGGACCGGCGGATGCGGCCGAGGCGCCTGTTGATATGGTGGTTCCGGTGGCCAAGGCGGTCATGCTGACAGCGTCAGGGATGAGTTCGCCAAGCCCATTGTCCGGTGCCTTTGGTCCGGGCAGTTGGCTGGCCAAAAGCAGCAGCGAGACCTCCATCCGCACTTTGCGAGAAAAGTAGTACGCCGGGTTGGTTGTGGAGGAGGCAGCGAATTTGGCGTGTGGTGCAAGCACAAATGGCAGCGTGAAGGCGTCCAACAGCTTGAGTTGAAAGACTGAGGCCGACTTTTGCAAAGACAAGAACCGCTGAATCTCTGCAGAGTAGACAGCCCTCAACTCGGCCGAAAGCCGGTGTTTATCTTCAAAGGCCTTGGCAGCACCAGGAGAATGCACCACGTGTAAGATCTGGAGCCGTAGGCGCTGAGTTCGTGCCAGAATGACCAATGGGTTCGTCCTCGGCAAACCGTAGTCCAAGAGAAAGCTCGTGAGGGAGGCGCATGATACCGGATCAGCGTCGGCATCGGTAGCCTCGTCGTCTGTGAATTCGGACGGCGGCGCGCAATCGTAGCTTTCTGGAGAGATTGGGGCAGGGAGGCCGTTGTCAAGGGACAGCTGCAGGGACAACTCCAGCATCGTAGCCCATAACCGCCGACGGAGCTCGACCTCTCGGGCCGGCATATCTGCATCGACTATGGTAGGGTCCCGGTGCAATCCCATCTGCATCGCAACTCGGGTCAGGTCATGGTCCCCAGGAGACCACAGCGAGCCGATCGAGGCCGTCTGGATCGGGCCTGTGTGCCGGGACAACGCCAGGAGACACACAACTTGTGCAGTATTGGTGTCTGCTCGGGACCCTGCCATCATCTTTCGTGCCAGCCACTGCTTCCCGTAGGCGACCCATTGTATTGCTTGTTCTCGCAAACTGCTGCCCTCTTGTCGCTGTTCAGGAAGACCGTCAGCCGCAGCATTGAGACTGGGGCAGACGAAAGCGCCCAGGGCGATGCACATCATGAGCTTGCACACAAACACCTCTTCAACTTCCGGCGGGCAGTGTGACGGAGATCCGGCCCAGAATCGTTTATAATCATGCCGAAAATCTGGGACGTGTAGAATCCGCAATACCGATTCAAAGGTATTGAGATATGCATCGAGCAGCTTGTCACAGATCTCTTGCGGAGGAAGTAGCTTTCTTACCGCGTTGACAGATGGATCGAGGTTCACGGCCCAGTTCAGCGCCACTGAGGAAGCCGAGGGCCTTTTTGCTTTTGCGTGACGTTCCAGCTCAACAAATCTCTCTATCAGCGGCCGCAAGTGCTCGTCTCTCGGTTGTAGTGCTATCGGCCCATTCGAATTTCTTAGCCCATGGAGTAGAAATTGTAACCTTTCGCACTTGGTGATGGCTTCTTCCCAGCAATCGGCGAACTGGTCGTGAGCAGTTTCGATGGGGGAATCAGATTGTCCTTGATCTAACAGCGAGTGCGTCGAGGTCCAAGACGTTTGGTCGTCGCTCCGTGTTGACAAGTGCCCGGAGACAGCAGTAGATACATCCGAAAATGGCCCAGCGTTTGCATCTTGGAATGCATCGCCGGCTGAATGTGCAGCAGCTGAATTGCAGAACGCGTCATTGAGCCCCAGAAAGGTTTCGAGGCTTGTCCCCCCGTCACTCGTAGTTGTCGTAGCTGTCGTCGTCTCAAGAGAGAAGAGGTCGAGATGCCCAGAATCGCTATCTCCGAAAATCGAATGTTGTTTTCTTGGCTGGGCATATCCGAGTTCTGAAAGCTGAGGGTTTATATTATTGTTGGTGCGGCGGTTGATGTTGTATGCAAATGGTTGGAAGCGAGCGTTGTTGTAAATGCACCTGGTGTTTGGAAGCTTTCTGCATGGGCCACAGGGTGTTGCACTATCGCATCTGATTTTTCTGCGTCGACACTCGACACACGCTGTAGCCGGTCGCCGTCGCTTGTAGGTCGTGGTGCTCGACTCCATTTGTGGATGCTCTTGCGCAAGTCACTCAGGAGGCTGTCGCTGGAGGATAGATTGTAGCTACATACATCGCTGCGTTGCTACGTCCTTGTAGATCTGTTGCATTTATAGGGCAGCTCTTCTTTCGAAAAATCCCCGATCGTGTGCCTTTTAACAAGGCAAAATGCACAGACACTAGACCTTTTCGACTGAGGATTTGTCCCCTCTTTCGTTAAAATCCTACAACATCGCTGTAAAAGCTCCGAAGGAAGAACGCGATGCGCTTGATTATCAATATCAGTTGAGCCAAGGATTAATGACGCGTCCGTTATCATGCAACGCTTCATGACCTCCACGCAATACCTAGATACATAGCATACGACCGGCTGTGGCTCACCTGGGTATAGACACAATGCCCGTAATCTGGGGTTTCAGGGGCCTTACGGTCTTAGCGCTCACATGAGTACGTCAATCCCTGCTTTGCTCAAGCGTATCGCGCTCGATCTCTTGCTCAGCAGGTAGGACTTACCACTTCTTGGAAGCTCATCTTGAGAAGCTTGTGGGCATCAGTTGCATACAAGTACATGGACGTGACCTTTGGTGTAGCATTGCCTTGCACGCGCCATCGCATGAGTTGATGCAGCTGTTTTCAGGACTTCATTCGCGGATACAAACGGGGCATCATTGCACGATTGTCAAAATCTTCCCATTCCCACTCGCACATCAGAGGACTGAGCTCGGCAGTCCTGTGCCTTGCAAGATTGTCGTAGATTCCAACTCTGAGTGTAAGACTTTAGCGCTGATTTGAATGACGCTGTCACTCGCAACGATGTCTCGTCTGGAAATCTACATGCCCGCCTAAAGTGCCCGTGCCGCCAGAGGTAACCCAGCAAGCCCCAGCTTACAAAGTGGTTGATCAGCTCTTGCAACTTAGCAAGAGCTTTCTAGTGATTCCTATCATATTTCTGTTGCCTTTCTGTTGCATTGCATACAGGACATCTAATAATAAAGCTCTCTTTTGAATTTGCCACATACCTTACCCACCTCTCTGGTTCGAGACATCTGGAAGGGAAGGAACGTAGCCTGTCTGGAAATCTACAGGACTTGAATTTTGTCTTGGCTTTTGGAAGGCGGTCGGCCTCATATTGCGAAACACGTTCAACCATTGTCCTGAGAACTCAATTCGAAGAAGGCGAAGATGTTGATATAAGAAAATTAGCATGGCACGTGTCACAAGGAGCAAGACAGTATATTCATATCATGGCCTATGCCTCACATAAAGTGTCATTCAGAATTCACAGCGACGTCAAACAGTACAGGTTTAGCAGCGGGCCGTTGTTAGGCTGATTCGCTTACTGGATTTGCAAGCTGTAGTACACATGTTTGCGAGGGTTGAATGTCCGTCAATCGCGACCTACCTATATTAGATGACTGGAGGCAACGAATGGCTATGTAGAAACCCCTGTTTTCATTTACATTATAAGATCCCATTTGGCCATTCTATAAAATCACAAATGAGGGCTACGGCATTTTGCAAAGCCCAGATGACACGGTAAAGCAGATAGCACATCTCTTTCCATGGGTACGTGTTGCAGTGACCATGACTTTCAGATTGGGTGCCTTAACATGGTACAAGCTGAAAGAGAGAATGCCAATTGATCAAGTCTCTATCCACTCGACGTGAGCTTTATCAGATGCTACACTACGTGAACTGATGGAGTTAGGCAAATTAACACTCTTCGACAAAGCACCAGTATGCCCGGGTTGTCTTTGAATCATCAAACTACCTGTTTTCCGTGAAGATAAGCTGAATTTCACTATTTCTGAAATATATAACCTTGGTATGGCACTGACATGGCCATCTAGCATGTATAGGACTGGCCTAGCTGGACTGGGTAGCTCCTTCATAAGATAATATTTTATGGTGCGTAGTTGAGGATCAGAACGCTGAAACTTCCCAGACAGATCTTTAACTCTAGCCAACCTTACCATTCTAACCACCAAATGCAAGCTCCTTGTACAAAAGAACAGACGACACGCTGATAACAGTCGCATCATGAGTAACTCAGCTTGGAGTTATTGTAAGGAATTGACTCTGTTGTCTGATGACAAGCGGTTGTTTCATTCACGCTCTCTGAGTTCATTCCTTCGTTGCGGTTGTTGATACAGACTTTCGCGTTTCCCACCTTCTTATGAACCAGTATATAGAGTACGGAATGAGAAACGTTTGAGCTCTAATAAGATGTCAGTTATGCTGTAGGATAGAGTGACAAGAAAAGCAGAAGGACATTGGTGCCTCTGTGCATTTTGGAGGTTATTCAACATCTTCGGCATATAGGTCACATCGGCAATCACTATGATAGGATTTGACTTTTCTAACACATCCTCAATGATATGATGATATAGGGGTGATATAAGAAGCAGGGGATACCTGCAACAATGATTAGGCGAGGTCAACCACTTGACATTGGCCATCAGTATCATATTCACCAAAATGTAACCAGCTCTCGCGGTTGTTTCTTGCTTAATCCTGCCGGTCGAACTCCAGGTCACATTGCGTCCTCTCTAGCTCTGAAATTATACACCATCTTCTGCCGAGGCAAGTGAGTGCAGGAAAATGGTACGATGGACACCAATATGTCAAAAGACCCGTGGCAAACACGGCATGACACATGACAAGTTTCCGTCGGCTTTGGCAAGGCGTTATCGGTCCGGAAACGGCCACCATAAAGTAGTGCAGGGAGAGCAAGACTTCGGCGGTACTAAGAGGATCAGAATGGCTGATATATGGACTCTGAGGCCGTGTTCCCGTTTCCATATGACCTTGAATCATAGCCGAGTTAGTTGATGATGCACTCTATCAATTTCCTTCGCATTCGGGTATCCTTACCGTTCCTGTATTTTCCAGATAATGCCAACTAGATTTAACCCAAAAATACATGCAGCTTCAACGAGAATATCCTTTTGTATCTTGTTGGTAGTTTTGTCGTCTTATGGAAAAACATTTGCTACGTGTTGCTCGAACTGTCTATCTTGGTGCCATGATCGTCGAGCAATGGTTTCCCAACGGACATAGGGCTTGGACAAAGTACAGACGACCTCCATCAACAATTCCTATAGTGCTACTATGTATGTTCTCTTTCGAAAACGCTACAAGATGTTAACTCTCGCAGTCGTAGGCGAGTACTCGGTGCAGAAAGAGTTAGGCAGTAATACAACCCGATGTAGATGTCTTCAGCTTGTGAGGTTGCATTGCGAAGAGGTTACATACCGTCGGAGTATACGCCACTCCGAGTCTCACCTCCCCGGATTACTTCACACACGAAAACTTCCATTTAGGCAGAATCCGTGTGATGCATCTGGTGGCAATATCATGCGCAGGGTAGCAATGCTAGTAACAGCAATGGCTCGGTTTTGACCCTCAATGAAATCCTACGGAATCGAAATCTTTCTTGCCAAAGTCCGACTAAGCGCGTTATATGTGTCGAAGAAAGTCTGTTCTGCGTTCGCAAGACAGATCAACATACTAATCAGGAGAGTGAGTAGCCTCGTAGACCTGAACACCAGTGACAACCATATCATGGCACAAGATACCCCAGGACATATCTGCTGGTGCTGGCTATTAGCCGCTTCGATCACCAGCTTCATCTCGATCGGAAGCAGTATGGGCTGCCGACCGGGTTCGTTGGTCAGTCCTGTGCGGTGACCCAACTTGGGCTCATTGCCTATTCTTTTAGAGAACCCGTAAGCTATATCCCGACGCGATCGATGTACGTCATGAGCGGAATTCCACTTGAAGCGGGGCGAGGGACGCCCGCTTGGCCCGGATAGGAACCACTGGCTGACTTCATGACAATAATGTGTGATTCGTATGATGCTACGTATATGCTTCGCGAGTAGCCCGTGAGGAGATGAACCAATAGGATGAACGGCTATAGACTGCTTGAAGCAGACCACTTACCGCTTGCTAGGTCTACATTCCGGAAACGCTTAGCTTAGAGAGGAAGGCGGCAATTGACCATAGTTGAACCTGCGGAAAGTTATCAATGCTAGAATATGGCACTCTTCAGGTCGCCAGCAATGCTACGGAGCCTCGCCTCCCTACCTAACATTCGCTAGCCCTCATGCATGAGGTTGAAAATGCGGGGGATCAGCTGAGCTGATGCCTCCTCCTGGCGGCAAACCCGCTCCTACGATCTCTGGCTTTGCTGCAGATCCGGACGCCATAACCGTGGCGGGCAACCGGGGACTACCCGCTTGGCGGGCACTTGGAGCCATGGAAGCAATTGTCAGGCACTTGCAAATGCCAGTCTTTAATGAGTAGGACAGACTCTGGGAGGGTTTAAGTTACTGAAGCAAGTCTCTCATAGTCGAGTTGCTGGCGTGACGTGCCGATTGAGACACCGAGGGTTGTCGTTTCCGGTTTCAAGCTACCGACTACCTATTGCGAACATCAGATTGAGTCTGGACTGCTGCTAGGTTGTTGCTCGAACGGATCATCGCACACTCCCCGGAACTTTCGGTTCAATGCTCGGCGCTTTACCTTCAAGATCCCCCACAACCAGAGGAGAAGCTTATGGCAATAAAGAAGCTTAACTAACTGAGTTTCGACACGACTCTAAACTCATCACCAGAGTCGGGCATGGGCTAGCCAACCATCCACCCGTCTGCCTGTTTCTGCGCTAAGGTAGGTAGGTAGTTGACGGCTTTGCTGGCCCTGCTCGCTGTCACCACACTGATGAGTTGGATGGTCGAGGAGCAGCGCCTCGGCATTTTACACAGGAGTCCAGGTCGGACCGACCTCGACGTGCTTCCATTCTTCCGAGCCTTGCATATTCGTAGCGGCGCCTTCGCAGACCATCTGCCGATTACTAGGCATCAAATGCCCCATTCTGCGGACTCAATGGCCGTGTCGAGCCGTGGGTACTGGCCAAGATGATGCCTATAAAGATGCCCCCTGAGATCCGTCTCCAGTTCATATCCCCAAAGTTAACGGGTCAATCAAGGCCACCAGCCCATTCCATTCACACAGCATCAGCTACAACCCTGCCATGTTTGGTCTTGTCCGCCGACTCGGGGTCGGCGCCCTTGTCGCCGCAGCCCTTTCCTCCCTCGCTGCCGCCGCGCCAGCCAACGTCGCCATCCGCTCCCTCGAGGAACGGGCTAGCAGCGCAGATAGACTTGTGTTTTGCCACTTTATGGTGCGTTTGTCCGCCCCAAGAGCATTGAAAATTCAGTAATCACTGACACGCCTTACTCGTGATGCTAGATTGGGATATGTGGTGATCGCACCTCCAGTACCGATTATGATGATGATATGCAGCGAGCCAAGGCCGCGGGCATTGACGCCTTTGCCCTTAACATTGGTGTCGACGGATACACGGACCAGCAGCTCAACTTTGCCTACGACGCCGCTGATCGCGCCGGGATGAAGGTGTTCATCTCCTTTGACTTCAACTGGTGGAGCCCCGGCAACGCGGCAGGCGTCGGCCAGAAGATTGCCCAATATGCGTCGCGGCCCGCACAGCTCTACGTCGACAACCGTCCCTTTGCATCGTCGTTTGCCGGTGACGGCCTTGACGTGAATACGCTGCGGAATGCGGCCGGCAGCAACGTGTACTTTGTGCCCAACTTCCACCCCGGGCAGTCGTCGCCGTCCACCATCGACGGGGCTCTGAACTGGATGGTACGTCTGGGCGTTGTGGCTCGAGGATAAAGCAAAGACCAAGTACTCATGCGCTGACACGCTCCACAGGCCTGGGACAACGACGGCAACAACAAGGCCCCCAAGCCCGGCCAAAACGTCACAGTCGCCGACGGCGACAACTCCTACCGCAGCTGGCTCGCCGGCAAGCCCTACCTCGCCCCCGTCTCGCCCTGGTTCTTCACCCACTTCGGCCCAGAGGTATCGTACAGTAAGAACTGGGTCTTCCCTGGCGGCTCCCTGTGGTACGACCGCTGGCAGGACGTGCTGCGCCAGGGCTTCGAGATGGTCGAAATCGTCACCTGGAACGATTACGGTGAGAGCCACTACACGGGGCCCCTGGAAAGTCGACACTATGACGACGGAAACTCGAAATGGACCAACGACATGCCGCACGACGGCTTCCTGGACCTGGCGAAGCCATTCATTGCCGCGTACAAGAACCGCGACACGGACGTGGCGCCCTACATCCAGAATGAGCAGCTGATCTACTGGTATCGGCGGAATCTCAAGGGGCTGGACTGCGACGCGACCGACACGACGTCGAACCGCCCGGCGAACAACGGCAGCGGCAACTACTTCATGGGTCGGCCCGACGGGTGGCAGACGATGGACGACACGGTGTATGTGGTGGCGCTGCTCAAGAGCGCGGGCACGGTGACGGTGACGTCGGGCGGCGCCACGCAGACGTTCCAGGGCACCGCCGGCGCCAACCTGTTCGAGGTCCCAGCCAACCTTGGGCAGCAGAAGTTTGCCCTGTCCCGCAACGGGCAGACCGTCTTCAGCAGCACGTCGCTGATGGATATCACCAATGTGTGCCCGTGCGGCATCTACAACTTCAACCCGTATGTCGGGACTGTGCCCGCTGGCTTTGACGACCCGCTCGGGCCCGATGGCCTTGCTTCTTTGACAATCGGACTGCACGTCACGACTTGTCAGGCCAAGCCGTCGCTGGGGACCAACCCGCCCATCACTTCCGGCCCCGGCTCCTCGGTGCCCGTTTCCACTCCGCCCGGTTCCACGACCCGCTTCTCGTCAACGCCGGTTTCATCTCGCTCCAGCTCGTCCACGCCGCCGGTTAGCACGCCGCCGCCTGGCCAAGTCTGTGTCGCCGGTACGGTGGCTGACGGCCAGTCCGGCAACTATATTGGCCTCTGCAACTTCAGCTGCAAGTAAGTTACCCCATGTCTCATGACGATGTATCTCCGACACCAGCTAACGTTTGCCAGCTTCGGGTACTGTCCCCCCGGACCCTGCAAGTGCACTGCCTACGGCGCTCCGATCAACCCACCAGCAACGAATGGGCGAAATGGGTGCCCCTTGCCTGGAGAAGACGATAGTTATCTGGGCCTCTGCAGCTTCAGCTGCAACCACAATTACTGTCCGCCAACAGCATGCCAGTACTGCTGAAGGCAGTTTTCTCAGACCACTGCTGAAGTTTTCACCCAGGCGACGTATTTGGGTAGGGGAGAATAGGGGGAACTCGATGGGCGGGATGCAGTCACCACATATTGTCAATACCGACTGTACATAGGTAGTCATGCCGACTGGTCACTAGTACATGCGATGGATTTATTTTATTCAAAGCCAGAAGTGGAGTCCTCGGGATTCGAGTGATATTTGCCTCCGAGTCTACGACGTCGAGATCGACACAATTTACACACCAGAGCGTTGCTTTCACCATGAAGCAATGTCAGCTCTTCCAGTTCCCAATCCCACTGCAATATACAGGAACATGTATAGCGATACGCCCTGAGCTTTGATGGATCTATAACGTCAAAGGTGTATTGATGCTAATCGTATTTCACTGCCCGTATTGATATCCACCACAAGGTCTGCCGATACTCTGTTGTCATAAGACCCTAGGATGTTGGATGGTAGTTTTCCATGACCAGGTCCTCCTTGGACACGCTCTCGGCCAAGAACCAGCCATTGTTCTGTAGGAGCGTTATCAATTGGTCGCGCAATGTTGACGCTGTGTCATAATCGTCCGTTTTGAACGAGGCCTCAACGAGGTACTCAATTCCTGTGCCGCTGGAGTTCTCAATCGGCCAGACTTCGATATCGAGCTCGAGACCGTTCCACGTTCCGGTGGAGCGCTTGGTCAAAACTGGGCTGTAAATCACAGCGCTCTTCAGCAAGTCGGTGCCCCAGCCGTCCGAGACCCAGTCGTCAAACATGCCTGGGGCGTTGTCTTCGAGCATGATTCGCGAGTCCTTCTCGCTTGGATCGTCTGTACCACTGTATCCCTGTGACGAAGCGGAGTAGTCTCTTTGGATAGAGAGGGTTTGTGAAGAATAGAGCCAATCGATCTGAGCATCGTAATTGCCTTGGCCCGAGTTCCAACCGTCGCTAAAAGCCGTGTTCAACGCCCCATTGATGTCCCCGTTGTTGACTGGTAGACGCCACTTGTAGGTGAGGTCGAAGCCGCTCTTATTTTCGACATTGCGGATGCGGCAGCTCCAGCCATTGACATGAAAATCCTCAGTAATTGTGTCAAGATATTGTACGTTGATCTTTGTAACGGTCGTCGGCATGGCAAACGTGGAGAGGACAGTGGGCGTGAGCTTGAAGTCGGAACCGAGAACAGCAGAGGGGTTCATCAGCAGGTGCACTTCGTAGTCGGGGACCATTGGACCATCCGCTGCCATCACGGCAGTCAGGATCAGGGCCGCAGACGCAGCCTTTATTAACATATGCTTCATGTTTGACGGATATACGAGATGACGGTATGACGAGTGATGATCAGCTTCGAAAGATAGCATGAGCTGGAGATTGACCTGGAGACACGTTTCTATTTAACTTATTAGTGGACTCTATACCTACCTCTATGAGTGTTCTGGACCAACCCTCAGTTTGTCTTGAGTTTTGTCCATAAAACATCTGAGCTCTGCAACTAGGGAGTTGCGGGCCTTTGCCATGCATCTTGTTCCTATTCAGGCAGGTTGCTGTTGAAACACTGTTAATAGATGCTGTTTTGATCACCGAGGTCCAGTTACTTAAGCGCCCACGTGTTTCGTACAGCTCATTCTATTGCCTCGGGACGAACGGCACTATCGTGTCGTTCTGTAGGGCTTTTTAGTATCAGGGATAGCCTTCGTTGTTCCAGGTTTCAAATGCCACTAAACGCGCGATGGTGCCCAATGTGTCGCGAGTTCTAGCAATCTACTGCAGCAGTTTGTTTGCCAATGGTTACGGTATCTCAGCCAAACTCATACAAAGAACTCGGTTACAGACTTCTGGCAACTACGCCTTGTTTGTTCTCGTTGTTGACCTCTCTGTCTAGCGTGTGATTGATTCATAGTTGCTTAACGGGTTACTTGAGGAGGAGCCTGCGATCCCGTTGTGCGCCGAGAGCCAATGCGCTGCTCACCGAAGGACATCTGAAAGCCTGCCGCAAAACGGATGCGGGACCCTCAGAGAATCAAAATGACCCACGCGATGGCTCATTTGCCGGACGGGCGCAGCAATCTGGCATTGCTCATCGAAATAACATTTCATAGGGAGATGTGCTATCCAAACCATCGCCCACGGCCTATGCAGCCGTATTTGTTTGGAGACGCTTTAGGTACTTACTCTAGATACCGGTCTTACTATTATTTTACTTCGTGGTGCTGAGAGATTCCGGCATGCCACACGCGCGGCTACTCCCTAGGGCCAGACAAGGCACAAGCGCCACATCAGCCACAAATGTCGAATAGACACAATGGCGACTAGATCATTGAAAGTAATAGATCGCGCTCTCTTCCATGCCTCTTCAGCGTTCCAAAGTCATAGGCGGTCTCAGCCAAGGCCGTACCCTGGGTCCTGGTAAGCAGGAGAAACAAGCTATTAGTGGCTACATAATACTTCCAGCAGCTCCATTAACGAGTCTGACATCGTGAAGACAGAGAAGTCTTCTACTGTAGGGGTTTACTGTCCCATACAGTGTATGGCGTACGCCTCAAACACCCCACCAGGGCTGTTTACAGACCTCCTTTAGCAGCCAGATGGAACCCAGGTACCAAGTCAAGAAGCTACAGTACACGCCACATCCCACCGAGCTCTTATCCAGGACTCGTGCATCTCAGAATTGTGCCTCTACTGAGGAAAGATTGACATTGCCAGTGTTGAGGTTGATTGGCTGAGTTGAACAGGCAATCCACAGGTGTTGGGGTGAGGATTTCTATAGGTGCGCATGGGAATCCTAGAAAATGGGGATTGCGTGTTTACCTCATACATGCATCACCAAATAGCCTGGCGGCAATTCACAACGGTTAAATATTCCAGTTTGCAATTGCAATCTACTGAATAGCATTTATATTATGCGAATGAAGACCAGTGACTGACTGAAGGCCGATGATTTAGCCAGTTCTAGTTATGGATCTGGAAATGCCACATTTAGTCGTACCGTTGCAGGGTAGGTAGGGATGGTGGGCGAGCTGATATCGCTATTGGGGCGCTTTACTTCTAGTTGCTGTAACGTAGATATATGACTGGCGATCACGGGAAAGCCTACCGAATTTGAGGACCGATCAAGATAAACTCTACACGGCACGCAGCACGACTTCTTATTGTAACAGAGTCTTAAAGTAGAGAGATGAGTCCAGGTTAGTAGGGGGGCTCTCAACACATATAAAACCCTTGGTGAGCCCTGCTTGTTGTCGCCAGTCTGGCCTTTACCTACATCGGCTTAACTACCTACTGTGTTTTTAGGCTCAAAACTTCATAATGGAGCTTAAAGCACTCAGTGCCGTTGTGCTGAGCTTTGTAACTCTTGTCGCGGCAGCACCGGCGACCTGCACGCTTCCGTCCACATACCGCTGGAATTCGACCGGTGCTTTAGCCAGCCCGAAATCAGGCTGGGTCTCGCTGAAAGACTTCTCCCATGTCATTTATAATGGCCAGCATCTTGTATGGGGCTCGACTCATGACACAGGAACAATCTGGGGTTCAATGAACTTTGGTCTGTTCAGTGACTGGTCCAATATGGCAACGGCAAGCCAGAACAAAATGACTCCCGGCACTGTTGCTCCTACCGTCTTCTACTTTGCCCCGAAGAATATTTGGGTACTCGCCTATCAATGGGGCCCGACCACGTTTTCCTACCTGACGTCAAGCAACCCCTCCAGCGTCAATGGATGGTCGTCACCACAGCCTCTCTTCTCCGGCAGTATCTCAGGCTCCAGCCCGCTGGATCAGACGGTCATTGGCGACAGCACGAACATGTATCTGTTCTTCGCGGGGGACGACGGGAAAATCTACAGGGCGAGCATGCCTATCGGTAACTTCCCCGGAAGCTTCGGTTCGACGTCAACGGTGGTCCTGAGCGATGAAAGGAACAATCTGTTTGAGGCAGTTCAGGTCTATACCGTCTCAGGGCAGAAGCAATATCTCATGATTGTCGAGGCAATAGGCGCAAATGGCCGGTATTTCCGGTCCTTCACAGCGACAAACCTCGGCGGCACATGGACTCCGCAAGCCACCAGCGAAAGTCAGCCGTTTGCCGGTAAGGCAAACAGTGGCGCTACCTGGACAAACGACATCAGTCATGGTGATCTAATTCGTAGCAACCCTGATCAGACAATGACTATCGACCCTTGCAATCTGCAGTTCTTGTACCAGGGGAGAGCGACAAACTCTGGCGGCGACTACGGCCTCTTGCCCTATCGACCAGGGCTGCTAACTCTCCAGCGCTGACCGTCCGCAAATTTCATAGAAGATGCGCCACAGCAAGACGTTATATGTGCCGAGTCTATAAGTCGAAGGACGTACAGGAGTTGGTGGCAGAGCGGGAATACATACCAAGCATGTAGTGGGAGGCTCGACGCACATGTAAATACCGCTGAGATAATTCAAAGAACTTCCTTGAATGGTGCAGCTCCATGAGACATACGTGGTGTAGCCAGCCTGTCGTGATGGCGAATATCTCGGGCGCCTCGCTGTTGCCTGGGGTTGATGTCTTGACCGTGACCACCAAACTTCCACACAATATCTTTATACCGGTCGTATATGTCTAATTGGGGTCAGTTGAGTTGGACTTCAAGGGAATGGCTGTCACGAACAATCAATCACATAGATGCTCTGAGAGCATCTCCTGAATTACTGATGTATTGATGAATACTTTACAGTGAAGTGCAGTACGTATAAAGCTGCAAATCTTTGCGAACTCGCAGTATCATCAAACATCAACCATCTTTGCTGCGAACAGCGCCGCATGATGTTGGCAGCTAGACCACGTGCACTGATTCGACCTTCCGAATCCGTTCCGATCAACACCCTTGATAGCGGCATAGCGATCGACATCTGAGATTCAGAGGTCATCAGGTAACAATCCCATGCGGCAGTCAACAATACCTGGATGGCCAAGACGGCAAAAATATTTCCCCCCTTGCTAGTAGGAGTGGATCACCGGGGCCGATGTTCCGTACAATTGTTGCTGTCGCGTCTTCCTGGAGTCAGCCAAGCCTCACTTTATGTATGTGGAATGCAAGGGTTCGGCCAGAACTACTAGTATTCCCACCGAGCCCGGCTCTCGCCTTGGGTGCTTTCTTCTACGTATACCAGTCTCTTGCATGCCCAGGTACATCCGCGAAGCAATGCCGTGGTGAATGATCTACAGCGATTAGTTGTCCCGCCCATGCTAGTGCTGAGGGAGACAAGGTTGTAGGGGGTGATCAACGCCTACGGGCATTTGAGCCCTGGTCATAACGTTCGGTCTCTGCTTCTTGACAGGCGACTAATTGCTTGATGCGTGTAGTAAAAGGAGGCTGACATATTTGCAAGCCTTGTATGTCTGAAAAATTTTGTTTCCAGAGGGACTGTTACGGCGACTGCCTATCTTATGTACCAACCTAGAAATCACATGAATACATCTGCAACGTGGTCTAGACGCCGTGTCTACAATGCACGCGCTAAAGTCGGGAGAAAAGCTGCATCCTTCCGTTTCTCATACTCCTCCACGCCCATGGGCCGAGCGGTTGGAGTTTGTCTGGATATTTTAGTGCCTCTCGGTGTTTGCAGGATCCATACTGGAACTCTATGTAGAACGGTTTTCTCATGCAACTAGGGAGACGGTGGCTTTCAGTCATGTATACAATACAGCACGCTGCTTCCAAAATAGGTGCTCGGGCTGAAGATCGCTGACAGCCAGACAAATCCAGATAAGCATAATGCTTGCTCTTATTTCCACAACGTGGAGTTGGCCATGCCCCTTTTCTAAACACCGACGTCACTGCGGTAGTGAGATGATTGTTAGGTACTTGGGAAGAATTACCCTGAAAATGAGCCACAGCCAGCACCAATAAAGGTCTAGCTCAAGGGAAATGGCTCTGGTCTTACACAATTTGCCCATGCACGAGCCTCACTATCTCCCTGTACATGGCCCTCGCAAACGTCAAATTCGGCCAGTCGTTGGGCAGGCAAGCAGGGATAAGTGGAGCCCGAAGACAAGAAAACGACATCGCTCCTTGACGCGGAAAGTCCGTACGAGTATTATGTATAATATCGTGCACCTTTGTCCAACCAAAATGTAAGAATCCTCCAGTGAGAGCACGTTTAGATTGATTCATGTCTCCATCATGTTCCACTACATTGTCACGATCTTTCGGCTACAAGTAAACATCTGTGACTTATTCCCAGTAATGCCACACTAGGGCGCCTTGGCGAAGATGACGGCCCGGGGTCTTTGTACATGTTAGTGAACACTCCATTTGCATAGGCAACGAAACTGAACACCTTGGTAGAGTTCTGAGTGACTGGGTTCGCATTGCCGATGTAAGAAGCTGTTTGATGAGGAATATATCTCTTCTCCCCGGTACTGGATACTCGGCATGATACAGCACTACTGTTGTGACTAGGGTATTGCCCGGTAGACAATCATATCCTCGACTGAAGTGAATACAGCTTCAGGGCCTACATAATTTCCGTGTCAAGACAGAGCTCGATACAACGTGTAACACGAGATACGTGAATACCAAGTGTCAAGCGTTGATCGTTTAAACCACCTTCTGATCCGGGAATTGATCCTCAGGTTCAGGGGATGGTGCTTATCCCATCGACGGCGAGCGAGTCAAGTTCTGTGGGTACGTTACCAGAGTGCGGGTAGCAAGACAACATCCACCAATGTGATCGAGTCTGACATTCTCGTCAATCTCCCCATTCTGCCGATGGAGCTCGTAACTACATTCGAACCATGGCAGGATAGCTGACTTCTCTTGCTTCCGGTGGAGGCAAGGGGGTTTGCATTACTTACACAGTCTTGCGGTTGACCTCGCAGTCCTCAAGATATAAAGAGGCAGTTGCGCGCCCTACTGAAGGAATTATCTCTCGAACATCACCAAGTTCACCATCATTCACTGCAACTGCGGGATACCCAGCTACTTCTACACCCATCCGTTTCAATATCGACCATGTTCTTCGGCAAAGCACTCTTCGCGGCTGCCAGCGTTGCTTCCGTTGTCAACGCCTTGGGCATTAACTGTCAAGGCAGTGGTCTCTGCACTGGCAACAAAGGGGCCCTCGGAAACCTACTTGGTCAAGTCAAAGCGCTTGACCAAAGCAAGACCTTCTCTGATGGCGAACAAATTGCCTGCGTCGAATCTTCCGTCTCTATCGGAAACCCGAGTCTCTGCCTCTTCTACCAGAAAACTGGCCGAACGTTTACTGTGGCCCAGACCGTATGGTATGTCCAGGCTCTGATCGATCATGGTTGCCAAGCATGTGGCAGCATCCCTGTGGATGACGGCAACAACGTCGACAACGGGGAGTTGACTGCCAACATGGTCGCCAAATTTAGGCGCCGTGATACCGGCATGGTCAAGGTTGTCAGAAAGGCGGAGGGCCAGACGGAAAATGTTTCGAAGCTGTCCAAGCGCTTGGGTATCAACTGCCGCGGTAGCTCTACTTGCGGAGTTGGAGGCGTTGCGAATCTCCCAGCCGGGCATATCGACGACCTCAAGGATGTCATTGCGGGCCAAGGTGACGGTGTCTGGGGCAATGGTCAACAAATCGGCTGCGTTGCCCATGTCACTGGCCGCCTGTGCGCCTTCTACCAGAATGTCGGTGATCGCACTTTCACCACCCAGCAGACTCTGATGTACCTTGACTGGCTCACGGACCATGGCTGCACCGTCTGCGGCAGTGTTCCTACTGATGATGGCAACAACGTCGACAACGGCGAGCTGACGGTTAACTATGTTGCTTAAGGGTTATCGGCGGAAGAACTGGATGGGAGGAGATCACCAGGTACTTTGTACACTTTTGACAGCTACAAGTTTGGCGAGTTGAGGATGATCCATCCGGGTTACATGTCATTTGACTTTTTTTTTTGTAACGATAGACCACTTAGGCAGATGATAGGTAATATCCCTACCAAGTTCAACGTCCTAAATTACCTACGTGCTCGTTTAACTTGAGAACATGCATTTAGTATCTGCTAAATAGAATATGTTAGCCTAGAGGAGATGATATTGTTTTAAGAGTCGTTGCTAAACTTGAGGATACTTTTTAACCGCAAAATATATCATAACTTGTTGAAGGGGACGCTTGTTATAGGCTTCTGTTAAAACCTTGCACTTTGTTGTCAACCACAGAGATTCTACGCGGTAGAGAGGCTGGAAATACACGTGGGTAGCCTGCCATTGTTCACTCTTGAAAACTGCAAAGACACGTAAGTGTTACATACGCAATACAATTCTGCTAAACATACTATATGGGTACTTCAATCGCTTTCACACAAGACCACTGATCTGGTTGGGCGGCTTCGTAATGTAGACAGATAAATGTTTTGTAGGCTATGACCCGTACGATGAACTTGACCACTGAAAGCACTGAGTGACATATCTACAAGCAAGCTACCACATGCTTACATATGTCTTCCCGCCAATGACTTGACGCTGATAGTGACCAGTTGATGACGAATGTCCCACGCCCGTGAGGCGCTGACGCCTGATACACCCTTCTGGAGTCAGTATATTTTGACGTACTCCTTGATAACAGAGAGACTCGGCCCTTAACAGGCATATTCATCATCTATCACTCGATTTTGATTGAATAGATGTTAATCTCGCATCGACCACTGGCATAGGCCTCTTGTCCGACGCTAACTACCTATTTAGATATCGAAGTGGCGGACATCTGTAACTTTGCGTATTGTCCGATGTACTAGATGGCAAGTCCTCGAACCTACCACATTACTTCGTGAATTACTACAGCTCCTCACACAAAATTGGCTAATGAAATCAAGAGATCCCCAGGCAGAGGCTCCCTAGAGACTGATACTGACGAAGTCTATGGTGCTTAGCTAGTAGAAGCTCCCCCATCATGAAACACGCAGTTGGTCTATTTGATAGACGGAAGGGAGTGACTGGCTACGAGCTTGCGTGACAAGTCAGACAAAGCTGTGCTGTACATTCAAAGGATGAAGAATGAGCTAGGTATTGACGGATTACATCGTTCCTAGTGTAAAGCCGGCCTTCCCTGCGAATAGTCCAATCGAGCCAACAATATATACACTACCCAGGTTGCGTCTCATGCTGAGGCGGCTGCTTTGAGTATCAAGTCTATCAGATGCACGATCCCAAACTAAAGCCTAGCAGCGCTACTCGTACAGGTACGAACACAAAGAAATAATGTGGTACCTACTTGAGTACATTTGCCCCATTGCTTTGAAGATGTCAGTTCGGCAAAGACTTCGTTCACCTACCGCGGGATCTGGTACCACTGATGTAAACGTCCCCGTCGCTGCGGGTCTTGACCATCGCAATCGGGGTGTTGGCGGCGGGAAGGCGTGTCTCAGTCAGGCCGTCTCCCGGACAGGATTTACTGCAGCTTGTTGTGTATCGTTTATGTGGCCGCTCATTGCAGTCACTTCAACAACGACTCGAATCGCGCGATGCTGTCGAGTGTGAAGATGTGGCATGGATCTCCCTCGTAATGGGCTCATTTGAGGTAAGGCTCCCACACAGGTCAAGAACAGACAACGAAGCAGCTAAACGCGTCCAGCTGATGTCCAAATCCTTCCGGGAGGGATAGGCTAAACACATGTTGTACGACACATCGAGGTTCTGTAGCTTGCTGATCTACAAACTTGCTGATCGTCAATACGACAAAGACTCTTCAGCGCATTTCGAGTACTCGAGGCGAACAGAGCGATCTTATACGGAGACGCCACGTTTTTATTGGAGGAGGAGTAGAGGCAACATCGCGGCACCGACAGCGAACATGTGGCGATAATAAACGGAACCGTTAGTTACCTGACAGCTAATTATCCTCTATATCATCACAGAACTTGTTGGGCCTCCAAGCTCCATGCTGAGCATGACTGAGCTCGTGATCGAAACGTCCGCAATCAACAAGCAGGAGATAAGATAAACCGAGGGCTAAACCGACTTCGTTCAACTAGAAATGGCCTTTTTCAACAGGTCGAGCGAACACCAGAAGACGAAAGACTATGCCATCCCGCCGTCACGGCGCTGGCTCGTAGGGACGGTTCCCGAGTTGGGCCAGCCGGGTATTCACATATATGGGGCTGCGATCGCACACTTGTTGACCAGATCCTCCGAACGTCAATGGCGGGTTGCAAGCTGAATCTGAGATACAAAGAGACAATGTACGGCACTTGCTTCATCGTGTGCATAGCAATAGCTTCGTCTCAGCGCAAATGGAACTAGATGATAACGGGGATGACTCCCTAATAGATTATGCTTCACCATCTCCTGACTTTGACATTCAAACGTATGCTGCATGCTCACTGCTACGCACGGAAAGGGATAATGGGACGGAAAGAACTTACAGATGCCACCCTGCCCTCCCCAAACCTCCTTTTTAAGAGTCTCCCCCGGACGGCATCGTTCCTGATAAAGAACGTGCTTCTCAAAAATGGGATAACTGGAGTTGACATAACGCTGCCACACGTACGGCCTCGACCCATTGTAGATGGTCAAGATACTGTCCACAAGGCCGTCCCTGGTCTTTTAAGCAGAAGCCTTGGTGGATGAGGTGTTGCAAATGAATGCCGCGCGGGAATTGTCAAAGTGTAGAGCTGTTTGTAGCTGATTCTATATCCCCTACTTCTACGTCAAAAACACGCAATGGCATACGAAGTGAGGTATGTTCGACATGAAGAACATCTCCTCCTGTCTTGAGTGCGTTCAATTACTGCCATCTTCAGATGCCTACTGGAGATTTACACGATTCAGAAAACTTGGAAGCTTATGTGGGCCCTTCTTCGACTAGGTACTAGGAGAAGGCGCGTTTGAATACTTCCCAATTCGGCAACCTGGTTGCGTGCGGACCTCTGCGAGATCAGAACTTCAGCTCCTATGTGTATATGGAGATGCTTTGCGGATTGGCATGACTTTTGGTGCGATTAGATCCATTCATGAGCATGATAGCAGCAAGGCGCAGAAAGCTGATATCTCACACTCTCTCCAAGAGACTTTCGCCCGATTTGTCTCTGTTATCTGGGCTTAATGGTGTTTGAGATTCCATCCTTTACATTTGTTTTAGTCGTTGGCACAAACCGTCCGCTCTTGAAATTGCCCTGGAGACACCAGTAGCACATTTGAGCCGTTCAGGTCGCTAGTTGTACTATTGTAGTCCCTTAAACGGATATGTCGAATGCAACTTTGGTAAAGAATACTCGTACTACCCTCAGCCAGCAGTAAGAAACCCTTGACGAACGAAAAATGGCTTTGTTACGGGAGCTGTGGCTGTGTCTTGCATATGCTCTAATACGGACTTTATCCCAAAGCATTCCGAGATCGCAAATGTCTCGCCGGCTTGTCATCGTCACTAATTTGGCCTTCCCCGTCAGCCGGCTATTGGCGGACGTTGATTGACAAAAGTTCCAATTTTCCAAGGCTTTGCCAAGCGGAATATGCAGCTTCATGTCTCTGTACGAAGTAAGCTGAGGCGATTACTGATAAACCACGGCCCCTGTGGTTTGTGGGTGTTCCAGTGTTCCACTATAGTCAGACTCTGATTGTTCTAGATGCCGGCAAAATGTTGCGAGAGTGCAAGACGTCCGACCTCCACAGGACCACAGCTGACCAATTTAGCGTCGTGATGACTAGGCGAATATATATTTAGAGCCGATCGCAGGAGTTGATCGCAGGGGTGGATATTGGCCGCGTCCCTGGTCGTCACATCGCGGACCCTGCGGTTACTCTTTACTTCGCATTGACGACTGTCCGTGGTACAGAAAGGAGGGTGTTAGAACAGGGATTATAGTCTCCTGCATTGCCACAAACCATGAGTCTAGAGGAATGCTATGAATGAATTCTTGGTCTTTGTTCAAAGGGCAATCTCCTCTGAACAGTTAAACCGCAAACATTGCTCGTAGGCACGTATTTCAGTATCGCGCCCTCGTCCGTGGCTTCTAGCTCCGACGGCCCGCGCTCAAAGTATCGTTCATGGGTTACTCATGCGCCCTGAGAGTACTATATTTGCCCCCCTTTTGCCAATGCTTACGCTCACGGTTATCGGTGAACGGGTTCTCGGTTGGTGGGAAAAAAAGAAAATGCACCATCCATGTTGAGTTTCGGTGCAGAGCAATGACTTGCTCACTCAAGTCGAAGAAAGAGCTGCAAATGGGTTTACTCATTATCCAGCCCTACATGTGTACGGCACCTCCAATCAAAATGGCGAATTCCCTTTTGAAGAGCTTAAGCGTATAAAATAAAGTAAATTACTCTAGCCTCCAAGAAGAAGCATTCTTCGAGAGGGATGGTAGGCAGCATGGTAAGCCATGCGCGCAGAGTCGGGAGAAACCGCTCATTGGCTGAGCTTATCCACTTCCCCTGCCATATACTAGGCACTGCCCTAATAGAAGCCCAATGACAGGGGACGATGGAGTGGAAACCGCTATGTTGCCGAAGCCTGATGCTTGGCAGCCAATCCAACGGCGACAGCACAGTTGAAAATAACTTCATCTTATATTTTGTCAGATTATAGCTCTTGTCAGTTGTCCCTTTGCTAGGTCAGAGTGAGAACCAACCATGATCATGGGCAGCACTCGAACCACAATTGCTTCCAGTTTGGTCTCATGATTGCCATGCCTGTAGCAACAACGAGGAAGAACTAGGTCTAAGTGACAAGGCATTATCCGTCGAGTGGTGATAGTAGCACGGAGGGTTGCTGGGAGATTCAAGTATAAAAGGGCAACGTGTTCCCCTTCAAGCATCTCCAACTGCCAACCTCATCAGCACCTTCTCAGAGCAACACAAGCAACAAGCATCTCATCTTGAACGAGCAATCCCCCTTTCTTCACAAAATCTCAACTGCAGACATCTACAAGATGCGTTTCACCACCATCATCGCCTCCGGCCTCTTTGCTGCCAGCTCTGTTCTCGGCCTTGCCATTCTCCCTCGTGAGCTCGCCGAGATCGAGTCCATTGCCAATGCCACTGCCAAGGGCATCGATGTCTTTGGGCCGATCCCTGATGATGCTGTCAAGACGGACGCCGGATACTGGACTGCTGAAGAAGGCACCGATGCTTGGGCTTGGATCCGGGCTCAGATTGACATTCCGGCTCATGCTCACCCGGAGTCTACGAAGCGTCAGACCTTTGCCAACATTGGTATTGGCATGTTTGCTCAGGATTGGTGTACGTAGAGCTTTTTCCAGACTCCTTTGCCTGCTACAGCTCCATCGTCGAGAGTCACTACTGATGAGTTCAACGAACAGGCACCGGTCAGGCTGGCTGGTTCGACAATGTCTCCTACGATGTCCAGCACGTCGTTCACGTGAACATGTTCTCGGTGGGAATCAGCTACCGTGGTCTTCGCAGCAACGAGCAGCTTGACTTCAGCCGCCTGTCCGGCAGTGACTGGTGCGGCCAGTACCTGTACTCTGCAGGTCAAAACACCCCTGGTATGTTTTATACCTGTGCGAAATGATATTGCGGGTTGTGAATATTGACATTGTCTAGTTGGCTGCTTCAACTCCCAGCTTATCAACTGCTTCCGCCTCACTCTTCACTAAGTGGTCGGTCCACTTTCTTAGTCTGCACAACCTAACCTCTATAGTTCCATGGCTACTTCTTTTGTGGTACATTGTCGGCTCACAGAAAGCGACAGCTCAGCAAGACGGACAAGGCAGTATTGGGTCAGATATGTGCTAGCTTATCAATATTCGAATGCAAATGTTTGCATTCTTCAATCATCACTGTCTCCGGGTGAACTCTTCTCGCATCGTAACAAGAATCCTTATCACCGTGTGCTAAAAGTTCGGGTGCTTCACATCAAATACGATTCCTATGGCAGGCCTTGTCGCACATTGGAGTGCTCGTTCAGACCCCACGCAGTAGTGCTGGAGTCATGCACGGTGGCACGCCGCATGTCCCGCCTATACTTTGCGCTGTATGGCCCGGAAACGACGCGATGCATTGTGCAGGTGTTGTCCCATATAACCAGGTCTCCGGGCTGCTTCCACTCCACCTCGATTACATATTTCGGTTGCGTCGCGTGCTTGAAGATCTTTTCAAGAAGAATTGCTGACCTTTCCTTGCTTACCTTTTCAATGTGGTGTATGTGTGCTGCGATGTATAGATTCATTCGGCCAGACTTTTCGTGGCGTTGGACAATCTTGTGACGACCCATGGGAAATTGGCAGGGATCAAGATCAGCGAAATACTCAGGAGCTGCCAGTTTCCGAGAGTGCAGCATGGAGTGCGCAGCGACATAATCGTTTGCCAAAAGGTCTTGCTTTGTCTCTTCGTCGAGATCATCGAATGAAGTCCGAGTGTCCGCAAACGCGGTTTTGCCGCCTGTGCCTTCTGGCGGTAGCTCGTGGGCAAGCAAGAGAGAATATGCAGCTCGACGAGGGTTGAAGCTCGAATCAACGTGGAATAAACTATTTCCCTATATCCAAGAGCTCAGCAAGGGCTCACATGTGGTGTTTTGGGACATCAACTTGCCTTATTTGCCTGTCCTCGAGGACTCTGCGGGTCGACAATTGAACCATCTGGTTCGATATTACTGACGTCAAAGAGCTCGTCATATCGAAGTCTGTTCTTACGTCCCGCAGAGATATAAGGCTTCACATCGTCAAGTTCCCCAAACATACGAGCCAGTCTGATGTGAGACTCGTCCGACAATTGAGAGTCGCGGATAACCACCACGCCGTGCTACCACCAACGGAGTCAGAGCTGCTTGATTTGCTAGTTGAGCTTTGTGGATGATGAGCTATATCAACTACCTACCGTAGTTACAGCTTCCTGTAGGCGACGGAAATTTTCTTCTGTTATGTCTGTAGTTGCGTTGAACCCGCAAATCTCAGCCCCAAAGCCGGGGCTTATTTCTGTGATCTTAGAGAGGTCGATTGTAGCAATCATTGTGGATAATCCTGTGGTCGTTCGAACTTGGAAATGGTCGGGCTGGAAGTATATGGAACGATTTTACGAATATCAGGGATATACAAAGGGAAGATGGCGTCAAGGGACTATATAGATGAGCTCAAGGGAACTTACTCTTCTTGAATAGGACAGGCATCGACATCCGACATGGCTGAATGACCAGTGAAGTTGTACAACGCCGTCTATAGCCGATTGATTTGTCACGGCCGCGATATAGCAAAACTCTCCGAGTCCATCTCAGGCTATCATTGAAGGCGCGCTCGCCGTGCCGAAAAATCGGCAATCGTAGCCTAGTTGGTAACAAGCGGGTAGCCATTGTACATACTGTATGGTGTAGAAATGCTGATATGATCGTGAATGCTAGTGACAGTTGCAGAAAGGTCAGGGATCAGGTTCCGGCTCAACTTATTACCCCGCTATTTGGCAAGCAACCCCGCATGGAGTTGTGTTTAATCTCCTCAAGGGCCGACCGTCTATAGCCGGACGGAGTCGGTCTCTGCCCAACGTCAACGTTTCTCCCGTAGGCATCGGGCTTCGATACCTAATCCTGACAACATCACAGTATCATTTGGCACTTCTTCAACCTACAGTCTATTGCCGATCAAGGAGCGGAATGACAGCAAGTACGGGGAAGAGATCTTACCGCGCATGTGTCAGGTGCCGCCGTCGGAAGACAAAATGCGATCTGTAAGCAATTGCAGCAAACTCTCATGGTGTCCGACTACTGAAACAAAGGGATTATATCCTCGCAGAGGCGGCATTGGGGAGCCGAGAAAGGCGTCGTGCGTCTCCTGCTTACAGTCGAATAGCCAGTGTGTACTGGCTGAGTCTCGCAGAGGGGGGAATTTCCGGCGCTACGAACCGAACAAGAAGCATCCTGCAAAGAATCGCAAGGCCCCCAAGCGCGTCCCAGATGCACCACCTATGGCACTTGAATCCATGGAGAGGGAACCAAAGCGCAACGGCGAAAGATTGAATGGCGATGCTATTGTCGGGCAGCTGGTCTCCGAGCTTCGAAATCCGTCAGACGCATTGCATATACTCGCTCAATCAGAAAAGGGCGAGTCGGCTGCGTCGTCCACGTTGCCGGAGGGGGAGCCCAACAATCTCTCAAATGGACCGTCAAACGCTACATTTCTTGATGAGTATAAGTTGGTCGAGAGCGGACTCATCCACCGTACCGCCATCTTCGAATTGTTGCATATGTCAGTCAACCGTCACAAAGTGAACGTTGCCCGACCTTTACTTCTAACTCGGGCATTAGTTATTCCCGCAACTATCATCCTTATTGTCCCATTGTGCCGGCATACATGCTTGGCCCGTCTGCTATTGACAGAATTCTCAAATCCGACTTTTTCCTGCTTACAGTCGTCCTCACAATCGCGTCTAGAGACTCGCCATCCCACTCGCTCATCCATCGATACTGCTGGGATTACGCCCAAAGGCTCTTGTTAGAAGTGCTCCTCGGACATCCCTGGACCCTCAAGTCTCGAACAGTTGAGAGCCTGCTGCTTTTGTCGGAATGGCTTCCGCATATTGAGCTGACGCATGGAGCGCTGAAGGAGGATAAAAGTATCTTCCTTGAAGACAGAACATCATGGTCCCTCGTGGGTTTGGCGGTTCGACAAGCATACTTGATGCGCTTGGATCAAGGTGCTTTCCCGAATACCGTGATGCAGCAGGAGACCAAAGAACAGGCAGAGCATAAACGACTCATCTGGACATGTGAGTCTCGTTTAACGGAGAGATCAATCCTCCCTTGGCTCTCACTACGCATTGCCTTTCTTTCCCGCTAACCTGAGCCTTCTCTTGGCCCGTGCAGTCGTCTACATTGCAGATCGACAGATATCCGTTCGCTTGGGGCAGTCCTTTTGGTCTCGCGGTCCGTCTCTTTCCACACGCTTCACATCGAAAGACTTTCCTAGCCTGCAGCCTTGCTTCCACGACAGCCAGGATGATTATGCGTCTGTCCACCAGGCTACGATGGAGCTAATCCAGCTCATGCACAACGCCCAGGGCATCCTATATGCCTCACCGAAGCGCACGTTAGCGATCGTCCATGATGGCGATTACAGTCGTTACCTCGACGACTTCCAGCGAGCAGCAATGAACTGGCAAGCGACCTGGAACGACCTCGCCGTGTCGCCCAGAGTCAAACGTTCTTTGTCCCTCATCTACGAATACCTATGTCTTTACGTCAATGCATTCTCCTTTCAAGCGGTTTTGACAAGATTGTCGACCCCACCGCAGCCTTCTGGTCACAGTCATTGTACTGGACAGAATGGGAAGCCTTTCAGCAAAGGCATAATGAACTCTGCCGACGGAAGATACGTTTGGGACGCTATTACGGCGGCTAACAATACGCTGAAGCTCATGAACGAGTTCGAACCTGAGCAAGAGCTATGCTACTTGCCGTATCGTTACTATTTGTAAGCATATCCAGTATGAGGTATGCACTGTGTCGTGTTAACCTTTATTGGAAGATACGGCGTATATGCCGCAGTATTCCTGCACAGAGCCGATTGCGCTGGAGCCTTTCAACCTGTCAATAGACGTCAAGAAACTGCAACGTTGGTTCACAAGTTTATCTCGGCGTTGGACAAGACTACACCCAACAGATCTCACATCGGCCACAGATATAGCCAGCTACTCAGGAATCTTTGGCAAAAAGGACAACGCGGATCGGAAAAAGCTAGGAACACGTGCGAGGCATCTATAGTCCTGCTTCCGACCGCAACCAAACAGCAGCTACCAAGGCCAGAATTGCTTTCGGCTCCATCACCTTCTTCAGCAACCAGCTGTGACCATAGCAACGACTCAGCAGAGGCAGGTTTGCTTCATCCCCAGATTTCTGCCTTGCATCCGGAACTTCCAGATTCCTCTTCAATGCAAGAGTATCCATTTGGGCCCTTCATCAATATGCCAGACTTTGAGCTAGCGAGTTATGGAAACCCCATGAACGATATAGCACACTCCTCTCTCAATTGGGGCACAAACTTCATTGCATTATAGCCTCTTCAACAACGAATGATTTGTTGGGGGTAATATTCCGAGGGCTGCTCATGACGTTCGCTGCACCCACTGCGATGTTGTCGCCTCATCTTAGCGGAAGATGTATCTCCGACTCAATGATAGCAGGATGGTGTACTCGAAGAGATCACGAACAGATTAGACCACGCCTCTCAGAACCCTGGCTGCTGCAAACCGGGGGGGACAAAAGTCGGTCTACTGCACAGTAAGCTATATTTATATTGAAGCCCAAATCTTGTATAACGGGCTACTACAGGCAATATGAACAAGAATAATATAGATCTAAAGAACGAGTGGACACAAGAGCAAGATCTGCCTTAACAGTTGTGCAGACGCTGTCGGTTTGATCGTCCTTGAGGTCATAAACAACATGGCCGCCATTGACTCTTCCAGACCTCTACGCGAAGATGTCGTTCTGAGCACCGGGAGCCCAGCCCATGTTGATGTTGTAGCCGGGGGAAGCGCCATTGGGAACTTGGACATTGTTGCCTGTGGCCTGGTTCCAAGCAATCATCTGCTTAGCGCCCTTGGTGCACTTGGAAGAGTCACCGCCACACCAGGTGGGGGGCTTGGCTTGAGCAAGCTGCTTGGTCGAGGTGGTGTTGGTGACATGGCACCTGTAGTTGGCCATGTACATGTTGGGCTCGCCGCACCCGTTGGGAACCCAAAGCCAGGCGCAGTAGCAGCCGCCAGCAGGGCAAGCAGGGAGATCCTTGGGGACATCATAGGTGGCGATGCGCTTCCAAGGGGTGCTATGGCCTGTGTTAGCTGAGAAGCTCAACTCAGGTGTCAACAACTTGAGACTTGTAGACTTACTGCTCAAGGACAGAGAAAACAACCAGGTTGTCCATGGTCACCTTGGAGATGTCGTCATTGTAGGAAATGGCCCAAGCGGTACCAGCGGCCATTGTCTGGTTGTTGGTATGCATGGCACCGTCGTCCTGGATGCAGTCAGGGGGGCTACCGGGGCCGCTCCAGTTCTCTGGGTGAGGCTGGCCATCAGGCCACTCGCCAGCGAACTGTCCATTGAAGGATAAGGTCGTCTGGGCCTGGTTGTGGGCGAGCTCAACAGTGAACTGGCCGCCGGCAGGCAGAGCAACGGAGGCACCGTCAGGAGGAGGAGCCTTGTTGCAGCCACGGTCGGCCTGCATCCACCACTGCTCGAAAGGAAGATCCCAGAGAGGGTTGACGGGAGTGTTGGAGTTGGGGTTGTAGTTGTTAGGGTCGGGGCCACCCTGCGTTATGAGAGTGAGAACGGAGCATACGATGACAAAGTAGTATATAGACGGCAGTAACAAACCTCGCAGTACATGCCCTTCACGAAGGCGGCAACATGGGCAGAGGCCCCGGAGGCGAGAGCCAGTGTAACGGGAACCGTCCAGAACATCTTGAGGCAGATGAAGAAGCAAACGTTCCAAAGACAAAACAGGAATGGAATCGGTGAACAGAAGAAAGTCGGGCTTCGAATTGGCTTGATGCTAAAAGGATCGATGGATCGACGCGATAGTCACATACTTATATAGTCGATTCCATAGGACTATTTCACTGCACTCTAGCCGTACTCCTGAAAGAGCTCCTGCCCTACCATCCCATCCAAAGCCGGAAGCTAGCCTAGAAGAGATCGCAGGAAACGGGGCACATCCCTGCGGACCAGCCCTGCACATAACTCGGCTTCCCAAAGAGACCAAAAGATCTACCAGCCGACCACCCATGAGGATGTTCCGGATCATGGAACAACTGGGCTGCTTCCCCCTTTCCAGGTCAAGGTCGACACTATGTATGTAAGCTTGCCTCTTGCTTGTTCTGGACTTCGATGTAACCTGTCCAGCGAAGCGGTACCGAAATTGTAACCCCCAATGCGGCCGACAGCCATGCAGTAACGAGCGAAGGCCGCCAATGAATTAACCGCCGGCATGTTTCCCTCTGGGCGCAATGAAGTCCGGGATTCAGCAGTCTCATTCTACAGCCCTGGGAACCGGATGGTGGACACTGCTTCATACTATGGATGTGACACCAATTGTTTCGAAACGAAACAAGCCGGGGAGCTTGATCCACGCGGATGTATTCTCCACTCGAATCCGGGAATTTGGCCCTTCCCCCCCCCCCCCCCCCCCCCCCCCCCCCCCATAAAGCACCACTTTGCGGAAAGGAAGCATCTCCTTTCTCTTCTCCCCCTGTTTTTTTTTTTTTTTTTTTTTTTTTTGTTCTTCTTTGCTCATCTTCTTACCCGCTCATCAGACCATACCTGCCTATATCAGCTGGTGATTCGTCCATACAGCGGCCGACGACATCCGGGGCAGCGGGATTACGGCTCCGCCGGCGGCTGAGCAGTCGCCACTGTCTATTCCAATTGCCGGACAAATAATATGCTGACCGAGTCTTACCAACGGAAAACGGCAGGTCACTAAAGGGTCAGAGCAGTGTATATGGCGAGGCTGGCGCAAATATTGCTTCCACACCAACGCGAAGGAGGCACATAAGAAGTATATTTCAAGAGACGTTATGTATATTTATTGCCCTTCGGATGAACTGCATCTTCACTCCTCCTCCTCTACGTGCCAGGTCGGCCCGTTTTGCAAAAGCAAGAACTTCAATTGTCGCCCAACGTTGGCGCTACCGCCCTCAACGAAAATGTTCCGAGGTTCATGGCTACCTAGCGCTTGGGTAGCCGTCTCTGTGGAACTGGCTTAGATTTGACGTCGGAAGAGAGACGTGCTTTTACGAATTACTTATTTTGATATGACCGCAACAGATATGCAAATTTGAAAGGCCCCTGCTGCTTTCAGGAAAGCTGTCAGGCCTACTTTTCCAACATCAGCGCCGGGAACAGTATTATACCTACCTACCTAGGTAGCCACCTTGTGTTTGGCGAGTAGGTACGACTTGCACTGTCGCTCACTGAGTATTACTGCGTATCACTGAGGAGGATTTCGGTAGATGAGTGACAGGCAAGGTAATGTCAAGCATGGCAACCATTTGTTTCCTTTCAGACATCATACTACTGTGAAGCTTGACCTCTGACGGACTTATAGCAACGTGCACTCGCCCATGTGATTGAAAACGCTTCTTCAGCACAGAGTCCCTCTTCAGTATATGCTCTGGAAGACTGTCCTATTGTACAGCAAGATGTAGCAGCGTAAATCAGGAGAATAGTATCCGTAAAGGGTTGGTATAGAATCTGAGGGGAATTTCATGCTCCAACTTAAGGCTTGCCCAGAGGAGAATATCAAATGACTTCTACTTCTCTTGTTCTTCAATCGAGATGAATGAATGCCACCTCCTTTAACACGCCCACATCATGCAACGTCGTTGATGTATGAACAACGGGCTGATGCGTATTTGCCGATTATCTGCCTGTGAAGTGTCACTATCGACTAGCAATACATCTGGTAAGTTTCAAGACAGAATGCATCAACATGGTAAGCGAAAGGCGTCTCTTCGGCCTTTTCTAACACACACTCATTTGAGGAATGACACACAAGGCTCCACGACTTGTATCAAAAACTTATTATCGATCCTTGATCGCCGTTAATCCCCAAGATCTGAGTCCAGCTCATAAGGGCTATGATGATTCCACTACTAAACTTGATGCCTGAGTTATAAGGGCTCGCCAACCTATGGAATCTCGATTCCATCATTAGCCCCATTAGATGATTGATTCTCATCATTTCTGGGGCCTTTGTGAGTGTTCAGCAGGAGCCTATCGGCACCCAATAACGCCAAATTTTCGAACTATACTTCTTGGTAGCCTTTGCCATGCACAGCGGCACAGTGCCACACTTCTTGCTTCATCATGGATATGACAGGCCTCATTGTCTAGCGCGTGATGTTTTCGAGGCAACGCAAAGCACTACGCAATGTATACTATATCCAAAAGCGTAGTCAATATGTTGCCTCCTAGCCATCGGCTCAAGTTCACTCTAGGGTAATGAAGTACACGTCCCTTATTAGTCTATGAATGTACCCGATGCACGTAGATATGTCGATTACCTTGATTCAGGCTAAACACTCTTTGCAGAGCAGTCGTCGGTTCAGTCCTCCTAGTAATTTCTTGGAAGGATTGTGTCCTCAAATCTGAAGTATCACACCTTTTGTTCAAGATTATGGCATGGCAGTGCCAGGTCACGGTCCAACATAGAAGGTAGTATTGAGTCTGATTGAGTTCCAAAAATTTTCCGTCGGGCATTCTTACGTCATCTGCAATCCGCAAGGCAACAGGGGACGCCTATTTTCGACCTGCAGATTGTCTTGCTTGGTCAACTCAAGATCAACCATATGCGACCGTCTTCCTCAGCATGCATACGCTTAAAGCATTCACTCGCCAGCTCCCTGATGCGAGCGGGCCCAATTACTATCCGCACAGGTTGACTTGAGATTGCCTAAAAGAGGGTGTTACTTAGCTACCTATAGACTGTCTCGACTTGACTACCTTAGGTAGGCCACCTGAATCTCCGTACTCCGTACCTCGAGCTACTTCTCAAGCGAGTGGAAAGCTACCTAGGTACCCCTATGTGATCTGTTTTCTCCCGTAAGCTGTTTACCGGACAAGCCTCGTATTGGTGGAGAGATACATGCCGGATACGAGATGGCTCCGTACTCCACGCTCAACCCCCTGTATCAAATTAGGTGTGGAAGCCGAACACAATCACGAAACCACACGCGCCTGTCAACTGCCACGGCGATGCCAAGGGGCTCAAAGCTGAGCTTTGCTGAATGGTGCCTGATGGGTTACGGTCAGACATAGTTGCAGGCTCTATACATAGTACCATTGTCGGCACATCTTCTCATGTAAGCACGAAAACCGGTGCTTATTCTGCTCTATGAGAGGGTCTCGACGAACACTCGGCCTCTCGGAGTCGCCATGTCGACTTGTCAAGTGGATGGTCGGGATATCGCCACTTCTCTCTGTCAATGATTAATAAAATGACACAGGGCGGGATCGTGCTTGGGGAAACTCTGCCAGTCCTTTGTAATTACAGACAATATACACACCTTCAATCGCCTATCCGGATTCCGGAGACCCAGCCACCCCGAAATTTTGCGGCAAGTTGTCAAGTGCAATGGTACGGCAATCGGTCTGCTGCCCGTGAATTGCGACGATTGAGGTCATTAACTTGGCATCCCATCATAATCATTCTTTTCGGGTGAATGCTGCATTTCACCCTCCCCATTGAACCGACATTCGAAATGGACTGGTCTCAACAAACAAATTTACAATGTATGTTCTCGCAGACATTCGCGAGAAGAGACAAGCTGAGAAGCCGGGTTCATGGACTAGCTGAGTCTCTAGAAGATCAAGATGCCTCCACTCTTTCTACTCACAGCGCCTTGTTCTCGAAGGTATTCCACTACCGCCGCATGCCCTCCCGCCATAGCTCCTTGTATTGGGGTTTGTCCCCTGCGATTCGAGCTCGCGTTTACGTCGGCACCCATCCCGACGAGCTTCTTCACGATCTTGACGTGTCCCCTCTCCGCAGCCGCATGCAAAGCTGTCGCATCGCCATCGTAACCACCGCCTGACGCTTGCAGGTCGGCACCGGCCCCGAGCAGCAGATTCACAACTTCTAGATTCCCCTGCAAACACGCTCCTTGAAGCGCTGTAAAACCCTTGTATCTTGCTGCCGGGGCGTTGACATGAGCACCCTGTTCGAGCAGCAGCTGCACGATCGCCCCGAAGCCGCCGCCAGATGCCGCCTGCAGTGCGGTGCGCCCGGCACTTGGTGACGGAGGGGCGTTAACTTCTGCTCCGAGTTGCAATAGTAGCTTCACAATGTCTAGGTGGCCACGTTCTGCCGCTGCTTGTAGTGCGGTCCTGCCATTGTATCGGGCGATGGCGAAGGTCTCGGGCAAGGAACCACGCATCTCGTGGGCTGTTCGACTGCCTTGCGTTACTACCCGGATGCCGTGATTCGTCGCCGGACTCATGTTGATCTCTGAACCCGCGTCCAGGAGCAGCCGGACAATTTCCTCGTTTCCATGTCCACACGCAATCTGCAGGCCAGTGCGCTGGAAGTTGTTTCCTCCGCAGAAGTGAACGTCTGCTCCGGCACTGAGTAAACATTTGACGACGTCTTCATGCCCCTGCATGCACGCCGCCTGCAGGGCCGTCTGCCCGTAGTAACCGCACGGGGCATCGTTGACAGCTGAGGGGCTTGAGGCGAGAATCTCTTGGACAGTCTGCAGCTCTCCACTCCTGGCGGCAAGTTGCAGGGGTGTCCAGCAGTATTCGTCAATGTCTTCGGCTGGCAGCGAGGGATCCCATGCCGCGTCCAAGGGAGACAGAATTACCTTGGGCCGTGAGTTTACTAGACGGCCCTCGACTGCGGTCTCCGCCATGTTGTCCGCCATGTTGAGGCTTGCGATTGCTGAATGCAGTAGGAAGATGTAAGTTTTCTGGCTGAGAGGTCGCGCGCAAGAGGAGAGGGGAGAGTGGAAATTGAGTGGTTGGAGTCAAAGGGCAAAGACAGTGATCTCATCAATTCCCCTCTACAACCAGACACGTGCACATTTGAATCCTTCCGCCGGTTCAGGAGCGCGAGAACTGTGGATAACCAAAGAACATGATGCGTCTTTGTGATGATACCTTTCTGCAGTGTGTGAATGTTATGGCACATAGCCGCGTGCAACTTTACAATGTGTTGCAAAGATGACACGGCAATGCACTAATACATCATACACGCTCCATTGTTCTTCTTATCAATATTTGTTGAACACAGGCAGAGCATCACGCATCCGAAATGCTGCTGTGAGACTCACATACAACTTTGCACGTCACGGGCCCTGTTCAACACCAGAGGGAAAGGCCTCAACACATTAACGCTGGAGTTCATGCTTTGTATAATGGGATGAGTGGTAGTGCCTGATTATCTACTAATGTCTTGATGCAAGTGTGTCTCATTTCTGTCGTCAAAGTCCGGTTTCCTCGACCTCCATATCTACCTACTGCTTCACAGCCTTGGCAATGAAAAATGGCTTCAGCTTGGCACTCTCGCAACTGCCCTGCGCAGGAACATTGGACATGACTGGTGTCGTATCAAGGTACGGTTTGTAGTCGAAACTTCCAGGAACGAAGCCTGCGTCGACCATGAGAGCCTTCATCTCTTCCGGTCCAAATCCGCCATGCTTGGAGATTGTGTGATGAGCTGTCACGTTGTCGTGGTCGTGGTCGTGGTCGTGGTCGTGGTCGTGGTCGTGGTCGTGGTCGCCGTCGTGCCCGCCATTGTGTGAATGGGCATGTGAATGATTGTGAGAGTGGTCGTGCGAATGAGCCTCTGGGGTCAGGTCAACAACAACCAAGACACCTCCGCTGCGCAGTCGTTTGTAGAGCCCAGACAAAACACCAACACGATCATCGATATGGTGAAGGGCCATGCTGATTGCAATGAGATCGAAATCGAAGAATTCCTCTTTTGCCAGCACCGTGTCCGCCTCCGTCGAAGGAATAGAGCCCTGGACCGCGACCATTTGCTCAGTCGGAATACCGGACTTTCGAGCAATCTCGTTGTATGCTGCGACGCTGGTGTCGGATATGTCGATGCCTCTGATGACGTCGAATTGTCCCAGAAGCGCGCTGGAGACCATGCCAAAGCCGCATGCATAGTCAAGAAGCTTCAGGGGCGGGCTGCCCTCTGCTCGACGGCGGATGCCCATCCACTCGACATTCTCGGAGAGCGCATCGGCGATCTTCTTGGCCAGGTTGAGGATCCACTGGTTCTTGAAGATTCTGGTTCCCTGAGTGCTTCTCAGATTCAGTGATTTGCGTGCGCAATAAGGAGGCGGGAGATGCAGATGAACTCACTTCCAGAACTCGCGGTTGGCTGCCGCCAAATCCGTCATCTCTGGCTTGGGGGTTTCCATTCTGATTTCGAAGGGCGATTGTTGCTCGCTTGGCGGTGCAGAGGGAAGAGAAAAGATGATGAGCTGGATTGCTGCACTGGAAATTGAAGAGAAGTAGAGCTGTTACATACCCAAGGTATATGAAGGAAAGTCTCCGGAAAGGGTCCGTGAAAGGACCCGCAGCTCGAGCGGCTCGTACGAAGCAGACCAAATCCTGTGTCACTCCTATCCCCTAATCACGGGCTGCTTCTCGCCTGAGAAGCGGATGAATCAGTGCTTAAGCTGATCGGAAACAAGAGGACTCGGGCCTTTCGTTGTTTAGTGAGCGCACAGCTTTTCGTCGTGTCCCTGATTTACTCGGCGGACGTTGTTGGCCGCACCTTGATGGCCGTTTTTTCCCCGGCAGCTGGCGGGATGACGCGGCGATAGAATTGCCCCAAGATGAAGGATGGCATCAGTCGGATGCACATAGAAAATCTTGATGGGTCTCCTACTAGACATCTTACGTACCAAGCCTACCAATTATTTGGTTCCTACAGAGTGTCACCTTGTGATGGCCCGGAGCCCCAAGGAGGTGAATGTAAACCCGAGCATTGCTGTTACTTTCCCCCTGCCTCTTTAACACCTTCGAATCACTTCACATGACAAAAATACAATAGTGACTTGTATGAACTAGGTATGTTACGTGAATGTGCAACCTGAACAAGACATTCAGGCGGTGGACGACTTGATTGCCACAAGACCTTCCCACGATGGGGTGATACTACATATGCCGTATGCGCACGGCGTCCTGAAGTCCTGAAGCAATCGTATAAGTAGGTAAGGTAGCTCCTACAAATTCAAGACCCTCTTGATACCTTACAGAACATGGATGAACAACATATGGAAAGCTGGGTGCCGAGTGCAAGTGTGCAACAAGGGCTGCCAGCCCCAGGGCCATCTCCATCTTGCCGCCTACCATTCTTTGCCTTTCAAATCAAGTGGCAATCGTAACATTCGATCACCTTCATCAGTCGGCGTTGGCAGCCGTCCTCCACGGATGTTGATCTGCAGAGATTGATGCAGCATCCGCGGCGCTGCCAGTTTCGCGTCGCGTTCATTGCGCATGGCGACAAACTCTTCGGCTGTAACGCCATCCTTGAGATGTTTGTTCTGCTCTCTGTGCTCCTGAACGGTCATGTACGCCCTGGGAGAGCCACGGTCCGGCGGGGGATAATCGTGGCCGGTCCATATTTTGACGTGGCTTGGCAGACTGAGTAGCCTACGCCCCGAGGCGAATAGGCTATCCGCGCTGCCGCCGGGGAAATCGCACCGAGCAGTGCCAATATCGGCGTGGAAGACAGAGTCGCCACAAAACACGTTGTCTGGAACGATGGTATCAGACAATCGGAACAAATGTGACGTGCTCGAAAGTGTGGTTCTGAAGTTACTTACCTCCAATCTTGTAGCCCATGTGGTCAGGAGTGTGGCCAGGAAGATGCATCGCCGTCGCGCTTAGATTGCCAATGTCGAATGTCTCGTCATCGTCCATGAGATGGTCAAAAACGACTCCGTATTGGTCCTCTGGAACACCGTATCGCTTGCCAAATAACCGCTGCACTTGGCCGATGCGTCTGCCAATGGCGATGGATGGACTGTATCCCTGCTCCCGAGCAAGGCGGCTCTGTAGGTACGATGCCGCTGTGAGATGGTCGGCATGGACATGGGTCTCCAGAATCCAGTCCACTCGATATCCGTTTTCCTTGACCAACGCCAATAGAGCGTCGGCGGTGCGCGTAGTGAGGCCCTGAGTTGCGCGATCAAAGTCCAAGACCGGGTCGATGATTGCAGCAGTTTTCGTGGAGGGATCTGCTACGACATACTGCCATGTGCCAGTGTCGTGTTCGAATACATCATGAATGATGGGCTCCGAGGCCTTGGCAGACTTGGTGCCGGTGGACATGTTCCTGACCGGGTCTGGTCGCAAGACTTGGCGCTGAGGTGATCTGGGCAATGCCACGCTGAGCGGACGGGGTGCCTGTCTCGAATTTTGGCAAAGGAACCGAGCGTGAGGACAGATGCTGAAGCTCCTGACGAGAGTCAAAGAACGTGCTGTGGTAGCCGGAGTGAGATTCAAGCCCGTCGCAAGTTGCTTCCGGCAGCCAATAGCGCAAGATCGAAGTGGCATGATGAGATTTCGGATCGCTCGTCTCGACGGCGATGCGCTCGGTGATGAAGAGTTGGCGTCGTACTTATCCTTTTCTCGCCTCGCCAGCTGAAGAGCCGCGGATGCCCTCGGATCTGGCTGGCCAGACAACGCCGATATCCAATGCCCCAGATGGGATTTGCCGCCGCATCAAGGCGAGGTTTCGAGGTCATGCCACCGCTCGTCCGAGTTGATCCGTCCGGTCGGCCAAGCTCGAGCCGGTTCACGATGGAAATCTCGGTCAGCACCGTCACCGACTTCCGGCCGGATCATCGTCCGATTCCTGCCCCACACGCTGAATCTCGGCTCGTCGCTATGGGGGCGCGGCAAATCCTCGGGTCTCGTGCTCCTCGAGGGGATCGGAAGTCGGTGATGGAGGCCGGCTGGCGGTGGTTCTGCTCTAGCACCCGCTTTAGTCGATTGCGCGATCGGTGATTATTCAGCCTTTGATGCTGGAATTTTGCCTTTCCTATTATTTCTCTCAGGGCTTCGCTTCGTCTCATCTTGTTTTGTTTTCTTCATGTGAGTTTCTGCGGGCTCTTGCGTATTCGTTATACTTCTCGCCGTCCTCCGTTCTCAACATGTTTCAGGCCCGTTCGTTGTCACTGGCTTGCAGAGCTGCCTCTCGCTCCGTGGTCTCTCGGAGCTTCGCAACCGTCCCAAATGTCTCCCCTGGCCGGAGCCATAAAGTGGTTGTGATTGGAGGCGGTGCGGCTGGTCTGGACATCAGCCATAAGCTCCTTCGATCTGGTAAATTCTCCCAGGACGACATTGCTGTTGTTGATCCCGCAACTTGGCACCACTACCAGCCTGGGTGGACGCTTGTGGGTGGCGGCCTCAAGACTAAGGAGGAGCTCCGACGGCCCCTCAACAGCCTTGTCGACCCCAAATTCAAGTTCTACAACGACGGCGTGGCTGGCTTCTCGCCTGAAGACAACTCCATCACACTCAGTAACGGGGACAAGGTCAGCTACGAGCAGCTGGTTGTCGTGCCCGGTATCTCGGTCAATTACGGCAGTGTTAAAGGCCTCCCAGAGGCGCTGGCTGACTCAAGAAGCCTCGTTTCCTCCATTTACAACTACGACACCTGCGACAAGACGTACGACACCATCCAGAGGCTCCACAAGGGCACTGCCATCTTCACTCAGCCAGCAGGCCCGATCAAGTGCGCCGGCGCTCCTCAAAAAATCCTGTGGCTCGCCTTGGACCACTGGAAGCGCGCAGGGCTGTATGATCCCAGCAATCCCTCCGGCTCCGCAGTCAAGATCAGCTTTGCTACGGGCATGCCCGTGATGTTTGGTGTTCCCAAGTATAACGCCGCGCTGGAACAGCTTCGCAAAGAGAGAGGAGTCGAAGGCCTCTTCCAGCACGATCTTGTCGCGATTGACGGCGATAAGGCAACTTTTGCCCTGCCGGATGGCAAGGAATCTGTCACGAAGCAGTTTGACCTTTTGCACGTCGTTCCTAAGATGGGTCCCCACGCATTTGTCAAGAACAGTGGGCTTGCCAACGAAGCTGGTTACGTCGATGTTGACGATGGCACAACCCGCCACAAGAAGTACCCCAACGTTTGGTCTGCCGGTGATGCATCCAGCCTGCCGACCTCCAAGACTGCGGCTGCCATCACCTCGCAGTCACCCGTCCTGGTCCGTAACCTGTTGCAAGCTATGGAGGGCAAGGCACCAGACGCCACATACGACGGATACGCTTCGTGCCCGCTGTTGACAGAGTATGGCAAAGTTTTGCTTGCCGAATTCAAGTACGGGGGTGAGCCAAAAGAGACGTTTGGCGACTGGTTCGGTATTGACCAGGCGGTTCCCCGAAGGTCCTTCTATTATTTGAAGAAGAACTTCTTCCCTTGGGTATACTACAACCACATGGTGAAGGGAACATGGGGAGGACCGAAGGGCTGGACGAACTGAGCAGTCAATTCTGGATGAATATGTCTGAATCTATAGTACCCTGGGTGGCCAAAAGCATGCCTTCTGTTTCCATCATTTTATCCTCTATCTCTTGTTGAACAATCGCATTTCGTTGTGTATTCTTCCTAGAGCAATGCTCGTGCCACTTGCCTGTGACAAACGACTTTAAGGCTTTGAGTTAACGATGCAAGTCGTTGAAAGCTTGAAGCAAGCTTTTCTTCACCTAGAGTTTATAATACTGGACTTGCCTAGATATGCATTGCTTCACTCAAATAGCTCGACCAACAACCCAAGAGACGCAGAAACTCGCGCTCTAGGGTCTCAGGGTGCCCTGCTATAAGCAGCGAAAGCTTCAAATCGATTAATTTGCCTTCATATGTAAAGAGGCTGTACAGGTAAAGACAACCAAGCTGAGAGGTAGGGGGGCTGCTGTGAAAAGTCGTAACCCGATCAATACGATATCTCTGTTTTTATTGGCTTGTTAGCGCAGGCTGCCTATCGGCAACAAGCCGGCAATGCGAGGTCGCAAGTGAGACAACCGAAAGTATTTAAACATGGCGACAATATCAACCTCAGTGGCCAATTCCCAAAATCAATCTTCAAAGAACGATATACTCAGTGGCAGGCGACATCATCAACATAGATTACACAGGCCCGCTGCCCTTTGCGATACTGATACTCGACCACACTCCCAACCTTTCGACCACATTCCCAACCTTTCGACTACACCAGTGTGCGACGCGTTTCTTACTTGCACTCTTTACTGGACCTCGTCGCCATGTCCATGGTTGAAGTATACGACCCAATCAGAGGAGACGAAGAGCATGTTCTCCAGCTACCCGGAGGGAGGCAGATAGCCTACGCCCACAACGGCCCCCCAACATCACGCACGGTCATCCTCTTCTTCGTCGGTATCATGGGCGTTGGGACCGCGGCGAATGTTCCTGAGCCGTGCCGTGAGATCCAGGCTCATTGGGTCGCTCCCACGCTTCCAGGCATGGGAAGGTCGAGCACTCGCGACTGCTCGGTGCCGTACTACGTCAATTTGGTAAATGATATCAATGCGCTGCTCAATCACCTTTACCCCACAGGGGGGTTTGATGCCCTCTATGTCTCGGGAGGCTCATATGGTACGGTGCCAGCCCAAATGCTCTACGGCGCCCCGTATGATCTCTTTCCCCCTGGTCGAAAGATTGTTGGCATGCTGTTGCTCAACGGCTTCTCTCCACTGAGGCACCACTCCGGTTATGCGAAGCACCTTAGTTGGAACAACTGGGCATCGATTGGACCGCCCACAAGGATTGTACCATTTCGCCTACTGCAGCGTTTGTTCAAGTGTGCAGTTGGATCCAAATTGCAATCCGTCGAGGGCGCAACGCAGTTCCTCAAGGCAACAGTGTTCGATAATATGGACGATGAAGAGAGGCGAATCTTCCAAGATTGGCTACAAAAGAAAAGTTTCGACGAGCATACAGTCATCGAGAAGATGGCACGAAGCACAGTCCGTTGCTGCCAGAACTGGGACGGTTTCATGGAGGTGTCGGATACGATTCATTCTGACTGGGGATTCGATCCCCGTACCCTTGATAAGGAGCATTCTGCAAAGCCTGTCTTGATTGTTGGATCGGAGAATGATCATATTGGAGGCAGCACTAATGACTGGCTTGTGGCCAGCTATCAGTCTGCTAGAGATCTCAAATTGTTGCCTGGAGGTCACATATCCTCCTTGTTCTTCATGGATGACTTGTGGAGGGACATGATAGAGGCTTCCCGGAGTGCATAGATCAAGGTTCACCAATGCCTTGAGACCAAGCACTCCCCAGCCAATGTATCATCAGTTATTCAGTACCAAAGTCGTGGCTTCTGCCTTACAAACAATATACGATCAGTCCCTATGCACGCCGAAGTACCGACCTGCGATTAAAGATGCTTGCAACGGACTATGGATTTCCCTATCCAATGGTGTGCAGGACGTTGTAAAAGCTCAGAGCGCTATTGACCAGTCTGTTGTTAGCAACGCGTCTTGGAGCGCATACCACCAGCCGGTCTGGTCACGCCGATATCAACAATGTGGACTGTGGCACAAGGTATCGGCGAGTAGTGGCTGAGGCCGCGGGAACCCACGGTGTAGACTCGTTCGGTCACAACTGCATAACAAACAGGATGCAGAGGCAGGCAACCAGCTGGTATGCAATATCACCAACATGGTCGAAGTTTGATGATACCTCATGCCGTTCCACCTTTGCATACGCCAAAGGCGATAAATCTCATTGGAACGGTGTCTTCCCCTGGTAGTGTACGGTGCCAACAGCCAGCATATCCACAGTGTCATCGCTTGATGAGACGTGCACTGTCCCCCTCATTGGATGGATGTAGGCTTGGCCAGATTACAGCGATTCTCGATTTTGAGGGTGGATTCTCCCATGTGGATTGCAATCTAAAGACTGAGAGCACGTTGTACTTGTGGCTAATGATGGCGCTGAGCAGAGCTCAGCAAAGTAACACCGAAAGTGATGTATCATATATATATAAAATCGTCTAGTAATCTCTTAAGATTGACGTTTATATGCTGTTACAGTCTGCGCTGTATCAAGCCTGTCGTGTCAAACGAGTGTAGGCAGATTTTTTGAAAACTAAATACAGCGAAAATCTTAAAACCAGTGAGAAGCCCTTGAATATTTACGGCTGAAAAGAAGGTGTGGTGTCACTCCATGACCCAATCGATTCTTCAAGTCTTGGATTGCCATGGCTATGCAGAAGCCTTTTAGTGGCAGGTGCTGGGAGCAAGGGTCCAGCCGGTGAGGCGGTTGGCGATGTCTGATGCGTAGCAAGCAGTGCTACCAAGGCCCTTGTCGAGGTCGGAGTAATCAGCAGAGCCACTGTTGTAGAGCCGAGCGGCAGCATAGTAAGCCTGGCTGCCGTTGTTGTGAGTCTTCTCCTTGGCCTGGGACAGAAGGCTCTGAAGGCCGGGGCCCTCCTTGGTGCCGCTCACACCGTCGCTGATCATGAGGTTGATGGTGGATGAGGGGCAGGGGTTCAGTCCGAAGCAGCTGCCGGCGCCGTTGTGAGACTGCATGAGGCCTGGGTTGGTAACGCCGTTGTTGGTGGTTGGGACACGGACGCAACCCTTGCTCTCCTGCATTACTATGGCGAGGATGAAGCGAGGGTCGATCTCAGCGGCCTTGGAGACGCTCTGGATGGCAGTGCCAATGTCCTGGATTTCGGTCTCGGAGTCGTCACCGACCCAGCCGTTCCAGCCGCAGGACTTCTGCATGAGGGGGACGTTGGCTTTCCAAAGGTCATCCCAGGAGCCCCAGGCATCCTGAGAGGGCCAGCCGGCAGCAGTTGATCCGTCGCCTTTGTAGTAGGTATACTTGTCCTCAACGGTGCTACGCTTGGCAGCGGCACCATGGTGGTGGAAAGCGGTACCATGATGAAAGGCGGTACCATTGGTATGGTGAGCAGTACCATTGGTGTGGTGAACAGTACCATTCCTATGGAAAGCAGTACCATTGGTAGGGAGTGCAGTGCCGACCGCGGCAAGGCCAGCAACAAAGACGGCAATGTTGGCAAGCATTTTGAATGTTCTGCTGACGAAGGAATTGAAGATGGTGTATCAGAAAGGAAGGACTGGCTGATTTGAGGCCAGGGGGTATCAGTTGTATGGTTTTCAAGGTGTGGAAAAGGAGTGTCTGAAGGAGAAGTTCAAAGGAATGGAATGGAAGGTGGATAGAGAATCTCAATGAAGAAGTAATTCAAAATGATCCTGGGACAATGGATGTTGATGGGTCTTTTATACATCAAGCAGTCCCCTACTAATGCCTCCAAGTCTCATCAGAGAAAAAAAATTGCCCACTTGCGCTCCATACTGGAGAGGAAGGTAAACGCCATTTTTTCGACGGAAGAGCGAAATTCAAGACAGAGAGGAAAACACCTCATGCTCCATCACAAGTAGAAGCACCGTGAGAAAAGCGGCCTGCGACAATACCAAGGTTGGTACATGCGATATAGCATGCAAACTCGGAAGACTTGCCCCGTCCTCTTCGGGGCTCGGCCTAAAAACGCCACATGAAGGGTCTCTCTTGAAAGGAGATCCGGCTCGAAGCCGACTCGTTAGATGTGGATACAGAGGGTCTTGCAGCGCCAAAACCACGTGGGTGGAGGGGAAATGAGTAATGAAGTACCTACTTTACGTCTCATCTTTCGAGGACTCGCCGGGCACGAGGTTATGTGCATGAGTTGGGCAACTCATTTGCTTCTCGTCCAACTGATAGGTGATCGTTGGCATGCGTGATAACATAACGTGGATTCCCTTGCTACAACCAGCAATTGATTTTGTTTGTTAACCATACAACGAACACCTTGTTTGAGTTGTGACGATGATTTTTCCATCTATTCCCCCCGTATCCCTCTTTGGGGGTCGAGGATGTGTCTCATGCCACCGTTTCGTGTATCATGACTTCCTTTGTTCTCTTCGAGCTACCCATCGTGGTCGGAGCCGAAATATCTAGAAGCGATTCAGTTGTCTACCTTGTCGTTGTTGGTCAAGACACTGTACAGACTAATTGGCCCAACTAACATCATCCAGCGTCGGATGCACCACGCACATGCAGGATCCCACAATGCCAACCGATAAACTGGCCTATGGAAGGCGGCTAGAAGGCAGAGTGGATATGGCGATTGGCGAATCGGTGTTGATGAACTCATACATATATAAGAGGCGCCAACGTTATCCTCTTAGTGGCTCGTTCCTGGCTAAATGAGCACCCTTTCAATTTTCACTCACCTCAAGCCATGTGGACGGTTCAGTTCTTGGCTAGTATTCAGGCACATGATTCATCACCCTCTTTTGTAGGCGAGTCATCACGGGAACTAACAAGTTCCTGCATGTAAACGCACGCGACGACAAAGGGGAAGTATGGCGCCTCACAGTGGAGGAGCTAGTCCGGTGCAATAACATTGCGATGAAATGTCACTCTCCATCCAAGAGTGACTCTCGTGACCGACTCCGGTCCAGTGTTTCCAATTTTCCATATCCGGGCTTGGCCTCGGACAGGTCTTAGTGCTGCTTCTCACAGTACACGCACGGGCGGCGAACCCACGATAGCCTACGGTATTAGTCTTCCAGAGTATGAGTCCCAGTTTTTAGAGGCCCGACTCATTGAGGATCGGACATTTCTCCGGCAATGCTAGGGTAGGACAGCGGACCGAGGAAGCCGATAGACTAATGCAGCGAGGCCCGCGCCCGCCCATGCAACGAAGGGAAATTGTGCAGGGGACCTCGCTGTAGAATTGCTGGCGGGGGATCGATTACGGCTGAAGAGTCTGGGGAAATACGATGCCAAGATGTAATCAAGCCGCCTCTAATCAAGTTTGGGGAGTTCGTACATAAATCAGAAATTCGACAACAACAGTGAGTGCTGGTGAAGCCTTGCCGTTGCCGCGAGCCTTTGGCTATTTTCATAGCCCAAGTTGATATGCCGAAACGTTGCCACATCAGGATTGTTCTTCTTCTCTCTTTCTTCCTTTCTTTCTTTCCCCCCCAAATTAATAGCCGCTTGTTGTCTGCGTGCAGGATTAGGCAAGACGGAGAACCCAGCAGAATCCGTTTTAGAGCAAAAGACTTGCAAGACCGCATTGAGCCCATTGAGCCAGTTGACAGACGCCCTGGTGGCGTTTGCCCCTGGCCGACTTCGCCCGATCCAGAGAAGTTGTGCCTGGCGTGGCTCCCTATTCGTCAACCACCGCGAGTGGCGCCCGCGCCACTCGAACGCCGTCTTGTCTATGCAAACGGTGGAACTGAATAAGAAGACCGTTGAGGGTGGTAAAGACAGTATAGGTAAGAATGATTTGCAGAACGTCAAGAGAATACTTATGGATGGTGAAGGAAACTGTGGCTAAATAGAGCAACGAAGCCCAAAAAATTCTCACTGTAACCAAGGCCACCGTCCAATACGGTGGGTGTAGAATGGCCGGTCTCTAGCAAGTGGCTCGCTGGCACCAGTCATTCTTTCCGAGACCATAGCCTTCCTTTGTCAAAATCTTGCGTACTGACTTCATCCAGAGGCGTCATACCGCTACCCACCATTTGCCAGTGTACAACCTAACGTTGGAGGATCCCATGTTGTCACGTACTTACCTAGGCCACTACCATTATCAATGCCAAGTCAAAGAATGAACCGTGTTCACATCAATTTCAGGGTCAATGTTCTGTTAATCATGTAAGCCACTTTCTGGAATTGATCATGACCTACTCTACTCGAAGTAGTGGCTTTGGATGGCTTCTAGGAGGTGTATCAGCATGTTGTTCAGCCATTCCTACACAAAGAAGTGAGCTCAAATCCGTGGCTATTAATTTCAGATATTTCAAAGGCATTGACAGAGTGGCTGTGTTTTGGCAACGAGTATTCCGTTTTCTCTGCGAAGAATTCTGTAGCATTTTCCGCCTCCGCCTCCGCCTCCGCTCCCCTCCTGCCTCGAGTGCGACCACTGCTACGTACTTGGGTAGCACCGGCGAATCTGCCCCTGGCTGATTGAACTTGTACGGAAAATCGCTGCGTCATAGTCTGATCCCAACAGCTTGTACACTAATAGCATCGAATTCTGTCATTGCCTTCTTCTAGTTACATCTCTTCAAGCTCGGGTTAGTCTTAATCTATCTTGTCTTAGGTATGAGTATGATAAAGTCGGCATGCTTCACAGATGGCCCCGCCATAGCTCCTGCAAGGAGGGCATCCAGAATTGGTATAAACGGCTGACGGCTGACGCTGCTTTGGCGGAATGCGCTCTAGTCAGGCTGGCTGTTGAGCTTCTCAAAAACACCAAACTCCGCCCTATGAGCTCTACTTCGCGGCAATTTCCACACATTCAGTCCCGTTTCAATCCTGGCTCATGAGGCGGGGATTCGTACTTGCGCCGATGCTCAATGCCAGAGGCAGTGCCGCGTTACCAGCATGAGTGATCGTCGCGTCGTCGGCCTGGCGGACATAACGACAAACCGCACAGCATTCCGTTGACGAAGTATATAAGAGAGAGATCCTCTCGTTCTCAAGATGCCATCAGTATCCTCATCGAAGCTTAACAAGGAAAGAATTATTTTGCCGATATCACCATGAAGTCTATAGTTATAATTCTCTTTGGGCTTGCCTTAGCCGACGGCGCCGCCATCCATCACCACAGCCTTCCAACGGTGGACCTTGGCTACCAAGTCCATCGCGCCATCTCGTTCGATGTAAGTTTCTCGAAAGAAACAGGCTTTACGTGGCGTAGACATGCTGACCATTGCGTGTAAAGGAACACTATAAGACGTACAACTTCACCAACATTCCATACGCTGAGCCTCCTCTGGGTCCTCTACGGTTCGCAGCACCTGTTTCCCCAAGAGGACGCAAATCGGCAGTACAAGATGGCAGAGTTGGAAAAGTTTGCCCGCAGGCAAATCCCGATTGGCTGGCATTAGGCGAAATGTTTACCGCGGCCTACGGACTCAACCAGCTGCCATTCAACGTGACACAAGCAAAGGAGGTGCTATCTAAGCTGCCGCCTCCCCCGGAGGATGATCGAATCACCGAAGACTGTCTAGTCCTAGACGTTTTGGTTCCCCAAAGAGTATTTGATAAGAGACGCAGCATTCACCAGAGGGGCCTGAAGCAGACCAAGGGAGCTCCAGTCCTGGTATGGATATATGTGAGTAAAGGGCCTCCTGTTGCTGTCGGCGACCATAAACTAAGAAGTTGCCTAGGGAGGTGGATATGTCATTGGAGACAAGTCAATGTTCGGAACCCCTAGCGAGCTCATGGCAGCAAGCCAAGCCAATGGCCAAGATGGTGCCATCTGGGTGGCCATGAACTACCGTCTCGGCGCCTTTGGCTTTCTCTCCGGCCCTACGTTGCAGCAGAGCGGCGGCAGTCCGAACGCAGGGCTTTTGGATCAAAGGCTTGCTCTAGAATGGGTTCAGACAAATATTCATTTGTTTGGAGGTGACCCTGATAATGTGTCTATCATGGGAGTCTCTGCTGGTGGCGGATCGGTTATGCACCAGATCACGGCCTGGGGAGGTTCGAAGCCTGCACCTTTCCGTCGCGCTATTCCGCAGTCGGCCGGCCTCGTCCCTGTTCCCGGAAACCGTGAGCAAGAGCAGACATTCAACGACTTTTTGGCCCTTCTGAACGTCTCAACACTGAATGAAGCAAGGGCACTGCCCTCGAGTGCGCTGTTGGCTGCCAACTTGAAGCAGGTCGCTGCTGCTCCATATGGTTCCTTTTCTTATGGCCCAGTCGTCGATGGCACTTTTGTACCTGGGATGCCCTCAAAACTCATTCTTCAGGGAGCTTTTGCTAAAGGTATTGAGATCTTTTCCACATACAACAGCCACGAGGGAATCATTTTCACCGATCCTTCGGCCTTTGACAACGAGTCTCTGCTAAGGAAGCAGCTTGGAGCCATTTTCACCTCATTCACAAGCGAAGACTATCAGCATGTGTTTGAGACGCTCTATCCCCCCATGTATGACGGATCTCAACCGTATACTGACGCCCTGGGGCGAGCGCAGCTGATCATTGCCGAGGCCGCGCTCACTTGCAACCAGAACTCCATGATCAAGGCCGCGCAGAAGCAGGGTGTTGCCGCATATGGCTTCCAAAACTCCGTTTGGCCAGCAGTACACGGCGGTGACCAGCCCTACCTTTTCTCCCACGGACCGACGCCGGGTGTTGACGCTCGAATCGCAAGCATCGCGAAGGATGCCATTGCTGGATTCGTCAATAACGGGTTGCCGATCAAGTCATCGGTCGGTGACATCTCATTCCCTCCTTACGGCCGGGATGGTTTCATTCTGAACTTTGTGGCTAATTCTACCTCGGTAATTCGAGACCCAACGTTGAATGAACGATGCGACTGGTGGCAGAAGGCACTGTACTACTGATTCATGTTTCTCTTCCCACTAAACATATTGTGCTCGATAGACTTCCAGCTTCGGGCCGGTCCATCTTGATAAATATACTGTATTTAGACGGTTCAACAAGGCTTTGGATACACATTAGATTAATCTGTCTAACTCATAAGTTTACGGCCTTGCTCGGATCACTTCTTGTAGCAATATATTTGGACTTTCCGACTTCATAAATGCGACAAAGAGGCCAGTCACTCTCGTCTCGGCAGCTCAATCATCCCAAATAATGGCATTCACGTACCCGAAACTGGACGCTCTTCAAGTGGCGTGTAACTCCTAGATTGGGCGATACCTACCCTACCTGTCAACGAGCTCGCACAATTACGCCCATGCCGCTCCTAGCGACAGACATAATTGTCAACTTTGCCAATGCCGCAAGCAGTGTCGTAAGTCTTGGAGAAGGTCAAAGATTGTTTGACAGCAGCCTGGCACCTTTTCGAAGGGCTTGCGCCGACGCTCGACACATGCGATCTCGACTTCATCTGTGGTACCCTGACAAACAACACTACTGTGGCCGGACCAATGAACATGAATAGTGAGAGATCACGAAAGAGATGCAGGTTTGGCTGCCTTGCCTACCCATCAATCGAGGCCATCAAGTGATACCGAGGAGGCAATCTCGGGGCGGCTACGTATAGTGGTGAGATGATGTCTATAGCTGATAAGAAGCGGTGAAGCTATGCAACAGTAGCGTGCATCAACTTGGGCAACAGTATGGAATAGAACATGTTCTCTTATTAGTGATCACTCTGGGACTGACATTGGATGGCACAGTAGTAGCCGATCTTACGGCTCGGATAATGCCGGGGTTGAATGTTGACAGGGACATGCTTATATTCAGAGCAGAATAAGATCCACGGCCACCGATGCTCCGTTTTTTTTGTCCGCGGGGCAGTCCGGCAGCGAACCATCCGTCACACGTTGATCAATCTTCAATCCATGACGACGTGGGAGGTGCCTGTATGCGAGAGTTTGTCTTGAGTTTCTGGGACAAGCAACTTCGGGAGACCACTCCTCTGCTTTGCATCACGATCTCTTTACTAACTATACCGGTGAATCGACCCCAAATTGGTGGGCGTACCACCCCCGCGGAAGCATCGTTTCTTGTGAAAACGGAATAAGCCGATATCCCATCTTGGCACGAAGATCATGTTCAGGGATCGGAGCAACAAAGCCCGCTAATTGGCAAAGACAGGCTGACTCGCATCATGGGTCTGGTCTGGGCTGTTCACTCAACATGCAACAGCCGGTTTCTCCACTTGAGACTTTGCCTGCCGACCAGATGTTGCTTGTTATTCCCTTTCATGTTTCTCAAGCGCGCATGAATCTCGTAATGAACTAGTAGTTGCCCTATTGACTTGGAATAGGGGAAGTCTGCTTGTCTGCCCCTTCTAGATCGGAACAGAATGCCGGAAAAGTCGGTTGACAAGGGTGAAATCGCGTACCCATGTCCAGAGACTTGTATTGTTTACTTACCCGTTTCGTGTACAGTGCTTGAGTGCCAACGAACCCAGACACTTGGAGTTACGCTCACGATTATGCATACTTGAGAGCCTGACATTTCTGGATCATTCTACTTACGCTTAAATATCACATTCCAGCAACGGACACTAGCTGAGTGCAGCAGTTGCTTGCAAGTCATTCCATTTATGAGCACATTGATCTCGTATTGCGAGTGTCCCATCGTCGCATTTATTAACGCTTGTTGCCACCAGACGCTGTTGTAGCTTCCTAGCATAGTCTAGCTTCGTCCTCTCATCCCGACTCAGTCTCTTTACATGAGAAGCCGTGCTCCACTGTCCACTCAACTTGTATGAATAAGACATTAGCCAGGGGCGCAGAATCTGGGGTAGAAAAATCCACGAATCAAGATTGCGCTGTGTTTCCATTTCCCAAACAAGCAGCTGGAGCAAGCAGTAAGCATCCACGTCAGAATGGCGGCATTACGAAGGCGTCTAGACATGGAAATGGCTCTTCTCTCTCTGACGGTACAGCGTGCATTGCTTCTAGAAGAGGTAGGACTGGTATCCTATCGGTCCGTCACGTAACAGTGGGATGTGGGCATCCAATTATCCCAGTATAGCCCCCTTTCCATCTTCACGAGCGAGGTGGCGTCGGGGACAAGACGGCATATCGTCCAGAATATGATAAATAAGATTGATCGCCCCCCTCGCGACTGTAATTGTGAAGTGCTGAACTGCAATCCGAAACTGTGTTTGTCAAGCCAGATCTCCTAATCTGCCACCATGAAGTCCGTCGCCGCCATCATCCTCACCTCTGCCATCGCCGGCATCGCCCAGGCTTGTTCGACTCCTGGGAACTACATCGTTACGTTCTACGGATACCCCGACAACTCTCCCCCGGGACCTGCAACTGCGCATAACTGCGGTGGTCGCAACTTCAAGGCTGGTGGTGAGTATAGTCTCATCGTTGCTAGTAGTCAACAGACAAGCAAGGACCGTGACTAAGTACAACCAACCAGGTACTGGAACTTACGCCGACCCGATCACAATTGCCACGGCTCCAGGAGAGCTCAACCCCTGCGAGATCGTCTATCTCCCCTTATTGACCAAGTATGGTCGATATGAAGACGATTGCGCTCAGTGCAGTACGTGGACTCCCACCGTCCTCTTAAGACGACGAGACACAAGCTAATCCGTACAACAGCCACTGACTGGGCCAATGGCCAACCTCACATTGACATCTGGACTGGCTCTCCCACAGTCAATGGTGGCCAGAACCAGATCAACTGTGAGAACAACCTCACTTTCGGCGGCCGCTACTCCATTGTCCGCAACCCTCCCACCAACTATGGCGTTGATAGTAAGTTTGTGAACGAACCAACTGACAGGAGAGACGCTAACTTAATTCTGATAGCCACTCCTCTATTCGTTGCGCCAAACACTTGCAACACCAACCATGTCTACCCCAGCAACCCTGCTCACTGCTAAGTTTCGACGTGGTACCTACATATCCCAGAACGAGATGTCCCTTTCGTATGATGATAATGACTGGCAATTCATGGCAGACTCCTGCAGCGAGTCTCCTATGACATGTTTGTCGTACATAGCTAGCTGATGAACACCGTAAATAAGAACGACTTAGGATACCTCTGCGCCTAACACTCTCATGACCCAATAAGTGCCATTCTGTCTTCCCGCTCTTGCGCTGACTCGCGTTCCGTATCAAAAGACATGATCCTGTGTTTGGAATTTTGGGCTGATTTGCGGTCATTTTGACAGCTATCACAAGAGCATCCTCCGGCGGTCTAAACTTTGACTGACCCAACTTTTTCAACACCTCGAAAAAGACGAGGCCTTGGTCCAAAGAGGTGAAGATCCTGCACGCTTTGTTCGCCCATTCATGGAGATGTGGGATGATCCACGCTATGCGACCTGTGGCGGCGTCGCGAGCAAGACGGCCATCCATGGACATGCATCCTATGCTTGACGTATCCTTCTTAGGCTGCAGGCAGAACTGTCATGTCGAAGTTCCTTGCCGTGCTCCTCGGACTCAACATCGGACGGGCATGAGAAGAAGAACCAACTAGGGCATATCAAAGACGCAGTCATTCGTATCACGACCAACTATACGTCAGTCAACTAGCCGAGTTCACCAGCCATAGCAGCATCACACTCTCCTCGCTCAGCTTTTGAGAATATTCTATGCTGTGCTGTACAGTTCTCAAAGTGGCTGCACACGAAGCAGTCGACCGTAGTCTCATGCCTATGGAGGCGGATATTGAACAACTCTTTTTCGGATTTCAATTCTCTGTTGCGGGCCATTCGCCGGCTTTGTGATGGGTGATGACTCACGGGCTCTTGTATTCCTGTTTCACTTTTATCGAGCTGCACGCATCCTGATGTCACCTACGAGATGCTGGTGGGCATCCAGGAGGAACTGTATCATGGAAAAGCTCATACTGAAGAAGCTCAAGTCCAGGCAACTGAATACCCGTCTGTGCGACGAGTGACATCAGCCAGCGCAGTGCGCGGGTAAAATAGATCATCCTATTATCCCGGTTTGCGATATATGCCAGAGACATGCTGTGGTAGTGCCCGACAGTATCAAGTATATGGAGCGGCGTTTGTCAATGGAGGAGCTTCTATTGTGTCTTCAATCTAGTAACGAACTAAGTAATCCTCGTAATCTTAGTTCAACCCGCAAGAACAGCCATACAGCCTCGTCTCACTCTCATTTGAATGCAGGATCGATTCTCACGATTCGTTGACCAAGACGTAACGAAATCTTGGCTTGCCGGCTTCCAGGTCAATGAGGGTCTGGTTCGCGTCTTTCATGGGTCGCTTCTCTACCCATGGCTTGATGTGTTTATCAGCAGCGAGCTGGAACATTTCTCGGATCTCATCTGGGGAGCCAATACATGAGCCCGTGACGCTCTTGCGACCGACAATGAGACTGAAGGGCTTAAGAGAGATAGGGGCCTCCGGGACGCCGACCTGGACGAGCGTTCCCCCATGTGCCAACAGCGCCAGATAATCGTCAAAGGGCATCTGTTAATCTCATGTGTCAGCACAAAACCATGAACAATCGAAACAATCCATCCTCGTCACATACATTGTCAGATGAAACGGTGGAGATGATGAGATCAAAGCGCCCCTGATTCTTCTTCACCCAATCAGCATCATCGCTTGTCGCAATGTAGTCATCACAACCTAAGCTCATCGCATCTGCCCTCTTGGTTTCCCTCCTGGAAATGCCGACGACCTCGTCCGCACGCAGTGCCTTTGCAAACAGCACAGCAAAGTGTCCAAGACCACCGATACCTACAATGCCGACCTTCTTGCCGGGACCTGCGCCATGATACTTGAGCGGCGAGTACACTGTGATGCCCCCGCACAGCAGAGGAGCAGCAGACTCGGGGGACAGACCGCTTGGGATCTTGAAGACAAAGTGAGAGGGAGCTCGGTGATATGAAGCATAGCCACCATAGGCCTTGCCATTGTTGCGGTGCCTGTCATTGTACGTGTTGACGGACCTGGGACAGTACTGAGTCAAGCCCACGCTGCATGGAGCACAAGGTCCATCACGGCCAAGGCAGGCATCGCTCTGAGCACCGACGCCGACAACATCGCCAACTTTGATACCATTCTCGGCCTTGGAGCCAACGCGAACGGCAACGCCGAGTATTTCATGTCCAACAATGCAGGGGTACTCCGTGGCACCCTGAGCGAAACCAAGTCAATATCATTGTGCTTGCTTAATGCTAGGTTGTGGAATCGAGGCGTAAGAGCTCACTCACCCATCCTGACCTCAATACATGCAGGTCTGAACCGCAGACTCCACAGTGCGTAACTTTGATGTCAACGTCCGTCTCCTCCCAGGGCTTCGGCTCGAACTCTCTCCAGGCCATTTTCCCTTCCGAGGAGGAGATGTCGTCGCCCATCCATCCCTCGAAGTTGTATTCGGTCGACATTCTGGGAATTGTTTTTCTTCAAGAAGAACCAAAGATAAGAAAAGAAGAAGAAGAAGCAGAAGAAGACCCGCTGTTGCTGTTTTCTGCGTGTTATCAAGTGTATCCGAGGATTGTTCCTTCGAACAGCAAAGAGCTCGCTCTTTATACACCAGATCGTATGGGGATTTTCGTCTCCCGGATCCACGTTATCATCGATGTCGTCAGAGCCGGGGACTTGATCAGTTGCCTACATTCTGTCACCTGTGAGGACGCCGTCCCATGAGCCTTTCAAACAAGGGAGGCTCCCCTTGACTCGTATCGTTGTCCCATGAAGCTTAGGATACAGCAAGTTACCCGCTCATCATAACGTATCTCATGTTGACGACGATTGCCTTTGCTATGAGATTGCTGTATGATTAGTAAAGCGGTCCCAAGCTTAGCCTAAGTCCGACAATGACGCTACGACTTTGGTAGATGCGTAGAAGCGCTGCTCTGTGACTGATCGGCGATTGTACGATTTTTATCGGAGTTCAGAATTAAGGTTGACAGTCGACAAATCGATCCTGCGAACTGCGTGAAATGGCTCAGAAACTTTACGGCGATGTTCCTCGGACATATAATCTCCATGGCAGTCTACTATATCTACAAGATAGGCACGCTGGAACAGCTTGGCGGAGGCCTGGGCCAATTGGCACTTTGTGATTTTACAAGGGCCGCCAGTAGTCAGTGTTAGCCAGGGAAGATAGAGAAGATGAAATATCAGTACAGGCTTGCCCTTTATTATCTCACGAATGCTATCAGACCCGATCCTGGTGGGAATTTGCGGGATTTGATGTCCCACTTTGCACGTTCAGCAGACTTCGAGCATCACAAATGACTCGGAGTTAACGCATGTAACTAATTCCCCTCCCCGAGGTTTTGGATGAAGTGTTCAAGCGGCGAGGGCTGTAGAGAAGGAGACAAACACCGCAAATTAGGGCTTCGACGTCCATGAAGCATTTCCTGCAAGATTGAGGGAAGCTTCCATTCAATTCCTTGCTAGCATTGCCTATATACCTAGGTACCATTTTCTTCTAGAAAAATAACCAGGAAAATCTGTACCACTTCCCAGTATCAAGCAACGTCACGAATCTTTCGCCCATCTATAGAGATAAAGGTAGTATAATAGCCGCGTGAGTGAAGTGATATAAGGGGATAATAGACTCAGACATGGCTCATTGAGTCTCAAGGAGGGGTGAAGCAAGATGGTATCAGGTAAGTCAAGAGGTCATCGCAGACGCATTCTCGGACATTTCTCCAACGGTTTTCAGATTACATGGCGTTTGCTAGTGTGCTCTGCAACTAAGGTACCGTAACGCGGTCTTTAATAACTTGAATACCTACCTAGGTAGGTAATTTTCCAGGAACGCCGTGCAAGCCTCACACTTTACAACGGGGAGCATGCGACTAACGCTTGGGGTTTTCAACCGGTATCTAGGGGTACCTCTACTCTTGGGTAATGTTCTTTGAGATACCTAAGCGACGACCAAATTAAGCAGAAGTGTTCCCATAAATCCTCATGTCCATTTCTCAAATCAAAGAGTTGCGACCAATCTATCCAACCAACAGCTCGTTAGCGTGTGCCCCGCAGCTCGCTCGTTGCTCAACCAGTAGCGCTGCTGAAATGTTTCCGCTTCCGCCAGAGCTGAAGTTAGGTACATCTTGCCCCCAGTGGTGTAACGGACGTGGTGCTCGTACGATGTCGCTTCTACAGGTAGGTAGAGAGATAAACGGCGTCAAGGATAACCGCTATTCCACAATCCTTTCCCCCAGCCTTTGCAGCGAGGTGAACCACATGATGTTTTGAATACTATAGCATTTTCAATCCCTTCTGCGGCCTCGGACTTGCCCTGGAAGTTGTATCTAGGTACACTGAGTGCGTTGGAGCATAAGGTACCTAGAGAAGTACCTTAGAATGCGGTCTCATGTCTAGATCCTCGCCCCTTTGATGCCTGAATAGGTAGGTAAGTTACCTTGTGAAACGCCTCTTTACTCCTCACTCGTGCTACCTAGTGTCGCATCCAAGGAAGCTAAGTCCCTGCCTCCACGTGTTGGCGAGGCTTATTCTCTCTCGATCTCGGAAGGGCGTGGGAGCCTCGCCGCAGTCCGTGATGAGCTGTTCCATCTACAATTACGTGCATTTGCGTCTTCCCCGCCAGAGGCTGAGCAGCAGCTGAACCACCTATTCGTATGACGGAGGGCCTAGACTCAACGTTCCGTGGCCTCTTCCCGATCACTCCTGTATTTAAATATCTCAGGAAGCTCCATCTGCTTTTTGTCGTCAATACTTTCCGAGAGGACTTCAAGGGCTTTCTCAGAGTTTCCTATGGCGAAAGAACATTGGTGCTTGAACTACCTATACTACAGCAGCGAACAGCGAAACACGCGACATCATGTCTGGCCATCATCAGCCACCGCCACTTCCGCCCCGAAAAACGAGCGGTAACGGGTCAATCGCCCCTCCAAACCCGCCAGGACAAAGATACGGAGGCAACACTCAGTATCCATACGGAACCGTGAGCCCACAACAACAGTCTTCTTGGTACGGGTACCCATCGGCATCGTCATATCAAACTACGACTCCTCAGACGCCCTATTATCCCCCGCCTCCAGGTCCGCCGCCGCCTGGACATACCAGCTACCCATATACTCCGACATCAACTGCGCCCAGCTCAGTACCGCCGACGTCTCAATACTTCCCACCTCCCCCTCAGAGCCAGTCTCATACAAATGCTTCTTCTACAGCGCAGAGTTCTTTCCCTCCTTACCCTTCGTCTCTGCAGAGTCCATCTTATTCTAATCCTTCCCTGCCGGTTCAATCTCCGTTGCAGTCGTTTCCTCCACCTCCACCTCCACCTCTTCCTGCCAGACCACTGGTTCAGCAGAGTTCAAACTTATACAGTCCACATCCACCCTATAACCCAGCCCAAAGCCCTTCCCATCAAGCCTCGCATGCCCAATATGTTCCGCAACTAGATTCCTACCACAACAGCCCTCCATCTCCAGCTGCGTACATACGGGTTTCGCATGCACCAGCACAAGTCACCCCAGATCAAATCTCGTCATACCATTCTCCCCTCTCTGCGACAAGTTCACCAGCATACCTAGCCAACGCCTCGTTACCGCAGCCTGCACCACCGGGACATTATGTGCCATCCGGGACAGTTCAGCCATCAGCTCAGCAGCAACCGGCATATGTAGTCTCATCTGTCCCTCCTCCTATCCCACCACCATCAACTCGTCCTCCAATTCGGGACAGCTCGGACAATTATCATTACCCTCCTCCTCCAGCATCAGTAGGGCCACAACCCCCAACTTCAGCTCCAGCTCCAGCTCCAGCTGCACAAGCATCAGCACAACATGAATACCCCGAACCGCCAGCGCCGTCTGGGTTACAGAACAGCCAGCATCAAGTTTCTCGCACGCCTGTCGCGGCCCCCGATGTCCATCAAGCAGTGCCGGCCGCCGAGTCAACTCCGATTCCTCTGCCAACGCCCTCAATGTTCCCTTCTCAGCCGGATCATAGCTCACCGGTTCAATTCACCAATGATGCCGCCACGCCAGCTCCCCCACCTTCATCTGGTGTGCGCCAGCCCCCAACGACGCAAACCTCAGATCACATGGCCGACCTATCCACGCAAATGACAAATCTCAGCATGAATGCCGTGAGCCCTATTACAGCATCCCAGCCTTCTCTCACAGTGTCGAGCGACGATACTCCTCGGCCTCCGCCTCACATTCGTGCTTCTGGGACGCCACTCGAAGTCATCACTTACTGCCCCGAAGCGAGGGCAGTGGATTATTCTCTTTACTGGTATCGTTTGCCAGATCATCCGGATTCCTTGATCTGTACACGATGCTATGCTGACCACATTCGATCAACGCCCCTGGCAAGCAAGTTCGAGAAAATCAAGCGGCCTGACAACTTCTACTCTTCTTGTAGCTTTTGGTTCCCAAGGGTCAAGGAAGTCATCTGGCCTGTGGCTCTTCAAACGGGCAACCTGGATGCGCTGCGGGCATTTATGAAGAAGCGCCTCGACGTGAAGACATGCAAAGGGCGCGATCCCATCCCCGCTTCAGATGGAATTAAATGGTTCGGCATGACGGCAAGCGAGGTCAATGGCTTCATCTCATGCGAGGCCTGTTATGAAGATCGAATAGTGGGCACAGCATTCGAAAGCAGGTTCTCTCCGTATCGCCAACAGCCTACCGGCGAGAAATGGTCGTGCGACCTCGCTGTACCATACATTTCCCGAGCCATTGTCAAGCTAGCCAAGCGGAATGACTGGGCCGCCTTTGTTGCTGAGGCGGCTCGTCGTCTGTCATTGCCCAAATGCGAGGGGCAGGAGATCCAGTCAAACCACTGCACCTGGTATATGCCACGTCAGAAAATCGACAACATGCGGGCCTGCGAGGCTTGTTACCTAGACCGAGCTGGCATGACACGATTCGAAAATGAGTTTGAGAAGTACGACATGGGCACAGGCTTTGACGCCTTCTTCGAACACATGACCACTCTGTGGTCGTGCAAACTGTGCGACTCCAAGTATCTCAATCTGGTATGGGCAATGGAGAATGCCATTTATCAGCGCAACTTCTCCGTCTTCGCCAGCTCAGCAGAGGTTGCCTGCCGTCTGCCGCCCTGCACGGTGCACGGTATCGTCCGCGGCAATTGGTGGACAATCCAGGGAGGATGCGATAACTTTGACGTGTGTGAGAGCTGCTATGTTTCAATAGTCAGGACCTGCGGCGTCAGCCAGTTTTTTGAGCCTGCAAAGCGCAATCCTGAGGCGACTCTTCTTTGCGATTTCTGCGTTGCCAGCCCCCGATTTCGCCAATACCTCAGGAAATTCGCCCAATCATTGGATCAGGGAGTCTTCAGTTACTATATCGACTACGTTCGGACCTTTGCCGCTGTTCCAGTTTGTCCCGGCCTCGATACCGTTGAAAAGGGTCACTGGTGGGGATATCCGAATGCTTTGTTCTGTCAGGATTGCTATCTAAGCTTCGTTGCGGACACAAAACTCGGCGAGGCTGTCACTATCAAGAAAGGGTATGACGAGCGCGCCCAAATCTGCCAGATCTGGTCGTCTCGCATGCGCACCATGTGGCTGCAAGTATGCGATGCTGGCCCTCCGGGATCGCCCGAGTCCGATGCCAAACTGGCTGAGTTTGTCGATTTCGGGGCCAAGAGGTTGGAGATCTATACGCAGACCGTCCCTCAGATGAAGTTCATCCGCGATATGAAGCTTCTGAAGATGCAGAATGCCATGCATCAGGGGCTTCTGAGTGTCATGTACAACAACATGGATGGGCTCGCATCGGTGGCTGGCACTGTAGATGGAAACCTCCACGGCAATAGTCAGCTGGGCTGGTACGCTACTGAGCATGGAGTACAGGGTGCGCAATTGAACAACAACATGCAGGCTGGCTATGCAGACGCGAATCGGATGGACGAATGGATGCAAATATTTCAGCTGGAGATGATATGGAAGGAGGTTGAGTAAGGTAAATGGTCGGCGATAGAGTGGCCCGTGGAACATCAGAATGACGATCACCTGTTCCAACCCCAATGTATAGCCTTGAAACTTGCGGAAAATCGACTTGTAGCCCAGATTGGTTTTGTTTTAAGAATTTCACAGCTCATAGCGCATTGGAAATGATGCAACTGCTTCCTAGTATGGGGTTGGTGCCTGGGGTACCCTCTAATAATCCGTCTCTGCTACCCAGAGATGGGCCGTGTGTAAGATTCGTTTGTTCCATCCTCGGCCGACCCTCGGCAGCGGCTGTGTTAAATACTCTAGTGCCCGCTTCAATCCCGATGGTGTGAGGGGGGCTCGAACGAGCTGAGAGCAGACTGTGGGGAAACGATGCCACGTCTCGACCCATGTTGACGTCGGCGCCTCAGTTGTATATAATGAACCCCTCCCCAGCCAGACGGGTTCCTGAATCACTCTTTGTGATATCTGAATCACAGTTATTTACCCTCAGCACATGCTTGCCACCGTCACGAATATGTCTCTCCCACAAAGCATGAAGGCCGTCGTCTTCGATGGACCCCGCAGTATCTCTGTTCAAGATCGGCCAGTTCCCCAGAGTACGCCCCTTCAGCCTGATATCCCAGAATTACATATTGAATAGTCTGTGACCATTCTTAGTCAGGGACGATGAAGATATCATTGTCAAAGTGAGCGCCACTGCTCTCTGTGGCTCGTAAGTTGCTTTTCTTTCTTCTTTTTAGTGAATTTGAGCAGTCGTCTAACCACGGAGCCCCTGTATCAGCGAGCTGCATGTTTACCGCGGTCACCAGCCATCGGAAACTGGATTCATCATGGGACACGAGTTCACTGGCACCGTGGTAGCTGCAGGCCCGGCGGTCAAGTCAGTAGCAGTTGGTGACAAGGTGGTAGCACCTTTTACAGCATCGTGGTATGTTCTTCTAGCCCCGGCTCTAGTGTTATCTCATCTCGCACGTCGAACTTCTATGAGATGCTGATATGCTGCTGCTGCTTTTGCTTACCACTCCAACAGCGGCAAGTGCTTTTTCTGTAGAAATGAAGCCACTGCACGCTGTGAGAAGTCCATGCTTTTTGGATCGACCAAGCTGGATGGTGGCCAGGCCGAATACGTCCGCGTCCCAATGGCCGATGGCACAGTCTCGAAAGCCCCCCCCTCAATCTCAGATGAGGCACTCATTCTCATGGCGGACATCTTTCCAACCGGTTTCTTTGGTGTCAAGTCGGCAATCAGCCTTGCGCCGCCCACACTCAGCGTTCAGGAGTCCACCATGGTCGTTATTGGATGCGGTCCCGTTGGCTTGTGTGCGATCGTTGCGGCCGCTGAGTTGAAGCCCAAGCATCTATTTGCCATTGACAGCGTCGACAGCAGACTCAGACAGGCGCAGCAGCTTGGTGCCGAACCTCTAAACTTTGCCAAAGACAAGGAGGGAATGCTGGCGAGAATCCTGGAAGCTACGCATGGGAGAGGCGCAGACTTGGTCGTTGAGGTCGTGGGACTTTCACCGGCCTTAAGGACGGCTTTTGATACTGTGAGGCCATTTGGGGTGATTAGTAGCATCGGCGTTCACAATGCAGAGGTATGTTCCCATGACACATCTAGCTGCCGTTGACTTTTGGTTGATGACTGTTAGATTCCATGGTCTGGAAGCGAGGCTTATGGGTAAGTACCGATGGCGGTCATGTTCTTTTTTGCGAAGTTGGGTGAGCTTATGTCTGACGGAACGGCGTGTAGCAAGAACCTTCGCCTACAAATGGGCCGATGTCCGGTCCGTAGCATCTTTCCAGAGGCTCTTGTCTTGCTTGAGAAAAAGCAGCACCTGCTTGGGTAAGCCTTCGTTCATGGTCTAGTCGTACATCAGGGAACCACTATCTGACGGGAGATGGCAGCTTCATGTTCGAGAACACTATACCGCTGGATGATGCTGTTCAAGGCTATGCCTTGTTCGATGAGATGAAGGTCCAGAAGGTTATTTTCAAGCCATGAGACACGTAGATTGGATGAAAGGACGAAGCATGTTGTTTCTGAACGGATCAGGTGAGGAACCTGTGATTTAAGCAATCTGTTGACCCGAAGAAGGGCGTCTCAGAGTGGCAAGGGAAATAGAGCTAACACGTGAAGCGTTGTTGTATTGACCCTTCATCGCGTGGGCCCGTGAGTTTCGTTGTCTGCTGTTGCAAGTACATACCTACCGGGACCTTACCATACTGTGAAGAAGACAGACAACATTTTTTACGCATCTGCTCATGTCAAAACTTGTAACAAGCCCGCTAAGTGCAATCCTTCCATGAGTGCATACATTGAAATTCATTTCCCCTTTGATGCATGTTTGTGAGACCCCGCGCCCTTCGAACTACATCGCCAAGGATGGACCGCCATATATACTCGAGTAGTACACAAGCCAATTTCAGCCCTTTGTATTACGCAACGCACAGGAGATCATTGCCACCTAAAAATGGCTGCCAAAACCCCTAACGATGAGCACAATGTGCTAAATGGTTCGTTAAGCCTTCTTCAAACGAGAATGCTAGTCAACATGCTCACGGGTTGAACAGTCCAAACATCTGGAAAGGTGGCCAATGCCGCCGGCGCCCACGGAGCCGCTAAAGCCAACGCCGCGGAGCAGTCTGGTGATGATTCAGACGACGATCCAGACCAACAGATCACCGAAGTTGCAGTTGCTGCTGGTGAGAGCGGTGACGTAAAGAAGAAGAAGAACAGGAAGAAGAGGAACAAGAAGAAGAAGAGTCTCGTCCAGACGGAGCCTCCATCAATCCTTATCTCAAAGTTGTTTCCAATGGGCAATTACCCTAAGGGCGAAGAGGTTGAGTATAATAACGACAACCTCTTGCGCACTACTGATGAAGAAAAACGTCATGTAGAGAGTCTCGGCAGCGACTTCCTCTCGGACTACCGCCAGGCGGCTGAAACTCATCGTCAGGTCCGCCAGTGGGCACAGAGAAACATCAAGCCGGGTCAAACACTCACCGAGATTGCCAACGGCATCGAGGACAGTGTGCGGCGTCTACTCGGCCATGACGGCTTGACTGAAGGTGACTCCATCATTGCCGGCATGGGCTTCCCGACCGGATTAAACATTGATGAGATTGCTGCTCATTACAGTCCAAATGCGGGTGATAAAGTTGTCCTCCAACAAAATAATGTCATGAAAATTGACATTGGCGTCCATGTCAATGGTCGCATCGTGGACAGCGCATTCACAATGGCATTTGACCCCATGTACGACAACCTCCTCGCAGCCGTCAAAGATGCTACAAATACTGGCGTTCGTGAGGCTGGAATTGATGTTCGCCTCGGGGAACTGGGTGGATACATTCAAGAGGCCATGGAGAGTTATGAATGCGAGATCAACGGTGCGACATATCCAATCAAGTCGATTCGCAACATAGGCGGCCATACAATTTTGCCGTATCGCATCCACGGCACGAAAAGCATCCCAGCTGTCAAGTCAGACGACATGACCAAAATGGAAGAGGGTGACATCTTTGCCATTGAGACCTTTGGAAGCACTGGCAACGGTTGGGTTTACGATCAGGGCGATGTCTCGCACTATGCCCTGCGCGCAGATGCGCCCAAGGTGGACTTGCGCTTGTCTTCTGCCAAATCACTCTTGAACGTGATCAAGAAGAATTTCCACACGATTCCATTTTGCCGACGCTACTTGGATCGGATTGGACAAGAAAAGTACCTCCTCGGTGTATGGAAATCGCTCTCCCAGGCTGTGCATCCAGTCGGAGTGGCTAACGGTTTAATAGCTTAACACTCTTGTGAAGTCGGGCATCGTCGAAGACTATCCGCCTCTGGTCGATAAGAAAGGGTCTTACACGGCCCAATTTGAGCATGCAAGTAACCATTGAACCTGTACACTATCTTCTCGACCACTAATGAATTGCACCAGACGATTTTGCTGAGACCTACCGTGAAGGAGGTCATTAGCCGTGGAGAAGACTATTGATGGTAGCACCGCTGACAGTCGACAATCTTCTTTCCGCGTAAGGCCCCGATTGATCAATCCACGGGTCTCGTCATCAGGCAGAAGCTTGAGGCCTATTTCCTTCTCGACACTCTTTTCGGATATTGAGTTATGTGTTGCTCTGGACGGTCTTTGAGGGCTGCTGGTTTCAGATCGGAACCTGTGGAGCCCAGTCTCTTCACATACCTAGGTAGACAACATGAACCATTGCAAACAATTACAGGAGGGGAAAGAAAGATGGGGCAAAAAAAACCATAAGGGCAATCATAGATGTACACAAAGCTTACAGTCACTACCTCACTTCCTCAATGAAACATTGCAGCCCAGCCTCATGGTCCGGTCTAAGTGACATACATCGGCAATCCCGACGGAGAACTATGTAAACCAATGCCATTACTACTCTGTATTTGCGATGCTTCCAAATCATATTTCTCCATCGGAACTAAATCAGAAATTTGAGCGTCTGCGGCTCTCTCTACAAGCTCTATACATTACATTAAGGGTCTTTGAGTAGATCAGAGCTGGTCCACACCAGTCATCCTGCTAACCTTGCGAAAATCATCCCGAGGCTCAAACCTTCGCTCATCAGTGCTTGCACTGACTGGTTGCCAGGCCTTGAGCAGTTGAAGCTCCTCCTGTCTTCGATTTAATCCGCTGTCATATGCGTCCGAGCCCAGCACAACGCGGGCAGCCCAAGGCCGGCCAGCCGCAACGCCCTCTCCCTTGATAACATCAATCATGGTGGAAGCAGCTTTGGCGGGGGATCCCGGCATAAGACTCATGGGGTCGTTCGAAAACATTCCGATGATGTTGTCAAACAGTGGCTTGTACGCATTGGATGGCTCAGGACCGGCAGGGCTAGCGTGCGCCCCTTGACGAGGCTGCATCAGGTTGGTGATGAAGCCGCCGCAGTCGAAGGCGACACTGCGAATCCCCAGGTCACTGACCTCCTTGTGAAGGCACTCTGCAAAAGCACTGAGAGCTGCTTTGGTCATTGAGTAGTGGGACATGGTGGGGAGAGCCATCCAACTTGAGCTCGAGGAGGTAAATGCGACGCAGCCGTGGCCCTGGGCGCGAAACAGAGGCAGAATGGCCTGGGTAATGTGAGCCGGGCCAAAGAGATTGACTGAGAACATGTTTTGGACATATGCATCACTATTATGGAAAACGGGTCAGCAGACATGTCTCAACAACAAACTTCTTGAAAACGGCTATCCTTACTTTGCATCCTCGATGGCCGTCATGGCGGACATGCCAGCATTATTCATCACAACGTCAATGTGACCAAAAATGTTCCAGGCCGTCTCAATTTGGGTTCTGATCACTTCGATGCCGGCAGTGACCTCCAACTCCATCAGGGCAATGTTTTCATATTGAGCCTTGACGTGACCGAGCTTCTCTTCAACCTTTCTGCCGGTTGCAATCACTTTGTCGCCGCGGGAGAGTATGTGTTCCACCAAGGCTGCTCCAATACCGGATGTAGATCCAGTGACGAGGAAGACTTGAGGAGCCATTTTGCCACAGAAGATTTGTGTATTATAGTAATGAAGTTTTCAAGAAACTTTTGGTGGCGATCAAGCGATGCGTGAATGTTTGGTGGCGTTGTAAAGGACTGCAATGATTCTGATTGTGACTGTCAACAATTCGGTTTCCAGTCGAAGAGCTCGATGAGACCATATATACTTCTTCCTTCCACGCTGAGAGGCCATCTCATTCGTTTTACCACCCACATTGCTTGCTACATCTGGGCGGCTTCAACGTGTTGTTTGCATCCTAAATCCGAGCAAATTTCACAAGCTCCATGTCGCGCCCTTGGATTACGGACGAGATTTACGGACGAACTTGGCGGACGAAAGTCGTTCTAGACCCCCTTAAGCCGTTTGGGGCTGACACAAACACAGCCACGGAACAAAAGGATGGGAGTAAGCCGATTATGCGCCTACAGCACCCGGGGCATGCACACTCAAATGTCACCCAAAAGCCAATTTCTGATGTGCATATATAGCTCCTTGTACGCGGTCGCTCCATTCCTTGGCTCGGTTATTTTGTCCAGTTTACTAGAGCGCAGCCTATTAGAGAGCCGTACCTTACGCTTGATGCGAATCGGACGACGATTAGAACCACCCCAACTGGTGCGGACTTTGGTAGAGTCTTCGTCCGTCCGTGACACATGGGTAGGCGACTCACCTCCGCATACCTCAGCTAAAAGGCAACGAATTCAACCCTTCGTCCATCGGACAAGAATGGTATTACTTTTCCGATATCACTATCACGCACCAAACTTGACGGATTTCATCGAGTCAATGTTTCTTCTGCGTGACAACTGAGCTATCTGCAGTAGCCGCCTCTACCGAGCGCCTTACTCTAATTCGCACATCTCTGTTCGTCCGAAATGGAGGAGCCTTATCTCCTACCAACAGGGAACCCGCTGCCTCATCGCGTGAGAAAGATGCGCAAGGGAACTCGAAGCTGCACCGAATGTATGTCCTGTATAGACGAGTTGTATCTGGTAGCAGATAGACACTGATAGCAGTCTTTGACAAGGCCGAAGACGCAAAACGCGCTGTGTTTTTTCTCCCGGTGACACCGTATGCGTGCTGTGCAAGTCCCGGGGCAGTCGCTGTATCGAACAAGGTTACGAGGACGCCAGTCTTCCAAATCCCAGATCTGGTGCAGCTCGGAAAAGCCCTACCGCCGAGAAGGCGTCTCAGAGTCGGAATGAGCCATCTGTAGATCAGCCCCCCAAGTTCTGTGGAGATGCAGAGACATCAGATGCCCTTGCCTCAGAGAGAGCAAACCATGCTCCGATTGTATCTCTACTCGTGGATGTCAAGGTCAGTTAAGCAAGATTCAAAGGCCGACTGCATCCACATGCATGCATTCACAAGCGCTTTGAAGGCGAGCTAATCGATGGCTTTGCCCAATGCACAGCTCTCGGCATCGGCGAAGGGCGGACAAGACGAGCCCTCAAATCCAAAACCAATGCCTTGGTCCATGCAGCCTCTTGGCAGCAAATCTGCATATGTGTGCTCTACGATCCGCTCGATGCTACCCAGCTATGATACCATCATATCCGTTCTCACTAGAAACGGGTCATGGTGGGACAGCTTCCGCTCAAAGGCATATGCCATTTCCGAGGCGCCTTCCCAGACGATCGAAGCCTTCGCGAAGAGGACCTATACGAGCAGCAACCCGGCCGATATAGGTGCTCTGGCCATTGCATTTGCTCGGAGCTTGAATAAGCATCGCTATCTGTATACTCTGGTAGATGACCTCGTCATCTCGGACATCAACTTCCTGACGACTATAGAGGGGCTGGAATGCCTCATCCTTCTCGCAAAGTCATATACCGACTGCGGCCAGCCAAAAAGAGCCTGGCTTGTATGGAGAAAAGGTGCATCTGCAACGCAGCTTATGGTGAGTCAGTCCTTGTTTGGCTCAGCCATCCGGAGGGACGCTGGCCTCGTCTGACTCGTCATTAGGGACTTTGCTGTGGTAGTAACTACAGCCATACAGAAATGAGGCTATGGTGCTCAGTATATCACGGCGACAGATTCTGTAGTATGCTGCTCGGCTTGCCTTATGTCCTCAACGACAATCACTACCAGTCTGTTATCAACGCGCCGGGGATGGCCCCAGGCTTTTATTTTGTCCTCCGATGCGCCATCATCTGTGGAAAGATCATTGACCGGAATATGACTGTCGGCAAGCCGTCATTCGCGAGAGCCATGGAACTAGACGAAGAGATGGAAAGCGTTGCGTCGTCACAGCCACAGGACTGGTGGGCCGTTACAGAGACCTTGGACCAGCCGCTCGAACATCTTGAGCTCAACGAGCTCAGAGAGCAGCTATTGCAACAATTCTACTTCTACTGGGTCAAGCTGTTCCTCCATCTGCCATTCCTGGTGGAGACGACAACGAGCTCGCCACACTACTTCAGCAGAATGGCCTGCATAGAGGCATCCAAGCAGATTCTAAAGAGATATCGACTCTTACGCACCAGAATGAGGTCGGGCCACTGCTTGTTCGAGTGCAAGACAACAGACTTTGCGTGCTTCACCGCTGCTGTTGTTCTTCTCATTGGCACGTTCCACACCAGCGCCACGTGTCACTCGTCCAACAGCGTGGAGGATGACCTAGAGCTGGTGGCAGACACCGATAGGCTGTTGCTCGCAGAAGAAGTTGAAAACGACTGCAAGGTTGCCGCGCAATGCCGGAAAGTGCTCCAGATGTTAAGTATTAGGGAGGCTGAACCAGCGGAAGCAGATCGGGAAGTCGTAATCCCGTACTTCGGGGCCGTGATCCGCAAACGTTCTCACCGCACACAGCCGGATCCTCGGCCTGTCACTCTGCCTCGGCCGGGTGGGCACTCAAGTAAGGACCTCGGCGGCCTTGATATTCGTCCACCGCCTCCGTACAGCTGCGCCGAACAGACAGCGGCCATACCAGCCGTGGAAAATCCGTGGAGTCTGGAAGGATTCTCGCTAGAGTATATAAGCCATCGTGGATTTGACAGGGCCAATTTGGGCGGATTCCTAGGGGCGGATGAGGCCGCCTGCACGCAGGATGATTCGACATCGTATATGACCTCGGCGGCAATGGAGTGGGATCCAGGTTGGAGCGTTCTTGATGATATAGATGATACCGGCAGAGACCTTTTGACAGGGATTGAGGACTGGTCTGCAGAGGACTTCGAGATGTAGCGGTCCTGGAACCGATATTACATCGTTGTCTGGATGAAGGCCATCTGAAAAGCTGATACCAATTCAGATACCTCGGATCTAGGGGGAACGATTGGGTCCATTTCCTGCGCATATCATGTATCCCATCTGAGAAAATTTGAAACATTGTATGCGGCGATCATAAACAATGCGGATAGGCCGGCGCAAGTATGCAGATACAGGGATGAATTACTAGGGCGAGTGATGTACTACCTATACCTTTGACTGTTTATGCACGTCCACTTGAGGCATGTTGTATCTCTATAATTTCCTCACATTTTTGGGGGGACCGTGCCATAAACAGCTCGCAGCTACCTTATCATGTGATATTTATACCTAAAAGGCTGGCCCTCGGCCATGGTGATGAAGCTTTCAACGGGTTTGCTCCTCACTTCTGGGCCAGTTGACTGTATAGAAGAGGATACCGAAGTTACGCTGGCTTTTCCAACCAAGGTAAAACTTCCTGATTTTGTCATAGTTACTGGGACTTCTTGTAATTTTCCCGACAGTTTATGCGACCCGTGCCGAGTATCCGCTACCCTGCTTCCACCAACTGAAAGACCTATGTGCTATGGGGAAATCGAGGTGACTGCAAAGCCAAGTGGGGCAACCTCGAATCAAGGGTTTTTTTTTTTTTTTTTGTATTTTTTGTATTTTTCTCTATATATGTATATGAAGGTAATAGTATGTTAGAATGTGATTGCGTTGGTCGTGCGCCAGTGGTGATGCGAGTGATTAGGTATACACGGTGAATGAGACCCTGTTCGGCTTATAGGTAAGAAAATTCTAAACAGTGTAAGTGAAGACTGCCTACCTCCCTATATGCGATCGCAGCTAGGTACTATACAGAATAACTAAATCAAGTCAACTGCGAAACAAAGACTCAGCTGTATCCACCGATACCGAGTTTATAGAATGTTCTAGATGTCGCTATTCATCGAGCAGCAGCAGTAAGCATGTAAATTCATGACCCATGAAGAAGGGCAAGCCACAACTTATACAGCGTACAATGTAGCATCGTGTACAGGTAGCTATTTTACACTCTCAAGAGGGTAAGCATCTATATCAGATATCGGAGAATATTGATATCTCGCCATAATAAGACGGCCCCTTGGTAGGTACCTAGGTATGGACAGCAAGCTCAAGCGTGCTTCGTGGCCGCACATCTGGCCTGGAGAACTGGTCAAAGTTACAGGGAAAACCTACACTACTGTACCTGTCCCAGTATGATAATGGACATGAATTGGTGCGCCGTGTGATTCTGAGCCGCCTTGAATGGATGGGTCCCATCTCACTCGTATCTCGGTATCGAGCCGAAAAATCTCTGCCATTGGTGCAAATTGCGTCCTTGGATGATGATATAATCGGGAGTCGGGCATGATGTCAGAAATTGTGGCGACAGCCCCACAGGGTCGTCACCGAGCCGAGGGAAAAAAAATTGACAGAAATCTTATCGCAGGCAGATTGCTCTAGAAGTATTCTAGATAGGAGAACTACACCCCTGAACTATCAGGCCGCTAATCCCTTTGCGACCCCCTTGGGGCGGGACAATCCGCAGGCAGGGCACTCCTCCCGTCGGTGGGATCTTCCGGGTATGCTTGAAACAGGTGCAGTGGACGGAGTGATGCGCAGTAATTACGAAGCATTTCTTTGTAATGCTCGAAGGTAAACAAGTTTCTCTTCAGTTTCCATTGCGTTGGTAGGTAGTAGTAATGGGGGAGCTTTGGGTGGGTAATTGAGGGTCGAAGAGTTGCGGTTGTTGGAGGTATTAAAGAGACGGGCATCTGCTCTTCGAAGGAAGCTCTCAATCAACCAGAACAGCATCAGACAAATCATTCAAACATCTCCAGACTTCGCTTTTCCCTCCCTCATCTACCACCCTCTTGTACAAGCCACACATCATACCACATACTTCAAAATGAGCGCACAGGTTACCTTTGATACCTACCGCGGCGCTGAGGGCGATGTCCCGGTCCGCAAGACCGTCACTAGGCAACTTCGCCCTAACGACGTCTTCATCGAGATAACGCACTCTGGTGTTTGCGGCACCGACCTTCACTTCAGACACTCCGACATTACTCTGGGACATGAGGGTATCGGACGAGTCAAGGAGGTCGGCTCTGCCGTGACTGGCTACAAGGTCGGCGACGTCGTTGGCTTTGGATACATCCGTCAAGTTTGCGGCGACTGCGAGTGGTGCTTGACTGGTAAGTATCTTCAGACTTACGCCAATCTGAAAACGCAATACTGACAGATGCTTCCAAGGCTGGGATCAGTACTGCTCCAAGGCTGTCGCATACGGCTACACCGACTTCGACACCGGTAGCTTTTCAGAAGGCGCTGTTCTCGACGCCCGCTGCGTCTTCCACATCCCCGATGAGATCGACCCCGCAGACGCTGCTCCTCTGATGTGCGGTGGTGCCACGGTCTGGACCGTTCTCGACCAATACGGCATCAAGCCCACTGACCGAGTTGCCATCATGGGTATTGGCGGCCTCGGCCACCTTGCCATCAAGATGGCCGCCGCCATGGGCTGCCACGTTGTCGTTTTGTCTAGCAGCGAGTCCAAGCGTGAGGAGGCCCTCAAGTTTGGTGCCAAGGAGTTCCATGTCTTCCGCCAGGGAGAGAAGTTCGAGGGCAAGATGGAGCCCATCAACCACCTTCTCCTCTGCGGAAGTGCTGCCGTCGACTATGATGCGTAAGTTCCCTCCAACAAGGATACCCAGTTGCAGTTCATCATGTGCTGACGATCGTTTCTCTAGTCTCATCCCTCTCATGGCCCCCAACGGCACCATCTACCCCCTCACCGTTGACTTCAACCCTTCCAAGCTTGTCATGTTCCACGTCGCTGCCAAGGGTATCCGCATCCAAGGCTCGGTCGTCATTTCCACGAGCGAGATGCGAAAGATGCTCCAGTTCTGCGCTCGACACAAGATCACACCTCAGATCGAAAAGTTCCCGCTCAACGAGACTGGCATGAGCGATGCCATGCGACGCCTGACTGATGGCAAGGTGCGATACCGTGCTGTTCTGGTTGCCCAGAACTAAATCGCTGAGGAATGACGATCATGACAATGCACTCTCCCAGTAATGATGTAATGAAATTTGATCAAGCGGATGACTCGTGGGAACTGGAGGTCGGGATAATAGACTTTCTCTAGATATAGATTTTTAGGTCAATAGAGGCCTTGAAACCAGGTTGTGATCACCTGCCTAGTTCGTTGATGCCATGCCATTCAGAGATGAGGCTCACTCTTAGTTAACCTAGAGGAGTTGCCCCCTCGCGGTTCTCAGGATCTCATTCGCAATTACGTGAAGACAATACGGGCGAATATCTGTGTCATCTACGTAGCTGAAGCAATGGAAGGAGAACCGAATAACACGCATTATTTTCTGGTGCTTGAGAACTTTGGAGCATGCATGAATGGATGATTAGTATTTATGTCCTACAGATTATGGAAGAACACTCTTCAATCGCCGAAAGTTGGCTGACAAATGCTCGGCGTTTGAGTTTGGAGACGGCACCTGACAGTCACGTGACATTCGCCTCGAAGCTGCTTGGTAATCTCACTCTCCGCCAGCTCCGCAGAACCTCATACATGAGCGTTTCGTCACTCGTTGACAAAGCGCGTATAACATAGTATATATACATATATTCTGCGGATGAGAGAAGACTGACACTGCTCAACCCTCAAAGCTCCGCAATGGAACCGTCAAAGACGAGTCCGAGCTCCTCCAATCCAGACCGTGACCCGCCGCCCCCCAACGCTCAACCTCACCGAAAGCCAAGGACTCGAGCCCGGATAAGCGCAGCTTGTGTCCGGTGTCAAAAGAGGAAGATTCGGGCACGTTTCCCTTGCCCTTGAAGGGGCACTCGCACGTTTGACTAACGAATCATGTCGTGATCAGTGTGACGGCGTGCTGCCAGCATGCTCAGGCTGCCAGAAGGCCGGTGTTCGATGTGTGGATGGCGGCACATCTCGTGAGATACCTCGAAAGTAAGACGGACGCTTGGCACATATGTGTACCTGTCGGAGATACGCTAACCAATGTTGTGCAACATCCATGCAGCTATTTGACCGATCTCGAGGCCCGAGTTGCGTGGCTAGAGTCCATTGTTCGGGACAGATGTCCAGATGTCGATCTCACCTCAGGGCCGGGGCGGCCATCGCCGGCTCATTCCTCAGCGCTCGCGAGTGGCCACTCGTCATCGCGCCAGGCGTCTCAGGAGTCTCCGGATGAGTCTTCGCCTCATGAGATCACGGAGCAAATCAGCTTGATATCCATATCAGGTGGCTCTGACCTTCGATATCTGGGACCCTCCAGCGGCCTCTTCTTCACCAAATTCGTTCTTGCTGGCCTGGCACATGTTGCAGACATTGAGACGGTGAACCTCCGCGGCTCTGCACCCCACGGTGAAGATGCGCTTCTCCCTGGGGACTTGGTTGACTTGCAGGCCAAGGACTTCCCGAATGACAAGAGGCAGACCATGTTCCTTACCCAGATATACTTTGACTCCGTTCACCTGCAGTTCCCTTTCCTTCATGAACCTACACACCATGCCATCATTAACAAGCTTTACATTGGGGAACCTTTGGATCAGCTAGAGGAGTTCCAAGCATTCATGGTCTTGGCCATTGGTGCTACAATCTATGGTCGTCGCTCGAGGCGGCACATGCTGGGCGAAGGCTACTATGCCTCAGCTCTGCAGCGTCTGGATAATGTGTTCAGGACGCCGTCGCTGGTCACCTGCCAGTGCCTTTTGCTGCTGGAAATGTACACTCTTCATGACCCGTCTTCTGGATTGAGCCTCTGGACTCTTCACTACCACTCCCTGGCAACGTGCCTGGAGCTGGGCTTGCACCGCGACGTGCGTAATACTCGCCATTTCAACCCTCTCCAGGTGGAGCTCCGCACGAGAATATTCTGGTGCATGTACACCATCAACCGACAATTGTGCACCATAATGGGGCGTCCGCTGGGATTTTTTGATGAGCAATGCGATCTGAGGGTGAGTCGATGCTTGCTTGTCGGGGCTTTATGGAGATGTTTGTTAACATGGTTTTGCATTCCAGCTACCCAAAGATGTGAACGACGATGAACTGACCGATGAGGGAGTGCGACCCTCCTCAAGACCACCCGGAAGCCCTACCACCATGACAAGCGCCATCCATCTCTTCAAATGCGCGAGGTTCAGCTCCGAAATCAAGATGGTCCTGTTTTGCACCGATCGGAATTACCCGCCTTATGTCACTCCGGCCATTCACGATGTCACGGCCTGGCGAACAGACATTATCAACCGCCTGCAAAAGTGGCGGCAGGAGATTCCCCGCCATGCAGAGGGAGAACGCACGTACTACTTGAACGATCTGTGCGAGATCAGATACAACGAACTTATGATGCTCGTGCTCCGTCCGAACCCCGTGTTCCAGAAGCCAACAAAGGCATCCCTATGTGAATGCTTCAGCAGTGCCATTGCCTGCAGCAAGCTTTACGCCAAACTTTACGCCGAGAACCAGCTGCGATATGGATGGCTGACTGTTCACTCACTGTTCCTGTGCATCATGACCATCTTCTACTGCGTCTGGACACCCGACGGTATTGCTGATCAGGTCAACTTTGATTGCCTGACCACGTCTTTGAAGGCGGCGTCGGATATTCTCAGTGCGACGGGAGAGTACTGGCCCGAAGCGAAGCGAAGCCGTGACGTCCTGGACAGGATCTTTTCGGCAACCATGAGACGTTTCGCTCCCCGACAAGAATTTCCGAAGATGCAGCCGCTTCTTTCGTCACCCAATTCTCAATCAGGAAGTGTCGCGGCATCAACAGGCTTGTCGGATAGTACGAGCATCTCGCCGCAAACCGGCAGCAGTAACTACGGAGACGGAATGCTGTCTTCAGGGGATGGCACCGTCTCCTCGGGGTCTCTAGATGGACTTTTGCCGCATGGTGACGGGCTGCTACATCCGGCAGACCCAGCACTGGCTTCACACGGGCTTTCTATGGCGGATCTCACACCAGCCGTGAATGCCGAATTCCCTCCTTACCCGACTACGACGCTGGACTCTTTCATGACGACGGATTGGCTTTCCTACTTTATGAATGCTGAAGATTTCGGCAACATGAACATGGACACGAACATGGGGGGGTTCGGCGGGCTAGACTTGACGGCGGATCCATCCGGGTGGTATCAAGGTGACATGAGCGTTATGGGAGACATGTAATGGAAAATGGAACGGCACCGTGAGTTATTGCATCAAAGTTCAGCGATAGTATAATACATTGTGCACCAGGTTTGAAGCATTACATTCGACTCACTTGGCTCGACGCAATGCAGCTCGTTTCTTACATCTACTGGCTTGGGCTTGTGCCTGTTAACCAACGTGACATGGATGCATGGAACGGTCAGCTGAGCCGTTTTCACACATGGTACTCGTCCGGCTTGTCGTTTAGCGCGTCATGTACCCCGGATTCAGCATCGGATGGAGCTTAAAAAGCGGCCGCTAGAAGTGCTGCGACGTCGCACCGAGCAACTGAGCACATGGCCGCTAATTGTGCTGCAGACTGTTGGAACCTGGGAGCTGGGCGGGGAGGTCTTGGACTAGTTGAGACTTGCACATGCGCACTGTGCATCTATTGGATGGCCATATCAAGCATCGCCACCGTCTCGACTCAACTCCATTGCTTCCCCTCTTTGTCAGCTCACGATGCTTCGGTCCCTTTGACGGCTCTTTAGAGGCAGACGTGGGCCGAATACTTCCCTCCAGACATTGAGATACGGCTTGAGGCAAGCCGAACACATTGCCAACGCCTTCTCCTTGTGGGCGACCTCGCGATCCCCCCTCCCCAGATTGGCTGCTGTGTTCGCCACGAGTCTCTCGAACCCGTCGATCCGATGTCCTCGACAGAAAATACGTCGCCTCCCATGGCAGACCGGGCCAACTCGACGGCCACCCCTCCATCCCCCGACAGAAACAAGAAGAAGCGTATCAGGAACTGGACCGCGGACGATCGCGCAGCCCATAGAGTATTTGAGCGGTCCCGACGAGAGGCGTTCAAGGAACGACTGACGGTGAGCCTAGACCGACAATGATTCGCGGTCTGTTCTTTCTGTTGTCTGCACAGAGCTGATGCGAAATTTGGTAGCTACTTGCTGGCCTCATACCCTCGCTTCGATCAACAGACCCCAATCGCCTGTCCAAACACGTCGTTATTGACCAGAGCGTCGCACTGCACAAGGCCGAGCAGCAACAAATCGCCGAATCCCTCGATAAGATTAATCAGCTTGTAGCCGAGCGCGACCAGCTCCTCCACGAATTAAATACATGGCGTCTGAACGCTGGACTTGATGCTCGTCAACCTCGAGTTACAGAGGATGACTCCGAAGCTACTACACTACCGGTGTTAGACGAGGCCAGCGCCTCGATATTGGGCGCTGGCGTTTCCTCCGTTGATGCAAGCAATGAGCATCAGGCAGCCGGAAGTGGGCAGATGTTTCTGGAAGAGCCGTCGTCATATGTGACTACAGAGCAGCCAAGCCTTCCAGTTGAACCTCCCATAGCTCCGATAGCCGAACCAACTGTCGCGTCGACTTCGCTTAGCCTGGATATCCCATGGATGTCAAATGAGATGGACTTCAACATGCCCAATTCGCTCGCTTTGACCACTGAATACAACGCTTCCGCACCTCCGAAATCACCAGCTTACACGCATTTGCCGATGCAGTATGACATGGTACCCAGCAACCTCGACGATGACACTCTACGCTTCAACACAACTGTGATGCACGTCACCGACCCGTCAACTTTTCACAACAGCAACAGCTACATTTTTACAGGCTGATAGCTTTTTTTCAAGAATTGATAAAATGTTCATTCTATATCCGCATTTGGCCTACATGGATGCAGCATACATACAAAGCCCGCCATATCACCCTCACAAGGCCCGAACCGCTGCCTCGATCTTGTCCTTGCTGCTGTTCTCGCCACCGGTGAAGAGCTCTAGAGCGATTGCCAGGCGCTCCTTGGTGATGGGATCAGCTTCGATTGCCTTGGTTAGCTCCTCTCCGCCGTTGGCAAGATAGTCAATGTCAGTGCTGGCCAGCTTGCCGTCCCAGTCCGCGGCAGCAAGCGGGTCGATGCTGGCGAGGTGACGCAACCTTTCGGGGACCGGAGGAGGGTTCTTGTACACGTGAACAGGCTTGGGTGCCCCTTCGCCGGGCTGTTTCGTGCCGTCGTACTTGAGCTTCGCAAGCTGATCCAGAACAGTGTGAGAGATTGTGGCCGAATGGCATCCCAGTTCGCCCGCTGCCATGGCCTCTTTGGCCGAGATGAAGCTGAGCCGAGCAGTCAGCCACAGTTGTTAGGAACCAACATCTTCTGCCTCACCTTGCATTCTTGAGAAACGGCTGCTCTTTGCCAGTCTCTCTGTATAAGCGTCGATACGTTTCGAGGATTTGGAAAATGCGGGCGCTCATTGGGTGTTGGGTGGCGGGGTCCTCGACATTGGGCCAGAGCGAGAGATCATCGTGTGCTCGAGTTTCTTGCAGAACATCAATCCCCATCCTCAAATCATTATCAGAAGACAGGCTTAGGACGTACCATTGAAGTAGGGACTGATGTACAGCATCCCTGCCTGACTACAAGCGATAGCCTGAGGCAGGCCGAACAACGCCGTCCCCAGTGTCGGTATTCCCTCAGCGCTCAGGATCTTGGCCGCGTTCAGAGCTGGTCCAGTGGATGGAATCTTGATGCAGTATCGGTCTCGGCCAATGCCGGCCCTGGCAAATTCTTGGTCATACAGCCGAGCGTGGTCGAGCGTCGCTTGCGTGTCATATGCCTTGGAGGGCAGGGTTTGAAGGAGGACGCGGCCTTGGATCAGATCAATGTTCTTCTTGCACATCAAGACGGCCTGCAGGATGTCAGTACACAAAACCCTCTGATCGAGCAGACATGGGACGCAGAGGTTCAATCACCATTCTGGTGTAAATTGCCAACCATCCTTGGTCCTTCAACTCCTTTGCCGTTTGGGCCAGTAGCTCGGCGTTGGAAGGGTGGCCGAGCTGGATGTCGACCCAGAGCTGGTTACTCGTCTGGTCGTGCGGCTTTATGGGCATGGACTTGATGTATTCGGGGTCCATCCAGTCGACGTCGACGTTGACTGCGCTGTTCGTCAGCATCAATGGGCCGATGCAGCTTGTGAGAGGTGGATTTACGTTGCTCTTCGAGCTTCTCAAGCCATGTCTGAGACTCTTTGCTGCCCATCGTGTAATCGGCCTTAGAATTCGCGAGATCAAGACAATGTCTGGTAGTGTCGGTAGTAAATCCTGTGGGTAGCCTGTGATAGTTCAAAGGAAGAGCTTCAGACTGTGTTGACACTTCTGCAAATCTTTGGGCAGATGGCGACGTTTGCACAAGGCTTATATAGCGATACTTGGTTCATTTTACCCACATATAGCAGATGGAAACCCCTCTCAAGGACATCAGACCAGTGAACATCATTCAGAATCTACTTCTCGAACGACTCTAACCGAGTCCCCCTCACCTCTCCCGAGGGACCTGTACAGGGCTGAGTTTGAAACACGCAGGGCAAAGCTCTGTAGATGCGGGGAAAGTTCCCAGGTCAGTCTATTTCCCCTGCCGTTTTGACCATGCCGTTAACTACCATGCGACTGCTTAAATGGCTAAATAGAAATTGAACGCGTAGCACGAGCTTCTGCCAAGTCATAACACGCAGGGCAGAGGGGAAACGGGTCCCCGCACCTCAGCTAGCTCGGAGCACACGCAGGGCACAGTGAGGAATATTGCGGGATGGCCATCTCCAACCGGGGTCGGTCGAATACCGAGTGGCGCATCGGTGGGTTGGAGACACGCAGGGAATTAGATGGGAATATGGGGCAGTTTTGTTCATCTCATCAAGTGAGGCGCCCTGGTTATTGGAAGGAATGTCTGCCAGTGTATGTGCATACAACGATCCAGGCCTCTTTCACGTCTCATTCAAGTCCCCTTGTAAACACAGTCAGAGGAGTAGTAAATAAAGCCTCAATTCCCGATACCTCGAAGGCGTGGGATTCATTGTAATACATGCAGTATTGGAGGAGTAATGACTGCTCTTCGTCGCGGTGAGACAGAAAGTTTAATCCTACCACTTTCTTCGGCTTCGACGTGGCTGGGAGGGGGGAAGCCAAGCAAGCCATGGCGCCGCTCTAAACAAGCCGAACGCAAAATCCGGGGTTGGAGAGCCACACTATCGAACCCCATGGGGATGAAAGCTTTAGCAGACTCACGATGATCGGAACGGGGCCGAAAACATCTATATAATGGGTGCGATGATCTGCCGGAGATTCATTATCTGTGCATGCAAGGCAGCACGTCAAATGCGCGCCGCATTCATCGTGACACTCTTCCCCGACTGATTGATCGCCATGGCTCATTCACCGGATTTGAAGCAGCCAAAGGACGAGTTTCTCTCCCATGTGGAAGACGCAAGTCCAAGCTTCTCTCGCAATGTCAACGCAAAGTGGGCTTTCTTGCCATCACGAGCAACCTCGGTGTGCTACGGCTAACCTCTTTCTATAGGATCTGGAATCCCTTAATGGGAATTACCAGAGAGGACCTGCGTTCCCAGGTCACTGCATTCTGCAGAGAATATGGCTTCCAAGACAAGCAGGACACCTTCTTCAGGGGCGCCCTCGCAGCTCAGAACCCAGTCGGCTATGAAGATATTCCAGAGTTGACTGATGATGACAAGTACTGGCTCAGACGTGAGGTCACCAATCGCTGGCACCTGCCCAGAGCTCTTTACTATACCATTGCCCTCTGCTCTCTTGGCTCTGCCATTCAAGGCTGGGACAATACCGGTGCCAACGGTGCCAATTTGTCTTTCCCCCAAGAATTTGGCATTGAGAACAATGGCTGGCTTGTTGGTGTCATCAACTCTGGCCCAACGCTCTTTGGACTGCTGTCTGCATGGGCGGCTGATCCGGTGAACAACCTCCTCGGCCGCAGGGGCACCGTCTTCGCCACAGGGCTGTTCTGCATCTTCCCCGTCCTTGCCCAAGCATTTACGCAGAACTGGTGGGGCCTCATGATCTGCCGTCTGTTCATGGGCCTGGGGATGGGTATCAAAATCTCGACAATCCCCGTCTTCTCTGCAGAGGTTGCCCCGGCGTCCATCCGAGGTGGCCTGGTTACGAGCTTCCAACTTTGGGTGTCCTTTGGCATGTTTGTGGGTTACTGCTGCAATCTGATCTTTTATCGGGTTGGCAAGCTCGCATGGAGGTTTCAGCTTGCTTCTGCGTTTGCGCCGGCCATTCCTGTGGTCATTTTTGTTTGGTTCTGTCCAGGTAAGCTAACGCATCGAGCCCCCAATACAGGATTAAGAACTAACACATATGATCAGAGTCACCCCGCTGGTTGATGAAGAAACGACGGTATCCCGAGTCGTTCCAGTCATTCTGCCGACTGAGGAATACCGAGATGCAGGCTGCCAGAGACTTGTACTATGCCCACTGTCAGGTCATGGAAGAACGGGATGCCTTTGCCGGCGTCAGCTTCCTGCATAGAGCACGGGAGCTGGTCACCGTGCCTCGGCTACGGCGTGCCGCTGTTGCCAGCGGATGGATTGTCATTAGCCAGCAGTTCTCCGGAATCAATATGTAAGGATCCTCCTACTCGTCAACAACACTTCAAGGCTTCGTCGCTAACGGATTATTGTAAAGCATGGCTTTTTACAGCTCAACTATTTTTGTTGAGGCTGGCTACTCAACTCTCAGTAGCCTGCTTGCCTCTATGGGATTCGGACTCGTTCTCTTCGTCTTTGCCTTTCCGGCGGTGTATACCATGGATACCTTTGGTCGACGCAATCTGCTCCTCACAACATTCCCGAATATGGCCTGGTGCCTACTTGCGGCTGGGCTCTGTTTCCTCATGCCAACCTCTAACAGTGCAAGAATCCCCTGCATCGCATTTTTCATCTACCTCTTTACTGCCTTTTACGGACCAGGTGTGTATCCACGTCTTCCGAACGGGATGGCAAGTTACTGATCACCAATCAGGTATTGGTCCGCTGCCGTCCATCTACTTCGCTGAGGCGTTCCCCTTGTCTCATCGGGAGCTTGGCGCCGGTTTGACGATCTGCATTAATAATGCTGTTGGTAGTGCATTGAGCCTAACCTTTCCCTCGCTACTGAAGGCACTCGGGCCTACTGGTGCGTTTGGGTTCTACGCTGGGCTCAACATGCTGGCATTTGTGGTCATCTTCTTCATTGTTCCAGAGACAATGTATGCCTTGTCATTATGTCTCTCCTTTAATATGATCAGAGCTAATCTTTGTTCAGGAAACGTACCTTGGAGGAGCTTGACTACATATTTGGCGTCTCGACACGGCGTCATATGTCTTACCAAGTCGGTACGTGGCTGCCTTGGTGGATCAAGAGATACATCTTCTTCCAGCGGAAAGCAAAGCTTGAGCCTCTTTATAAGCTGGACGGTGTAGCCGACTCGACGGGTGCTCAGTAGGAGATGATCGAAGAAGAGCGAGAAGTCTGACGTTTGATGGATGGTGAGCAGATGCCATTGCTGCCGGTTGGAGAAGGTCACGCTCTCTCAAATGAATAGCATAATGATTCATATATTCTACTTGTATCGCCTCCCATCTTCCCTTTATGTAAGCATAATTTTTAGTTGACTTTAGCTATATGATACAATGAGGCGTCTGATACATGAGACAAGACCACGACAGGTCTGACGTTGTCTTCCATGATGAACTTGTGTAAAACGGCCATGGAGCATCAGGGTGAGTATCTAGAGTGACCGGAACACGGAAGTGCAAGGATAACACGAATTAACTTGACTCTCATTGATCGGTCGGAAATCAGGGGAGCTAAGTATGTGATAGTGCATAAAACATAGCAGAGCTACCAAGTCAATTTCTGCGAGGAGATTCTTGAGATGAGGCCGTCTCTGTATCCGCTTCAACCAGATTGGCCTCTTATCTTCGGCCGAGACATGTTTCGAGCGCATGTCGTAACATTGGTAGCGCTTCACATACCTACTACAAGTGAAAGGCTACGCCCTTCTTGTAGCTGCTACCCTGGGCCTGTTCCTCATCCCATCCAGAGATAGTAGGCTCTACAAAAGAGATATGTTCCGTATGATAGTGGATTGCATTGCATACCGCCATGTTCAGCTTCAAGAACAGAGAGTTGAGCGGAGCGCCAGTTTAGATACTCATTTCCTCCTGGCCTCGACGATCTCCCGGACAACCTTTGCTGTCGCCTTGACGATGAGCTCGTGCTCGTGTTCGTGAATCTTTGCCTCCAGAGCTTCAAGGTCCTCTCCTTCCCACTCAATCTCCTGAATCATGATGGGATCACCTCTGTCGACTTCTTGGATGACATAGTGAACCATGATGCCGGTGTACTGGATCTTTCCGGCCTTGAGATCCTCGTAGGCTCGCTCAATCGCATGAGCCCCGTCAAATTGCCCTGCGCATCAATGGGTCAGTCTTTGACTGCCACTCATCAGTACTATAAGCAACTTACCAGGTAATGCGGGATGCAAGTTGATGACCTTGATGCCCACCTCTTCCAACGGCCTCAAGAATTCTGACGAAAACACCCACATCCAGCCTGCCAGGACGATCAACTCCGGCCTTTCGTCCAGCTTCAGGATCTTTTCTGCCAGGGCAGCATCGTACTGTTTCCTTGCCTCTGCGATCTTCGTTTCATCCTTCTCCCCTTTTGCGAGGAACCCGTTGCTGATCATGTTGAAGTATTCCCATGGGATGCCTGCCTTTTCTGCTCGAGTGGTAGCAAATGCCTTTGCGCGATTCACAATCAGGCGAGTAATTCTGCTGTTGGGAATGGCATCGCCAGCGATAGCGTCTATTAACGCCTGGAAGTTTGAGCCATTGCCAGAGGCCATGACAAGGATACGGCAAGGCTCATCCTGGTGTGCCATATTTGCGGAACTTGGTGATACGAGGCGCTTGACTGGGTGATAATCCGGGATGTTGGTCAGAGAGGAAAGGAACAACAATGAAAGGAGATGCTGCGGAACGAAACAGCAGAGTCACGGTATATCTGATCAAGCAGTGAGATATGAAATAGAGAGTTGTCAATAGCAGGGTAAAGAGGGATTGGAGCTCATGAAAAGAGTCGACGGGTGTGATGCAAGCAATGATCTGATGGAGGGGTCATTTCTGGCTTAGCACCAATTGAAGCTGTCAGCTCGAGGCAGAGATTTTTGCAGGAGGTGGAACAGCGTTGTTCCGCGACCGAGCTTCCACTGATTGACCTGGGCGAATATTCTCGCGGCTTGGAAGCTGGAGTAAAAGAGCCAGTTCGCTCTATCGGTGCTTGACTGTACTCAGTAACTCGCAGCAACAACGATAGTAACAGCTTGGTATGTAGCTCTCTTGCCCAGAAAAGGAAGTTTGTGATAGAGCATTGTAGTGTTTCCCATGACTCCGTGGGTGGGTGGTTGAAAGGTCCACTAGAGTGAATGCTGGAGGAGTATGCATCGAGCCTTCACTGGGTTTTATGCTGTTCTACCTTGTGATGTTCTCCGTCATTGAATAATTACTATACCTTTCAGCGAGTGTGCGTCGTGGTATCATCGTCAGCACGCAAAACTACCTGAAATGTAGCCGGAGGCAGTCGGTGCGCTTCGAGACAGTTCCAGGCAATGGGAGTCTCACTTAACACTGTATAAATTCAAGCCTGTAAGGTGGGTCAGCGCCTGATTTCTGGCCTATTCGCATCCTTCTTTAATGTGGCGAGGCCTAAGGCTTGAGAATAAGAGTCACCATTCGCACCGTGTGGCTCTAGAATAGTTGCATCATCTTCGTCTTCCATGCCATTTGAAACGGTTCAAGTCACCAACTTACTTACATCGAGGCAAATACAAACAACCGGCGGAGGCATCAGTTTCACACCATGACCAGCTCGGACGATTCCATCGCTGTACCACGAGGGCAGAAGTCATGCCTCAACTGTAAAAGTACACTTCAGCTCCGTCAGCCAACTCGGCTTGATGTGATCAAGTCGGCGACGACTAACGTATCCTAGATCGCAAGATTGCCTGTGACAGACTCATGCCAGCGTGCTCTTCTTGCAAGAGGAGGAAGAAGATCTGCTCTGGATACGACTACAATCTGTCATGGCCTCGTGACGGCGACGAGCGTCGGGCCATGACTGCGCAGGTGCGCAGCCAGAAGTACCCGGCCAGTGCATTTGCATTCCTAAACACCTCCAATGCGGATATGATGCTTTACTACAACGGCGCGGCTTCGAAATGCGAATGTGAGATTCTGAGAGGTATAGCTGTCATTCTTCTTGGTTCCGCTAACAGGGAGATATTTGCGCTGCAGCCGACAAGATAGCCGTGTGGATGCCATCAATACGCCGCTCACCACAACTACCCCGATTCGGGAGTGACAAGCATCCGATATGTAGGTATAGTGTCATCTGACTACTGTGTCGAGAACAGATCATTGAACATTGTGCTGACGATCTCGATTTGGTTCATAAGATGACTCCGAAATGTCGTCTGCTGTCCGACTCATCACTTCTCGGGGTGATTTGCGACAGGATGTGTGTGGCCTTCTTCGCCGCATGTCGCTCACAGATAATGGTGTGGCATCTCTTGCAGTTCGGTATGCCATGAACGCCATCTCATATCTCTACCTCAGAAGGTCAGATGAAGCCATGCTGCATCAGATGCGTGCTGTTTCTGCGCTGCAAGGCGCAATTGATCGGATCCAGGATCCCCGATGCAGAGCTCAGGCCATTGCCGCGAGCTTGTTGCTCAGCCTATACGAGGTTTGTAGCATCGCTGTGCGCTCGGCTTGATTCCAGTCGCTCACTCATTTCATGGCTTTCTTCTCAGGTCCTCTGTCCCGGCGGGCAAACCACCGTATGGTCAGTCCACTTTGATGGCTGCATGACGATCGTCAAGTCAAGCTACCAAGGCCTGCAAGTCAACGAGGGAGAACATGCAACGCTCCTGGATTGGGTATTCTACCACAACGTTCTCTACAAATTCAGCTTGCAGCATTGGCAGAGACGCACCCCGGAAATGGCAGCGATTGCCCAGCGGGATATGCGCATTTCAAGAATCGTTTCAACCAGCCATTTCGTCACGGTACGGCGCTTCCAATCCTCGCCCATTTCGGTAACTAACATGCATCAACAGATCCATAGTACCCTCGGCTGCTCGCTCGAACTCTTGGAGTACCTGAGCAGATCTATCAACCTCGTCAAAGATCGAGATGATCCAGACTACCTATCAAAACGCCATTCGCACGCCATTTATGACCTCGAAAGAAACATCAGAGACATTGACCAGCAGCTTTGCAGCGGCATCGATAGGGAAGACTACCACGTCGCAGGGAGCAGGAAGCGTTACCTCACAGTTTCCCGCATGTACCAGCTTGCGGTCCTCATCTATCTGGATCGCGTGGTTCGTGGTTCTTTTGCCGAATCGCGCCTGTCACGTGCAAGTGCAGAGGAAGCATTCGGCCTCCTGCGCGATCTCGGCTCGTGTGAAAGACCGTTCATCATGGTCATGCTGGCCCTACAGGCTGAGAATGACAGCGACAGGTTGCTCATTCTTTCCACGCTGAAAAACGCAATTCACGAGAGGCCACTGAGCAACCTCACCTCCACAGAGCGCATCATACGGCGGATATGGGCACAGCACGACCTCCATGGGAGTGCACAAGCTGATGCCTTGAAGATTCTAAACACCGTCATCAGCACCAACGAAATACCGCCCTCCTTCACCTGAGACCATCAATGCGGGGAAGTTATACCGCGCGACTGTAAACGGACGTTCTCCGATTTGGCGTTGATGCCTAATCTTGGCCCGACAGCATCCGTTGGCTGGGGAAAGTGAGGGGGCTCGCACATGGTGATGCTGCCAAGAAGAATGCTTTCGCAGAATCAGCGGGAGTCTACCGAGTACGAAGAGAAGCACTACCTAGGCACTACGGCATCCCATGTATGTTCGGCGTCATAAGGACCTAAGAAGTCATCTGGGAATTCTCCGATTCTCCGCAGGATGTAAACTTGCTTCGATACAAAAACTCATCACTTGCATTTCCCATCCCCAGGGTTGACGCAACTGCTCGCGGCGGTGGGGTGAAAACATGCTGCTGTTTGACGATCTCGGCAACAGTTACGAGGCACGCACCGGGTGATTCGAGTAAGTGGGGGATCCCAACGTCTGTGATCAAGGCTTATCCCCGCCAACGGATCGTGTTCCTATTTGTCGGGGAACATCGGCCTGCGCAGCGGTGAACGGATCCTGCATTCTTCACGATGCTCAGACTTAAGCTTGAGCTGACATCTCCTGCCCCGCGACATAAAATACGGGATGCCCCCCGGTATAAGACGAGCGACCTGACAGCAGAGGCAAACAATCAGATCAGAGTATAGTAGTAGCAAACACGTCGCCCATCAACATGCGGCTGTGTGACTTATCCAGCCTTGCGAGCTGGGTCCTCGTGACAGTAGCTCTGCCTTCGAGCGGCGCTGCTGCCAAAGGCGTCTCGCAAATACCTTCAACACGTATGTACTCAGCTAATCTTCTGGTATATGGGACGTGTTTCATGCTGTGTGATCAACACTAAGACACATCTGTAGATTCAAGTCAAAGCAAAGGAAATGGACCGTGGGCTCACGCGTATCGTCGCGCCGAGAAGTTAGTGCGACAAATGACACTCGAAGAAAAGGCCAACATCACGCGCGGATTCACCGGCGACAATGTCTGTGCCGGCAACACTGGCTCTGTTCCTCGCCTGGGATGGCCCGGCATGTGTGTCCACGATGCCGGCAACGGAGTTCGCGCAACCGACTTGGTCAATTCTTATCCCTCTGGCATCCACGTCGGGGCGAGCTGGGATCGAAACCTGACGTACGAGAGGGGGCTTCATATGGGCGGGGAGTTCAAAGCAAAAGGAGGTAAGAATTTCTGTTTCTCTCCGTCCTTCTTCAGTATCAATTCTTTGCTTATGGGCACCGTCAGTCAACGTCCCACTCGGTCCCAATGCTGGCCCGCTAGGGCGAACACCTCTGGGTGGTCGAAACTGGGAGGGTTTCTCCATCGATCCGTATCTCTCTGGCCAATTGAACGCAGAGACAATCACTGGAATGCAAGATGCCGGAGTGATTGCGAACATCAAGGTACTATCCGGTGATTTGGAAGGAGCATGTTGTGTGTGTAAATTACTATACTGATCTGTTGACCCCGTAGCATTTCATCGCCAACGAACAAGAGACGCTTCGGCGTCCCTACTTTGGTGTCGAAGCTGTTTCTGCAAATATCGATGACAGAACCCTACACGAATACTATCTCTGGCCCTTTATGGATAGTGTGCATGCTGGCGTGGGATCCGTCATGTGCTCCTATAACAGGATCAACAACACGTACGGATGCATGAACGACAAGCTTATGAACGGAATTCTCAAGGCTGAATTGGGCTTTCAAGGTTTCGTCATGCTTGACTGGAATGCTCAGCACGATCTGCAAAGCGCCAATGCCGGACTCGACATGGTGATGCCCCTCGGTGGTTCTTGGGGCAAGAATCTGACAGATGCTGTTGCAAACGGGACGGTCAGCGAGTCTCGGATTACGGACATGGCCACGAGGTAAGATGCCTGACCGCACTGTCGATACATGAGTTCGTGCTTACTTTGCTTCGCAAAGGATCATTGCTGCATGGTACTTAGTCGGTCAAGATGGCAACAACTTTCCAGTACCGGGCATCGGCTTGAAACAGCTCACGAAACCGCACGAGCAAGTCGACGCACGCGATCCCGCATCGAAGCCCGTGCTTCTGGAGGGCGCCATTGCAGGACACGTTCTAGTCAAGAACGAAAACAATGCGCTACCGTTCAACAAGAAGCTAACCATGATCTCCGTCTTTGGCTACGATGCTACGATCCCACGCACAAAGAATACCGACATTCTTTTCCAGCTCGGATATACCTCTTCGCCGGAGATGGCTCAGGCCGTACTTGGCAATGAGGCGCATTTCGACCAGGCAGCAAAGGGAGGGACAATTATGACTGGCGGGCGAGCTGGCGCAAACGCTCCATCATACATCGACGATGTACACGGCTCTTCTTCCCCTATTTGCTGTAGAATTTTTTTTGACTGACGATTGATCTAGCCGCTTGCTGCTATCCAACGTCGAGCCCGCAAAGATGATACTTGGGTAAATTGGGACCTGGACTCCTTCAATCCGGAAGTCAATGCTGCTTCAGATGCTTGCTTGGTCTTCATCAATGCCATCGCAACAGAGGGCTGGGACCGTGACGGCCTCCATGACGATTTTAGTGACGGCCTTGTCTTGAATGTAGCCGCCAACTGCTCCAACACGATTGTCGTCGTTCACGCCGCGGGCACTCGCCTGGTTGACCAATGGATTGAGCATCCCAATGTTACTGCCGCCGTCATCGCGCATCTTCCAGGCCAGGACAGCGGTAGAGCCCTCGTGAAGCTTCTTTATGGCGAAGCCAACTTCTCTGGCAAACTTCCCTATACAATTGCCAAGAACGAGAGCGATTACTCAGTTTACACCCCATGCCAGCGACGCTCTCCCGAAGACACCGATCCCCAGTGCGATTTCACCGAAGGCGTCTATCTCGATTATCGCGCTTTTGATGCGAACAACATGACTCCCCGCTTCGAGTTCGGATACGGGCTCAGCTACACGTCGTTCAATTACTCAGCTCTCTCCATCAAAAAGGCAAAGGGCCTTCGGCAGTCAAGGTGTACCGACGATCTTTGGCAAGCCGCTGCACAAGTCACCGCAAGCATCACCAACAGTGGCGGCATGTCTGGAAGTGAGGTTGCGCAGCTGTACTTGGCCATTCCAAATAGCCCGCCAAAGCAATTGCGCGGATTCAACAAACTGTTGCTGCGTCCACATGAGTCTGGAACTGTTCACTTTGGACTCACGAAGCGAGACTTAAGTGTTTGGGATGTTGTTTCTCAGTCGTGGGTTATTCAGGAGGGTGAGTACAAGGTATTTGTTGGGGCGAGCAGCCGCGATATTCGACTCAGTGGAAAACTGCATATTTAGGGAGCATAGCTTATTGAGCGAATTCGTTTCTCTTTTCCTCTCTACGATCTCCTGGGCTAGTGTTCACACCTTTGTGGCATTATGAGCTTTTGTTCATCGAATGACAGCGGCGTACAACCGCAAGCCCGTATCGGCCTTCACAGTCACCGCCGTTCCTGCTGCAATAAAGAAGATGAACCCGCTCTTAACGGCAAGCTCTTTCCCATCTCCCTGAATGGCGCCCTCTCCGGAAACCGCAATAGCGACTGCCGGGCCCTTGTGGCTCTGGATCTGTTCTTCCGAACCGGCCGTCAAGTCGATTCGTACCAAGTCGAATTCGCCAATGGGCGGCTGATACACCAGGGTATGCCCGTTGACTCCATCTTTGCTTTGCTTTGCAGGCAAGATAAGGCTTTCTCCTCGCGTGCTTTCATCGATCTTAAGCGTCTCGGCAAAGAGATCGATGTTGTCGCGGTCCGCAACGGGGCAAAGCCCGCCACTCAGCATGTTGTTGGAACGGGCCATGCACTCCACAATGTCCCCGGATAGGTAACAATGGATGCCGTCAGCCGGGATAAAGATTGCTTCGCCAGGTTCTAGGACAAGAAAGTTCATGCACAGCACGGCGACCAGTAGTCCCGGATCCGTCGCAGAGTATTGCGATTGCAGGCGGCGAATAAGCTCAAACATGGAGCTTGGGTATCCGAGGCTCTCGATGTCCTCTTGCGACTGTCGCTTTAGGTCTTCCTCAATGCCCTGAATGGTCTGTTCGTCTGCCTTGAGTATTCCACGAATCACAGCCCTCAAAGTTTCATCAGTCCAAGACTTTGTGCCGTCTGGCACGAAGCGCCGTAGACTGGGGATATTAAAGATGGCGGAAATCTGGTTGATGTCTCTCCATCCAGCAAATAGTTCAAACTTTGACAGCGCTACCGCAATCTCCGGCTTGTGGTTGGGGTCTGAAAACTTTTCGGGGTCCTTCTCATGAAGTTTCGCTGCAAGGGATTTGTTTGGGTGGATTTGCAGTGGAAGAGCTTTGGCTATTGAGAGAATCTGTAATGCCTGGATTAGAGGCCAGTACTCTTGCCAGAAGGGGGACTCTCAGCATACCTTTGGCAGAAATGGAAGATTGTTTCCGAATGTCTCGATCGAGTATGAGCCAAGCAGCTTCTCTTTATGAGCCTTCAACAGCTCGGCAAGTGGCTGGCCAGTCTCCAAGACCCTCGCTGGAAAGTCTGGATAGTCGCCAAACCACATCTCTGAATACGGCTCATCATCCTTGATGGTAAAATCTGTCCCTGGTGTCTTTTCGCAGAGCTTGGCGGCGAGAGACTCGTGTCCTTTTTTGCCCCATGGATAGTTGTTGCATGTTCCGCTCAATTGGAAGAGCCGCGGTACATCTGCCATGATGAACTGTTTGCTACGTCCAAGTGGATATGGTATATTTGCTTCGTATTGAGAAGAATAACTGAAAAGAGTGGTTATATAGAGTAATTTACCGTAGATGATATTGGTGACCATACATTGATGTTGTGCCTTCCCATTGCTAGTACCTGAGGATTATTGGGAAGGGTAGTATATCAAGTATATGGAGGGTGGACATGTAGAATACGCCACCCGGGCAGAATGTAAGCAACGGGGGGACATCATGATTACCTCACGACCGAAACTCTGCCAAGATTGCTAGTGGAGTTGGAAGAGCTTCATAGCTGCAATGACCAGCGGCCCGTTGAATCTTCAATATCTCATCCCATAATTTCTAATGGCACAATCGTCATGGGCCACCTTTAGGGTAACGCAGACCGACTGATAGCAAAGGAAAAGCGGGAACAGCACGACACAATAGATCTTTCTCTCTACATACGAGCAGAACATAGCGCAATACTGCCTGTAGTTCTAGTGCGTTTATGGTCGATATACCTTGCCTGTGAGCCAGGTCTGACAAACTGCCTATCCTTACAAGCAAAAGGCCGGATTGCGTATGTACACTTGTGCCTTATTGACTTCTTTGAGCCAAGTGATCCAATTTCTGTCCAGCAATCTAACTGATACTTCCACGCGAATGGTCTACGCATTCAGTCTGGGGTTGTAGAAAGGCCCCGAGCCGCAACAGAAGACAACCTTATTGCACATAAGGTAGCCTTTGTCTAGTATAACTAGACTTTTCTGTTATCCAATTAGGTAGTCTCTTGAAGCTCCCACGTTCGGCGGTAGGTCCTTGAGCCTTTCACGACGCTAATTCCGCCGCTTGGATCATTATGTGGTGGTGATAGCACTGAGTTAACATAGACGTGCTACCTACCTACTTACCTACCTAAATGGTAGATAGATAAACTTGCTTTAGGTCAAAGATCGTTGCGTTCATCACCATCTCTAATTTGCGAGCGAGCGCAGGGAATCGCAACCGTCTTGCTGTATCACCCAGACTTGTCTACTTAGTGTGTTAATACAGCAAACATGCGTACCTATTGAGTGCATAACGTCATTTGGTCGCGTCGACCTGTAATTTTCGCCTCATCAGCAATTGGAGTCCTCCACTCCATGACGACACACATGTGTTGACCACTTGAGCGCTCGTGACATCATGATACCAACGTATTTCTGTCGCAGCACAGCAGATCGAGATCCTGATATATTACCAAATTACCTTTCATTTCGAGGTTTCCTTCCTCACCCGTTGGTCTCCTTATCCTCGGGAAACTCAAACGCGCTGCAAGAAACTGATTATCGCATTCAGGCACCATGGCATCACAATTCAAAGACGGTACGATATACCACATCAGAACAATCCCGAAAAGCTCTTTACTTACCGTCTTTTTTTCACAGAGAAGAACATTCCCGTGTCCAAGCAGGACTTCCCGGGCAAGGAGCGGGATATGCCCAATCCAAAGCCAACTCGCGATGAGCTTCCCGAAGCTGGCGGAACTAGCGTGACCTACAAAGCAGCCAACAAGCTCGAGGGCAAAAGGGCACTCATTACCGGTGGCGATAGCGGCATTGGAGCAGCTACGGCGGTGCTTTTCGCAAAAGAAGGCGCCGTAATTACCACTGTATATCTTCCGGACGAAGAGCAGGACGCACAAGACACCAAGAAGCAGGTCGAAGAGGCTGGAGGAAAATGCTATCTGTTTGCGGCGGATCTTGTCAAGAAAGAGAATTGCCAGGCGGCAGTGGACTTTGCTCTAGAGAAGATGGGCGGTATCGACATTCTCTTCAACAATGCCGCCTGTAAGTGGTTCTTCATGCTGCCCTGAACGACAGAATTGCTGACATCCGCGTAGATCAAATGATGGTTGAGGATATCCTTGACCTTCCTGACGAGCAATGGGTTCACACGTTCAACGTCAACATTCACTCGTACTTCTACATGGCGAAGTACTCTCTCAAGCACATGAAACGCGGTGCCGTCATCATCAACAACGCGTCTATCAACGCATACATCGGCCGGCCCGACCTGCTCGACTACACCTCTACCAAAGGAGCCATTGTGTCGTTTACACGTGGTCTGAGTAACCAGTACATTTCCAAGGGTATCAGGGTGAATGCCGTTGCCCCAGGACCAGGTAAGTAGAAGGTCTCCAGATAGCTCTTCTAGCACGCAGCTGACGGGTGTCTAGTGTGGACTCCGTTAATCCCGGCGACAATGAACGATGAAGCGCAAAAGCAATTCACCAGTCCTATGGGCCGACCAGCGCAGCCATCAGAAATCGCAAGTTGTGTTGTGTTCCTGGCTTCAATGGATAGCTCATGTATTAGTGGACAGACGATACACTGCAACGGTGGCACTGTGGTGAATGGTTGAAAACATCAGTCGACTAGATGAATATGATATTTCGAATGCAATGGTCTAGGGAAACGAAACGATCTTCATTTTGTAATCTGTGCGCTTGGCAGACATATTGTCACGACTAGACGGCGCATATCGAGCCTTTCTTCTTGGTTACAAAGCTTTTTTACTGGCAAAGTGATCGATCCTCAATTGCATCGACAATTGTCCACAATCTGGTGGCTTGCTGTTACTTGACAAAACGATGTTCTCATTGCATGGTATCGTGGGCAATCATGACCGTTTTGAGAGAACGTCAATGACACCAGGGTCAGCGCCGACGTCATCCTCAGATCATAACAGCGATAACCTCTATCACTACTCACTCCCTTTGAAAGTGTAATATGTCAATTATCCATGGTAGACTTGAACAGCTAAAATTACCGTCCTCAATCATCATTAAGAAGAAGACAATTGCTGGCGCGTCATCATTTACCATGCCTCGAACCTCAAAGCGTTTGAAGCAATCTCGTATTGAAAAGCGCGCGTCGCCATCGCCAACACAACATGACGATTCTACTCATGCTGATGAGCACAAGAGCCCGGCAAAGACTAGCCCGATGCCAAGCGATGAAGTAGATGCAGCCACCATCAACCTGACGGATGACAGTCTGCTGGATGAAGAGGAGATGCCAGAAGACGGACAAGCTCCAGCCAACAAAAAAGCAGCTGGTCAATCGTACACCCTTGGTGGTGGTTACAATGCTCTCAAGTCCTTCAATGGCCAGTATTATTCCGGCATGGCGGTCGGCGGATCTCACACCTGGAACTACGACGGCGGAGTGTGGCACGAGACCAAGGAGGAACCAGACTTGTGGAAGATAGACTACAAGACAACCAAGAGGAGGGCGAGGAAGGCTCCGGAAAAGAGCGGTGCGCCGGTAGGGACTGAGTATCACTGGCTAATCGTTGCACATCAGGTGAGTCTCATTACCGTGACCCGACACAGAACATCGACTAAGCAATCCTACACAGCATGTCCGGAAAATAGATGCAAATACATACGAAACGCATCTTGAGGGATCAAAGTATAAGCTTGCCCACAAAGGCGCAACGTCCAACACATGGTCAATCCCCACAGTCAAGGGACAGCGCGATCGCCAGCTGGAGTTGTTAGAAGACGCCAAGCGACGTGTGCAGGGGCTACCGCCCGTGCTGGGTAGCGAAAAGGTCAAAGTGAAGACAGACGAAAAGGGACAGCAGAAGCTGGAAGACCTGTTCTCAAAAGGAAATACAGGCGAAGGCGGTGGTAAGCGAAAGAGGGATCAGCCGTAAGGTAGGTAGACAGACATCCGAGCTATGTCAATCTGTCATCAGAACACACAGTCAGACAGTCGCTCTTTGTACGGCGATGAGTTGGAACCCAGGGCGAATTGTCCTATAAGATCAATTTATAAAAGGATCATCTTTCAGGTTTCCACAGGTTCCCAGTGTCTACGAAAGGCATGGGATTGGAGGCCTAGTGAGGACACCGATCGAGCATCAATTATGACAACTGTACTCCGGTCTGGCACCCCTCAAGTAGTGATGAGGGTGGAAAGAAAATAGCGGCGCCCATCACATAAGGTAGCGGCAGACCGACGGTGTTTTATCCCACTGTTGCCCCCCTCGCCCTTCATCCGCGCCGAAGGTCTTGCGGAGCCGCAATACCGCCAGGGTTCCCCTCATGGGCGGAGCCGCAATCAGGCGGATCTCGGGATGACACATGCAATGCCGAGTCGCTACCCTGTTGCATACGCGTAGGATGAAGCTGGTGAGGTAGAGAGGAACTGCCCGCTCCTAGTTCAAGTATTACACATACTGATTAGGTGTAATGTGAGAAGCGCCGCGTTGCCGGATCTGGTGATTACCAAGAAGGTCGAGGACATAGTCTACGAATTATCAGAAACACGTAAGGAGGTCAAGTTCATTGATACCACAAACCAAAGGAAATGGTTATTGCTAGCACATCGTAAGATTCTAAAAAGAACGAAGGTATCTTTGGTATCATCACCCTATTACCACACCCCCGGTTCCGTAGTCGGCCTGCAGTCTGTCCGTAGTCAAAGAGAGGAAATCGGCGGCTTTTCTGGCCATGTCCGACTTCTTCCCCAGATGCCACAAAGCCTTGATACAGTTCATGACCTTTCCAAGGGTCTCTTCGAAGTGCCCGCCTGTGTATCCCAGCTGCGCCGCGCCGTGGCGAAGAGCTTCGTCTGCCTCCCCAAGAAGTATGGCGGATGCCATGCTGAAAGCCCTTATGAGGATCATTGTCCAGGGCTCCGTCAGAATGGTGCCTTCGTTGACCGCATGATGAAAATTTGAATCGTCGTGTAATCCTTGACAAGGGATGGAAATGACTGCAAGTTCGGAGAGCTCCTGAGTGCTTGCATCTCGTATCCTCCATGCAATCCTACCCTCGGTACGTGCCCGCGTCTCGATGTCAGTTCCGAGGTTGTTGTTGTCGACAAATGCAACAAGGTCGGCTATCATAAGTGCAGCGAGGTTCCAATGACATGATATGCAAAAGAACCAGCTCCTTATGCGCTCTGGCACAGAGTCGACATCGAGCATCAACTCTCTAAAGAATGATCCGTATGTCTTGTTCCAGTAACGATAGAGAGAGAGGGTGGAGCTGATGATATCTTCCACTCTTTCCCCTCGGGCTCCTCTTCGTAGTGTTCCCTGAAGATACGATAAATGTCGAAACAGCAGGACTTTGACTGGTGCGGCTTTGGTAACAGCTTTGGCGGCGTCCTCGTACGGGCATGGCCAAGTAGGCTTATAAGCAGGGTTTTCCACATCATCGTGAACAAACGACCCAACATCCCACCTCCCCTGTGGAGGAGTGTCATCCTCCGTTGCTGTATCGGGGAGATCTTCGTCTGTATAGCGCGGGATGTCTTCGTCGGGCACGACGACGGGCCGTTCGTTCATCGACGAGGATACCGTGTCAAACATTACGGCGAACCAGTACAGGAGTCCTGCGGTCTCTTTGTTCTCCTTGCTGGAGAAGAACTGGGAATTGCCAGCGGCTTCAACTCCATTGTTGATTACCACCGAGGATCCAATGCCTCGCAGGCCTGCGTTATATCGAGCCTGTAGCGTTTGAACCTTCCGAGCAGCTCTCTCCATGTAAATGGGCGGCCCCTCTCTTGACATGATGTCGCCGAGTCGTGCCTTCACTTCGGATTCCAAGCCAACGCCACGAGAGCGAATATTCGTAGTTCCTCCAAGGTCTCTGTCTCCAGGTTCATGATTCCATGCCTTCTGTGTCAATCCAAATATCAGCTCAGCCAATGCCACCCTGTAGGACTCGAGCTCGTCAACATCCTGCAGAGCCCTTTTGGCCTGGGCCCATATCTGGTGCTGAAGGCTACGATCAAACTCCTCGGCAAACCCATCCGATTCATCACCCGAGGAGGTGGAAGTCGTGGGATACCGCTCTCTTTGTCGATGGCTTCCTTGCGCCCACTGCGTAGCAAATGCCATGATGGCAAGATGCAGGGCATTAGTGACGGAAGCATCTTGCGCAGGCGTCAAGCGCACCAAGTTTGCCGATATGGATTCGCGGTCTAGCTGGATGGCTCGGGTATATATCCTATTAGACCATGCAGTTCCCCATTCCCTGACTAGGCCCGCACGGTTCTCTGTATCCCCATGCCGCGACTGAGTCGTCAATGGATTGTTGATTTCCGTCAGCCAACATGAGAGATTGTGCTCAAGCACATCGTGGTATATCTGGAGCAGGTTTGTCGAAATCAGCTGGCTATTGGTATGTGACATCATTTCTTGGTCGACGGAAAATCTGGATAGAGAGGTGCGTTGCGAGCCACTGCCATTGGAAGAGAGTCGTCGCCTCTTGGTCAGCGACCGTAGACCGTCATCTTGCAGTGGGTAGCAATATTGAGCCGGCGAGATTGCATCGCTCCCGGGCGGATATTCAGACAATTGCGGCTCTATAGTGTAGGAAATGGTAGCGTCGGCATCGCCGGGGAGATCAGACGTCGTAGTTGGATCCTCCGATACCTCAGTCCGCAAGGAGGGGATGTCGTTCGGAATGGAGTAGTCCATTAAAGGATCTCCGAAGAGTGGTGTTTGTAGTGCTGGGACGTTCCATTCGTAGTCGCTTTTGCCAGGAAAGCACAGATAATCGTCCACGCCCCAGCTGTCGGCTTGCAACGAAGAGAAACAGTAATCATTATTGTTCGTAGCAAGCGATTCCTGAGGCATGGAAGAATCAAACGAAGAATCCGTCTTTTCACGCCTCCTCCCGGAGATTCCTTTCAGAGGGGACTTCGATCCATATGCGATCGCGCGTTGGAGTGTCTGAGCCTTTGCCCATTCCCATGTGCAAGTCTTGTTGGTCTTGTTGCAGTAAGAGCACTTGAAAGAGCTATTACCGTTATCTTGTCAAAGATGTTAGATCAAATGGATGGATACCAGCATTGTCTACGACTCAAATCACATGGGTAAGAGCTGAAAAAACATACTCAGTTGCCACAGATTCGAGCTGCGTTGTCCTGCTTCCAAGGAGGGAGCATCACATCCTCTTTTCGACCTTCGGCACTGGTCACAGCTGTGATTTTGTCGCCTCATGACAACAAAGTATTGTAATCACTATTGGACCGAGTTGTTTTGTCAAGGTGAAGAACATGGGGAAGCAAAATGTGCAGCTTGGAGTTCTTCGGTCGAATCGGGAGTTGTCTAAGACAAAAGCAGAGCGTATACGACCGTAATGCCTCCCACCGAGACTCAGCCTTTTACCTTTTAATCGTGCTCATATGACCCAGCCAATGCCACAAGCCACTCATACCCTCCTTTTGGTTAAGTAGCCCCCAGTAGTTGCCCAACCCCGGATTTTGGCCATCCTGCCGAATCCGTTCCCCCGCTTCTCCGCTTCTCCAAATATGTCTGCCTCGCGTGTTGTCGTCAGCCACCCTCGTCAAAGTCAGAACTAACCTTGAACTGGCTGTGGACTTTATAGCCTGCAAATTCCGCTTCGGTATTCAAGTTACCCACAGGGTTAGAAGGTTATTCGAAGTACACTTGGAGGATACGCCTCTTCAATCATTAAGGTAACAATGACAAGCCAGTACAATTTGTCCAAGTGCGTTTCTCACTTCAGAGCTGCGTACACTTGCGTCTCTACGTCAGCCCACAATCCCAAAACTTTGCCATCAGCGAATGGGAGTATCTGGGTGCACAATATCCCAGCCACGCCCTTTTCACGGTCGCACCACCACCAACAGTTTGCCAGTCCGGCCCAGTGAGCCACTCCTTTGGATCTGCCGGTGCTGCCGCCATTAGACTTCATGAAGGTCAAGCCCCAGCCCTGTGGTGGGTTACCAGGCACATGATAGAAGTCGTAGATAATGTTGGTCAGGTCTGGTTTGGCATCGAAGAATATTTGACGACCAAGGTTCGGAAACTGGGGGACCTGGTTGCGGAACATCTCTTCCACTGTCTCTTTGCGTAGCAGTTGAGTTCCCGTCCGCGGACAAGTGCCATCGTTCAACAGCACAGATAGTACCTCTTATGCGAAGTCTTCAGACGCTGTTTGCTACTCGTGTGGGAGATTGATGGGGATGTCAGCGACTTACTGCAGTATTCTTGGGGCTTTGCAAACATGCCCGCGCCGCCGCTGTTGAACACCCGACGAGCCTCAGCCTCCTTGTCCGGGTCAATTACCAGCGGCAGTCGATGGAGATGGTCCCGCGGTCTTATAGTACCATCTGGGCTTCGACTGTGCATATAGGCAAGCCGGTTTCGCATATCCTTGGTAGGGAACATGGACATATCTTTGATGCCCAAAGGCTGTAAGATGTGCTTCTGCATGTATGCATCAAGATTGAGGCCGCTCGTTCGTTCGACAGCCAGTCCAGCCCAATCGATGCCGGTCTGTTCGAGGCAATGTGAGCTACTCTGATACCACGAAGCCGGACTACATAACGGGAGGAGGGCCATAAATCGGAAGAGAAGGAAGGCGAGAAAAAGAAGAGTGATTGGGTACTTACACCGTATTCCCATGCTTCTCCTGGTTGGAATAATAACGGAGTGCAAAGCACATCCTCGCTCCGTCCGGAGAACTCATCTATGCCGACTGGAAACGACCAGTTTCTCAGACGTTCGTGAGAAAAGGTATATCCAAAGCCAGAGGTATGGGTCAAAAGCATTCGGAGCGTGATTTTGTTCTTCTTGTCCTCGAAAGAGCCGTCCTCACGCAAGACCTTGACGGATTTGAGCTCGTAGAGTATATCCTCAAGGTGATCGCCATCATCAAGTTTCAAGACACCTTGCTCTACAAGCTGCATGCAAGCAAAGCCAGTGAGCATCTTGGTGCATGATGCGATCCAAAAGATTGTGTCGAGGGTCATTGGCTCGTCCGACACCAAGCCCCGTTTCCCAGCTGAGTGAGCAAACAACTCGTTTCCATCCTTGCCAACAACTACCACTGCAACACCTGGAAGATCGTGTTTGGCATCAACGCAGGCCTTGTTGACTGAGCCTTGAAGATTGGAAAGGGTTTCAGCGCTCAGAGACATCTCGTTAACTGATTAATGAAAAAGGTGAAACTGTCGGCTCACAGGTTATGGTTAATTTGCATGCTAGATAATGCACACATGCGCCTTTTGTGTGTTTGTCACACTCGGGTATGCTTGTCCCGATCTGCGAGCTCGGCAGGTTTTCGAGTCTGTGAAACTCTGCCAAGTTCTTGAAAAGGTCCCATGACCCTGTTGATACGGTGCGGTTGCGTGTCCGCAACTCCTTTCCGCATATTGCGTGCGGTTCCGCATCCCTGAATCCCCTCTTTTCCTCTTGTTTTGCCAGTAGAGCCTCCTCAACCAGCCACAAGATGCAACCCCGGACAGATGGCTTAGCTGCGGGGAAATCGATGTCTCAATCTCAACCGCAGTGGGAACTGGCGACACTGTCTTCTTTGAAGTGATACAAGCTTGCTTGAGTTGGGAGGAGGTACTGCGGATTGCAAGCTGATATTGCTTCATTACTGTGTGTTGAGAATGGGAACGTAGGATAAGCCGGGTCTTTAGATTTAAGGCTCCCCATCCCCCAAAGATGATGCAGTTCATTCCTTTGTACATCATCATTTTCCTACATTATCTCGACTGACTGTAGTCTACACTCTGTATTTCAGACAAAATGGGCGATTTTCCTACGGAATCGAAAAAGTTCAACACCGAGTTGACAGACTATTCTGTGCAACACGATGACAGAACTGGCCCCTATGCGGAGAACCTTGACATTGACGCCGTCATTGTCGGCGCAGGTTTTGGTAGGATGAATTAGCCTCTTGCGAATGACAATTACAGACAGTTGCTCACATTTTGTCTGTATCACATAGCTGGCATATTCATGTTGAAGACGCTCCGCGATCGTGGCCTGAAGACGTACATCTTCGAAGCTGGAAATGACACCGGCGGTACATGGCGCTGGAATTGCTATCCAGGTGCCGGCGTCGACTCCGAGGTGCCCGAGTATGAATTCTCCTGGCCCGAGGTGTGGAAGACGTGGAACTGGCCCAACAACTACCCGAACTATGAGAACCTTCGATCATATTTCGACCACGTTGACAAGGTCATTGGAGTGAAGAAAGACTGTGCCTTCAATACGGTTGTTGTCGGGGCTCATTTTGACCAAGCCGAGGGCAAGTGGAACATCCGCACAGAAGATGGTCGCACAACCAAGGCCAAGTACCTTGTTCTGGGGACTGGCTTTGTAAGTATTCGTGACACTTGGTGCCAGCCACGTCTTTTGAGTCTTTTCATTTATGCTAATAGCTGCGAAGGCTGCCAAAAGATACATCCCCGATTGGCCCGGAATGACCAAGTTCAAGGGCGTGATCCATCATTCCTCGTTCTGGCCAGACGAGAAGATTGATGTTCGTGGCAAAAAGTGCGCCGTCATTGGCACAGGAGCATCCGGCGTCCAGATTGTCCAGGCGTGGGGTCCTGAGGCTGGCGAGCTCAAGGTGTTTCAACGCACTCCCAACCTCGCTGTCCCAATGCGCAAACGGGACCTTACCGTCGAGGAACAAGAGAAAGCCAAGAAGCACTATCCTGAGTTGTTCAGATACCGTGAGGCAAATTTTGCCGGCTTTCTCTATGACTGGGACGAGAAGAACACGTTTGATGTTACCCCTGAGGAGCGCGAAGAGTTCTACGAGAGGATCTGGAAAGACGGCGGATTCCGATACTGGGTCGCTCTATACAAGGATAACTTCTACAACCCAGAGTCGAACAAAGAGTCGTACAGGTTCTGGGCAAAGAAGACTCGCGCTCGGATTAACGACGCCAGGAAGCGCGATCTGCTTGCTCCTCTCGACATGCCCCATTACTTTGGCATCAAGCGACCATGTCTCGAGTATAACTACTACGAGCAGTTCAATAGGCCAACTGTGGATGTTGTGGATATCAAGCACAATGCTATCAAGGACATTGACGAGACCGGCATCCTCCTCGAAGATGGCACGCACTATGATTTTGATGTTATTGCGGTCGCAACAGGTTTTGTAAGTGATTGCTATCAAAGTCTTCCTTTTATGTCTGGCAACAGAGCGCTAATGGTACTTCACATAGGATATTGTCACTGGAGGTACTGCTCTTTCTCAACCCGACTCGCGTGCATTAGAAGATGCTAATCTCGTTCAGTCATGACACAGCTAGGGCTCGAGAGCGTTAACAACACCAAACTCGACGAAGAATGGGTGACTGGCGCCGTGACTTACCTGGGACTCACCGTCAGCGGGTATCCCAACATGTTCCATATATACGGCCCTCAGGCCCCAACGCTCCTCAGCAACGGTCCGACTACCGTCGAGTTGCAGGGCAGATGGATTGCCGACTGCATCCAGAAGATGCGGATGAACAATATCAAGTACATCAATCCGAAGCGTGAGGCAGCTGTGGCTTGGAAGAAGGACATTGTCGACATCAACAACCAGATGCTGTTCCCGACTGTCAGATCGACTTACATGGGTGGAAGTATCCCTGGCAAGGTGTATGAGCCGGTTTGCTACCCAGGCGGCATTCCAAAGTATGCGAAGCTGATTCGCCATGCTCTGGATGATATGTCGGGCTTTGATGTGGTCTCCAACTAAAAGCCGGTGTATCAATATGTTCTATCTGATTTGCCTACTACGAAATTGAATAGTAATGTTGTTTCATCAAATCATTATTCACAGACGCCTTTGTCGCTGGTGATTATCCGTATCAAGGTGATAGAAATGACATTAGGAATCATGATACTACTATCTGAAGTACATCACCAAGTATTACAGGAGTGAGGAATTAAAACCATCAATCTTTTGCCTCCTCATCAAGCTTCTTCCCCACATATTGTCTCGGCACAATCTTAATACGCCTTGCCAGTCTTGACAACCTCAGTGAGATTGGCGTTACCGGTCTTGATAATTGTCTTTTCCTTGGGTAGGGCCTCGAGGACCTCAGCCGAGATGTTCAAGTGGTCAATGATCGTCTGCTCTGGCGTTAAAGCAAGCCACTGAGCGACAGAGATATCAGAGAACTTTGGAGCCTGCAGGACCTCAAGGAAGATGAGGTCCTCAGTGCCTGTGTTTTCGATATAGTGGGCATCAGCCTGAGGGATATATCCAACGTCGCCAGCGGTGAAGTCGAAAGTGTTGGCAGCACTCGGCGCAGCATAGATGGTAGCACGGCCAGAGCCCTGAAGGAAGTAGTCCCACTCGTCCGAGGTGGTATGCCAGTGGAGTTCTCGCATAGCACCAGGCTGGATAGTGACAAGAGCAGCGGAGAATTTGGCGGCAATGGGGAATGTCGTTGGGTCCAGAATCTTGACGGAGCCACCAGGCACTTCGTACGCCTTTTGCTGGGACCAGTGATAGGTGTAGCCGTTGGGGCCGCTCAGGAAGCCTCCAGGGGCGGTAATGTTTTGTTTGCTAATGTCTTTGGGCTGGGGCGTTCCGTTGAAGATGTAGAGCTGATTTTCTGGCAGGTTCTTGAAGCTATCGACGGGGGCGCGGAAGTTCTTGGACAGAACGGAGCGAGGAGTGCGCGCAAACATTTCAGTGATGAGGAAAGTCCCGTTCTCATCAAAGTCGCCCTGGTCGAAAACAAGCAAAAACTCGGCTCCGTTCTCGAATGCCTGGATGGAATGAGGAACACCAGCGGGGAAGAACCAAACATCACCCTCGCAAAGATCGTCGACAAAGCTCTGGGACTCGTCGTTGATAGCCGCAACTCGAACACAACCCTTGAGAATCAAGGACCATTCGCCAGCAGTGTGCCAGTGGAGCTCGCGGTAGGCGTTAGGCTCCAGCTTCATATCGACACCAGCCATATCCTTTGCAATGGGAAGCACAGCAGTGTTTTGCTGACGAGCCCAACCAGCTCTACCAGAAGCACCTGGGCGGTTGTGAGAAAGGCCAAGGGGCCAAACGGCGTTTGGGACAGCACCAGAGTCTGTGCCAGGAGCGGCGAAGAGATCCGGGTTTAACTTTTCGTATTCAAAGGTGCGAGGGCCTGCATCAGTGCCACCGAAAGCACCGCGAATGGGTTGCGGCTCATCGACGCTGTCAAAGTCGAGATACACACCAAGGCTGGCATCTGCATCTTGGCCGTTGACCTCCTTGAACTTCTTCACCTCGGCACTATCCTTACTGGTGTCAGGAATGGGAGCAACGCCGCCCTGAAGTCCGGTGCTTCCGTAAAGGCTTCCAACGGGAGCAGTAACAGTAGGGACAGGAGGAGTGACGCCCGCAACTGGCCCAGTGTTCTCTCCGATAGATTGAATTCTGTGGTACAGTCAGTTAGTGGAACTACTCCAATAAGCAAAGACTTTGAAGGAGATTCTGTCATACTGAGGAGCCGGAGCCGCCAAAGCCAGCATCGCGGGCAAAATGCCCGCAACAGCAGAAGAAAACTTGGGATGCATTTCAACAAAGTTGCTTTCCAGATAGTTGGTCTACTGAAAGTTTGTTAGAGGCTCTTGAAGTAGAGGATGAGAAGCGAGCGGTGGACTGATTCCAAGAGCAGTTTCGCGGTATCTTTATACAAGTCGCCATGATCAATATCTTCTCAATTCTAGGCCCGAGACTGGCGACCCGTGCTCCTCGTCCATGGACTCCAATCTGTCTCGTCTGTGGGAGAAGACTCTCCGACTCCCCGATCAACACCGATGTAGACGGGATGATCCCCAGCAGCAAGTCCAGGATAGCACAATTCGATATTGTGTCACACGGGATAGGACAGTCGTGTCACGTCAAGCTCCATACAGCCCTTTGATGCTCGCGATCCACTCCCAGGCACCGATGAGCTTCTCCATACGTCCGACGATATCCCTGCAATAGAGCACTCTTGTTTGAGGCTATGTCCAGGTAAGTTCATGCGGTGTGCTCTGTGAGTTACAATCAGGGTTTGTATAGAAGTCCAGCTAGGTAGGCTTTGAGTGGCAATACTTCCCCTAGAAACCAACCTCTGCGTCCCAAGTCTACTGTCCTCCTGTATCGTAACGCGTGTCAATGCATACATGTCGGCGTCGTCTCTGATACCGCACTGTGAGATCTCTCTATGCGGTGAAAGATCTCAAGCTCTCTCCGTCTCGGAGGACCGTCGACATGTTCCTACCCCGAGAACTATGCCTAGAATTGGAAAGCATCAAAGATGAACTTGGGGTTTCTCGAGCCGAAACATCCGTGAAATTGCTCGAGTCAAAGCCCATCATGTCACATCGTGACGTCTGTTCTCCGTGAACCTGGTGGAGCGTCTTGTTCGACCCATGGAAAAGACATGGCAGATTCGTTCCGATTATCCGTTCAACGGGCCATGATTCTCTATAAATGTCAGACAGTGGATGGCTGTGCACCCCCTTCGCTCGGGCATCGGCCACAGGGCGATCGAGTCTGCCGGAAATCGATCCAGAAATGATATTGTCAAGGCTCATCTATTGGTCCATAGGCGGGCCGTGCCTAGACCCATGATGATGCACAGGGATTGGCAGCCACTTCTTGCCTCCGAGACGCTAAACGCACATGATCTGATGAGGCATTGTAACTCAGGGTTGAGAAAGACGCCGTGGGTGCATAAAGACTTGGAGCCGTGCGCTAAAGGTGTAAGTCTATTACATACTTGGATGTCTTCATTATGCTCAGTAGTTCCCTCTTCCGAACCGCATCCCTCACGGGGTTATGTCGGCGTTGCAAATCCACACAGCAACTTGCCAGCCAGAGAAGGATTCAGGGCGGCAGATTTGGTCTGCGAGGTCACATCGCCATACGTCTAGTAGTTTGGGAAATGGCTCAAGGTCTACATTCACGCCTGAAGCTCAACACCGAAAGTGACTTGCAGACACTTATGGCAAAGAATAGTCATAGAAGGCTCTTGTTGCATTTACCACGGGATTCTGTTGTTCTGTTTAGGGCCGTAATTGGACTTGAGAGGGTTCTTTCATTATACACAAACCTAGGTAGGTATGCAACAGTCCAGATTGGACTCAAGTGGGCCACCTCAGACTTCAGATATTTACGTGAGCATCGGGAGATCATTTCATTGTGCTTCCAGTCGTTTCTAATCCTTGAGCGCACATAAGGCCTTGTTTTCATTGTGTCGCACACCCTTCAGTTTTAACATGCTGAAGGAATAGGGTAGCTAGCGACAGGATCCAAATATCGTGCTTTGCCACCAAGGTGTGGACAATGCGCTGCATGCCCCGACGGAATCCAAGTCTAGAGTCCATCAATCAGTCACCGATGGCCTTATCCCCGCGGGATTAACCTGGTTCCTGCGGCTCTTCTTTAATCTCGCCGCTTGGGTCGTCAGGCTCCATGATAGAGGCAAGGCCAGCCTGGATGCCATTGCAAGGTCCGTCCTCTCGGCCCATCTCTGGCAGTCTCCCATCCCTCAATGATGGATGAGTCTATCTGCAATTGTTCAAATGACAACCTGATCGCGTGCATCACACGCGATCCATCTTCGATATAGCTGTGGCCGTACAATTCGAAATCTTCTCCCTCGCTCCCCCCCCCCCCCCCCCCCCCCCTCCCGGATGGCTGAACATTGAAGCCCAATGATGAGGATCTCCATCGCTTGTTCGTTCTATTTCGCCATTGCCGGATACCGAGTATGAGGTCCGTTTGGCTGGCTTGTGTTTGTCATAAGTGGACCTGAGTTTGCCAATGTTTGGGGAACAAACAACGCCTTGTGTGGCTAGGGAGAAGTGGTATTCGGAATGTCGCAATGCTGTCGTAGGACCTGGGGGGAGCTGCGGTCAAGAAATGGCAATGGCGAAGTGCTGTTGGCGGGTAGCACATATCTAGATGATGCAGGTCAACGTACGATCTGACAGAGTTAACCCTTGCCGCATGGCTATGTGGATATTCGGACATTCATGGACATGGCTGCGTTGCTCCTGTAGCAGGACAAGCCTCCCTTATCTTGCATATACATACACGGACCATCCATGCGTCACCTAGCAAATGATACCTTGCTTATGGATGGCGTCTGTTGTATCCGTTGACTACCGTCATCTACCTAAATATGTAGGAAGCTGCCACAAATTACAATTACAGGGATAGTATTAGGTATGCTATCACTCGAGACTTCGGCGCCTGAGGATGACTCGAATCGGCTTTTGCGGCCGCTTGACTCCAGTTCCAGGAATCATGCCGGGCAGCTTCCATGGGCCTTCGGCATTCTCCATATCCCACAAGGTGATGAAGCAAGCAACAATGCCCATGACTTCTTTCTCAGCAAACGTACGGCCTTTGCATACCGCAGACCCGGAGCCCCATGGTTTGAGTCGTCCGTATCGGGCGACCCTATGGCCCGTTTCTTTGTCTGTCTCTATGAACCTGTCTGGGATGAACTTTTCGGGCTCTGGGAAGATCGAAGGGTCGGATTGTAGGAGGGCGTGGGGTGCTGAGAGCCAGGTTCCCGGCTCAAAGTGATGCTCAAGGTTGCCATCAGATACCGTCATGGGCTTTGACACGTAACGAAGCGAAGTCGGGTCCTCGACAAGCCGAAAAGTCTCGAAGAGGCAAGACTTTAGGAGCGGACACTCATGACTCAGACGTGAGAAGTCAAAGGCAGCAATTTGCGGAGATGACTCTTCCGTGGACAGCGTCATACAGGGTCTGACCTCCTTTCGCAGCTTATCAACTAGTCCAGAGGTCGAGTACACGTAGAGCAAAAGCCAGAACACCATCGGCTGCATGTTGGCATTCAGCCCCCAGAAGGTGCCCAGCTCAAGCTCTGCTCGCGCACGAATAGGAACGCCATGCTCCTCGAGAAAACCGTTTCTTTCCATTGCAGCGGTGCTGACATCACGCATATCCGCATCGAAGTCCACTTTTTGGCCATGCTTGTACTGGTTCAAGCGGATGTAGAACCCTTCAAGTGCATCATGAAGACGAGTGCGGGCCGCGAGTGCTTCTCGAAAGGATTTGATCGGGACCCAGGTGGGCACGCCGATGACGAGCAGCGAGAACGCGTTGTTGTCGAATTTCCAGAAGTCTTCGAGTAGATGCGGATTGCGATCCAGGAAGTCCTGTCCATAGAGCCGTGGAATGGAGACGCAGGCGCCAAAGTCTCTCATGAGCGACTCGAGGTCAGCTTCGACAGCTCCTGATTGTCCCTCAGAATCAGTCGACAGCACTTTGATAGCTGCTGATCGCTCCCATTGGTGTTGCTTCTGCGAATCAGGTGAGAAGCTCAGCAGCCGAGCTACCTTTCCGGGTATGTCGGCGGCCTGGATTGACGCAGTTGCAGAAGCATCGTTAACAAAGTATCGCTCAATTATCTGCGTGAGCTTTCTGTTGATGACCAGGAACTCTTCGGAGATCTCCTTGGTCAGCCGCGCGCCAAAGACGCGAATGCCCAAGCGAAGCCCCAGAACATCTGCGCTCAGGATGTGCGGCGACTTGGTAAACACGCGGTCGATGTTGTCGAGGTTGTGCAGGATTTGATGGCGGGAAGTGAGCCCAAACCGAGACCCTTTCCGGGGCCATATGAGCGAGCTATGCAAGTGTCAGTGAATTTCAGCATCCTTCAAAGTGCTAACCGCCAGAGACAAGTTACGAACAACAGCCTTGAAGCAGTACCGCCGGCTTGAATCAGTGCGCTGCTTATGCCGACCTCGAGCGGAACCCACGGAGGAAAGTCAACCTCCACTTCTCGCTTGCTTTTCTGCAGGCGTGAATATGCAAAGACGAACGCGACAGTAAGAGCAACGAGCGTGAGGAGATACGCCGGAACTGAAGTTGCCGAGTTGTGGCCTCCAACTGACGCGAAGCCATCACTGACTGGGTCGGATGCCATGTCCTCAACGGGCCAAAAGAGCCAAAGGGGGGTTGAAGTGAAGGTGAACAAGGTCAGAAGCTCTGCCGCTTCACCGATACTTGTAATCAAAGACTGCTCGACCGCGATTGGGAGACTTTTACGGGTATGTCTCAGCACTAGCTCTGAGTGGCTTGGCCCGTTAGCCAGCTACATGTACCTTACCTTACCTTTTGACGATACGAGCTCAACATGAGTTTACCTAATATTTCTCGTCCAGGGCCTTTTGCAGCCGTTTCTGTATCCCAATTCCCTAGAACCCATATTCAGCCATACTTGGCTTTCAGAAGAGACAGCAAGAGAGTGAGTATTAGCAGGATAATAGGCGACTCCAACGCCACCCATTCGCGCTTTTGTTCAAGGGGCGGGCTGGATCAGAGGCATTGCACAATGCACAATGCACAATGCCCAATATTCCTTTTCGTAGGAACATCCTCTATCAAGACTGCCATGGCGGCGATGCGTTGAGGCCATACACGAACCTGCCAAGCTTTGGAGTTCGCCTCAGCCAAGGACTACCGAGTTAGTTCATCATTCCTGCGAAACAGTCCTTCAGTGTGATGCTCAAAAGGCCTAACAGCGAAATTAACTGTTTACTATCTTGTTATATACATTCGACTTTTTTTTTTTGCCATGCTATTTCCAGCCGCAAGCGTTATCAACTCTTTCTGCCTAAGTGCTCTTCGTCGTGTCCCAGATGACAGCGCCAGAGCCGTCCTTGATCTGGATCCAAGGCGCCGTGTTGATGACAACCATGGTCTTGCCTCGGCCTCCAGTGTTGGTACTCCACTGGACAGCGCCATTGAAGTAGGTGCCTAGGTTTCCAGAGGAATCGAATCTCAGCTGGCAGCCGCCATTGCATCCCTGGCTCAAGGTGTGGCCCGATGCCCAAACAGGAGATCCGTTCTGCAGGACGACGACATTGTTGTCGCCCTGGTACTGGGCAATGACTCCGTGCAGATCAGCAAATGGACCAGTGTCGGGGCCAATTGTCAGTGAGCCGGCATTGAACGAGACCGAGTTCGGCAGAGGCGGGCTCGAGCACAGGAAGTTGGTCACATTGCCGGGGGCAGCGACGAAGCCGGACTGGAGATTCTGCGGTCCAGTGACGCCAGGCGGGTAGTAGATTAGGTTTGCGTTCTGGTTGAAGACGCTCTGGACTGCGGAACTGCAGTGAGACGCATCGGCAAAGCTAGACTTGGGATTGGTGACGCCAGAGACGGTGTTGCCGGTAATCTAATGAGAACATGTTAATAACGCTTGTTGTTTGAGGATGGTAGCGCCTCAGACGAGACATACTGTGATGCCATTGGTCCATCCGTTGATGGCAATGGGAAAGCTGACATGCCCAGTAATGGTGTTGCCAGTGATGGTGGCGGGGCCCTTCAGGGGAGAAGGGTCGTTGAAAGACCAGGCATTGGCGCCAATCCCGATGCCCAGGTTGAAGAGCTTCTGGCCCTGGATATTGTTGTTCGTGACACTGACACCAGCGTAGCTGCCGCCATACTCGGGGTCGACCATATTAATGGCGCCGAAGCCCACGTAGTCAGGCGAGGAGATGATGGTGTTGCCCGTGACGGTGCTTCCAGGAGAGCCGAAGATGACGATACCCCCATCCGTAGGGCCGTTAATCTATCGACGACATGTAAGCTCACGAAAACTCTTCATGGCAATGCTTGGCGTCACTTACGGTGTTGCCTTGTACCAGCGAGTTAGTGCAGTCAAGAGACACACCATCCGCCCACTGGGCATTTCCATTGGCGTCAGTGCCAGACTGGCCGCAAGGGCCAATGTCATTGTTGATGATGGTCACGTTCTTGCACGGGTTATTATCGTCTCCGGAGCCAATCGCATGGAGACAGCTCCAACCACGAGGGTTCTTTGAAGCGACGTTAGAGACGGTCTGGCCAGTGGTGAAGCCCCCAATCTCAATGTTGGCAGCGCCCCCAGGGAAGAGACCAGCCCCCGGCCTGTTGCCGTCAAGCTGGATGTTCTTGATGCGGATGTTGTTGAAGTTTTTGCCGTAGATCAAAGTGCTGGCAGAGCTGCCCGGGGCAACTTGAATAGTACCCCTCGTGCTGCCTGTGGGATAGCCCTCGGTGGAGATCTCCTGGTTGTCAGCTGTGAAGCTGATCTGGCTCGAGATCTGGATCACGGCGTTGGCGCAGAGCTGGACAACAGCGCCGTTTCCTCCGGACTGGAGAGCATTGTTGATCGTGTTCTGATCGCCCGAGGAGATGCAGGCGGCCGAGGCTAGAGCTGGCAGGGCAGCCGCTGTAAGCAGGCTGTTCTTGAGAATACCCTTCATGATGGGGGTTTTGGTAGGACGGTCCTCGAGATAGTCCCAAAGATCTGCGGTTCAAGTGGCAGAGAGTTGGAGCGCCTGTTCGAGTAACGAAGATCTCGTGGAATAGGCCGTATCCCGGCGCCCCTATTACTTGGTTTTATGTTCCCAATCGGACCCTTCTACCCGACTTGCCGAAAAGCTCCCATGGACTCCATTCTGTCGGCTTTCCCAGCGGACTCCTTGCCCGAAGAGCGGAAAACACGACGGATACACGGTTCAGCACCTCGTACTTCGTAGGTATGTAAGCCAGGTCGACTTGCATAGACCAAACCCACAATCACCCGATGCTAGAATGCTGATTGCTTAGGCCTGGTGCTGGTGTAAGCCACCGTAGTAGGGCAGATCCCAGCCGCGTCTGACAGCCAGGCACCGGCTATGCCAGATCAAGAAGCTCACTGCCAGCCCCTTTACTGTACTTTCCGGCTCCCCAATTGACAGCTCGAAAGAGCTCGCGCGAATGGTGACCTATCCAGGCAGTTGAGAAAGGTGGTTCTGTCATGCAATACCTATTGTCAGTCACCTTTCTTGACAACCGCATCGGCAGCAACTCCGCTCGGCAGTACTCTCGGTCGATTTCCTGTTGTTCTTATGGCGAGGAAATGCATGGTTCATGCCTCCATTTCCTTACATACGTCCCGTATCAAGGCTCTATGACGACGTTGTGTCGCGTCAGCCAAGAGCACAACATCAAGCGTACCTAGAGAATAGTGACTAGTACTAGGGGAGAAAAGCAACATATACCCTAGGTCTGCCGGACGCGATGTGCCGGATTGACTACCTATGCATAGAGGCAAGCTTGAGTACCTGGGGGCCGGCAGTTTCAATTGCCACGCCTACGTAGTAGTACTTGCAAAATATCACGTTGCTGTACCTCTGCGTTTTAGGCTGAATAGCCCACGAGATCGGTCCAAACAAGAAGCTCAACCGGTCTTCCGCAGTGGCTGCAACCTTGACGCTCCTCCCTTCGAACATCACGACGTAGTCATGCGGAGAGTTGCCAGATCCAGCTCAATGTTGCGGGGAACGCATCGTCAGTGGCCATCGCTCAAGGAGCCGCCGGCAATCCATCCTTTGAGGAGACGGGAAAATCTGGGGAAGGCGATGGCTTTATGACTTGTAGCCTCTCTCCCCCTCGCCCACGTTCTCCAGCGCAGCATTGCAGCGGCAGATGCGGTGCGTACGCACGTCCGCTCAAAGTGAGGATCGGCAGGTCGAGAATATAGTCGTTCGGGAGCCGGAATGGGGGATATCCGTCGGGTTATTGTGCTTTCTTAAGCAAGAAACTAGTCATCAGATCATGAAGCCATTGTGTAATGCACACTATTGTTGAAAAGCCGCGGGCAAAGGTGAGCGGAGCGGACGCACAAGGAAATGAGACCGCGTGTATATATAGCAAGGGTAGAGCTTTGTGAGAATTGAGATTTGCGGGATAAGATCTCATCAACAACTCGGGCGAGCCGGCCGATGCTCTGATACTTGCAGAGTGCCGTTCGCATCATCCTCAAGCCGACTATGGCGGGCCTACGTTTGCTACCATGGATGTTCTCCATGGCTCTTTTCCACCTGGCCCAGGCTCGAACGTGTTTGCCTCCGTATCAGGCCCAGACAACTTATCAGGGATGCTATCACGACCCAAACTCACCCCGCGATCTCGCGGGGCCGATGTTGACGGTTGGTAACCTCAACTCTCCCCAGTACTGTGCCAACATCTGTGGCGCGGCGGGATACCAGTACAGCGGAGTCGAGTTTACGATGTAAGAGATCCTCAAGCACTGTGAAGCCGTCCACATTTGCCTAACATCAATCTCGCAAGCCAATGCTTCTGTGGGCATCGCATCGAGAGCACTTCCGTCAAGGCTGATGAGAGTCAATGTTCCTCTCCATGCCCTGCAGATAGCAGCAAGGTCTGTGGCGGCGGCAATATGTAAGTCAAGCTCGGCCAGTGGACGGAGTTTACGAGGAGGAAAGATTGACCAAGCCTCCAGGATCAACATCTACTCCATCTCCAACCCGTCACCTAACCCGCCCTTGACCCCCTCGTTCCCGGACTGCACGCGAGATCCCTTGTGCAGCAACGATGTCTGTGACACCACCAAGAGCATCGCCGAACGCGCTGCCGCCATCGTGAAGCCCATGACGCTCAATGAGAAAGTGGCAAACGTAGGAAGTTCGGCATCTGGCAGCGCAAGACTTGGCTTGCCGGCCTACCAATGGCAAAACGAGGCTTTGCACGGTGTTGCCGGTAGCACTGGTGTGCAGTTCCAGTCGCCACTGGGAGCCAACTTCAGCGCGGCAACCAGCTTCCCCATGCCGATTCTCCTATCAGCTGCTTTCGATGATGCACTCGTCAAGAGCGTGGCCACTGCCATCAGCACAGAGGCTCGTGCCTTTGCCAACTACGGCTTCGCGGGACTGGACTTCTGGACACCAAACATCAATCCGTTCCGAGACCCGCGATGGGGCCGAGGGATGGAGACTCCTGGAGAAGATGCCTTCCGTATCCAGGGCTACGTGCTGGCTCTGGTCGACGGTCTTCAGGGTGGAATTGATCCCGACTTCTACCGTACCCTCTCAACTTGCAAGCACTTTGCTGCCTACGACATCGAGAATGGCCGCACTGCGAACAACCTTTCGCCCACCCAGCAGGATATGGCAGACTACTATCTTCCCATGTTCGAAACTTGCGTCCGCGACGCCAAAGTCGCATCCATCATGTGCGCGTATAACGCGGTCGATGGCGTCCCAGCTTGTGCAGACAGCTATCTTTTGCAGGATGTGCTGCGCGACACCTACGGCTTCACTGAGGACTTTAACTACGTCGTCTCCGACTGCGATGCTGTCGAGAACGTCTTTGACCCTCACCACTACGCCGCCAACTTGACTCAAGCTGCTGCCATGTCTATCAACGCCGGCACTGACCTCGACTGCGGGAGCTCATACAACGTCTTGAACGCGTCCGTCCAGGCTGGCTTGACGACGGAAGCCACTCTTGATAAGTCACTTATTCGCCTGTATTCTGCACTCGTCAAGGTCGGATACTTTGATCAGCCAGCCGAGTATAACTCTCTCGGCTGGGGCAACGTCAACACGACCCAGAGCCAAGCTCTTGCTCACGATGCCGCCACTGAGGGAATGACTCTCTTAAAGAACGATGGCACTCTTCCTCTTTCTCGAACACTCTCCAACGTCGCGGTTATTGGGCCTTGGGCCAACGTCACCACTCAGATGCAGGGCAACTATGCCGGCACTGCACCGCTCTTGGTGAACCCCCTGTCCGTGTTCCAACAGAAATGGCGTAATGTCAAGTACGCTCAGGGCACTGCCATCAACTCCCAAGATACCAGTGGCTTCAATGCTGCCCTGTCTGCGGCCAGCTCTTCTGATGTCATTGTTTACCTCGGAGGCATCGACATCTCTGTCGAGAACGAAGGCTTTGACCGGAGTTCTATTACCTGGCCCGGGAACCAGCTGAACCTCATCTCTCAGCTAGCCAATCTTGGCAAGCCACTCGTGATTGTGCAGTTTGGCGGCGGTCAAATTGACGACAGCGCATTGCTGAGCAACTCCAAGGTCAACTCAATCCTGTGGGCTGGTTATCCCGGCCAGGACGGTGGCAACGCTATCTTTGATGTCCTCACCGGCGCAAACCCGCCCGCTGGCAGACTACCCGTGACTCAATACCCTGCAAACTACGTCAACAACAACAACATCCAAGACATGAACCTGCGGCCAAGCAACGGCATCCCAGGACGAACGTACGCGTGGTACACCGGCACACCTGTTCTTCCATTTGGCTACGGACTGCATTACACAAACTTCTCCCTGTCGTTCCAGTCCACCAAGACTGCTGGCAGCGACATCGCCACTCTCGTCAACAACGCCGGATCTAACAAAGACCTAGCAACTTTCGCAACGATTGTCGTCAACGTCAAGAACACTGGCGGTAAGGCCAACCTGGCCTCCGACTACGTTGGCCTGCTGTTCCTCAAGTCAACAAACGCCGGCCCTGCGCCTCATCCTAACAAGCAACTGGCTGCGTATGGACGTGTCAGGAACGTTGGCGTTGGAGCGACTCAGCAATTGACATTGACGGTGAACCTTGGATCGCTGGCTCGTGCAGACACCAATGGCGACCGATGGATCTATCCCGGTGCTTATACTCTCATCCTAGATGTCAATGGGCCGCTGACATTCAACTTCACTTTGACTGGCACAGCAACGAAGATTAGCACCTTGCCTAGCCGGTCGTGAGGGGGTGCTCTAAGAGTTGTGTAAATAGTATTAGCTGCTACTGACGTGGTATAAATTAACAGAATCTGGGGACATTTTCATTATAAATTTTTCGACGTCGTGCCCATATAGAACTTTCCTAGTAGCATGCAAATCGTGAAAGCATTATGGATAAAGCTCCGAGCGATCATTGCATTTGCACAGAGGTATGGGGAAACCAGGAGGGAATATCCAAGTCAACGTCTAAATAAACGCTTGCAGTCATCTATATCCATCGTTGTCACTTCCCGCCTCCTCTGACAGGAAATACTCCCGAATCATAAGCATCTATCTGATATCTGAAGCTGAAAATCAGATGAGCCCAGCCTCGCCCGGCTGGAGAACACCGTTGGTCTGAGCAGCTGCGTGAGCGCGAGCGACCATGCCATAGACAGGGAAGTACTTGTCAAGGTAAGGCAGCACCTCCGAGGCACCGGGCACGTTTCGCCAGTCCCTCATGAGATCGCAGACGATGGAGAAGAGGCTCACAACCTGAACACCAGCGTGTCTCATTCGGTCGTTGGAAATTTCGCGGACAAAGGTGGACGAACTGCCGGATGCCTCGGCATTGGCCCAGACGGAGTAGCCGGCTGCTCGGAGGGACAAGGCAAGGTGAGTGGTACACACATCTGTGACGATTCCGGCCATGATGACTTGGCTTCTGTTGGTGGCCTTGACAGCTTTCTGAAAATCCTCATTGTCCCAGGCATCAACTTCACCCTGGCGCTTGATGAAGGTGGCATTGGGGTACATAGAAGTGATCTCCTTGGGCAGGGGGCCATTGGGTCCTAGTCATCCAATCAGTCTCTGAGTGCCGCTTTAGATCCTAGTGACATTTACATACCCTGCTCGGCAGAGGTAGTCAGGATAACGGGGAGATTAAAGAGCTTTCCGATGGCGGCATGCGCAATGATGCTCTCTTTATAGGTGACCGGGTCGAAGTCGCGGACGGCATTGTACAGGCCGTCTTGCAGATCAACAACAAGGAGAACCTGTGCCATGTTAGCAGGAGTAAATTCGATGGAATGACATATGACCTACAGCCTTGTCCTTGTCAAGTCTTTCATAAGGATACTCTAAGCAAGAACGCATATCAGCATCGTGACAAACTTCTGGTAGTTCATTCAAATCTTACTGGTTCCAGTTGTTGCGATGACGGTGGCAGAGAGCGATGCCAGCGCGAAGGCGACGGTTGAGAAAAATTTCATTGTTGCTATTGCTGATGAGGACTTTTCTAACGGCTTGGAAGTCTTGAAGTCTGTGGCGTGAGATGCTGGGCTGAAGCTTGAAGAAGGAAAAGAACCAGATCTGAAGGGACTCAACTCGGATTATATATTTTATATCTTGTCTGTGATATTGATACTTGGTGAAGTAGAGCCTCAATAGTATTTGCTTGAGAAGTCCCTGGCCTCGGCGATTGTTGATTCTTACGAAGGAATTTGTCAATACGAAATGCCCTCCATCCCCCGCGAGCAATGTCACCTTGCATACGCCACCATCTTTCGTCTCTGCAGTCAGCAATTCCCTCAAAAGTCTGGACTATTCACGCACAAGCTGTTGAAGCTGTTACACGACAACTGTGTTCCAGGATAGACCGATGCCTCACTCGCCCGGCTTGCCATGAGCGTCCACCACCAACATTAGCTGATAGGCTGGTAATGATGACTGGTACCTGACCCATGTTTGTAATGCCAGCGTCAGCTCCGCCGCTGTGCCTTGATTGGCTCTGGATGAGATGCAGCGCAGTCTGGATAGATAAAGTTGCCAAAGTTCCACCAATGGCACGGTTGCATCTGCACTTATGCCATGTTGACATGCGGCTGACATTGATGAAGCCAAGCCGCGATGGATGCAAGAGGCAGATCCGACGACCAAATGTTCGCTTCTGTTACCAAGAATGAGAACAGGATATGTCATTGTCTATATTGACACTATCCACACTTTGACTACCGTATTTCATGTACGAGTACAAGCTGAGCAGGAAGCCCTGCCTTCAGAGTCACGCAGTGGAATATCTCGGCTAGGCAAAATTTCCCCTAATAGCCCTTAGATTACTAGATGGTGTTGTCTGCTTAGATGCATTCCCAACGCTGTGAGGAAGACGCCAATTATGAAGTATAAAAAGAAGCCATGAAGCAGTTGGAACAGTCATTTCTAGCAATTCTACGTTCTGTTGACTCCTCTTTCACTTCCCGTATCTCCAATCGCTTGAAGTACTGCGGGCCGTTTCGCTGGTATAGCGCGTAACCGGGAGTTGTTTCGTTGACCCATGACTGGTAAAAGTTCCTCTTATAAATCATCAACCGGATCTGATAATGGCTAATCCCCCTGTCCAGTACAAATCACGAGCGTTGCAGGCCCAGGGCCAGTATGCACACAATCTTGGCCCAGCAGCTGGTCGTTTCGGTGAGCAGTTTGTCGTTAGTCTAGGCATAACATCTGCCGACAATCCGTAGTAGAAGCTCACGAACTGCCGTTGTGGCTTTTAGTACTGGTCCTTTGGGAAAGTGACAATGTGCAGGACAGTGGAAGCCCCTTGTCGGCGAGCATGTCGTCCATCGTCATGACCTGAACAGGGAAGAAGACAAGGTCGAAGCAATTATTCTGTCATCATAGTCAATCCAATCCCAAAAATGCTCAGGAACTACCACTGATTCAAAAAATCGTCAACGGTTGAGCCATGTATCTGTTTCACAGAGAACTTACTATGCATGGCGTGATGGCTATAACTTGAATTATTGGTAACACAACGCCGCCTAGCTTCTCCTTTGTGCTGTACATCATCCATTAGTCACTTGCCAGCATCATAAGTATTGGCCAATCGTTTTCCAACAGGCTGGAGATTCTGCAACAGCCGTGGTACGATCGACTATTATGGGTGGAGAGGTGCATATGTATGTGGAATCTAAGGTCGATGCTCCTGAAAACTGGTTAGGATGTCATCAAACTGAGCGCTGTCAGCAGCGTAGAGATCGACTAGTATCTGGATTGAGACAGGCTAAGTGATGTCACTTTCTTCTTGGCGACTGATTGTGCGCAATATAATGGCGACGAACGATGGGCCGACTAAGACTGGAGGCCATTTGCTGATGTTCTTATAAGGAGAAGCATTTCTCTGGGAAGAAGTACTGGTGATATGTCGGCTCTACCCTACAACAATCAAACCTCCTAGTACCTAATAATACATAGAGTCTTGACGCATCAATCCTTCTCACTCGCTCACGAAGTATGTGGTCGTAAATCCATCACCCCGTCCAGCCCTCAGCGTCCTCTGTGCCATTAATAAGGTCAACGTTGCGACTTCCTACGGTAACAGGGCTTCCGATTGACTTTTTCATTCAGGCATGGGCCAGCCCGGCTGGATTACTACTTCGTGCGAATGCGAGAATGCAGCCTCGGTTAGCACTCTACCGCTCGAGCGGATGCCGCCTTAGGTAGGCATCCCCAAGCCCTGTCCGCGACAGAAAAGAACTTGTGCGAGGTACGATCAACGAACTCGTCACCAACGGTGCGTTGGCTATCACGTCTAGTCTATGTTTCTAAAAGAAAGCATCAACCAACAATGATGCGTCCATCTCTCCACATGCATCCAGACTCACGGACTTGTTTCTCAATAAAGGGTCGTGCACGACTACTTGCGTCTTCCCCTGAGTTAGCTCCCGAACATCCCTGACGCAATATTAGAAGTAGTAACCAGATCTCGTATGTACGCCCGGCAATGCAACTGCACTCCTGCGAGTTCAACCAACAGCATAATGGAAAATTGCTGATCGCCTTCGGCAATCGAAATTCTATGCGTATGGGTGAAAACAGCACGTTGCGCAGTTTCTTTCACCATGGAGTATCGAAATAACGATATGACCTATTCTAGCACCTAGTTCGCTTCAACTTTGTCCTCAGACAAAGCTCTCCGAGCACGATAACAGCATGCAAAAAAAAGGCAGCAGACGTAAAGCCAGAGTCTCCCGGAGACTAGGCATGCGGGACAGCATCGGCCGAACTCCGATCGAACTCAACTCACATCTGCGTCACGACGAACGCTTCCCACCTGGATACCACCTTGGCTGGACTAATTATGCTGGCCCCCGACTGTGCAACCGATAAGTGGCGGTGAAAACCCAGCAAAGTAAATGAGAGGAGTCGACCGCCGCCGCCGGGTTGCCGTAGCTGGTTGGAGGTGCTACTTACCTAGTGTCATGAGCATGGTGACAAGGTAGTAGTAGCAAGACTCTGAGCCCAGATGCTCAGCCCTACGGCTCTAAGCGGACAAACGAGTCGCTGTCTACCTAGGTACCTTGCGATTGACGGCCTTGACCGGGCTTCCCAGACCTGCAGAGGTATCAGCCAACGCACACACGGACTTCAATCTCAAAGCCTCTTTGGCCAGATCAGAAGGCTAGATGAGATGAGGGCCTTTTCCGAGGCAATGCTGGAAAATGCTAGTGACGATCAGGATCAGGGGGTGTTGGCCCGATGGTTGGGGGACATCGGCAGAAAAAAAAAACAACCCCTCCTCCCCGGCACTTGACGAAACGTCAACGACTCCTCGGCCACGTCCATTTGGCTTCGGCTGTGCATGTGTTTTGCAAAGATTCTGATGGATCGACTGGCGTAATGCCAGGTCTGACCAATCCTTATGTAAATGGACAGTCGCATCTGTAACACTCTTCTCCTCGTCTAATGCTTTAGGCCCACACTTGGCGAGCAGTGGACGGTTCCACGCGCCCAAAGGTACGAAGGATACGATGGTCCGGTCTCCATCTTGTGCGCATGCCCCATTGGTACCTTTTAGCCAGTGAGGCAGAGCCGGTTGCATTTGCGGCTATTGCGGATCGATTTGCAGATTGCGGGATTGGTAGCTTCGGGCTTTGCGTCTACTTGGGCGATGGGCAGAAGGAGAAGCTTTGCAGATGCAGCAGTAGAAAACAGGAGCAAGTCTGCTTGGAGGGTCGTCGGCGTGGAGATATCTCCGTGTATGTATGACGATGCCAAGGTCTTCTAGCTGCGGCCATGAGGGGGATTCTCGCGAGGGCGGCTCAGGGGCGAACGACGCTGGGGTCGAGTATATAAGTACACAGGATTGAAGCCCCAAGGAGAGAATGAAAAAGATTGTCCAGGAATTGTTTCCATTCGGCCTCAACAATTGGAATCTGAACAATTTGGCTCATTAACAACCGGAAAGTCCTGGCCGAACATATTCTCGTGCTCTGAAAGGGACACAGCCAAATTCCAGCCTCGATGCGTCACTCTCCTCTCCTCTTTGGAGCTTTGGGGCTCTCAGATGTCTTCGTCAGCGCAGCTTCAACACTTCTCTCTGGCGGTACCATCATTGCCTGGGACGACGACTCGAATTATCTCGAGGTCGTCCGAGATGGTTCCCTCTTGATCACCGATGATCGGATCGTTTCTGTCAACAAGGACCCCCGGCCTTCCCAGCTGCCCAACGGAACCACAGTCGTTGACGTCTCTGGCCAGATCGTGACCCCTGGATTTGTCGACACGCATCGCCATGGGTGGCAGACGGTCTACAAGACCATTGCTTCAAATGTGTCGCTGGCTGAGTACTTCAACCGCTATGGCGAGTTTTTCGCGGCCGACAAGTTCACGGCCGAGGACGTCTACATCAGCCAGCTTGCCGGCCTCTACGAAGCCATGAATACCGGAGTGACGACACTTCTCGACCATGCTTCGCATACCTGGTCTAATGACACCTCTTACGCAGGCCTCAACGCCTCGGTCGACAGTGGAGCCAGAGTCTTTTGGTCGTTTGCCTTCCACAACATCACATCTCTGAACTACACTATTTCCGAGCAGATACCTCTGTTTCGAGAAATGGCCGAGAACAAAAAGGAGCTTCTGCGAGAGTCCCCCACCGAGCTGGGTATAGCCTATGACTCCTGGGGGCCAAACACGTCCGTCGGCGACGCTCAGGAGATTGCCGCTCTCGTCAAGGAGTACAACGTTTCCGTCATGACTACGCACTCTCTAGCTGGGCCTTGGGGCATCAGCAACCTTCCCACCAATGTCCAGCAATTCGGTATTCTCAATGGAACGACCCCCATCGTCTTCTCTCACGCCAGCTTCATCACCGCCGATGACGTCTCGCTCCTCCGCTCCACCAACCAGTACGTCTCCATCACCGCCGAATCAGAGATGCAGTACGGACACGGTCACCCTCACTCCTACGACTACCAAGACCAAACTGCTCTCGGCATCGACACTCACTTCACTTACTCCGCCGATATCCTCACCCAAGCGCGCTTGTGGCTGCAGTCCACCAGGCTGCACTACTACGAGCAGGTCTTGGACAACTGGAAGGTCCCGACCTACTCTCCCATGACTGTCAACCAGGCTTTCATTCTGGCTACTCGATCCGGAGGCCTAGCTCTGCGCCGCAACGATCTTGGTGTCATCAAGGCCGGCGCCAAAGCCGATGTGGTCGTCTGGGATGCCGAGAACTCCCCCTCCATGCTGGGATGGCAGGATCCTGTTGCTGCCGTCATCATGCACGCCAGTGTCGGTGATGTTCTGCACGTTCTGGTTAACGGGAAGTTTGTCAAGAAGGATGGCAAGCTTGTGAGCGATGAGTACCCTACCATCCGCAAGAACTTCTTGAAGGCGGCCAAGAGGATCCAGGACATCTGGAAATCACTCCCCTATCCGTCTTACGACGTTCCTTACCCCAGCAGTGGCTATAGCTACGGAACACCTGAGACTGTTGATGTACAGAGAGGAAACGACACTGGATATGGTACACTGTTCTTGATCTAATTCTCAGACAATGGCTGTACCAAAGGAGAACGAGGATGGTGAGTATGGGAATCATTACGTCGTGCGATGACACATTTCTGTCACCGCCGACCAAAGGGTTATATAATTGCAATGTTTAATGAATAATATATATTCTTTTGGGACCTGAAAGGCGCTACCGCTTTCATTGCATCTTCAATCGCCCAGTCCGAAGACTCAATTTGCTTCCCGCAAATGCCGGAGCCACGCCATCGATCAAAGATATGATGCCTCCACAAGAAATCCAACCGTGAATTTGGCATGGCGAAGGATAGCTGGCCACTGTATCTTCTCAAGAGACTGGATGCATGTCAGCTAGAGCGAATCTCGATCAGACAACGCAACTTACGTCTGCAGCGCTATGGATGTTGGGATTGGACCTCTCAAATGTGTCCTCGTTGACAAAAGCAGATGCTGATAATGGCGTGTCAGTGAGACTTGAACATCAAAGAGCCCGACCACAATATACTTACGGAATCCATTTGATCGAGCACTTGCGTGGTCGGAGCACCCGTAGCCGCATCGTGTGGTAAGAGGCGCGGCTCCCGTGTACTGAGTAGCAATGACTCTGACATACTGTGTCAGAGCTGCATCGACGTAGTCAGTATACACGGCCAGCTGGTTGCTCGGCGAGAAGCCAGTCATGTCTTGATTGAGCATGGCAAGGACAGTCTTCTGAGTGGACTTGTAGTTGGCAAAGATGGCCTGGGAACCGAGAAGGCCTCCCTCCTCGCCGGCGTACCAATGGAACTCAATCGTGTTCTTGGGGGTGAAATCCGATTGGGTAATCACACGGAGGGCTTCTAGGATGGTGACAGATCCAGAGCCATTGTCATCCGCGCCTGGACTGCGGGCTGTCGTTGAGCCGGCGGTGGAGTCAAGATGAGCACCGACAATGACTTGGGATACATCAGCAATTGGCTCTGTTTTATACGGTGATGGCAAGCGTACTGAGACTGGACGTCCGTCCAGGCAGGCGAGCAATAATTGAAGGTTGGTTCCACGTATGGGCGAACCTCTGCACAGTAATCTCGGGCCTTGCGGCAGCGATGCTGGAGACTTGGTCGAACAGCCAAGCCGATGCCTGCGTGCCAGTAGTCGAGCGATAATGGCGCGTAGTGAACCTGGTCCACGTAAGGGACTTGCACCACCAAGTTATTTCTAAAAGGATGACATGATCTATGACTTACCCAGTGAATGTTGTCAACCAAGATTGCGGGCCAGCTGTAGATACATTTGCAATGAGTGCATTCGCTTCGTCCACATGCGAGACACTGCTTGGGTATACGACAGCACGAGCGGCGAGAGATGTATCATAAGTTGGCTTTGACAAAATGGACAACACTTCCTCATCTTTTATATCGGTGATGTCAATGAACCCAATGTTCTTGGAGGTGAATCTGTCGAATTTCTCTTGCTCAGTCACCCATTGTCCGGCGTCATCCTCAGATGTCTTGACGAGGCGAAGCTCCGATTTGCTTCCGGTAAGAGGCACAGAAAGAGCAAGCGGGAAAACCGCTGCGAGCAGAGCGATGGCGGTTTTGGTTACCATCTTGAACGTTTGGTGCTGTTGCTATTCTCGATGAAGTTGGGAAGCTTAGAGGTATGCGTGTCTGGCTTGGGAAATCAGGAGGGCATGAGTGTTTTATGATGGGATGACAGTCGTTGACGAGCAATATCTGATTGTACACCATATACCCACTGAATGATTCAATGCTCCTTTGTATCATCCCTAAGGCTACCTAGTAATACCGCATTCGCATCGAGGCATGACGATCCACGAACCCAGTCGAGCTTCCCGATCCGGTAACAGATGTCCGCAACAACAAACGACCCCAAGATTATTCCTAGATAAGCTAGGGGGCAGCCGGACCAGATTTACAGGCCTTGTTGGGCGGAGAATAAAGATATAAGCATATAAGCTTAAATTATTGGCTATCTATACTTGCGGTCAGCCGTCTGGGACCACCTCCTGTGGTTTCAACCTCCTAGTGCTTCTTCTTGGCATTGACTCTTGCCGGCGGGGTTGAGCTTAAAGTGGTAGAAGAACAGTATCGAGTGTAGTATTTGCGAAAGTTCCATGCCAAACGAGCAGGTGCAGCGGACTTGTCTCGCTTCTGTAGTCGCATCAATTGCCGTAGATGTGACGTTGGACCTATGAACTACTTGCTTCGGAGACAGTCATGATTACAGTCAGGGAACTAAAGTCGCAAACTCTTGCGTTCATGCTTGATGCATTATCAAGGGGCCGATGCCGCCTGTGACACTAACTTCGCACAAGAATGGAGCTCAAGAAGGGAAAGATGTTTTTAGTTACTCGACTGATTGAGAGGATCGGTTTATGAGACTTTGTAGGGCCATGGTAGAAGAAGACAAGGCAGCATCTTGAAAAGAAGTTATTGAGCATGTTCAAAAGGTAGCAGTAGTTGATGCACGTTTAGATCATACATTGATGCAGCAGGTAAAGTGGAAAAAGTAAGCATCCCGATATATCTCTGCCATATTACAAGTCCTAACTCTGGACTGACTTCCTGCTTGTGGCAGACAGTCCTTTTTATCGTCATCGCTCTGTCGCGGCTGTGTTGTTCCCGGATGATGGATGATGGGTCCTTGCCGTAACAGTACATAGACTGAAATTTTCAAGCCTCGGCCATCACAAGAAGCCGTAATAATATAGTGGTTAGTATATCAGTTTGTGGATATTTGAAGCACTGAAGACCGAGGTTCGATTCCTCGTTACGGCATGTTTTTTCCCCTTCTTTTTTTCTTAACAATCTCCAATTTCTTTGGCCTCCTCGCTACTAAAGCCTGACGATGCATTTTTCTCCTCCGTCATGGGACGATCCAGACACTTCCTTTAGTATTCTTTTTTTTTTTTCGTGGTGGGTATTTCTGACAAGGGTTCATTGGGTGTAAAGGCATCACTGCAGGTCGGGAATAGTCGCAGGAGATGATGCAGGTCCCTGCACAATGCGACCCAGAGTAAGGCAAACAACTAGACTACATCATTTCTGATCAATGGAAGAGTCAGTATCCAATGTTTGTCCAAGATGTGGAATGGTGATAGTACTGTAATTTGGTGCATACCTTATCAAGCTGATGGGGGCAAGTTTGGCCGCGCCTACTGTACTCGTATTGACTGCTGTTCTGGTGCGGAAACGCTGCTCCAATTCGATCGGCTTTTCTTTGCGCCACCACCAAGGCGTGGGAACCTGCAATGCGGAGGAGCAGTTGGATCTGATTGGCTATAGTAGCTCTGCCGAGGAGCAGTTCGGATCCGCATCGAGTCGGGACAACTTGAATTCGCCATCCCAATTGCCGCAGAAGCTTTTAACAGCTCAGATTTCCGTATATCCAGACCTCTCCGCCCCTTCACATTGTTCGTCTACGAGCCCAACAGCTATATCCATCGTCAGTATCGCGAATATTCGCTGCTAAAAGTACGAGCAAACAGTGGAAGCACCTTCGTGAGTACGGAGTACAGCTGGTCAGAGCTAATTCCTTCGGCAGGATCCCCGAACGAGCTTATCCCTGATCCAACATGGCTTCCGTCCTCCAGGTCCTCTACACCCAGCCCAAAGAGGGCGAGTTCTTCGACATGGACTACTACGTCAACAAGCACATGCCCATTGCGAACGAGCACTGGACGCCCCTCGGCCTCAAGAGCTGGCAGGTCATCAAATACGGCCCCGACGCGCCCTATTACGGAGGAGTCCTGTTGCACTGGGAGAAGGCCGAGGACGCGTCCAAGGCTTTGACGGCGGCCGAGTCGCAGCCCGTGTTCAACGATGTTCCCAACTTCACCAACATGAAGCCCATCCTGCTTCCCGCAAACGTCGAGGGCAGCTGGGAGCGCAAGTAAGAGGGGGAGGGGTTGCGGAAATATGGCGGGGTTGGACGATTTCCTGTGGCCTCATGACGCCACCATATGCGAGCGATTTAGCCAGAAATAAATACTTTGAATCTTGGACTTGACAGAATGCATTTGAAGTTGTATGATAGTTCAAGCAACGTTGCTACTAAAGTACAACTGAGTCAATATGGAAAGCCGTTTCTCCGGGAATAGCGAGTGTCATGTTGCAAGTACTTGGTACTATCTCAGGAGACCGCGGGATGGTAACAATAATGACTGCTTGAAATGAGAGAACCCCTTTAGTTGTGAAAGCGATTCGAGCTACCATCCATAAAGCAAGATCTGTTCACCGAACCCATCTGCCCTTATTATTTATACGCAAAACCATTATCAAAATCCTTGGGAAATACACTGCTTTGGGGCAGACAAGATGAAATCCCGACACATAACCTAGAATCGAGTCTACTCCCCAATTCTGATCGAATGCATTACGTACCTAGGTAGTTTATGTATGTGGCAGGTCGTTGCTGCCACAGAGTTGTCAATGTATTACAGACAAGATTTTGAAGCCCCAACAACAGTTGGTAGGTAGGCAGTTTCATTCTGTTGCCTCGGCGATATGCGAGAGATTTAACGCCGAAGCAGCTTCTCAGACTGCAGTATGCCGCCTGTTCGAGACGCCACAGGCTCGATTAGTAAACACCCAGACGAGCGAACACCATGGACTTATTCCGGCCTCACGGGAATTCGGCTTTGGTAGAGCCTCATCTCCGTTTCATTGAGCTTCCAATCACTTGCTGTAGCAGCGCTGAATCGGGAAGGGAATTATTCATCAGACAAATCGACAAATTATAATCACGGAACTGATTGAGGGAGCTGAATTCTGGTATATTCTTTCCGGTCATTGTTGTTGACACTTTGTGACATCACAAGCATCCCAGCTCTTCTCAAAACAGCCAGAATTGCCTCTTTTGGCTCTTCGTGCCACCACTAACGCCGATGTCTCGAAGTTGTTGAGCGTCGGAACAATGGCACCAACCAGCTCCGGATATCCGTGACTTCTATTGCCGATGTGAGCTGAATGGAGATATCATCAAAACTCGAGATTCATGAAGAGGGCTTCATGAGGATATAAGCATAGATGTTCTCTCTCGAAGATAGACTCAGCAGCAACAGCAACAACAGCAACGACAACAGCAATTCCCGTCCTCTTGATTCGATTCATTGACAGTGAAAAATTAAGATACCCTTTCAACTCATCTCACAATGTCTCTTCCAACTCGCCGCCTTGGAAAAGATGGACCTCTCGTCACGGCCATCGGCTTCGGCGCAATGGGCATCAGTGCTTTCTACGGAACCACAGAGCCCGACGAGGAGCGTCTCAAGGTCCTGGACCACCTCTACGAAACCGGGGAGAGGTTCTGGGACACTGCGAACGTTTACGGAGACTCTGAGGAGCTCATTGGCAAATGGTTCGAGCGCAATCCTGAGAAGCGGAAGGACATTGTGCTCGCAACCAAGTTTGGCAATCGGGGCCCCAACACCCCCAACAACGATCCCGAATATGCTAGGCAATGCGCCGAGGAAAGCTTGAGGCGCTTGAAGACGGATTACATCGATTTGTACTATGTGCACAGAGTTGACTCTCATACCCCTATCGAAAAGACCATCAGGGGCATGGTCGAGCTGAAGAAGTGAGTCTTATATTCTGTATCACAATCAGAGCACAAGACATGCTGACTATTCCCTTCAGGAAAGGCTGGATTCGGCATCTAGGCCTCTCGGAAGTCTCAGCCGACACGCTCAGACGAGCCCATGCTGTACATCCCATCGCTGCCGTCCAGATGGAGTACAGCCCCTTTGCCCTTGAAATCGAACTGCCAGAGACAAACCTGCTCAACACGTGCAAAGAGCTCGGCGTTGCGGTTGTCGCCTACTCTCCCCTCGGCCGGGGCATGCTTACAGGGCAGATCAAGAGCCCCGACGACTTTGAAGAGGGTGACTTCAGGAAGGGCATCCCCCGCTTCTCCCCTGAAAACTTCCCCAAGAACTTGGAGCTCGTGGCTACTTTGCAAGGGATTGCTGCTCGGCACAACGCTACCAGTTCTCAGCTGGTTCTCGCATGGCTCCTGAAGCAGTGGGACATGGTCATTCCGATTCCTGGGACCAAGAAGATCAAGTACTATGACGAGAATATGGGAGCATTGCGGCTGAGCATCAGTGACGAAGAGAATGCCGAAATCAGGGAGGCTATTAAGAAGGCGACGGTTGTGGGGGACAGGTATCCTCCAGGGTGGGCCGAAGGGCTGTTTGTGACCACTGTCCCCTTGGAGGAGTAGGGGGTTGACCCCTGTATTCCATCCACCATATACATAGCCATGATAAAGCCTTGTATACGACTTCTTCTATACAAATCATGTTGTGATGAATGATGTACATCAATATGTTGCATGTGCCTCACTGGGTGGCATAGGGCCCAGCACTACGTACATGGCCCGATATTGCAGGTTCACACCTCTCGTCCTTGTATCCTCATGCCCCTCTTTGGACTCAGAGCCTCGCAATTGTCAAACGGCATCTTTTCCCGATCGAAGCTGGAATTTGACAGCTGTATGGCCACAATGCATCCTTATTGCCGTGGAAGATCCGAACATCTCTTCTATCTCCATGACTTTATCGTGCTAAAGATGGCATCATTCAATTGATGCGGGGCTGCATCTCTGTTGTATTGCTACCCCGCTATGCTTGAGATGTTACGGTGGAACAATTACTTGGCTTCCCATTGACGAGATAAATATCACGACGTGGTTACGATTGTTTGACCGGATAGGACTTTTAGTCTCAAGATAGCCTTGGACACTTTACGAAAATTAGAGACAAACATAAGCATCCAAAGATGGGTTCGAAGCCTAATTCAGCGCTCAAGATTGTCTTTGGGGCTATGACCCTGGGTGAAAAAGGTTGGCCCTATACCATACAGCCAGGTTGTCTGCTCTATGTACTGATTCGCTCCTCTCAGGCGCAAACCAAGCTCGTGTCCATACCTTGGAAGAGTGCGCCGAGATCCTCGATGTGTTTCAAGAATTTGGCCACTCAGAGGTCGATACAGCCCGTGTCTATGGAGGAGGAAGTTCGGAGCGGTTCCTTGGACAATTGGAGTGGCAGAAGAGAGGCATTGTCATGGATACGAAGCTGGCGCCTCACGGAGAATACGACCATACGCCAGCCAGTATTCGAAAAGGCCTCTTAGACAGCTTGAAGGCTCTTGGGACAGACAAGGTACGCCCAAGAAGAGTCAAAATCGTGTTACAAGCGCCGCTATTGGCTAACATCATCTCCTTCCCTGGTCAACAGGTCGACATGTGGTACCTTCATGCGCCTGACCACAACACGCCATATGAGGATACTCTCCGCGAAGTCAACAAGCTATACGAAGAAGGCTACTTCAAACGCTTCGGCATCAGCAACTACTCTGCATGGGAGACTGCCCAGCTCTGTGAAATCAGCATCCGCAACGGATGGAAAAAGCCTGACGTCTACCAGGGCGTGTACAACGGCCTCCACCGAGCGGTCGAGCCAGAGCTCTTCCCCTGTCTCCGATACTACGGCATAGCCTTTTACCAGTATAATCCCTTGGCTGGAGGCATCCTCACTGACAAGTACAAGCTCGACTATACGGAGCATGAAGAGGGCAGCCGCTTTGACCCCAAGCGACCACAAGGAGCTCAGTATCGTGCGAGGTACTGGAACGAGACATACTTCAAGGCACTAGATATCGTGAGGCCTGTTGCGGCCAAGCTCGGCATTCCCACTGCCGAGGCTGCCTTGCGATGGTCTCTCCACCACAGCTTGTTGAAGAAGGAACACGGCGATGCCATCATCATTGGTGCAAGCAGTGCTCGCCAGTTGAGGGAGAATCTGACGAGCTTGGAAAAGGGGCCGTTGCCAGATGAGCTAGTCGCGGCGTTTGACGAGGGATGGGAAGTGGCTAAGCCAGTTTGCAGACCTTATTTTCGCTAAGAGGTCTGTAGTTATCTGATCACTGCATGGCTTGCATGTCGCATGGCTGTTATGGAGCGAAGATCAGCGGGGTAGCAGTAAACATGCATGATCTCTATACCTTTCACCACATTGCTTTTCCGCAGACGATGTTGGCGTACAGATAGAGGGACGATAGTATTCGGGGGCACTCCTCGTGTCCAAATTCCATTGCACCAACCCCGCTATGATATGTACCTCCCACAGGGAGTCATGTAAAGCATTATCTATAAGTGAGAAAGAACGGGAACCTCTACCCTCACAGACGTGCCTAGGTACTACAAGTCGGATGCGGTAGTTCAGACGATCGTCTAATTCTTACCCCAGATTGTTATTATCCGATCCGTCGGAATGCAACCGTGTTCATGTATCCGAAGCGAATGAAGCTTCACAACAGGGTTTAAGCCTCGTGTTGTCGAGAAATATCCTTAGGCTAATTGTATCCTCATTTGAACGATGCGGATTCGGATGATCTGACCTGAGTCCGGTGACGTCGAGATAGGACTCCTCGCAGAATGCAGCGTATGATGCATCTGCTGGATGAGCATTGGATATCTCGAGGGGTATAAAATGGCCTAGTTCCACATAAGACCTTGGAGGAATCAAGTAAAGTATGTTCACCAGAGGGTTGCAATCCCTTTATAGGTTTCCTGATCTGTTGCAACATGGTACGAACTTCGGTGACTACGGCTGTCGCAACTCTGAGCCTCGTCTTTGGCGAAACAGTCCGCCTTAATGTCGCCAGAGCGCCCCCGGCGTCATCCAGCCCCCCCATCTCACTTGACTTCCAGTCGTTTTCCATAGAGACTGCATTTCTAGTTGACTTTCAAGGTACAGAAGGCCGTCTTCGAGCCACATAGGCAACAAGCTCACTGTGCTCTTCAGGCAACAAGTCCCATCCCAATAGATTCACCAACAACCTTTTGGCCAATCTGAGAGCCTTCAATGGGGACGTGCCCCAGATTCTCCGTATTGGAGGAAACACGCAGTATGGAGACTAGTCAATTGTCTTCTATACAAAGAACATCTCTGAACATCATTTGCAGGGATCACGTCACCTATGTCCCTGATCAAAAAGAGCAGATTATCGATTTCTGGGACCCGTCCTACAACTCTGACCAGCCACGCAACTCGTCCGTAGGCCCAAGCTTCTGGGAGGCGTTTACCGCTATTGAGGGCACGAAATACATCGTCGGACTCAATTTCTATAAGAACGATTCGACGTACCTTGAAAATCTTCGAGGACAGGTGTCAGAGTCCTTGAAGCAGATCCCATCTGATAGACTGCACTTGTTTGAGATTGGCAACGAGAATGACTACGGCGCATTGTCCGGATTCCGACCCCCGACATGGACTCAGCAAGATTGGGTTGAAGAGTGGATTGAGCGCGCACGACATATTCAGACCCGCGACAAGAGTCTCCGGTTTTATGCTCCTTCAGCATGCTGCTACAACATCACAACGCCTTATTCCTTCTTCTCTCCGTGGACGATCTGGAACAGCACGTTTGGCTATGACCGAGACGGCTGGATTGCAGAGGTTTCCCAGCACGGGTGAGCATTGCAATTCTGTATCATACGCACAATATCTGACGTCGACACTCAGGTATGTCTCTGGAACGTCCCAGAATCCGACTCTTCAAGGTATGGCCTCCATAAAAAGTTTTTGTGCCTAGTTCTACTAGTTTTGTCTGACGAGGGAGCAGGAACTCTCATGAATCACACGAGTGTGGTGATCAATGGAACCGTTCATCAATCGCTTTGCAAGCTCCATCACGATGCTGGCCGCATTTACACACTCGGCGAAACCAACAGCGTTTCTGGCCAAGGTGCATTTGGCGTCTCCAACGTCTTTGGCTCTGCTCTCTTCATTGTAGACTATGAGCTGTACTACGCATCATTTGTAAGTAACCGGACGAGCTCTAAAACATCTTCCACAACGCAGCCTCATCGAGTGTGACAGGGTGTAAATCGCATGCATATGCACCAAGGAACAGGCTATCGCTACGGCGCCTGGCTGCCCATTGCTCAGAACGGCACAGGTCCATCAACAAACCCCCCTTATTATGGCCATGTCATGGTCTCCAAGTTTATCGGATCCCACCCCAAGACGAAAATCAACAATATCGATCTGAACAGCGATTTTTATTCGGCATATGCGGCCTATGAGAACGGCCGACTGGCACGGATTGTGATTCTCAATCTTCACGAATGGAGCCCTGCGAGCAGTGCTGGAGCTGAAGCCGTAAAAGTACCAACCACAACTTTTACCATTAGCACTGGTGACAGGGGTATTGAATATGCCACTGTCGAGCTGATGACGGCTCCTGGCGCGCTTTCGGAGACGAACATCACGGTCGCTGGACTGAGTTATGATTACCACCTGGCAGAAGGAAAGCCTGTGAGAGTGGCGAAACAGTACGAGAGCGTGCTTCGCCCAAATCGCAAGGGAGATATTACCGTTCAGGTGCGGCATTCACAAGCAGTTCTTTTGACGTTCAAGTAGAGTTTTGCAGATGCTCTATATACGGGGAGTGAGTCAGAACCATAGGCCGACATGCTGTACTAAGGTGAAAGCCACGTCTGATGGTATGACGAACGAGTACATGAGTAAAGTCCCAGTTCCGATTCGCCCCCAATCCCAATAAAAATGAAGTGACAGCTTCACATCTACCATTCTTCCATGCCTTGAGAAGCTCTCCAGCCTAGCAGAGGCCGCGAAAGACATGCCTTCTTCCCTCTAAGCCCACGGCCTATTGGTAATCGCCCGCCAAAGGCCCCCCCCCCCCCCCCCCCCTGCTCCACGGTCCACAGCCCACCAAAGTTGCGCAATCAAACCTCTCCATTCGCCATCGGAATTCCACAGCTCTAGCCGAAAACCGGTAGTGGACCTTGATTCCGGAGAGGCCAAAGGGCGCGTCTTCCTCCTCTCCCAGTCCGCCTTCCGAGCTCGAAGCAGCAGCAGTGTCACTCACTCTGCGAGACGGATCGGCCGAGAATCGCCAGTTGTCAGTCGATCGAAATGGCAACGAACGAAAGCACGCCGCTGCTTCCTGGCCGCAAGGCTTCGGCCTCGGTCGATCAGAAGAAGAGCTTCGGGGATGCGCTGAGAAGCTTCTTCACCAGTGTCGAGAACCGTATCTTGGCGGCAGGATTCCTTATCTGCGTCGCGTTCAGCTTCACTCAAGTTCCGTGTGTCCTCTCGCCTTTCAGTGTGACCATCACCGTCATTGATGTGTCACACACAAATGGAATGACAGCACAGCTAATACCTTCATTAGAATGATGTATGTCTTTCATCTTATGGTATGCGACGAGTTCTACGACCATCATCCACCGTTTGAAGGCCCCGGCCCACGGTGCAGCCGCGATGAGATCGCAGCTGGAACGGCTACTCAATTCAGCATTCTGGGCATGAGCACGACACTATGCGGTGAGTTTCGCTGGGGATACATGGCATCCCTCATCTAGAAAGATCTCATCCTTCATTTACTCTGCCTCGGCTGAAGACTAATCACCAAAGCGTCTCAACTTCAGGTACCCTCAATCTATTCGTTGCTGGATGGACTGTCAAAAAGATTGGCCCTCGCTCCGCTCTGATCATCCAGACCCTCGTGCCCGCCATTCGAGTCCTTGCGCAAATCTTCGGCGTCATTGCCGGCAAGCGGACTGGCATCCTGATCATCCAGGCTACTCAGCTCATCACAATCATCGGAGGGCCGGCGGGATACATTCTCATCACCAACATTTTCGTGAGCGAAACTGTTGAGCAGTCTCGACGCACAGCCGTCTTCGGGAAGCTGCAGGGAAGCATCATGCTGGGACAGAGCGTCGGCTACTTGAGTATGTATACCTGAATTTGACTCTTGACTGCACTCATACTTTACCTAAGGTACGGACAGCTAACTCTGCTCGTGCCAAAACTAGTTGGCGGAATGCTCGGAGATGCCATCGATATCCGCGCTCCCTTTGAAGTTGCTTTCGTCACCTTTCTCCTCTCGTGTACTTACGTGCATTTTGCCCTGCCGTATATTTCACCGGAATCCATGAGCAACAAGAAGAAGCCTGGTCCGCAGGGCATTGCAAGCTTCTTCGCCCCTCTCAAAATTCTCGTACCACAGCGATTGCGCACGTCCAAAGGCAGTATCAAGAAGCATTATGGAGTTACTATTCTCTGTGCCGGCATCTTTCTTGGAGTGGTACGTGGTGCAAAGCATAATCTCTCTCATCTGGCGTCTCGATGTCATGACTGACTAGGACGATACCCAGCTGGCCACCGACTATGCCCCCCTATTGATGCAAATGTATGCCACGGCGGCTTTCGACTTTGACCAGTCTGACAACGGATGGCTCATGTTCGAGTTCGCCTTCATGCGCAGCGTATTCCTCATCCTTCTCTTTCCACGAATCATCAGCTTCGGCCGCCACCTGATGAAGCGTAATTCCAGCCCATCACCCGCGGAGAGTGACGCTTCATCCATTTCAACAGCGGATGAGCGGATGCCAACTGAACCTGGCGACTTCGATGCTGCTACTGGCGAGCAGACGGATATCGAGCCCACTCAACCCGTGCCTTTGGGGCATCATCACGAAGTCGGCCACTTCGACCTCATCTTCCTGCGATGGAGTCTAGTCGTTGACGGCGCACTCACCACCATCGTCGCATTTGCCACCAAACGATGGCACATTTATCTTGGTGAGCCACTACTCAACAATCATCGAACGAATTTCTCGCCTATTCAGTTGCTAACATAGAGCCTTGCAGCCGCCTTCCTCCTCCCCTTCGGCTCAGGTTCTGCACCAGCAGCAAAAGGAGTCATCACAGACATGTGTTCAGAGTCTCATCGCGCAGACGCCCTCAACGCTGTGACGCTCGTGGAAAACATTGCCCGACTGACAACACAGGGACTGTTCGGATTCGTCTTCTCGAGTCTGGCGAGTGTCGGCAAATCGTATGCGACGTTTTACTGCAACGCTGTAAGTGCTCCACTAATGATCCAATGCAGTAACAAATGCAGATAGCTGGAATGCTAACATCACTTCTTACACAGGCAATCGCCGTAGTCGGGATGACCGTGCTGCTATTCTCCAATTTCCCCCCCGCTGGGAGCACGTTGATTGACGAAGAAAGCGAAGAAGCGAATGACAGTTAGAAATCTAAATTCGGCACGTATTAATGAACTGATATGACCTTCGCGATGATAAGGAGCTTCTCGACTGAGAAATAGCCGTCCGGGCTTCAATTGCTACCTCAACAGAGTACACAGAGTAGACGACTGTCCATGTTGTTGCTATCACTAGCTACATGAAAATGGCTTTGGCGAAATATTACAGAATAGACGAAATCGTGCAAATAGGTAGTCAAGACTCAACCGCAAAGACATGCTTGCCTCCAGAAACGTTGACAGTTATTGAAATCTGATCCGGGGGAGCCTGAATTGGACTCCCATCCAAGGTGATCTTTGGGCTTTCAATCCCCAGAGTGGGAACACACGCCGTCCCAGATGACCCTTCCGGAGTCTCAAGCTCCAGCAAAAGCGTTGGCCCGGATTCTGCATCTTTCATCTCCCATGACACTGCAATCTTCCCTTGCGGCGTGGGGACCTCTCCTCTGGCCCACGTCAATCCTCCTCCTTCAACCACAGGACAGATCTTCCACGTCTTGAACCCCGGCGATTGAGGCTGTACTCCCAGCACGTAACCAGTCAACAAGGGCACGATCCCCGTCGACCAGCCATGGGCCATGGAAGTAAATGAGCCCTCATACGCAGTCCCATTCGGTCCAATGCCCTCCCACATGGTGATGCCAGGATCTTGAGCAGACATCCAGCCATACAGTCGCCGAATCTCGTCAAAAGCAGAGGAAGCTTTTCCAGGAGTAGAAAAGCGGGCAGCAATCTCAAAGTATGAGATGAAGGCGTAGACACGCTGATCGAAGTGGTCTCCTGGGCTCAAGACGCTGCTGTCATAGAATGCATTTCCGTACACTTGAGAGGTCGCATTCTGCCAATAGTCCAGAATACCAGCCGACGTTTTCTCATCTGTGACGCCCGCAAGAATGGCAATGGCATTTCCATCTTGTGCGTGCACATCACAAATGGTGCCTGCTGCTCCTCCAGAACATGGTCCGCCATCATAGAATGCGCCGACGCTCTGGTCGAGGTTATGGCTCAGTAGCGCATCGCCAATTGCGCCAGCTCTAGAAGACCATCTCGCGGCATCATCACCTCGGCCAAGGCTGTTCGCTAGTCGAGAAGCATAGGACAGAGCGTGGACATACAGGGCGTTGTAGTAAGTGACTGGCCCTGATCGAGGTAGGAATGCATAGTCACCATAGCCCATATCTGCAGTCTTATCCAAAAGCCCGGTTGTGCTGTTCGTGTTGGAAGGGTAGTAACCGTCAAGCACCTTGACAAGCGTGTTCCAGTAGGTGTCTGCATATGACGTGTTGCCGGTGTACATAACCAGATCAACACTGCAGACCACCCACCAGAGAGGATAGTCAAACAGGGGGAGGGTGTAGTTGTTTCTATGTACAAAGTTCATGATTAGCATAGGCAGCATATGGTACCTATAACAGAGTTATTCCCCAGGAAAAATGACTTACATGCTTGCTGGGGGAATCCATCCATCATCGCGTTGATGCAGCGCCAGATCCTCCAGCACATTGCGCGTCGCCTCGGCAAAATCATGAGACAAATACGAGGTCAATGATGCAACGGCCAAGTCACCGACATACGGGTCTCTGTCTCGTTTGGCTCCGTCAAAGAGCACTTGCTTGCCCTCCAAGGTCGGGCTAGAGGCTCCTCTAGGCTCCGTCTCGTTGGCAAAGAACGTATCCGTCCCCATATCAACCGTGTAGACCCCGTCATACCACCATTGCGTAAGATTTTGATCTGAGCATTCGAACCAGCCTGTAAAAGAAGGCGGTGTTCCGAGATATGCAGACCACTCCAGACTTATGCTTGAGATGGAAACAAAGCCAAGAGAGGACGTGAGTGGCGCATCTGATGGCAGGGCTTCGAGCCAGATCTTGACATACCGAAACCCGTGTAGTCCATCCGAGCAGACCTTTGTGTCCTCTTCACATCCATGCAAATCTGTCCAGGTGTAATTGATGTTTCTGACAGCCACCTGTTGCAGAGAGGTCAGAGATGAGCACATCTGTGACACGCTTGACGCAGATGAAGTTATTCAACACATACCTGGTCTGTCCCATTGGTCACTTTTTCGTTCTACTCAGGCAGGTCAGTCATTTCTGGCTCCAGTTGAAGAGTACCATCCGTGGCATACCCCGTTTGCATTGTCAGACCTCGTAAAATCGCTCCGGTCCGAGAGGTACTCCAAGGTTTCAGAAAATGCCAATCTCAACCCGGGCAGCCCAGTAGACATATTCTGCGATCCGCTGAATTCGAGACTCAAGATGCCCACAACATTCTGCCCAAAGTCCACCACTATGGTCGGCAGCAGGTCAATGTCATTGCTTCGACTCAGCACTGTCGCACCTAGGCCGTGGATCAAGCCAGTCGGATTGGAGACATTGCCAACGATGCTATCCAGAAGAATTCCAGTTGGCTTGACAACTTTGGAACCGGGGGACCTGACATATCGGTGCCAGGTAGGGTCCTCGTCTCTTGCAGCTGCGAGTGATAAAGTGAATGAGAGTGCAAAGTTGATGAAGTACATAGCAAATATCGTGAAGGCCATCGTAACTCGCTGGATGGCAGAACTGATGCCTCTCTAAAGAGTCGCAACAGAATCTCTCGCCTACATCCCACGGACAAGAAGAAGTTCATCAAAAAATCACCACAGGCAGTCCTTTCCGAGGTCAATTACATCGGCTTTCGCGACATTGCAACCCGAGTGTAACCCCTGCTTGGGCCTGCATGCGGGGTTGAATCCTCGATCTATGATGCTCCGTGATGAGGCGAGACTTGCCAACCTACCTTAGGTAGATATATTTGGAGATCCTGGATTGCGAGCCACAAGTCAAAGGTCTGTGGCCTCTCAGCTACAATGCCACGACAACCGCCTGGCCGATGGATGTGTTTAGTCATGCGACCGAAGTACATTACGACCAGCCGCCGAAAATGAGGATGACTCGAGGTGGCAGCCCGGGCTGCCTCTTGAAGACAAGCGTAACGCCTACAACAACAGTCGCAGTAACTACATGCCTTACTAGAGTATCTCTCCTTTGTCAAGATTTGTTCGTCGACGGGTAGCCGCGGCAGGATGTGGGAGGTATATCTTCCTGCCTATTCGAGAAGCATGTAGGTATGTTTGAAGCAAAAGGTTGGTTACCCAGCTAGGTAGGTGTCTCAAGCATGTCGAGGCATGAGAGTTAGGTAGGTAGGTAGGTAGGTAGGTGTAAACAACACACATTGGTTTGCAACTACCAACTATAGAGGGAGCTCACTCACATAGACGTGGGCACTTTCCGATCGTCAACAGTATAGTCCAAAGTCGTATCTCTTACTCTTGATTTTTCACCATTCTTCAATTTCCCTGTGTCTCGACGTTCGTTCAAGATTCGACGCCTTCTTTTCACCTATTTCACAACAGCCATATCGCATATTATTTTGCAGCTACCATCTCGTGCCCTGCTCGGCACACTCAGCTATCCTGCTAGAACCATCTTGCTATCCAGCGTTTGCGATTCATTGAACCCAACATGGCGGGCCTCGACGAGCGTCTACCTCCAGAGATCCTCCGCCTCATCGCCGAGAGTCTTTGTAATCATTGTTGCACCCCAAGCTGGGACCGCTCGATCCCCCAACCAGATCCAGAACGAGGAAATGCGCCTCACTTCTTTAGCACCTGGGCGTGGTAGAATCCCCCAAAGAACAGGCAAAAGACCCAAGCGCTGTCTCGCTTATCACGAACCTGCGTAAAACTCCGAGACATTGCACAGCCCGTTCTCTACCATCGCTTGTTGCCTCCCTCCCAAGGTCGTTGCTTTTCTCTCCTTCGGACGCTTTTTCAGCGGCCCGATCTTGCCAGGGCAGTGAGGGAGATGCATCTGGACAACACCTTGGAAACTCTGAGCCGGGAAGAGCTCATAGCATGGCAGCCGCTGGATGGGGAACTATTCAAACTGTTCTCTATCATGCAGTCCGTCCCCTCGGCCAGCCAAAAAGAGTACATTGACGGGCCACAGACGTGGCTCAGGGCGTATTGCATCGGTGTTCTCTCACTCATCTGCAACGTCGAGCGCCTCTTGATTGTCGTGGATGGCATGGGATATCCCAAGGGTCGGCCGCTCTCTCTGCCTCGATTATTGGAGCTGAGCTATGTAGACCGGCGTTGCTGGATTGACACCACGGCAATATCATCTCTCACCGGCATTGAAAGTATTCTAGAAGCGGCGCCCCAGCTGAGGATTTTCAGGGGCTTCGGCCTCGAGAAGTTGGCCCCTTTGCCTGCGAGGCTGGACAATCTGGAGGAGCTGTATCTGGACACTTGCAATATGGATCCCGAGACCCTCGATCAACTCCTTTGTCGAGCGCCAAACATCCACTCATTCTTCCTGTCATGCCTGAGACCTCCCTTTAGAACGCGACCCTATCATTTTCCGACAGACGTTGTTCGCTCCCTAAAGCGAGTACGCCACACTCTGAGGTGGCTATACCTGGACTACTCGCCTTACGACCAATGGCCGCCTTCATTCGGAAAAGATATACTGCAAGCGCTCAGAGGCCTAGAGGCTTTGGAAACATTCATTGTTGGCGACATGTTCCTGCTTATCCAGACGCCAGGGTACCCCGTATTCTTCTACCAAGCTTGGCCTACACTCGCGACTGCGCCTCTACCGTGTCTTGGTCAGTCGGACACGCAGGACAAGCTCAGGCCATCACGGAACATATATCGCAACCCACTTTTCGATGCGACCGAGCCATCGACTGGTCAGCTCTACGATAAAAGCAACAATCAACTGTTCCCTCACGTCAGAAAGCTCGTGATGCTATCATGGGGACACTGCCTTGCGTCCGATCTGAAATGGTTATCGGCAAATGCGACTCATCTGTTTCCACGCCTGCAGCAAGTTCATTTTGAACTGTCTCTTGCTCAGCTGCCACTGCCAACAAGAGCTAGTTTGCACCCCTCAGAGAGTCGTTCAGAGGCCAGTAGGCTGCGTACACTTTGGGGCAATACAATGGGGGATGGGCTAAGAGGCCTGTCTCTCCACATCATTCCATCAATCTTGAGAGCTGTTGATGGCCTGTCCGAGGATGCCGGTGAAGATGGTGGCAATGGCGAAACTAGCGAGCAGGATATTTACTGGTGGTAGGAAGCTCGAGAAGCGTAGGTTATTGGATAGAGTAGGTAGCGTGATACAGCGTTGATATTGTGAAAGAGTAACTTCACAGAAGTCGATATATACTGTGAAAATGGCAGATCAATGATGAAGTCCCCCAGATTCGAGTAGCCGGAAAATGACGTGTCGTGCATCATCTCAAGCTCATCACTCATGCTTCAACCTTTTCTTTCTCGTCCAGCATTGTTGTCGCTTCCCAGATGTGTCCGTCCAAGTCCTCGAAACTCCTCGTATATATTCCTAGTGATTTCCCATATTCCTTCATCTTGAACGGATCCTTCTTGCCGCCCGCCTTTTGCGCCTTATCCAGCAGTCCGTCTACGGTTTCCCTGCTGCCCACTCCAAGGGTGAATATCGCGCCTGTTGCTTTCTTCGGCTGTGCAATCTCTGAGCCCTTGCGGACGAACTCTTGGAAACGGGACGGGGCGTGTAGCATGAGGCAGATGTTGGAGTTTGCAGAGTAGGGGAAGCGGAAGGCGGCGGTGTTGTCGTCGGAAAAGTCGGGTAGAGGTGTGAAATTTAGAGATTTGTAGAAGTCGGTGGAGGAGTTGAGGGACTCGACGGGGAGGGAGACGAAGAATGAGGGAGGTTTAACATCCTTGGTTGGTGCCATGTCGACCTCAGATTGATTTGACGTGTCTGCTGTTGAAAGCGATATAATATGTCGGCTTTGCTTCGATTCAAGAAGTCATATACAGAATACAGAACCGTGCTATCCAACAGCTCCAAGCTGGCTATATATCAGACGGTATCTGTGTAACTGCGACTATCATTATGACATAAAGCCATCATCATCAACGTGTCAAGCTCTCAGTCTATATGGGCGCTAGAGACTGCTCAAAATCAGTCAGATGGACGACACTGTGAACTTTGTTTTGCAAGTTGTAGCGCTAATGTCAGTTTTCGCCTCACGAGTGACAGCAGAGATGAAGATGAAAACGTGGAACCTTACGTTAGCTACAGTGATAATACAAATAGCACGGAATCTGGGACGGCTTCTAGAACATAGTGCGGCTTAGCAATTATTCGTCTTATTAGGTACTGTTTGTGAAGATTACTAGCAGACTCATTCAAACTATTCCACAAAACAGTCGTCTGATGTTCTGCATCGCAGGCAAAGGTATTTGCGCATGGGCTCGATGGTGGGCTCAAGAGGTTTCAGAGCATGGCACTTATATGGAGTCCACCGCAATGCATTCTCCATGGCTTGCGGTAAGCGGCTCAATCATGATAAGGTATGGCGCATTGATACCTAAAGCCTGGCCCGTGACGAGAGGGTCAGTGGTCGTCAGCGACTACCAATCTCAAAAGGGTGAGTCCATCTCAGTTGTCTTCTGCTCGGTTTTCGAAAAGTGCATATCGTGTCAATGGAGAGAGGAATCGCCCTTGAAGATCAGAAAACGACATAGCTTGGACCCCCAGGCAGTAATTACAGCTATAGGAGCCCCAGCCCTGTAAGACAGCATATAACGAAACAAAAGCGCTGAGGCCGCATAATAAACCGACGGGACAGCAACAACCGTTGAAGACATATTATTGTTCTTCGGCTCCTGAGCCAATTAACTTAACTTGCTCGCTCGCTCCTAATGACCCCTGATTTCCTTTGCCTAAATGGTCGTTGGAACTCATTCCGGTTCCTGAAATGGCCATGTTCACTTGCGTTCATGATACTGGAACATTACACTCACTTGTATTTCATCCATACTGCATCTACGATTATACCGGATGACCAACATGGCATCTGAAACCCACATCAGGCAGTAGCAGTGCCGTCTGTTCAAAGGGAGCGAACCCCCCCCCCCCCCCCCCCCCCCCTCTCACCGTCAGCCATCCCTTGCTTTTGCCCCAGTGTTCGGGCCGTTTCCAGTCTTTTGCCCAGCTCTTGACGAACGTGCGTCTTCTCGTCACGATCGCATCGGGTCCAGGCCGGCAGTTGATTAATAAGTCACTTCATCTGATGTTACTTCCCATTTCCTCAGGACCAGCAGAACCGGGTTGATTTGGTACAAGGTAGGATCCTACGGATAATATCGTGGGTAACATGACTTCCGGGACTCAGTCAACATATCAATGGGCGTTTCCAGTCTCGTTGTAGCAACTCACTTCACAACTGCTTGTTCCGGATATTTGAGCAGAAGCAATTTGGACATGATCGGCATACGAGCTGCCTGTTTATGCGCTAGTAATAGATGGACAGCGGCTGTGGGACTGAAACGAGAGCTCATCACCCAGATCCCAACCGGTTTGACACGCATTGCTCGTGCCATCATAGGAGATCGGGCAGGGAATTTCTCGTAGGGGTCGCATGGAAGGGGGACAGGGTATGAAGCTCAGTCGGTATATATACCGGTCCTCGGATGTCTCTCCGCAGCCTTGCATCGCTCGTTGACTCAAGACTGACGGCCATTTCTTACATCGCCCATCCACCATGAAGGCCTCTCTGTCCTGGCTCCTTTACGCCGCCACGGCCTCGGCAGCAGCAGCGCATCAGCACCCCCACCCTGGCCGAGCCGCTGCTGCCATCGACGCCTCAACGATCCAGGGCAAATGGCTGTACGGCTACCAGGGCTGGTTCCGTAAGCCGGGACCTGGGGTGAACAACCACTGGTCCGCCGATGGCCAGACGCCGGGACCCAACAACAGTAGGATACTCACACATGAAGGATCAGTATATCGGAATTGGTGTAGCTGACAATTTGGGAAAGTTGAAATTGACTTCATCCCGGACGTCAGCCAGTATCCGGCCAACTGCCTCTTCGACACCGCCCTCACGCTGCCCAATGGCCAACCCGCCAAGTTCTATGACAGCACCTGCGACGGCGTCATCGACCTGCACTTCAAGTGGATGCAGCAGTATGGTATTGATGGCGTGATCGTGCAGAGGTTCTCCGGGTCCATCAACGATCAGTCCTTTATCACGGTCCGTTGTACACCATGATATCATAATATGTCGAACTCTTGGTCCTAACAATCATCCAGGTCCTCAACCAAGTCAAGGCTGCGGCCGAGAAATATGGCCGCGGCTTCATCGTCGAATGGGACGTCTCCGGCGCCGACTCCTCCCAGGGCAGCGTCGCTTCGCTTCTGCTCAGCGACTACAACGCCAAGATCAAGCAGTTCACCTCGTCCCCGGCCTACATCCACCAGGACGGCAAGCCCGTCGTCATGGTCTTTGGCATCGGCTTCCAGGGCATGAAGACCAGCGCTGCCGACAGCGTCAACATCGCCAACCAGCTCAAGAACGCCGGGCTATACGTCGGGTTTGGCGTGCCCGAGCAGTGGGCTGGCGATGTCAACGGTAATACGGGTTACGTCCAGGCGTTCAAGGCGGCGGACTTTATCAGCCCCTGGACCGTCGGTGGTTACTCTGCCGCCGGATACCAAGGCTTCCACAACTCTGTCCAGGTTCCAGACTCACAGTACGTGATAACCAGATTGCCGTGCTCTTCAAGGCTCACTGCTAACAAGCAACTTGAAACAGACTCCTTCAGTCTCTCGGCAAGAAGTATGCTCCCGTCATCTTCCCCGGCACTTCGGCCTACCACCTCAATGGCGGCACCAATCCGTCCGCTTTTGACTACTTTCCTCGATACAACGGCTCTTTTCTGTCCGCTCAAGCCGATGCCCTGACCTCCATGGCCATCAAGCCATTTTTCATCTTCAACGCCATGTTTGATGAAGTCAACGAGGGTGAGTCGTATTCTTGTGCTTTATCTAGGATAGTCACCTAACAGATCCAGCAGGTACTCAAAGCATGCCGGCTCTCAAGACCAACCAGCTGCCCACCAACCAGAAGTTTGTCGGACTTGACAACGATTTCCCCGACACGAGCTTCTACCTGTCGCTGGGCGGCCAGAAGGCGGCTGCTTTCCACTCTGCAGCCCATCCATAGACGAGGCCCTATGTAGACGCGATGTATGTATCCCACAACTTCTAGAGTGTGGTATCGAAAGATTTTATAAGCTTTGACTTGTACAATCACGCCTAAACATGTATCCAATCCATTAGGTATTGTCTTGCCCGTGTAGCAATAGAGCCTTTTTCGGTGACCTCTCTATTCAAGACCCATCCCGTATCACGTATGTTAGGAAGCCATCAACGTCTGATGTCCCATATTATCCACCATGAAGTGACAAAGAGCACAAGCAAGAACCCACGTCGAGTATGTAAGGTAGTATGTCAAGGCCTAAAATCCAAAGCTCAGCAAACACCAAAAAGGCATAGCATTCTATTCTAACGGCTTCTCCAAAGCCGTCACCATTTCCGGCACACCTCGGTAACGTCCAACCTCCATAACACCCAGCCAACCAATCACACCGGACTGCAGCACGGAAGCCGCCATCTCTAGTCTCTAAGGCCATTTTTTTGTCCAAGTTTTCTCACGCCATAAGCATCATCTGGTGATTGGCCGGGACTGACATCCAGCCGGGCATCTTGCTTCCCGTGTCATAGCAGGACTATGTCATTGGAATGTCGACGGGCTGGAAGTCAGCCGCCGGGAAGGCATGTGGCCGTCCGTTGAATTAGATTTACGCGGACACATCCCTCATGTAATCTGGGAAATTGACGAGGTGATCCCATTCAAAGGAGGCCGAGTTGTCTCCAGCAGGTTTGATGGTTTGCCTCCACTCAATCCGAATGCCGAGGCAATGCCATATCATCTACGGCCACGAATAACAATTCACACGCCCATCGTCCACTGATCTAACGACGCAACCATCCATCTCAGTCAAAAGAGAAGGAAGGTAAAAGAAACGAGGGAAACAGAAGAAAATATTCTACGCCTTGAAACCACACAAACGCCATTAGCTAACCCCAAGCCAAACCAATGTGAATGCACGTCATGTCACCAAGGCTTCGCACTAAGACGATAGCTCAAGACAAGCCTGAGTCTAGAGCCGCGAATCCGAAACTTTCTATAGCATTTAGTTCCAGCCTCGCCCAACTCCGGTGGCGCTGGCCGTAGTTTCACCACTGGTGAACTGGATAGGAAGAGTACTTGTACCTACCTACGGAGTAGGGGGAAAACTTTTGCTAGGCCTGCGCCATCAGGTATTTCTCTTGCTTCGTGTCTGGAGAAGAGGGTCGGGGCGTGTCGAGCTAAAGTCAGCCTACACAAAAATGCCGTCAGAGTGGGAAAGCTGAAGCCGTGAAACATGTTTCACCGAGAAACCTCACCAGACAAAGAAGGCATCACCAAAAGAGACAATGAGAGGACGAGATATATCTTTAACAGCATAACACATTAACGAGATATAAGAAAAGTCTATAGTAACTAAATAAGTTTATACTACGAGTTATAAAATTAAGTTAGCGACTGGGGGAATCAAAAAAAGGTCAACAATGCATCCACGGCTGGAGAAGATGAAGGAACGGTTGATGCCGTCCTCCCCATTCTCCCTCCCCATCTTGGCTTTGCTCCTCTCTTTCATCTCTCCTAAAAGAAAGAAGTTTCGGTCCCTCTTTGACCTAACCTTTTTCTTTCTTCCCCAAGATCACCCTTGTAGAATATTTGCAGCTTTCGTAGGCAAATGGCTCGTCAAATCAAGTCGTAGAAACCTTTACCCACTCGAGGCCGTATATACATCCGCGACATTATAAAAGTAGAAATGGGGAAATGGGAAGGAAAAATCCCATTTACTCCTCATCCTCGTCAATGACCTTGTCAGAGAGGAGGTATCGGTCCACGCCCTTGACATCGTCTCTCTCGTGCTCAATGGCGAGCTTCTGGAGAGCAGTGATGACGTTCTCGACAATGGTGTCCTTCTTCTTGCGGTCCTTGCGGCCAAGGTCGTTGAGCGCAGGGATCTGGTTGAGGATGAAGTAGACAATGGCGATGACGATGGTGACACCAAAGGAGTACAGCCAGACAATGACGACGGTGACAATGTCGGTCCAGCCATCGTGGCGCTGGGTGGCCAGGTCGACGGGGTTGTCGATCTCAGGGGCACCAGACAGCCAGCCGAAGAGGGCGAAGAGAGTGGCCATGACATCGACACCGAAGATGGCGCCGACCAGCTGCCACGAAGGCCAGGTGCGGCCACCACGGGTGACGAAGATGAGCCAGTTCTCGGTGAGAGCGACCTCGAGGAAAAGAATCTCCTGGACAGAGCCAAAGTTCTGGATGATGCCGCCGTTGGGGAGGTACATGGTTCCACGCAGGACCCAGGTGCCGAGGGCGAGCAGGACACCGAGGACGACGGAGATGAGCCAGATCTTGGGCAGCTGCCACTCGACGGGGCGAGGCTCGTAGTGGGCATTGTCGTAGGCGACGGCGACGGTGGCCAAGTCAGCGAACAGGGCGAGGAAGACGATGAGGTCGACGCGGATGGTCTCGTTGATGATGATCATGGACAGCGTCAGGTAGATCTCGAGATGCAGACACAGGGCGATACGGTACTGGACGTAGGCCTTCATGCGCTGGAAGATCTGTCGGGACGTCTTGATGGCCAGGACGATGGTGGAGAGACCGGGGGCAAGGAAGACGATATCGGCGGCGGCCTGGGCAGCCTCGGTGGAACCCTCGACGGCAATACCGCAGTCGGCCTTCTTCAGAGAGGGAGCGTCGTTGACACCGTCACCAGTCATGGCAGTAAGGTGGCCACGCTGCTGCAGCATCTCGACGACACGGTACTTGTGCTCGGGGAAGACCTCGGCGAAACCATCGGCACGCTCGACAAAGTCGTGCTGGACGCTGCCGGCAAGACCACCGTGGATGAGCTTCTCGGAGTTGTAGACCTTGGTGCCGAGGGCAAGCATCTTGCACGTCTCCTTGGCGATGGCGATGGCGTCACCAGTGAGCATCTTGACGGGGACACCGAGCTGGGCAGCCTCGAGGATGGTCTGGGCGGTATCCTCACGAGGGGGGTCGAACATGGACAGGAGACCGAGCAGAACCCACTCCTCATCGTTCTTCTTATAGCAGACACCCAGAGATCGGAAACCACGGCGGGCAAACTCACGATCCTTCTCGCGGTAGACGGAGGCGAGCTCCTCGGGGGGGTTGGCGAGCTTGAGGATGGCCTTGGGGGCACCCTTGGCGCAGATGAACTTGTCCTTGCCGAGACGGCACTCAGCGGTAATTCGCTTGGAGACAGGGTCGAAGGGAGTGAACTTCTCGGTGACCCAGCCCTGCTGAAGGATCTCACGAGCCTTGGGGTAGCGCTTGAGGGTCAGGATGGTGACCTTGTCGATGGGGTCGAGAGTCTTGAGGTTGTGGGAAGAGGCAAGAGCGGCAACAGCCATCATCCAGTTGACGTCCTGGCCCTCGCAGACGAAGGGGTCGCGGATGGACAGCTTGTTGGCAGTGAGGGTACCGGTCTTGTCAGAGCAGAGGATATCGACACCAGCAAGCGACTCGATGGCAGTGAGCTTTTGAACAATGGCCTTCTGCTTGGCAAGGTAGGCGGCGCCGACAGCGAGGGTGGTGGTGGTGACGACGGGCAGACCGACAGGGACACCGACGATGAGCAGGACAAGGGCATAGTGAAGCAGGTTCTGGGAGCCGGGCTTGGCGATCTTGAGGTGGTGGAAGAAGCCGCCGATCCAGGCAATGAGAATCCAGAACATGACGAGGACGAGCAGGGTGGTACCGATGTTATTCATGACAGCCTTGAAGTGACCCTGGTCCTTGGCGCCCTGGACGAGATCAGCCGTCTTGCCGACGAAAGAGTCCTTGGCAGTAGCAGTGACGACGGCGTAGGCCTTTCCGCGCTTGCAGCCGGTGGTGTAGTAGGCAGTGTCTCCGATGTACTTGTCGACGGCCAGGGATTCACCAGTGATGGCGGACTGGTCGACGGCGACGAGGGGAGTGGCGCGGTGGTTGGCCAGGGGGCTCTCCTGGTTCTTCTCATCCTCCTCCTCGGGCTCGTCGTCGCTGCTGCCCAGCTTGCCCTCGGCACGGAGCTGCTTGAAGACCTCGAAGTCCTCAGGGCGGGTGTAGTCGCAGATGAGGAGAACGTCGGCGGCGACGGTGTCACCTTCTTGGACAATGAGCTGTGAAATAAGACTGTTAGCTTGCTGTTGCCGAAATCATTGACACGGGGCGGGTTAGTTGGCTGTCGACGTACAATATCACCGGGAACAATCTCGCGGGCCAGAATGTTCTGCTCCTGGCCATCACGAACAACGGTACAGCGCATGGCAATGTTGCCCTTGAGCGAGGCGACGATATCGGCGGCAGACTTCTCCTGGTAGAAGGCGACGAAGGCGTTGAGCAGCAGGATACCGCAGATGACACCGAAATCGATCCAGTCACCCAAACCGACGGCGAGCAGAGCAGCCACTTCCATGACTGTGATGGGGAAAGATGTGTTAGCTGCGATTGCTCATCCGAATGACCCAATTCTCATCTCTCATATCTCGAATTTCTTGATATGCTTGGGGAAAAATACTCACCATAAAGAATAGGACCAGTGAAAAAACCCAAGAACTTAGCAAACATGTTCTCCTTCTCGGAGCTCAGCTCGTTCCAGCCAGCCCATGAGCGACGCTCATCAACCTCGTTGATGCGGATACCGGTGCGAATGTCCGTCTCGAGCCAGGCCTCGGGCACGACCCTCTTGGCCGGCTGGGCATCGACAACGTCCGGGCCCGACGACTTCCAGAACTGCCACCACTTGGGGCGGCGCTTCTTGGAGTCGTCCTCGTCGCCCATGCGCGAGCCCTCGCGGTAGGTGCTGATGTATCGCTCGAGGGCGGCATACTCGGGCAGTTCCTGCTCCGGGGGGGGCGACCGTGCTGCCGGAGTGGTCTTCGCGACCATTGCCGGCCTCGAGGTCGCCCTCACCGTTGGCGTTGCCCTTGCGGCGGTGAAAAGCAGACATTGTTGGGAAGAGATTGCGCCCCTTCGAAGCAGCCCGCGGGAAAACTGACTGGCAACTGACAATGGGAAAGCACAGAAGAGACGCAAACAAGTCGCAACTGAGGAGGAAGGGAGGGAAAGAGAAAAACTTCAGTCCACCGAGGGTGGCCGGCCAGAGATATTTATTCCGGGCCAAACCTGCGCTCTCCACCCCTAGTCGAGGTCAATTCGGTCCAATGCCGTGGTTCCTAATTATTTTTTTTCCCTCTCTCTCGCGCGCGTGTTCGCTCAGTCTCTCTCTCCCAAGTCGCCTTTTTCGATGAGACGCCAGAAACTTGGTCTCCATCCATCCATCCTATCCCAATTCACGCCCCCCCGAACAGGCGCCGTCTGGTTCCTCCCGCCATGATGGCGACTTACACGCACGCCCCCCATCGGCCAGCGAAGACCGACGGCAGATTGTCGCCTGGGACCATACTGCTTCGAGGAAAGGTCGAGTCCACGGGCAAGAAAGAGACGGAATCGCGAGACCAGCCACCAGCAGCCCCATGTCCTCCAACCAAGGTAACTCCGTACTCTGTCCCCATCACCGTCCCATTACCCAGTAGGCCGAGTTATCCTATCCTCGCTAGGCCCCAAAGAAGCAAAGGCACCTGGCTTCTCTCGGTGGATACGAACGACTGCTGGCCAACCTGCTACTTGCTAGCAGAGAGCCTGGTCCAGGTCCCGGCGCAACCGAACCTGTCGAGCGGGATGCCGATATCCGATTTAACGCCCCTCCCCATCTCTTGGCCTTGGACGCCTCTGCTCCAGTCTAGGCCCCATCCAGCCAGAGCAGACAGACAGCCTGTGCGCCCGGAGAAGCTGGCACCGGCCTGAAGAAAAATAAATTGGAGAAGGCAAAAGAAAGAAAAGAAAAAAAAAAAACAGGGCCACCCCGTTATGCTGCTTCGGTCTTGGGAACGAAAGGTACTGTACATACAGTACATGCGGGTGGGCACGATGGGATGGAATATGGGGGACCCGCCAGCCCTGGACAGAGCAGAGAAGAGAGCGAATAACACACAGAGCCGAGCTTCACCATTTCATACATACAGAGGGCCAAAAGCTGAAGGATGTCCCGGGACAGCCGGCCGATTGAAGAGGGCCAGAAAATTCTACGAAGGAAATGCCGCATGTTAAACTCGCTGGAATGGGCTCGTTTTGGTGGCCATTATTACCCGCATCACGCACCGGTGCGATACTTTAATTTTGCAGGCGTGCCTGGACCGGTTGCATACAGAGCACGCCGGCTCTTCATTTCCCATACCTGTTATGTATTCTCTGAAAGCCGGAGCTGTGAGATCTTGTAGGTGTAGTCAAGCGCGCTCGCAGAGGGCAATCCCGGATACGACGTGACAGCGACGTCGGAGGCTATTGTTAGCCTTTCGTTGGTGAGCGGCAGCATACCAGAGGCCAGGACTATAGCCTTATTGAGCCTGATCTACGAAAGTGATAATTGCCATACTAATAATACCCTTCAACCACCGCGTGTGCTTTACATAGAGCATATCCGTACATGTAGGTACTTATCAAGTCCTGCACTTGGACTTGATGTAGTGAACCCATCCTTGCCTGCAGCAACAATACCTCGGATACATGTATGCAAAGGGCGCAGCCACGGAGATGCCATCACCAACACCCCAGGACCCCTACGCCAAAAACCCAGAACACCGTCACTCACACACCCCTCGGTGAATAAACGATGCATGATTGCCTCAGACGTCAGCCAGCAGCCTCATCGCCGTGTTTATCTCGCCTCTCCTTGTCCTCTCTCTCGCAATCCCATTCGCTGCTCGGTGCGTCCCGGGATCGCCTTTCCTTAAACCCCCATGGCAATGCCGGTAGATGCAAAAGTCAAGACGCTTAATCCGGGCGCTTTCTCTTATTCCCAACTTTTTGCCTCACCCTTCGGCCAACCCGCAAGGAGCGACGTCGAGGTCAAGGTGATGGAACGGAATGGAACACATCTGATTTAGCCCAGCTCGTCATGTTTCCGCTTCCAGTCCCATGAACATGACGATAATCCGCCCATCCATATCCAATGAATCGACACGACACGATACGACCAGTCATTCTCGCCGCGTTCCCACGGATTTTCCTGTGCCAATTTCGGCGCGAATATGCCTCTCTCTTCTCTTCCTGACACTCTCTCGTGTTATTACGCCCTCTAATCATTTTCTTCCTCGCTCTCTTTGGTCTTCTGCCTGGCAAGGCCCCACAAAACGACGTCATCTGGCCATGTGCACTAAAACGTGCTAGAGCCACACCCCTTTCCCGAGTTGGGCCTAGCGCCGCTGCCCCGCAAACTTGGCGGCTTCGCTGCATTTTTCTAGCGCTTCCATGAGACCACAAAAAGTCTCGGCTTGGCGATTTGGCGATATTCGCGGCTGACGCGAGGACAAGAAGCAACAGCCTGCCATTGATCATGAAACAATGGCCAGAGGACGAGATTTCATGCATGGAGCGAGTCTCTGGGACTTCCTGCTAGCAATCAGCGTCCTTCAGGGCGCCAGTCCACCCGCCCAGTTGCGCAGTTCCAGCCCTGCGTCTAGCTCACGCGACGGGGCTGAACGAGAGAGCCACGCATTAAATCGAAAAAAAGAAAGGGAACACTCGGACGGTACAGATGCTCAAGGGCAAGTACATGCATGGGGACTTGTACCTTTTCTTTGCCAGGGCGTGCGCGCTTTTAGCCATTGGCCGCCCTGCACTGATATGGAGACTGCAAGTAGAGAGTACGGCCGTGTAAGCCGAGCAACAGCGAAGAGACTCGTGTACAGAGAACCGGCAAACGCTCGCCGCTCGGTACGTACCTGCCGATCGGCACGGTCGCAATTTTGCTCCGGTAGCCGCCGGCTGGCCGCTGATTCCGCCATAGCCGTTGGTTTGCGCGATGCCTGAGCCGTCGTACCCGCACCACTTACACCGTACGTCCATGGTCCCTACAGATAGATACATAGGGTAGTAGTACTACAAGATGCAGACACCGATATTACGGAGAGCAGCGCATGCATCATAATACCGTACCTGTCCTCGTACCCTTGAACGGGGAGCCCTCCTTACGGCTAGGACATCAGCTGTGCTGTACTAAGGATGCAGGCTACGGCAGCTGCACAAAAGTAAACATAATCGCTCTTGGCCCCCCCGGCCGGGGCGTCCGATGTAAGTGTGTGAGTATTGCCAGCTGCAGTAAGGTGAACGAGCCAAGAGGAGCAACCATACATACGGATCAAGAAGAAGAAGAAGAGTAAGAAGAAGAAGATCAGCTCAACGGGATCGCCTACTATCAAACAGCTTTGATGCCGGCAATTCGCGCGGTAGCAAGTCGGCAGCTCCCGTAGCAAGCTACCCCTCCGACCCCCAAAAAGCTCCAGTCCAAAACAAGCAGATACTACTATCACTACCACGACAACCAAAGACCAGCCTCGATGCCGCCGTTGATACGAGAGCACGCTCCCCCCTCCTATCACGACGTCTCCAACCACGGCCCGCGCGTCCAGCTGCCCATTGGCGAGCTCTTGTCGCTGGCCCTCGACGGCCGCTGCGTCTACTCGGCCACCAACCCGTCGCTCGTCTACTACGAGCTCAGCGCCGCCCCCCTGCAGGCCACGTCGCTCATCTACGTCGTGAAAAAGGTCAAGTACCGCCTCGTGCCGGGCAGCGGCGACTCGAGCGCCCGGCTGCGCACCCGCCAGGATGACATCTACCTCTTCCGCGATGCCTACGTCAAGCTGTACGCGCCGGCGCCGCGGCGCGTCGTCATCGACGGCCGGGCCAGCGACGCCCGGTGCTATCGCGAGGTCAAGATGGCGCCGGGCTTGATGGGATGGTCGGCGTGCTCTGCGCCGGGGCACTTTTCGGCCAGGACGGGGCTGGCTGATCGCTGGCGGCATCAGCACCAGGTGATTTGGAAGGACGACAGCGGCCGCATCGTTGCCATGGAGGATGCTGCGGCTGCGCCCCCGGCGGTATCTGCATCGGCCTCGGACACGGACAGCGCTGCGGCAGCAACAACAACAACAACAACAACAACAACAGCAGCAGCAGCGGCGGCGGCGGCGGCTTCCGTGCCGTGCTTGAAGCTGCTGCGCATGCTGGACGAAAAGGACCTGGATCTACTGGTGACATGCTGGACGGCTCGTCTGTGGAAGCAGGCGCAAAAGTCGCTCGGCAGCTCTCCTCCCATAGGGCGCTCTAGAGGTATATCACAATCGAACTCCTTCTATCAGCCTCTTTTTTATGTTGACCTGCATTACCTGTGGCCTAATGCAACTTGCACGTCATCCAGTGAGATAATGTCACCCGCGCTAACAGAACTCGTTGGTAAACATCAGTCAAGCGATTCGCAGCTCGATTCCTCCGCCTGCGCTACATGACCAATTTAGTCTCTTCCAAATCTACCCCGACACGACGCCTCGAGGCATGACCAGCAAGACACAAGCTCTCATACATGATGGCGTATAAATTTTCAATTCTCTCTGTTTATATTTTCACAATTTCCGATAGATTTGACGGGCCATTGACGCACACCATTGCATACCCATACACCGTCTAGGCCACGCAGATCTCTTGCTGGATTCTCGATAGCCGAAAGTGAAGGGGCATGGAGGGGGGGCGTCTGCAAGCACCTTGGACGACAATCAACAATCGGGCCCAGGTCAATCGTGACGACTTCATCTACACGACCCGACGTTGGAACCTAGATAGAAGCTGGAAAGACAGGACAGTACATACAGCGTTCGAGCTCTGGTGCGCCTGGGAGGCTGTTTGCGTGTCCGCGTCGAGAATACCCAAGCCAAACGGACAAAAGCCGGGATGCTGCCGACTCGGGAAGCTGTCGCCACCACTGGGATACGCACTGGGACATCATCAAGACCATTCCATCACTTCTTGACGCCCTCAGGTCTCGGACTCAAGATCAAGAGCTCTCCATACAAGCCCCCTGGAGCCAGCAAGGAGAACAATGACAAGAGAATCGTTCCATCACGCACATCCTCCTCCATACCGCTTCCACAGCTTCCCCCGTCTCCCCCAAGCGAGCCCGTTCCTAGACAGGTATTCCCCAGATATAACGCAATCACCTGGCCTGCCGACAAGGCGAACCGACTGCTACCTACCCAGTCGGGCATCGTACCTCTACTTCCACGACACAGGAGAAACAGAGCTTACAGACAAGTATCTACCCGTAACAGCGCAATCGGTCAAGGGTCAGGGTGGGGAGGGGGGTGTGTCTCTTGGGGCTGAAGCTAGACCAGGATCCATCAGATCGGCCGGTTCAATCTAGTGCCGACCGCGGCTTTTTCTGATGGCGGCAGGGGACATCAATTGGCTGGCCTGAGCCTGGTCCTGGTCCTGGTCCTGGCCCTGGGATTCGCTCTCACATCGCCGAGGAAGACAAGGCAAATCATCTTGCGTATTATGCGCGAATTGATGGGTCAGCTGCAGACAAAGTCCATGGAGATTTCTCGCGCCTCTGCGGCCCTGCGCCTTTGGTACCCATCTTCAGGAGTTTTCCGATTAAAGCCGCGGCGTATTAGTATGATGAAGACGTCGAAAAAGGCAACTTTGGTAGTGCCCCAATAAGACGGTGAAACGGCAATCCGGCGACGGTAAATGGAAACGTGAAAGAAAAAGGGGGATGACAACACATCTGCTGATGGACACTATCACTATCGTAGCCCCCCTTTCGGCATCAAGCAGCTCACAGCATCGTTCTAATACTGATTCAATACGAAAGTGCTATGATACGATCCGGTAACGATACAGCTCTCACCAGAGCCAGCACACAACAACTTCCACGGACAAAGACAAACCGCTCCATCCCCCACAGCCCGTCAGAGCCGCGCTAGGATCCCCCTAAGGGCCGACAGGAACATCCGTACGTTAGTATGAAATAAAGGAGGTGCTACCTTAGATAACCTATACACCCTAGTCTAACATAACCTATACTCCACTTTTCTAAATTTTTTACTATATTAAAAAACCTTATATAACCTATACTTCTTATAATTTAATTAGCTAAAATTTTTAAAAAGTAAAGCATAGGTTATATTAACTTTTATATTAAAGTTAAATACCTTTTTAATATATTAACTATTTATCCCTTCTTTCTTTAATATATAACCTTTAGTATTAATAACTTTTATAGCGCTATAATATTTTAATATATTTTTAATATATTCTTAACTTATTTTATATATATTATTATACTATATATATTAATTATATTAAAGCAGTATAATATTTATATTTATTATAAGGCTAAATAATTAGCTAGTAGTAATAAAGCTAGTAGTATATATTAAAAAGGACTAGTATTATTTAAATATAAGGTAAAATTTATTAATATATTTATAATATATTTATAATATATTATAAAAAGCTAATATATTTATACTTTAAAAAACTAGTAAAATTATCCTCTTATTTAAAAAAGTGTTTTATTATATACCTATAAGTAGTAAAAACCTTTATTTTAATATAAGGTATTACTTATAACCTATATATATTAATAATATATTAATATTATATTATTAATATATTACTTAAAATTAACCTTTTTTATATATTTTAAACCTTAAAAATTATATTATTTATAGCTATTATAGTATTTTTAAAAAAGTATAAAAAAAGACTGCTAATAACTAAAAAGTACTAAATATTATAAGTATTATTAACCTTTTATTAATATATTTAAAATATATTATTAATATATTATAAAGTACTATTATAATATAATAAGGGCCTTTAATAATAATAAAGGTTTTATACCCTTACTTATAATACTTATAAAAATACTACTTAGCTATAATATTTTATAATGCCTAAGCTTTAATATTAATAATTTAAACCTCCTTTTTTATAAAAGCAGTAGTAAAGGCTATACTTAAGGTAAGGTATTTTTTATTAATATATTACTAATATATTATATTTTATTACTAATATATTTACTTCTTAAATAAACTATTATACTATAAAAAAGAATACTAGCCTTAATACTAAGGCTAAGTATAAATATTATTAAGGCTAGTTAAATAGTAGTAAGTAAATAAGGCTAATAAATTAATAATATATTATAAATTAAATACTAATATATTACTTTAATATATTTACTTAAGTTTATAATATATACCTATATTATTTAAAAGTACTTTTAGCAGCTAGCTTAAAATATCTTAATTAATATATTTAATAATAAAAAAAGTAAGAAGGTAAAGGAAGATAAAAAAAAGGTTATAAAAAAGTAATTTATTATTAATAAATTATAAATATATTATAATTTAGTACTAAAGTTATATTTTATAAAGCTAATATTAATTTAGTAAATACTTTTTTAATGCTTTTTAAATATATTATTATATTAAAAGTTTATATATTTATATAAAGACTATATATAATAATAAAAAATATTTATAAAACTATAATATATAAATAATATATTTAGTATATATTATAAACTATTACCTTATATATATAATATTTATATTAAAAGTATAAATATATATATTAAGAATATATTATAAATATATTATAAAGAACTATAAAGTTTTTATAAGTATTATATACCTAATATATTACTTATATATTATAATTACCTTATAAATTATTACCTTATCTTATTATTTTAAGGGCTATTTAATACTCTAGCTTTTAAACCTTTAGTATTAGAATATTTTATTAAAGTTATAGGTTAAGATCCTTTTTTTATAAAGCTAAATAACTATATAATTATTAGCTTTAGTTATAATATATTTATAATAGGTATATAATATATTACTTTCTTTTTATATTTAGTATACTTAATAAGGTTAATTATAAGCAGGCAGGGATAGCTAATAATAATAAAAATAAGAACTTAAGCTTATTAATACTTATTAAAGGTATAATTATAATCTCTTCTTACTTTAGTATAGTAAAATACTTTTATATATATTACTAGCCTATAATATATTAATAATATATTATTAACTTATTATAAATATATTATAAATATATATACTTTTATTAATTAGTATTTTTAAATTAGCCTTATAAGGATATATTATAATATAATATATAAATACTATAAAAGGTTATAATCTTACTTATATAAAGCTTACTAAAATCTTATTATATATTCTTATAATAATATATTAATAATATATTATAAAGGTATTATTAAAATAAGTAAAAGGCTATATAAACTTACTTTTAAATTATTATTATTAATATTATATAATAGCTACTTATATTATAAAAAGCCTTATAAAAGACTTTTATATAGTTAGTATAACTTTTATAAGTATTTTATTATTTTTTAATTATATTAAAAAAGGTAAAGCATAGCCTGCTTATAATAATAACTTAGGCTTTATTATTAACTTATTCCTTAAGTTTTAAGTAAGTTATAAAAAATTAATAAAGTATTACTAATATATTATTAATATATTTTAATAAAAAGTACTAACCTGCTTTAATTTACTTAAAAAAGCTATATAATTATAAGTAGTTATATATTTTTAGTAAGCCTTGTATAATATATTAAAATAAGCGAATACCCCTCTTTTTATTTATGTAATCTTATATATTATAGTTTTTGAAAAGAAATTTATATAGTAATAATATATTTCAATATTATTATAATGTAATTATTCCTCGTTAATACTTAGATAAGGGAGTCCTCTAGAGTTGACCGACAGAAGACAGCTGACATTGCAATCTTTGACTTCTTAGT